TCATGGCTGAAGCCTAGAACGCGTGTTATTGGGTATATCATATTCCTAGTAAGTAGAAGAGAGGAGAGAAGCGGGGGTGAGCAAGGTTCAATGCACCCAGGAACCCGTGCCATCGGCTTCGCTACTCATCAATCATCTCTCTTGCGGATACAGTGCTCTATAGGTCCTCAAAAAGCGGGTTATAAATGGTGGTGACTGTCAGCATTTGCTTTGCTCAGCCTGATATCTATGTGCTACTTTCTGACAGCCTGCTCCTCTCCTGGCGCCAGCAACGACTTTAGACCACCCGTCATCAACCACTTTGACCCTTCATTGCTGAAGGGGAGACCTGGTCGATAGAAGATTTCCTTTCCACTGCATTCCGCGACTTCGCCAGTTACACCACGATCTTCCACGAATCCAAGCACAGCTTTGACGATCGTCGCCGCCGGGGTGATATACTGTTCTGGTACCCTCTTGACCAAATCCGGATTCACCAGTCCTGTAGCAACGAGAGCTGGGCAAATGGAATTAACCGTAATGCGCTCGCCACGCCTTTGGAGTCTGTAGGCTAGTGACCGAGTGAGTCCAATGACCTATTCCGTCTCAGTCAGCTTACAACCTTCCAAAGTCGGACGTGAAAGGCATCGACCCACCCCATGTTTCGACGCTCCGTAGACTGAAACACCGGGAGCGGCGTAGATGCCCGCGATACTGCTAGTCATCACGAGGCTCCCTTCCTTGGACTCGTTTTTACGGAAGAAGTGAAGAGCTAGATAGCTGGTATACACGACTCCCCGGAGGCAGACGTCCATAACCAACGTATCTGGTTCCGGGGGTGCACCGTCGTCCCGTTCCTCCGCCGGTTCAATGATGTCCGTCCGGTCAGAGATTCCCTGGTAGTTTCCAATGTCAGCCAAGATGTCCGAGTACAGGTGCTTAGCAGGGATTGTACAGCGTTGGCAAACACTAGCAATATATCAGCGAGGCCTCTACAACGGGAGATAGGCAACCCACCAAGGTCGAGCCTGTTCCATCGTCTCCAAGTCGCCGTAAATGCCTGAGCTTGTTCTTCATAACTGGTCACATTTGCTTCAAGGAACATGACCTGGGCGCCCAATCGTTTTGCTACCTGTTCTCCGGCGCTGCCATCTTTGTCTACGATGGTAACCCCCCATCCTCGATCGACAAGGCTCTCGACAACTGCCAGACCCATTCCGGAAGCTAGAAGGAATCTCCACAGTTAGCGGGTGCCTGTGCAAAAGTCGGCTTTCGAAGAACTCGTGACCCGTACGCACTCACCGCCACCAGTTACCAAAGCAACTCGAGATGTCGGCATTATCGAAAGCGTGATCTCACAACTTGGATTCTGCGGCTTGAAAGTCTTGCCAAGAACAGACTCCTGAAAGATGTGCAAAGGAAAAGCGTCATGTGGCAGATGGCACTCATATTGTTAGAGAAGATGCGCTGGATGAGATACGGCGGCGCTGCAAACTTGCTTGGTATGATCACGAATCAAACGTGACGCCCTGCAAGCTTCCGAAAGAAAATTGGCCTATGAACAGACTCCGGAGGATAACTCGTGCCGATCACCTAGGCTACATTGTTTATTGGGCGCGGAAAGGACAAGTTCTATATCGGACCATCGGAACGCCCTTGTAAGATAGCACTACCGAGGTGTCAGGACGTAAGAATCGTACCTCGATGGGGATGACACGAGTGGTATAGTCGTATGAATTTCACCTCAGAGGAGTTCTTGGTCCAAATGCGTAGGATTAAGTTATCATACCATCGACTCCTTGTGTCCTCCCATTCGATACACAATCTGATTTGGATTTTGTTGTATTCGACGATATCTTCCACATTCCACATCTATCACCGCGATGTCTGACTACTTGAGTAATATACATGTTACTCCCGCAATGGCTATCGTCGCCGGTACAGGAACTGGTTTGGTGAGATCCTTGACTCAAACTCGTGATATGCCACTTAACGAGTTGCCAGGTTCGGCACATGGTCTACAATCGATATGAGCCGACAATACGGTAGGGGCATACCGTTCTCTCACAAGACCAATGCTTTCCAGGCTTGAATGATAACGTCGTATCGGGATAGGAGTTTCACCCGCGACCTTCTGGGGACGATGGCTATCTTCACCGTGTTTGCCATTCTAGGCTCTCAAAGCTCCAAGTCAAGCGTGGTTACGATCCTCACTTTTCCACTTGTTGAACTCGGTGCACTGGGGTAGGTTGAAGGTCGAAATTCCCATGGGTCTGCAGTTGGTGATGGTTGGCTCCAGACTCAGTATTTCGCTATATCGCCTTTTCTTCCATCCGCTAAGGCGATTCCCGGGGCCATGGTCCGCGAAATTAACAAAATGGACCGGTGCATATTGGGCCTCGACCGGCAAGCTCCACGAAATCATTCCAGCGCTTCATGACAAGGTGCCGAGCCCCCTACCCCTTGCGTCGATGGCTTGAGCCTGCTAACTGATGACTCTTTTCGACAGTACGGTGACATAGTCCGGATTGGGCCGAATGAGTTGTCCTTCGGAGACGTCAATTCTATCAAATACTTACATGGGCCTCAAGGCTCCAGGCTACCCAAAGGACCGTATCATGACGGATCCGTCTATGGCTCTTCGGGGGTCGCCATGCCGAATACTCGCGATTGGCACGACCACAAAGTCCGCCGGCGCATGTGGGATCACGGTTTCACCCAAAACCAGCTCAAGTCTTATGAACCCCGTGTGATAGCGCTTCTGGATGTTCTCTGTGGTCGATTGAAAGAGTTCGATGGTAGGTGATGAGCCAATTTCGACCGGAAATGGACTCACAGACGCACAGGACAAGTCATCGATCTGGGATCCTGGCTCGACTACGTCACGTTTGACGTGATGGGTGACTTGGCTTTCAGCAAATCGTTCGGCCTCCTCAATGACGGTACCTTGTCCACACCCCGCCACGGCACCCTTCGATCTCAAACATTGACGTTGGTGCAGATGGGCCGCGCTACTATTCAAAGGCTATCAGAAGTGGCCTCCGACTTAGAAACATTATCTCGAATGTCCCATGGATGTCTCCGGTCGCCTATCTCCTACCGATGAATAAAGACTTCAAGGAATACGCCGGGCGATTCAAGGCACTGTCCAAGCAATCCTACAAGGAGAGGCGGGCTAAAGGCACTGAGCCAAACGACATCTTCACACATATCCTTGCTGGAAATAAGGACGGAGTGTGAGTCTTCACACCAAGCTGCACGGCTCCGATCGTGCTGACTCCTCACCGACAGTAAAACGAAAGAACGTGATGTCGAAGCAGACGCCCCTATTTTGATCATCGCCGGAAGCGATACGAGCTCAATCACCTCGACGTATGTTGGCAGTCTGTACATCATTTTTGATCTGCTCACAGTCCATGCAGATTGATTTTCTACTTTATTACTCGGGACAGCTTGGTTTATTCGAGGCTCCGGGATGAAGTTGACAATACTTTGAAAGGAAAGACCGTTGCTTCGAGCTTGCTAAGTACGAGACTATCCCAGGCGCAGCAGTTTCTGTGAATACTAACGACTGATAGCACCCGAGAAGTGCCCCTATCTGAACGGAGTTATCTATGAGGCACTCCGTATCTGGCCACCTGGGCCCAACAATCAACAACGTCGTACTCTGGATCGCGTATGGCACGAGGTTGACGGGTTGATGATTCCTCCCCAGACACAGGCAAGTTGAACAGATACATTTATTGCCGTTCGGAGACAGTATAATAACAAGGGTCTCCTAGGTGGGAACACATGTCTTGACGGTGCAAAGAAGTCCCAAGAACTTCACCAACCCGCTGGAATTCGTCCCAGAGCGATGGGACGACACGCACCGCGATCCGACCTGGAAGCACAATCCCCAGGCGTGGATACCGTTCCAGACTGGGGCTTATGCCTGTGCAGGGAAGCAACTTGCGTTGAGTGAGTTACGGCTTCTCGTTGCCGCGATTGTACAGAACTTCGACGTCATCATGCCCGACGACTTTGACCACGAGGCCTTCGAGGACAGCATCAAGAGTTTCCAGTCATTGATTATGGGCCCGCTTCCGCTGCTTGTCAAATCGCGTGCCGCAGTTGGGGAGAAATGAATGAATCTCACAAGCAAGACTGAACAATCTATCGGGATCATCGAGTCTAAATTGCCTGCTCAATCTAGCATCCACAGTGTTCTGAGTAAACGGTGCTCAGGCGAAGGAAACAAGAGATAGGAGAAGTCAGACTGCAAGAATCTCGAAGGATGTTCACTATAGATAACACAAAACGTATCTCTTCATATTGAGCACGTTTCTTCACACATTCGGATCCCAGCAACCTTTGGTTTTAGGCTGGTCCACCATGCCTCTCTGCGTCCATGTCTGCCTGCCGCCACCTCTCAAAATTTTGATTCTATAGCCTGAGCATGTCTTTTCACATGGCATGGACATTGGAGAGGTTGGACAGTGGACTACATGAGAACATCATCCGGCACGAGTCAAGGCTGATTGTACTCGGTATTTCATCCAGAGCGCCAGCCTGTTACGTATCATGTCTGATCGTGCAAGGCTGACGCCCTATTCTAATTAAGCGGCGGCGGTCCGTGCCGGAAACAAATAGCTTTCGGAATGAATCCCCGCATCGGAACGACATGCCCTCTCTGATTGGCTTATATTTCCGGGCCTCGGCACTGAGGGACGGGTAGCATTTCATTGCTGCAGACGCCGAGCATGGCACACTGTGGGTTAGACGGCGTCACCATCTCTTTTGTGCTTGAGATGTGATTCTGGGCGGAAGAACCAGTCCCTTGCAGTCGAGCAGCGAGATTTTGGCAGATGGTCTAATCAGCTGTATCTGGCAGAGCTTGAATGAAAGGGTCAAGGAGGTATATAACGCAATTCGGAGCCCCCAAGATCCAGTCTCGCATTGACTCGCCTCTGCACTGATGTCTGTCAGTCACAGAGCCAACAGCTCCTGTCTCGCCAATAAAGACGATTCTAGAATCCATCATGGGCGAGCCCGCCGCAGGCTGTAATACATTGAATTTAGCAGTGGACCAAAAGATTGGTGTAAATCGAAGCCTCGAGTCACGGAGCTGTGCCGAAGCGCAATACATCGTCTCTCGGGATCACGTCCACAAGAAACGTCCAATCCGTATTATCTGTATCGGTGTGGGTATCGCAGGAATTGCGGCCGCAAATAAGTATAAGCGACGACTCAGTGAGGTCGTGTTCAAGATTGACGAGAAGAGCCACGAGGTGGGTGGTACCTAGCTAGAGATTCAATATCCCAGATGTCCTTGCGATATACCTGCGCACGGCGATACCTAGTCCTGGGAAGGAAATTCCGAGTGTTCACGATTGTTTGTTTCTTGGCCCCAACCCTTCATCTCCTGCGACGCAACAGGTTTTCTTGTCTCGGATATGGCCGAACGCTGCGAGAAGAGCTTGGAGAAGGCACCGCGGAGCATCTGACAGAGGGAGGGGTCGTCGATACATGACCAATAAGCGTAGTGGAAAGCACCGGATCAGTGTCAATCGAACATGCCGGTAAGAAGTGGTGGGTTGCAAAGCCATGTAGGTACCATACGCATAGTACACAGCATAGACGGCGCGAAACTCCATCCCACAATTCAATTGATTGCCGTGGAGTTTCACCGACCGAAATAAAGTTCTCACTTGGCCCTCTCTGGTCTGCCCCTTACACCATCTGGAAAACCCTGAGGGTTGAATCTATCTATATATTGTAGACCCGGAAACGAACACCTCTCACAATCTTGAACCGAGGCTCTCAGCAACATTTCATCAGGTGGATGGCTCTGCCCGTGTATGCTTGCCATAAGTGCAGTAATATTGAAACAAATATGTCCAGACACTAAAATCATATTAGAATCCCCGGCCACCTCTCCCCTACTTCCTTGGGCATCTGCAGAAGGATCAGGTAACGCTCGCTCAAGAATGCAGCTTTTGAACGGGACCGCACTCGTGACCGGCGGTGGTATGGGACAATCCTTTGCGGCTCAGGTCGAGTAAGCACCACAGACTAACTTGCTCAGGTTCTGGGATAGGACGGGCTGTCGCACTGGCATGTGCCGCCAACGGATGTCGAGCGGTTGTAATTGCAGACGTCGACCACGACGCCCTTCAGGATGTCGAACGTGCCATTGTGGCCACATGCGAAAATGTCACGGTGCTTCCACTCCGAGTCGATATCAGCGAGCCGGACTCGGTGACCAGTATGGTCAGAAAGTCAACAGAGGCTTTTGGCAGGCTTGACTACGGTATGTATGACGTCCGTTCCCGGACCATATAACGAGACAAGATAATGTCACGACGGACATGTTGTTCACGCCTGAAGCTAATAGATGTTGAATCCAGCGTTCAATGTCGCAGGGGTAAGTGAGAATGCCATGGGGGTCAAAACTTCATATCTGGGTGCACTCCCATCCGGACTTGGGCTTTCTCGCTGACATCGGTTGGCCCGAAGATATCTGTCAAAGCTCGCGTCTCTGCCAGCAAGTATCCGATCGAGGAATACGACGACATCCAAGCTGTCAACGCACGAGGTCTTCTCCTTTGCGTGCAGGCGGAAATTCAAGCCATGGCGGAGCAGGAGCCCGCCGTCACGGTCAACACGCACAGTCCCGTCCGGGCACAGAGAGGGAGCATCGTCAACATCGCTTCAACGTGTTCTTTCTCCGTCATCCCAGAAATGCTTCCTTACGTCGTCTCCAAACATGCCGTGATTGGAATCACCAAAGCCGCGGGAATCGATCATGCAGCCGAGAGAATTCGGGTCAATGCCGTCTGCCCCGGGCTCGTGGAAACACCCATGATTGCCAGGAGAAGACAACAGCTATTGGATCGACAGATAGACAAATCCTCAGGCACTTCTCTTCTAGACGAGAGCAACCCCACTGGTACGTGGAAACCTGCGGACATGTACAGCACTCCTATGGGCCGGTTGGCACAGCCAGACGAAGTGGCCGACACATGCATCTTTCTTGCCAGTTCCATGGCGAGTCATATCACAGCGACCTCTGTCACCATAGACGGGGGCCGGTCTGCGTCTTATTGACCACCAATTGACACTCCTGTTGGCCTTTCTCCTCCAGCTGTGCTTTGTCCTCCCATCACGCTCGCTTCAGGCGTAAAAAAAAAGGGCATCTACAAATTTTCGTTTTCATAGACCTCCTTCTCGGCCTTTATCATGTCTTCCTGAGTCTCGACAATCAGGTCATCGCCAAACAGTCTCCCTATCTCCTCCAGGGGCTTCCCCTTCGTCTCCTTTGCGAGGAAAATGAAAAGAACAAGGAAGACTGTTCCACACGCCAAAAACGTAAGGTAGAATTTCCATCCGATTGTTGAAAATGCGTAAATCGAAGCCCTGTGCACGAGAATCTCAATAACAATTCCCTTTTTATCTCTCTCGCTTTGTAGAGATGAGGTGGCGGGGCCGCGGGGGTTGACTTACTCGACGTAGACCATGTCGATCAAATACAGCGTGGCAATTCCAATGGCAGACCCTCTCGCCCGGAGATGAGCTGGCCATATCTCACTGATGTAGGTGAATGCAGCTCCTTCGACAAGGGCGCCATAAGAAAACATGAAAAGCCAGAAGACGGCAACGATAGCGCGCTGCGCCGCCAAATTGGTCGTCCCGGCATATGTGGCGATCAAACCCGTGGCAATCGCGAGCAAGACGAGCTGCGCAATGATTCCCATCACCATCATCCTCACCCGGCCGATCTTGTCGATGAAAAATGATCCGATAAAGTTGTCCACCATGCCTGATGTTGCATACCCTGAGGTCAAGCAAAGCTGAGCAACCGGTCCGAACCCAATCGATTCGTAGATGACAGGCCCGTACACCACGATCACGACGTTGCCCGCGGACTAGCAAGAGGTTAACTTGGGGTGAACGAGATTGCCAGCCAAAGGTGTCATCACCTGTGCCATCAGCATTGTCATGATACAGAGCACCAGTCTCCACCGATATTGCTTCGCAGTCAGCATTTTCCACCAGGAGACCTCGTTGTTGCGTTCGAAGTCTATTTGGCGTGTGATCTGCTGCAGTTCCAGCCGCACAAAGTCATGCGATCTCGCATCACCGGCCCTGCAATGGAGTTTGTTGAGGACGACCCCTGCTTCCGAGTGCCGGCCCTTCATTACGAGCCACCGCGGTGACTCCGGGACGAAGAAAACGAAAACAAAGACCACCAGGGACGGAACGCAACACAGCGCAAAGGGGATTCGCCACTGGACACCGCCGGCCGGGACGAAGTAGAATGCAAGGCCAAGCCAGTTCGAAATGACATAGCCGAGACAATTGAGGATTCCGACCAAGGCTACCATCAGACCTCGGTGGTGTGGCGGTGCAAGCTCCGACAAGCTGAGGCAGCAAACAGTGATATATGCTCCTGAGGTCCAACCTGCCAGCGTTCTGAGCTCGGTCAGAGCCGAGTGTCGGCAACAGGAAGCCATAACGGGGCCATAACATGTACATACCTGAATACAAGCAACATTGCAATATGCACGCTCCCTGCGATTAAAGCGGAACACACCGTGGCTACGAAAGCCGTAACCAAAAGAGCTATTTTCCGTCCCCATCGATCCGCGATGTAGCTGGCATTAAAGGACCCAAAGAAGGCGCCGCCGAAATACACGCCGTTTATCGCGCCGATGAGGGCGGTGTCTTGAGAAGAAGCTGTGTCGAAGTGGAAATATTCGAGGAAGGTGGGCTGGCCCAGGGCGGTGCTCATGATGCCGGTCATCATGCCCGAGGCGGTGGCGCCGATGGCGATGACGGCGACGACGGCATAGTTGTATAGATAGAGCTTCTCCTGGGCGACCACGCCAGAGTGTTCAGCCGTCTCGGACAGCGCTGCCTTGGACATCCCGGCGACGGTGGTCAATTACTTCGGGCGACGAGGACAGGGGTTGGGAAAGGGTGGACCTCAAAGGGAGCCCACACAGCAGTTGACACCGGAGATCTCGAAGATTGAGTACATGTCTTCTCAAGAGCTCAGTCGCCTTGCCACCGCTACTCTTTAATGGTCCTAGAATTGCCGCTATAAGTTGTCGGAATGGTCATTTTCGGAATCCTCAAACGGGGCTCCGCATGGTTGTCTCCACGGGGGATTCCCCAGATTTTTCTCCATCCCGAAATGCACGCTGGAGGGAGGCAGTTCGAACCCAGAACCAGGGTTTCATCAATTGCCGTGTGCGAGATCCGACCATCTGAGGGTTCAACCGTAAGTATCTACCGTCCATTCTCTTGATGGGTTGAAATATATTTTCCTGTCCATGATTTTCGGGACCATGGGGGCGAAATGGATCAAGCTGTTCCGTCCGCTCTTCAGGCCCGAGAGCATATCTGGAGCAGGCTGCTCGCCGTCGGAAATGCCGCAAACGCATTCGAGGAGGTAGTTCTTACGCTAAAGGCCCAATCCAGTGATCTGGTTGTTTGGGATCATGACGCGGAGGGGTTTGTCGGACTTGTGTACCTCCGTGAGCGGTAATCTGGACCCTCTTTCAACTGTCAAGGCATGAGGCATGGACATCATAGCCAGTGGTGAGCGACAGGAGGGAGAATAACAAGCTGTCTCCGTCGGTGACTCCCTCCAAGCGGCCACTGCATCATCGAGATACGAATTAGTCCTCTATTCCGATTCTCTGTCGAGTCTGTTATCATATTTGTGTCCCTGAGAAACGGGGGTGCCCTGGGCATTGCATACTGAATGGAAATAAACACCTCGAGCCGAACGGGGACTTGTCTCAAAGACACTCACTGGAGTTCGCGCTGCTGATAGACTTTCCGGTAGCACATAGGTTGCTGAATGCCTCTTGAGTGAGCGACCGATAAAGTGCAGATGTTGGCGAAACATATGGACAAAATTTTTGAGGCAAAGGCGCTCGCCTGACGCACAAGACCATCCACGAGCTCCTTGATAAATGAGTACATTGTCGACATAATTCATGTTAGCTCTCCGTGCCAGCCATTCAACTTCATAAATAGGCCGTGCAAAGAGAAATCGCCAAAAAGAGCAGCTTGCTGCCTTCTCAGGACTCAGGAATCCGGCCAGAGCCACAAAGTCGCCATGCTCGACCCTTGAAGATACCTTAGGCCTCAAAGATATTACATACCTAGATTGGTTTCCGATCCCTCTTCTGGGGCAGAGTCGGCCTCGGTTATAGTCTACAGAGGGAACGCTGCATCATCCGCGAATTCGGTGTTCGTCAAGTTGAGACAAAGAGCTTGATTTTGATTGCTTCTGGGTGAGTCTACTGGCTACCCTGTTCCGCAGATTCTGCCGCCGACAGCAAACAGCCTTGCGAGAAACTACTTCCCCTTCCCAATGCGCCCCCCTGGCGATGGTCTCCTGCCTCTCGTTAACCTGTGCCTTGAATATACGATGGCATTTCCGATTAAGCGTCCGGTGAAGCTACCAAGGGCAATCCGTTCAAGAGCACGCGCGGACCTCGCCGCGATATGGGCTTTAGAACGCCATCACAACCAACCACAAACAGAGCAAGCCGATATTCTTCGCGGACTCCATGAACGCGAACCTGCAGAGGTACAGAAATTTCCGGATATTTTTGATTTCTTTTGTCTTTTTGCACAAGTATGCAGGCACATTGCCGATGGCTTCCCACCCATTGTTGTGAGGGCATTGTTCAGAGGCTTGGTCTATGGCCTGCAGGACGCCGACGGAGTAGAATCCGGCATCCGCCCTGTAATTGAAGTTCTCTGGTACAAATGCAGCAAACCGCCGGGGGAACAGGGGCCGGGACGTCCTACTCTTGGACAAAGCGAGAGAGGGGCGACAAACAAGAGTGCCAAAGTGTCTAGCAGATGTCGTGGAGACCAGCGTATAACTCAGGTACCATTTCGGACGCTAGGAACTTGAGCACCGAACGTCTGAGATTGAATTATGCACTGTATGAAATGCTGTAAAGCTTGCATCTGGCTCTTAGACACCTGGACCTTGTGTATCTTTGGCTATTTTGCACGAGCTTGAAAGACAAACAAAGAAACGCAACAATGCTCTGCGTCTGTTCCCGCAAGCTTTGTGTTTTAGCTCATACTGTACCGCGCCTGCAAGCCCTTTCGACCTGTCTCTAACAATACGCCCTGCTTAGCTCACCGGAAATTGTAGCATTCTGACCATGCCGGTGGAATATGACGGCCGCATTGTCCTACAAACAAAAGGGTAAAACATGGTGGAGCAAGTCCCCCTTTTCGGACCGAGCCTCGCACGTGACCGCAACACGAATACAGACGACATCCCATCAGTGTAGGAGTACCGTAGTATATCTCAGTCAAGACCATGTCACGCAGCACCAAACTGAGGGACACTGATGGCTGTTTTACGGACTGGCCCCGCGCTGTCTGTCCTCTCAGAATACCATGTACGTCTTTACGGAAAGGCTGCAGACGCTTTCACAGGCGCAAACATCGCATTGTCTCCTATGCATGAACCAGAAACCTGTTTGTTGTTTGGACCGCGTCGGTGGCTTCAACGACACGGATGGGCTTTGTCAAGACTCACCATCTGTCTTGGATCTCTACAATGACAAGAGGAGAGAGTCACACATCCGGCGCGCCACGTTGAGGCCTTTGGTTTGGCAACCGTGGGCTCTTCCTCATGCCGCACGTTGGAGTTTTAAGTCTCCTGCCTCTCCGTGTGACTTCAGATCAATCGTCAAATCCTCTCATGCGCGACTTCAATCGGCTCACTCAGTCTCTCTTGAGGCGTCTTCTTGATCTCTCATCTTCTTGTCCGGTTCTTTCATCTCTACCGACTCTCACTTCAAGCGTGTCTTGATCTCCCATCTTCTTGTCCAGACCTTCCATCTCTACCGATTCTCGCTTCAAGCGTCTCTTCTTGACCTCTTATCCTTTTCTTCAGTTCTTTCATCCCCACAGATTCTCTTCTCAGACATCTCTCTTCGACCGCCCGCCTTCTTATTCAATTCTTTCATCTCTCTTTGTTTTCTCTTCGACAGCAGTCAGTCCTCCCGTTCAGCGAGAGCCGAATTCGTCCTCTTCATCTTCTCTTCTCTTCATTCTCTCAGAAATTCGTTCTGTGACCCTTTCAAAGACACCTCAAGTCATCCTGGGACCATTTCGCCTTCTTTCTGTCCACCGATCTCACCTTCCAATACCGTCTCATCGCGGTCACTGATCGCTCCCAGTCCTTCTCACGCACCCTCATTTCGATCAAGAGAGACCCACCAGCAAAGACACGACTGGACAAGATGTATCCATTTGGTGGTGTGGCAGCTTATCAAAACCGGAATCTCTGGGTCCAGGCGCGGGCGCACCAGCCCAGAACAAGCCACCCTCTCTTTCGTTACCCAAACTTCCGAGACCACCTCCCAGAGCTTCACGACAGTGGCCATAAAGAGGTCATTGTCTTGGACGACGACGACAGCGATGAGGAGTTCGTCGTCACAGCAAGTCAAGAGCCACAGAGACGAAAAGTGGTCGACATCAACCAGGTGCAGCGAGTTGCTCGGGGGCCGTTGAGCTTGCTGCCAGGGCGCGACGTGGAGCTGAGAGACCAATCATTCATTCGAATCGTGGAATACCTCCCAGACACCGAAGATGGCGAATGTATCAGAGGGCACCGACTCCTGTACCAGAATCATTGGGAGCTGTTAATGCCGGAGAGGCAGCACGAGCTAGTACAGCTCGTGAAAATCAACGATGAGATGGAGGTGGAGGACACCACTTCGACAGTACACGTCAGCCAAGTTGTGAGGAATTGTACCGTCATCTTCACAAACAGAGCGTACAACGATCTTCAGTACGAGAAACACGTCGAAAAGTATACTGGAGACAAGACCGACCAGGCGGTGTATTTCTGCCGGTACACCAGTGCCGACCGCAATGTTTCCACCGAACATGGAGACCCAAAGGGGCCACCGCTGGCGGGAAGAATCGAGCGTTTATGGGCCAACCAGACAGACGATGGCGCCCTCGCCACGCCACAAGGGCTGGTCGAGTTTCGGATACCTGACTCCGAGCTGCGTAGACAGTGGCGAGAGACGGAACGCTCGAAAAGCAGGAGGTACACCTTCGGAGACGCCTTCTCCGGTGCTGGAGGGACTTCGCTGGGGGCCTTCCAGGCCGGCCTGAAGCTCAAAGTCGCCGTCGACTTCGACGAGAGAGCGATTGAGACATACAAGAGAAACTTCAACTTGAGCGGCACCGAGGTTCTAGAGGAGGATGTCGCGGACTTCATCAACAGGGCAGCCATATCGGGGGATCGCTACGTGGTCGACTTCCTCCACATGAGCCCTCCATGTCAACCGTTCTGCGGCGCCAACCGCAACCCAAACCTGGAGAAAAATGAGCGAGACATGGACTCGTTCTCCAAAGTGCCCGGCCTGTTGGAGGTGTGCAAGCCACGGATTGTCACGCTTGAAGAGGCCAAGAGCCTCACCGACATTGACAAGAGGGGGCATTTCCGCAACCTCATCTGCTGGTTCATTGAAAAGGGGTACAGTATCCAGTGGAAAGCCGTCGAGCTGTCCAGGTACGGCGTGCCTCAAACCCGAAACAGAACCATCATCATTGCGTCAGGGTAAGATTGAGGAAGCACTCCTCACCGCCCCCTTGTCTTGCGTCCTTCTTCCACTGACCCAGAACTGCGGCACAGGCCAGGCGAACGACTCCCTGCGTTCGTCCAACCGACCCACGGCACGGAACCAGGCCTTGAACCCTTTCCATCGATCATTGGCGCCATCGGCGCGATCCCTCCCAATGCAAGGCACCAGGACGAAATCCCAGAGATGCGCACGCCGAGGACACCCTACAGCGGAGAAGGGCTTTGCGCCACCATCATGACGTCGGTGAAGGGGCATCACTTCCACCCTTATGGGTACCGGCGATTCAGCATCCGCGAATATGCGTGTCTGCAGACCTTCCCGCTCTTTTTCGTCTTTTCGGGCACCATTCACGAGATGCTGCGGCAGATAGGAAACGCGGTCCCGCCGCAGTTTGCGGAAACCTTGTTCGTACACTTGAAGTCGGCGTTGACGGCGGCAGACGAGGCCGAGGATAGAGGGCAGTAGAGTCCAGGAGCATGGACGGAGCTGGAGGTCATGGCTGGCAATTACTGCGTGCAGGTTACAACTCGAGCACATTCGGAAAGAGGCGGCTCTTTATTCGTGCGCATTTGCGAAGGCGTCGGAAAATATCGTGAGGATTGTATTTCACACTCGCGTACACCAACATCGCTGGGAGGAACTTTCGTGGATCAATAGCGCAGACTCATTCTCCAGAACTTGTCCCATTTGAGGGAATCCGAGACGCGTATCCAGAGAACTGTAGGCTGTGGTTGAACAAACTCCTTCGTGTGTCCTTTGAGAGGCTGAATGAGGCTTCTTTCCCATACATCGGTATTGAAAGGACCCTATCACAGTGGGGGGCTTGTACTCGTATGGACGCTGCTGGCTCGTGGAATGGAGGAGCAAAGTAGTGGTGAGGTTTCTGACCAGGCAGACGGTAACATTTTCCCCTGAGAAGCATACAACATTTCCAGGACAGTCAAAGAAGGTCTTGCACGACGAGGGCCAACCTAGACCACGAACCTGCTCAACCGGTGTCGACATCAAAAGGGGGTATCAATTTTCTGTTTCGCAGACATGCGCCATCAGATCAATCTCTCAAGCAGTCAAAGCCGTGTCCAGTACATTCTTCCACTGCTGCCACCTCTGTTTGGCGGATTCGGCCACCTGTGCAATCTGATCGACCCCAACCACAGAGCCGCCACTCTTCTCGATCCTCAAAACCACCGCTGAATCGGCACCGTTGCTGCAGTCCACCGTGATACATCCCACCTCCGCACACGACTCTTCCTCGAAGGTGTCCAAGTCCATAAGAATCCAAGACCGATCTTCTCCGTCATTCTGCATGGTCAACAGTCGTTTTTCGGGCACAAACAACCCCCAACTGCTTGGGACTGGCATTCCCCTCAGCCGCAGTTTCCGTGCCTCCTTCACATCCATCGAGCAGATGACTTTTTCCAGGTCCGCGTCCCACCAGGCCTTCGGTAGGAGGCAATTTCGCAACGCAGCGTCCAGCGCAAGCCAGGCTGCATCGAATACCGATCCGCCGTGGCTGATACACATCATGTCAATGTAAAGCGTCCAGTACGCTTTCAACTGAGCTTCGGCATCTATGCCTAGCTCCAAGTCTTGGGACTCAGGAGGTGGGGCGTAGATGATTTCGAGGTCCGAGGTTCTGACTAGCTGCGAGGTGTGAAGTAGCGACAGCAGTCGCTGGGATATTGACTGCGCTTCAACTGAAGGTGCGGTGTTGGCGGGGTGTCTGGGCGAGCAGCCCGTAGCCAACTCTATGTTTGGGACTACAAGGTTGTACAGCTGAGTGGCCGAATATTCTCCTTCGCCCTCATGGTCATCCACCTCGTTCTTCGGTCTTGATCGTAATGTCCAGTCTTTGTCTGCAGACTTGGTGACTCGAAAACTAGGAATTTCGCTCGTAGGGAGTATTTCCGCGCGTACACCACACACTATGGTCGTCGCTCCAATCTTAACCAAGGAAGACCCGTTGCAATGCGTCAAAGAGCCCACGTTGAGCTGGATAGGTCGTGGTTCCGAAGTGAGGCGATTGGAAGGTCGCCTCGGCGGGCTCTGCTTCAGGTGTGCGTGGAGAAGCGCATCGGGAGATATGAGTGGCATGGCGGATGCAGGGACGGAGGCATTCAGCACGGTTGAGGGATCTAATGAAGGCATTTCTGCCAGAGACGACGCAGACTACATAGCGCAATGTGTCTGCGAGATTGGAATTTGTGCTGCATGTTCGCGGATTTCGCATTTATTCTGCCGGCACAAATGCGGAGGCGGTAAGAGAGGCTTGGCACACGATTGGCTTGCTGAAGCGAGTCTGGAGACCGCATTAACCATGGCTGGTATGGTGCCATATCAACCCTCGCACCGATGCCACTGACAGCAGTCTATGCGCTCAATCAATATCGAGGTCAAACGTTCCCGATATACACGCAGCGTGATGCTACGGCGACCAAGCTCGGCTCCTACGAAGCACCGACAACATCTCCAAAGGGCAATTGCTTCCCCATGGCCCGCGAAGCGGAAAGGTCCACGGAAGCAATTCGATCCGACAGACCTCCAGATCGGAAGAGGATCGAGCCCTATTGGCTACACCGTCTGGTCCTCGGAAGCAGTCTCGGCCATTGTGAAGGGCGCGAGGAGCGAGGAACAAGAGCGGGGAAGAGCAAGACCACATCAACCAACTGATTGCGGAGAGTAAGCCCTCTCGACAGGCTGAACAGAAGAGATGCTGGATTGCTGGCTACCAGTGGTTTGAAGTGGAAAAGGAATGCCGCGCTCAAGTACCGCCGCACACATTGACATCGCATCTCAAGAGTCGGCTCGTTGTCGGCTCGGGAGATATCTTTGCATTTCACATTGAAGATCCTGGGAGGAGATGCTGGAGATATAAACCCACCAGGGTGGACGGATTTCTTGACGGAGGCCTAATTATCGTTCATTTCGGAGATCAGAGACGCCCTCACACTACAGGCACCACCTCACATTGCTTTGGGCTTTCAACAACTTCTGCATTGTATTGCATTGCGCAGCCATTCATCTCGCCATCAGACGAGTCTCCATCAACTCGCCATCTACGTTCTGCCCAGCCCATACGTCTGTAGCACAACAAGCTCTGGTTCTCTCCACCAGCACCAGCTCAACGATGGCCGACGCCGACCTTTTCGATGTCTTGATCGTAGGCTCCGGCAGCGCCGGGCTGACTGCGGCGCTGTGGCTCACCATCTACAACACGACACACCCGCGGCAACAGATCAAATTCAAGATCCTGGAGCGGCGCGGCGGACCCATGGCCATCGGGCAGGCGGACGGCATCCAGTGCCGCACGGTCGAGATCTTCGAGACTCTGGACCTGTCCGAGGACCTGCTCCGCGAGGCCTACCACGTCCTCGAAGTCGCCTTCTGGAGCCCCGATGGGCAGGGCGGGATCCGCCGGAGCAACCGCGCGGCCGACACGGCCAAGGGTCTCAGCCACATGCCGCATCTCATCCTGAACCAGGCCCGGGTCAATGGCCTACTACTGGAGAAGATGAGGAAGCTGGGCGCCGGGAGGGGCGAAGAAGTGAGTTACGGATGGACGGTGAAGAGCGTCAGCATAGACGAGGAGTTGGCGGACATGCATGCAGCCAGTTATCCTTGTTCGGTTGTCGCGGTCCGGGACGAAGATGGGAAGGAAGAGCTTTTCAGGGCCAAATATGTCTTGGTAAGTTTTGTCCCAAGTACCCTGAGGTTGAGAGTATTTCCCCTTACTAAGATCTGGATGAACACAGGGCTGTGACGGGGCACACAGCGTTGTGCGTAGATCGCTGGGTTACAAGATGGTTGGAGACAGCACCGACGCCGTCTGGGGAGTCATGGATATCTATCCTCGAACCAATTTCCCCGACATCCGGCGCAAAGTCACTGTTCACTCCGACTCGGGCTCCCTCCTGGTCATCCCCCGAGAAGGCGGCTCTCTGACCCGCTTCTACATCGAATTCCCAACGGGCACCAACGTCAAGGAAATTAAACTCGAAGACCTGCACAAGAAAGCACAGCAAATCTTCCACCCGTACAAGATGGACTTTGCAGACACGTACTGGTGGTCATGCTATTCGATTGGCCAACGTCTCGCGGACCACTTCACCAAGTCGAACCGGGTGTTTTTGACCGGGGACGCATTCCACACGCATTCACCAAAGGCCGGACAGGGGATGAATGTCAGCCTGCAGGACGGCTTCAACATCGGCTGGAAACTCGGCCATGTCTTGACGGGGCAGGCGACACCCGACTTGTTGAAGACGTACAGCATTGAACGCGGCAAGACGGCCGCCGATCTGATCGACTTTGACCGGTACTTTATGAAGCTGTTTGCGAGCAACAAGGCCAACAACGAGAAGAAGATCACCCCCGAAGAATTTCGCGAGGGCTTTATTAAGTCGGGACGGTATACCGCGGGCTTGACTTCAAAATACGAGGATTCCAGCGTAACATCCAGCGCAAACAGCACACAGGAGTTGGCAAGGGAGCTTGTGGTCGGTATGAGGTTCCCTGGGGCGCAGGTCGTGCGGTTCTGTGATGTCAAAGCCATGCAGCTCGCTCGGGCCTTGAAGGCAGATGGTCGATGGCGCGTTATCTTCTTCGCCGGCAAGATTGAAGATCCCCAGATGCTCCCGAGGCTGAACCAGGTCCGTCTTTGTCTCTCAACCTTGCTACTGCTGCTACCAAACAAACAGAAAACTAATGCAAAAGCTGTCTGTCTAGATCGCAAAGTACATGGAATCCCCGACCGGTCCCGTGCGCAAATACACCCCCGTGTCGGCGGATATCGACAGTTTCATCGAGCCCATCGTGGTCGTCGCCGGCGAGCGTCTGAAGCTCGAGCAGGAGCAGATCCCCGATTATTTCTGGCCCGTCACCGGGAAGTGGAAGATGAGAGGTAAGGAGTTTGAACCCAGAAACCGAAATGCTAGCAGGAATTCACTACTTTTTTGCTGATTTTTCCATCTTTGCGTGCTGAAAGATCTCCACAAAGTGTTCGTCGACGATGAACATTATAACTCGGGCCATGGCCATGCGTATGAGAAGTACGGCATCGACCCGGACAAAGGCGCCACGGTTATTGTGCGCCCTGACCAATGTACGTTTCACAGGACTCCCTGTCGCTGCGCTTGAGGCCTGCCTGCCTACTGACCTCGCTGCTCTAGATGTCTCGAAAGTGATCTCCATCGACGATACGCAAGGGATCGGCCAATTCTTCGACGGCTTTTGCGCCTCGAAAGAACAGCTGAACGGTCATTTATAAAATTGTCGACAAGTAGTCGAGATGAAATCCTGTCTAGATTTTATATCTATTCGTGAGGCCAAATTATCTCTACCGGTTTTCCGACAATTAGCCCCCTGTTCGCCAAAGCAGCGACCCGACACAGACTGCATTGATGACGGTGTGCTGGCCCACCACCCAGGCCGCCGTGTAGAGATACTTTGGGGAGAAGACGGTCCATATAAAGAGGTGTTCTCGGAGGACCATGCAAGCCACCATGACCGACAAGGCATGGATGCAGGAAAAGGTAGCCAACGCCGTAAAGAGGAAGGAATATGCACCGCCTTGGAGATGGAGAGAGCTGAACAACTGGCAAATTGCAAAGGACCACCATATCGGACCAACCCAGTTACTTATGAACGTGAGGATGCCCACGGCGGCCATATTGTAGCCCGCGACACCGTTGTATGCGTTAGACAGATCGATGGTGGCGATGGAGTTCGTGCTGCCAAAGGTAAAGAAGGAGGCGTATTGGAACAGGAGGGCGAGCACGGCGATCTCGCCCACCGAACGGCGTCGGCCGCGCCGGAGAAGGTAGAGCTGCAGGTTGAAGAACAGGAACAGCGGCACGTAGACGGTGCGCGTCTGCGTGATGAGAAGCAGTGACAACACGTCCTGGAACGCGGTCAGAAACCGTAAGAGGTGCGCCGCGCCCTTCCACGGTGTCTCGTAGTAGATTGCGCAGCCGAGCAGGTGGGCGAGGCCCAGGAAGACCACCCGCGCCATGCTGACGAGCGGGTACGCCGAGACGAACCCGACCAGCGGGTTGAGGACGGGGAACGAGGCGAGCAGCTCGGGCGCGTCCGCGGCGGTGAAAGCGATCTTGAAGAGGAACGCTGAGACGGACACCAGCGCCGGCAGGATGCCCATCTGCGGCGAGCCCATCCACACCCCGGCCCGACGGCTCAGGTTGCGCGACAGCGCCATGTATGCGAGCATGACCAGCATCCAGAGGACCCATGGATTGGGCGTGATGACCTCGCCGAGGAGGTCGGCCTCGCCGGCGTATTTCTGCCCAGTCTGCTTCCATCGCCGGGCCACGCCGAACAGCAGGTATGCGAGCGCCGTGCCCGTGGGTCCCTCCAGGAGAGAACGGGCAACCCCCTTGGTGTGGACCAGTGTGAACCGGCTGTCTCGGCAGTGTACGACGACTAGATAGCCAGCAAGGGTCCAATACCAGAACTGGTGCTCTTCTTCGACGTAGCTGCTGGCGAACATGGTGACGGCAAATGCGAGCATGATGACGAGCAGGATCACCCCATCGACACCTGCTGAGAGGACACCCTGTACAAAGCTGGGCGCGCAGAGCGCCAGCGCCAGCACGCTGAGTCCTATACCGATCTGCATGCTAGTGAGGTCATAATTACTGGCGGTGCCACTGAGAAGGTTCTGTGCTTTGTACAGAAAGGCGTTGAGACGAGTTGTCGGTGGGGTGGAATAGGTCTGGTCCGTGGCGACAGCTTGATGCTCCGCTGAGACATGTTGCCATAGACAGGCAAGGACTTCAGCGTCGTCTCCATCAGTCACCGAGCATTCGGCAGATGTTGACACTTGACTGAACTCTTTCGGAAATGTGGCTTGTGCAATCCGCAAAATCTGTTCTGCATTGCTGTAGAGGAGAGCATATTGATCACGGGGATGCGTCCAGAGTTCCAAGAGTCGCGGCATAATAACCCCGAGGTTATTAAGGGGAATGGGAAATCCCAGCATAGCAGCAAGGGTCGGGACTATATCGGATTGTTCAACGGTGTTGTAGTACTGATAGTCAGCTGCGTCGTCGATGGGGCAAGATTGTCCTTCGAACGCCGATTTGAACTTCGGAGAGATGAAAGTGAGAGCTGTGGAAACCTCTCCTGGGGAGGATGCGCCATGGTTGCCACCCTCATTCATCCCATGGTCACCAAGCAGGACTAACAAGCATGACTTGAGATGGTCGTAGCTTTCCAATTTGGCATAAATGTCCCGCACGATACCATCCATCTCCGCCTGTTTTGCCGGCATTCTTGGTCCTTTGGGTCCTGTCTTGTGCCCGATATGGTCCAGGCCCAGGAAGTGGAGCGTCATCGCAGACCAGTCGTGGTTCGCTAGCTCAGCAGGGATATGCCTGGTGACATTGTTGTCGACCTCGGTGAAGTCGGACACGAAGAAACTCGTCGTGCCATCGGCTCGAGCGAAGAAATCTGGGAACAGGCGAAGCCACGTGTCGTCTCCATACATGACGAGGTTGCCGCCTTTGGCTCGTAGCTGGGCCAGCCATGTGTCTTGATCCTTGAGGGTCGACGTCGTGTCCGACTCTGCAAAATTGAGAATGAGGTCCACAAAACTTGGGACGGAGCCCGTGGTGATGGCCTTGACGCGCGGCATCGTTATAGTTGGCGGACTGGCATGGCCGGTGAACGGGACAGCAGCGCCAGATCTGATGAGGCTTTGGGTGAAAGTAAAGCTCGAAGCATTTCCGTAGACAAAGTCGCTCCGCAAAGCATCAACAACCATAAAGATGACACGATCGAACGGGGCCGACCGAGGGCCTGCTTCGGACGTGGCGGGCCATGTCGCCAGCCCCGGTAAGAAGGCTTTGTGAGGGAAAAATCCCTTTGCGAAGATCAGAAGAGCCGCAATGAGGATGAGGTTAGAAAGCCAGAGCGTGGCATTTCGGAGCGTGATGCTCATCCTCAATGGTCGCGATTCGAGGCTAGCGGACAAAATGCGCGACACTGTGCGGTTCGATCCCTGCCGAACCACTCCTTACGCCGACAGTGGGTCGCGACCTAGCATCTTTGTGGGCGCATGGCCAAATATTGTATTAAGACGTCTCTCGAAGGCTCAAGAAGACACGAAGACGCTGGTGGCAGCAAAAAGGAGATGAAAAGTTGCAAGAGTCTGGACCTGGAGACTATTTCGCGGATGCCAAGCATTGATCCACCGTAGAGCTCGCCAGCCTTGCCGCGGGTCAGCCTCGTCAACGCCAGCCTTGTGACCTCGTCAGGCACCCTCAGCCTGGTGTCGACAAGCAGCGCCCAAGTCATGAATTCCATTCCACGGTTTCGCACTAGCATATCGGGCATAGCATTGTTAAATTCAAACAAAACTTTTGCGAGAGCATAGGTCTCCGTCTCGGCATCAATAAAGGTACAGACATGCTCAACATTCTACCATCAACCAACTGGCAGTTCGCCATCCACTATTGCACCGGAGGCTTTTGTCCATACACGACATAACTATATAGAGAGTCAGTCAGTGTTCTCCAAATCTAGTTCAGGCGACGAGGATGGATCTCCATTGCGTGCAGACTCCTACTCACAAATCATACTGCCCATGGATCTTGGGATTTTTCATGTCTCGCCTCGCCTCGGCAAGTAAAACCTGCACTTCTTCTATCGACCAAGGGTCGTCTGCAGTCCTCGCCAAGCACCCGATTGCAATGCCTTCCATACCAGCTTGGAACTGAAGGTAATTGCATATCCCGACTTGCTTCTACAGAGGGATATGTCACTAGTCAGCAAAAGCCTACCCGGACGTCCAGCAGAAAGTGGAAATCCTCACGGCGTACGCAACAGTCGTATCTCACTCACATATTTGGGATCCTTAGGCCATGTGCCCAGAGGAATTGGTAATTTCACAACCTGTACGTTGATGAAACCAGCATCTTGAAGCCAGCCCTCAATTTTGGGGCCAGGCTGAGAGTCGTAGCCAGCAGCACTCCGGCGCCCACATGTATAGTAGTGGAACTTGAAAAGGGCCGTTTCTTCCGTCAACGAACCATCCTTTGAATATATCTTTGTATCCCAATCCTGGAATTCGACCCACCCGCCAGGTTTCACGTTCCTAGAGTGTCCGTGTCGTCAGAATGAACGAACACATTTTGCATGCTTGAGGTCGACACCCAGGATTCAAGCATTGAAAGCCATGGCTGCAGATGAATACAACAAGATCATTCGACATACTGAAAAGATTGCCGGACTAATCGCGGCCAGTCTCTAACAGAAGATGCCAGATATCGCCCATGAATGTAGTCAAAAGGCATCTGCTCGTATGCCCACTCATCCTCAAAATCGTCAATAATGAACCTCAGATTCGGAGGCACGAAGGTGGACTGTATCGGCGTCAAGTCCGTTCCAGTGACTTCTGCCGAGGGGTATAGATCGGCTGGTGCTATTGTGAGAAGACTGGCAAGGGAAAGCAAATAGGTCCGTTGCTTACCAAAATCGACAGCCCAATTGCCCGTTCCAGTACCGAGATCAAGCACTCGCTGGGGCTGCGCACCAATTGGCGCAAAGTGGAGGTGGCTATCCAGCAGCCAAAGCATCAACGCATGATGAAGATCTAGCCTCTTGAACTCCTGCTCGTCGCTAGGCAACATGTCTGGAAGGATATTACCATCGCAAACGTCAAGGGGAAAGCGAGTGAGTGAGACGAACTACCCTGATGATCCCGAAACGAGTGATAGATACGGCCGTATTGCATCATGAAAGTGTTTACGGACGATGTAAGTGAGGCTGTGTAGGCAGAGCTGGTCCAGTTAGACGAGCTCGAATGTATCGACGCAATGAAAGGTCGACTCACATCTCATCTCCATATGCTGAGTCTCGCTCTGTTGCCTTGATGGTCAATTAGCCTCGCACTCCTGGGGGATGAGCCTTCAAGAGTTGGAATTACCTCTTCATCCACAAGAATGGTAACGTCTTCGGCTCTCGCAGGCTCAATAGACGCAGAGCTGCGTGACTCATCCGGGTGAGAGCCAATAGTGGCCATGACTGATGTGATCAAGTGAAGGTTGTCGAATGGACGGCGGACGACGGACCATGCCTATATAAACCATTGGGGATTAACGTTGCGACCCAAGGTGCCAGCAAGGGCCGGATTTCAAGCCTCGAGATGTCTTCAAGTCGGGTCTTTGAGGGTGGAATCATGCTAGGCACAAGCTAGACCAACACGAGCTCTTCGTCCGGCTGCCACGTTTTCACAGGCCTTGTCCACCAGACAGCACGGGGAAGCTGGAGGAGGTCTTTCCGAGTGGCTGCCATGTTGTTTGTTCGGAGCCAGTCTAGGGGAAACACCTATCGTGGAGCAACCCCGTGCCTAGACCAACTGCCTATCGTGGCGGGGGCCAACGGAGACTGCCCCCGCCCAGAAGTTGGTCTTCGAGACGTGCATAAATCCGACGCACCTGTGGCGGATTTGACTGCACCTATGCAGCTGCCGAATGCTTTTGCAGGGGAAAGCCTGGCCGATAGGCATGCATCCCAATGCCACCAGCAGCATACAGAAATGCCACCAATGCAATGGGGTATCGAGGAGAGTGTCGAGGGAATCGCAAGGGCAGACAAAGCCCGCCAGCATGATCCTGGTGCATTTCCTTTCCATAAATCCCCCAATCGCCCGGGCCAACACCTATTCTGTCTCCATTCGTATTTTGTTCCATTCAACAGCCCGTTCCTTCACCGGGGAAGAATCCAAAGCGAGAAAGGGAACAGAACGGAAAGTTTCCTGGTTTTGCTGGGCCTACCATCGAAATGTGGAAAGCATCGGCACTGGTTGGCCTATCTGCCGTCTTCTTGGCTTGGTTGCTTTACTTTTGCTTTTGGTCTGCAACCAGCAAACTTCCATCTGCGCCGGGACCATTGCTCGCTCGCTTCACTCGCTTCTGGTACCTGAAGGCCCTCATCAGGGGTGATTTTGAGCAGGTTAACATCGCTTTGCATAGAAAATATGGTGAGTGGTGGCGCACTGCACTGCCCCGATTCCTCTGATGCAAGTTGTTCCAGGGAAAATCGTTCGCCTCGAGCCCGGCTCGTATAGCATCGATGACCCTGAGGCTATCAAAACCATCTACACCATCTCAAATCCATGGGTGAAGTCGAGTTGGTATGGGCCATCTTGTCCTCCTGGCACCACCACCAATTTCAGCACCCCAGACAACAAGGATGCTGCTCGGTACCGTCGTAATTACGCACAAGCCTTCGCCATGTCGTCGATACTGGCCTTCGAGCCGTTGATCGATGAATGTGGAGAGCTCTTGATCGAGAAGCTCAAGGCCTTCGCTAAGTCAGGCGAGACTGTTGACCTAACCCACTGGTTTACTTGCTGGGCCTTTGATTGTCAGGGCCATATAACGGTGTGCTTCTTCGAAAGCTCCGCATGGCGGCTGTACTGACTGTTGTCCCTTCAGTTTTCTGAACGTTTTGGATTCCTCGACAAGGGTGAAGACATCGGAGGCATCTGTGAGAGTCTCCGTCAACGGATGTCCTATGCCGCTTTCGTGGGTGTGTATCCGGAATTGCACCCAACCTTGTTCAAGATAGTCAACTGGCTCGCAGGGACAGGCACAGGTAAAGTAGACTATACCATCTCCTACACGGTGAAACGTATCGCGGAGAGAAACGAAGGAGAGAAATTGGATAGAAAGGACATGCTTGCCCAGTTCCTTGCCGGTCAGCAAAGGGATCCAACCACTTTCACAGACTGGGATGTTCTGATTGGAGCCTTTGGCAACATCGTGGCTGGCGCCGACACCACATGGATCACACTCTCTGCCATCGTTTACTATCTGTTGAAGAACAGGCGCTGTCTTGACAAACTGCGGAAGGAAATCGATGAGATGGCCAAGGCAGGGTCGATTTCGGATCCTATCTCTTTCCACGAGTCCCAAAGTATGCCTTACTGCCAGGCGGTGATAAAAGAAGGACAGAGGCTGTACCCTGGCACTGGGTAAGATGCAATTCTCCGTATCCGTCCAGGCTCACTTACCGTATTCCCAGGCTGCCATTATTTCGGGTTGTCCCAAAGGGCGGCGCCATGATCGCGGGCACATACTTCCCTGAAGGAGCTGTTGTTGGCATCAACAATTGGGTCGCCCACCACAACAAGGACGTCTTTGGACCTGACCCAGATGTCTTCCGACCAGAGCGCTGGCTCGAGGGCGACACTACCGCCATGAACCGCTATTACATACCTGTAAGTTCCGCCGGCCTTGGGGCTGCATGAAAAGAGTTGCTGATGGTCACGGCCAAGTTTGGGGTCGGGCCCCGTGCATGTCAAGGCCTGAACGTTGCCTTGATGGAGATGTCGAAATTTGTCCCGCAGCTCGTCCGCCATCTTGATTTCGATCTGCTCAGCGAGTGGAAGACCACGAACCGATGGTTGATGTTCCAGTCCAACATCAATGTCAAGGTGAAACTGAGAGATTAGTTTCTCGGCGCATCCATCTGCAGGATTGTGTGAAGAGAGGGAGAAAGCAAGGGACCGTAGGTGGAAGAGCAGATTTCCACTCCTGAAGCAGGGAATATGTATATATATATATATATATATACACTCGTCGTAATCTCACACTACACCTTGAACAGCCATCATCAAGGTTCATAGATCCGACATACTACCAAGGGTCTTGCGCGCCATGGCCAGTTGTTTTTGGGACGCCAGGACGTAGTGTCGGCCACCTATTGACGATCCTTTCCGGTACTTCTTGGAGAAGGCCTTGAACTTTGGAAGTGTCAGTAAATGACGGGTGCGTGCGCAGATGGTGCTAGACTTGCCCGTTTTGCCCAATCAAACATCTTCCACCTTGAATCTGCTCTGCTGGAAGGTGTCCCATCCACGCCATCCTGCTTGAGCACCCCTTCGATGCCGTAAGGCTGTCCTTTGACTTCAATCCCATGCCGCTGGACTTCTCTGATCATGGCTCCGCGCCATTCTAATTCTGGCTCTTCGCCGCCTGGCCAATCTCGAGTATTGTTGTATAGAACACCCAACACGAGCGCTATATTTTTCACTGGCGAGTCAGAGCGCAGCAATCCATTCTTCTCCAATGTGTTCAAGGTCGTGAAGACCGCCCCTCCGATGAGCTGGAGGGTCGCCAACACCGTATCTGGGTCGTCACAATGGAACCAGTACTCCGGCTCGTTAAGAACCCAGGCGAACCCTTCAATGATCGACCATAATGCCGCAGGCGAAGCACCCCCTTCCTGGGTACGCCCTCTGGAAAATTCGCGGTTGAAGAAGAGAAGCTGGCGATTCACAGCTCAGCAAAAGCGCAACGAGCTCAGTTTCAATGTGAACTCACCTGGTTCTCCATCGCCTCTTGGAAGCCATAGCCATTGTAATCATTGTAGAAGTACTCATCAAACGCATCCTGATCCCGTATGGCCACCTCCCACCGCAAGAGAGCTATCAACTGATATCCTTTGGGTGTAAGTATCCATCGATGCTCTGGATCCTCAGAGGCAGGAAGCTTGCAAAATTCTTCAGGCCACAAATTGATTCGCGTTGATCACACTCGGATGTGGCTCCAGTTGTAACTCCTACGTCATTGTCCAGTTCGCTGTATTCTTCAACCTCCTCCTCACCGAGCTCTTTAGATGTAACGTCGTTCAAATTTTTGGCGTCTTTCTCTGTTCGGATATCGTCCAGCGGTCTACAGAGCATCAGGTACTCGAATGCATGTTCGACAGGTTGTGCAGAGACAAGGCGCTATCCGAGTCAGCATGCTGCGCAATAGGCATCCTACACGAATAATCAAGACATACCTCTACAGTTGCACGCTCCGAGGACGCCTCGGAGGGGTGGTCCTTGTCTGAGTCCTCAAGTCGCCGGATAAGCACGTCTTTAATACCGCTGTATGGCAAATTGCGTTGTTGGAGCAGAGTGCAAAGGTCAAGCTTTTTCATGCCCGTATAATCACTGTCTGCATTTTCTTTCCCTGCTCGTTGCGACTTTCGTTTGGGAGGTGGTTGTGAATTGGTAACATTGCCATCAATTTGGCTCAATGCCCTTTTGTTGCCCGCCATAGTCTGCAAGAGTAGGCGTATTCGAAGGAGCCACAAGACGTCGAAGAGGCCAAGAAGAGGTCGCAGGGGGTGAGAAAACACTATATCCTTCAGCTTATTCTGCTCCTTTTTCTCAAACGACACTGCTCAGTATTCTAGCCCAGATTGTTCAACGCGCCTCGGTTTCCTATCAACATGTGACGTCAATTGCGCCACGCGGCGTGGATTGGATCGCGCTCTCACGTGGCCCTCATTTTCCATCAATGAAGCACCTTTCGCTCCCCCCCCCCCCCCGGGTTCTCTAACAGAACAAAGCTGGTGTGATATTCGTCCTGTCTCCTGGCGGCACCTCTCAGGAAACGTGGTGCTGGACGACATGATTCCCAAGGCGGCCTCAATTACAATTTGGGAGTGGTAATGGCTCAGAAACACAACTTCAATGTAGAGCCGGTGGCTCGTTTCGCGGGCCTCAATGCGGCAATTCGAAGGCCACGGGTACGTATGCTTCAACAAGTATTATTGATTGCACGATCTGAGAGGTTCAGGAAATTGCATTTTTCTCCTTTGACGAGGATCACAAATTTCGGCTTGATGCCTCGAGCCTGCGTTACTACTACCCACCCGCACTGCCTTGCGATCTCAGTAAAGGATTCGAGACATTTCGACAACTCGACGACTCTGACGATGACCATCTGGATGGCCTCCTAGAAGCGATCATCGTGTACGAGAAAGAGAAAGGCTCTAAAACAGAGATCGACTTCCTGACATGGCGAGGAATGATGACCAAGGTGTGATGTGCTTGATATAACTGCGAAAGACTCGCTCATGGCCCGGACAGCTGATGATAGTTCCCTTCTCCAAGTTGGACGACTGGGAAATGAATGTCACCTTATTCCAAGGCACCATCTTCATCGAGGAAAATCACACCAAAAAGATTTCTTCCCGCGGAGAACAGTATTCCTCTGCGGGACGACCAGGTGCCATGTCTCAAGACCTTATGAGTTTCTGGGGTTACAAGTTCGAAACTGTGTCTTTGATGCCGACACCATGGCCTGAGACCTCCCGAGAGTACATCGAATCCCGAGAAGACCAAGTAGTTAGCAATCATGCTCAATATTGCTCCATTGTCCGAACTGGCTTCGGCAAAGTCAAAATGATCCTCGGTGGGGAAGTGGACGCTGTCATGGCGTTCAAGCCAGAAGACAGATCGCAGCCGATCGAATGGGTGGAGCTCAAGACGACGGCCACGATTACCAACGAGAGAGAGCAAATCAAATACGAGAGGAAACTCCTCAAGTTTTGGGCTCAATCATTCCTACTGGGAGTACCGCGGATTGTCGTTGGCTATCGAACTCAGCAAGGGACACTGGAACGTCTTGAAGAGTTGAGTGTGCAGAATATTCCGGACAATGTCAAGTTGAAGGGTAAGGGTTTGTGGGATGGACAGACCTGTATCAACTTTGCCGCAAGCTTCCTCGAGTGTGAGCATATCTTGAGACATGCTCGAACGTTGCTGACTTCGACGTAGGGCTGAAGACTACCGTCACATCTGACGGTGTTTGGCGAATCCGAAAGCGAGAAAAGATTCCTGTGCTGGAGGTCTTCAAGCTGGAAGAATCAGGGCATGGCGACATCTTGTCGTCGGCTTTTGTCGAGTGGCGCACCAACGGCTTGAGATCCCATCAGCAACATTTGCAGGAACTCGCAGACAATGCGAAAGTGGAGGCATCGGAACCTCCATGAATGGTTTTCTAGCGGTGATACTTGTGCCACGGCACGGCTTCGGTACACCAATCGAGTTGGATCAAGCATCAGTCCGGAGAAGTCGGTACCAGTACTTGCTTGCTCTCAGCACTTTCTCCAGGCGTCACGGGCTTGCGGGTACGGTGCCATGTGACAAGTTTCTTATGACTGCGACTGGCAAGATGCCCTCTCCATTCTTTGCCCGTCATGAGGGTCTTTTGGCACACTTGGCAAGTCCTGGCTTCGCGGGCATCATCGATATCATCCTCCTCGATCTGTGAGAATACTCTCGCCGCCATGATCGAGAGAGATTTTGCTTCAGGCAGCTCGTTTCCTTTGAGGAAAGAGTCCACCAGTGCTTGTGCAGGCTCTGTGACTGCGGTGTGCCAGTTGATCAGATCAGTGCAGTCAAGAAGGAACAGCAGGTCGAACCTGCCGGCAGCCTTCAGAGCTTTTGCCAGCCGAATTCGGACGAATCGATTCTGACGCTTAGCATAGCGTCTGGTGCTCGCTTTAACCGCGTCTATACCCTCATGCTGCGCCACCGTTACTGTTGTAAGATCGGGATTAAACGCTTGACATGCCTCAAGCCAAGGCTTCATTTCTTTGTAACCAATGGATCCCCAGATGCCGTTGGCGAGGTCAACTGGCTCTGCCCCTTGTTTCAATTCCTCTTCCAAGATTGCCATTTGTTTCACTTCGTCACACAATCCGTTTGCGACCATGGTGTCAACTCGGTCATTCAGTCTCTGCTTCAACAAGGTGTCCTCGGCTTCCAACCATAAGAGCAGACTTGGATAACGTAGATTCATTTTCCGCTGACCCAGCATGCCACTCTCATGTATATCGGTGCCATTCACTTGGACTCTGTTTCGATCATCGACCGAAGCTTGACGTTGTTCAGCGTAAATGTCAGAAGCCTTTCTGCCACTCTGGAGATAGATTTGGAGAGATCGCCGGATCTTGTTTCGGTCGTTGGGATGCCATCTCTTCGCCATCTCGGGATCGACTTCCTGGAGCTTCGCGAACATCTCCTCGGTGGAAGCCGACAGGATGGGAAACTCCTCTTTTGTTTGCGTTGCGTCCTGGCCTGAACGATGTTCGTCCTGGTTGGGGGTAAGAATAGCATCCTCGAAGAGTAAGGAAAATGTATAGTAGATCGTCCCGCCCACTACGATGGGAAGTCGGCCCCTGGCTCGAATCTCATCGATGACGCGCGAGCTCTCTCTGACAAACTGCTGCACCGTCCAGAGTTTCTCCTTGAGCCCGATAAAGTCGAGCAGGTGGTGGGGGATTCCGTTCTGTTCATTCTCTGGGATTTTGTTGGTGATGATCGGGAGCCCACTGTACATTTGCATGGCGTCACAGTTGATGACTTCGCCGTTGAATCGCGTGGCCAACTCTACTGCCAACTATCTCGATAGCGATCAGTTTTCCGTCTCTATGACATGCATTTTTTCCAAACGACGATAGAACCTCACCTTTGACTTGCCGGTGCCGGTCGCACCGATGATCATAATCAAAGGGAGTTTTGGCGGAGAGGACGCCATTTTCAAGCCACGCCGGAGCGCGAGAGACATAGAACGAGACTGTCGTAGGATACTCTTCTCATCGAAGAAATAGTTTAGAGCCTCTACTCTCATCCATAACGGCCTGGTGAACTCGACTAGGCTGTTCCTGATAGCCACTGGACCTGCCCTACAACTCGGTCAAGGAAGGAACATAGATAACTACTGACAGGCTCCAATCAAGAGTGGAAGAGGAGTGGCTTATGGAAAAGATAGGTGGACGGTATTCTCACACGGTTGCCAAAAATCCCCATCGAAGCGATAAATGCGCTTAGTGCGCTTCGTGATCCGCTGAACCAATAGGGTGGACCACATGATTGAGATGTGAAACGAATTTTGACCCGCAACTGCAATTGCGTCGTTGCGCATTTCAAATAATTCAACATTCGAGATCAATAAAAAGCTGCCAGCACTGGTTCTGAATTCGCATATTCTGCCCAGCTCTCACTACTCTGAGGAGCCACAGGTCATGGCTGAAGTCGTCCAGGCCCGTACAACGCTTACGTCCCCCCCGCCCTCTCGAAAACGTTCAGCGTCCCCGACCGACGCAGAGCCCGCCACCGACTCAACAAGTACTGCCCTCACCAAGACGAACAATGAAACATCTCTTGCGCCGAACGAGGAGCCTCCGGCTAAGAAGACAAAACTGATTCGTCGCAAGCGTCGCCCTGCGCGGCCACAAGTTGACCCCTCCACGATAAAATCAGAGCCTCCTCCGCAAACTGGGACAGTGTTCAATATCTGGTATAACAAATGGTCCGGTGGTGATCGAGAGGATGCGTTCTTGTCTAATCACGCTGCTCCTTCGCGGTGTAATATTCGCAACGACTCCGGATGGACAGCAGCAGACAGAACACCGGGGAGCTATTTCTGCCTGTTCTTCGCGAGAGGCCTGTGTCCGAAAGGCCATGAATGTCAATATCTCCATCGACTACCTACGATATACGATGTCTTCAATCCCAACGTCGACTGCTTTGGACGAGACAAACATAGCGACTATCGGGATGACATGGGTGGTGTAGGAAGTTTCATGAGGCAGAATCGCACCCTGTACGTGGGGAGGATCCATGTGTCGGACGATATCGAGGAAGTGGTCGCACGGCATTTCCAAGAGTGGGGGGAGATTGAACGTATTCGCGTTCTCACAGGTCGCGGTGTTGCTTTCGTCACGTACGTCAACGAAGCTAACAGTCAATTTGCAAAAGAGGCCATGGCACACCAAGCGCTGGACCATAATGAAATATTGAACGTGCGATGGGCCACTGTGGATCCCAATCCGCTCAGTCAGAAGAGAGAGGCTGCCAGGATCGAAGAGCAAGCAGCCGAAGCCGTTCGTCGGGCGCTGGGTGAGAGAACAGTCAGGGAGATCGAAGGACGCGAGACAAGAGAGGAGAGAGATCAAAGGCGCATCGAGAGCAGTTATGGGCTGGAAGGATATGAGGCGCCGGAGGAGATTTGGTTTACGCAACAGCAGCAGAAGGAGCTCGAAGGGCAGAAGTTGGGCGAGAGAGGGTTGCTTGAGGCTCCTCCTGGTCCGGAATCAGGCGTTGAGCAGGGAACCTCCACAGAAGAAAATACTGCGGCCCCGGAAGAGCCTGGATCACAAGCAGGCCAAGAGCGTGGCAACGGCCAAGCCTGGGAGAATGGCATCCTGTCGGGCTCGACGCTGGCAGCTCTCAAGGGGTATACCTCTAGTGCAGGATTCCGGGAGGGGTCAAAGCCTGCCGCATCAGCCGGGCCACTTGTCGCATACGGCAGCGACGACGAGGAAGATTGAAATTCGCAATACAGGGTCGTCACCACCAAAAATGGAGAGATCACCTTTGATGGGTGATGTGCAAAACCACCATTTCTATTGAAGCCTATTTATCTTCGGCAGTGACGCCTTTTTTTTAATGTCTTTTCCCCTTCCAAAGCTCTTTTGGGGGGGGGGGGGATTTGCCATCTTAGACGCCACATGAATCACCAACCATTTTCAGAGTTCGCCGTGCTGAATCGCTGCGCCGCCACCACCGCTCAGATCTGGCATCCTCATAATCACGACGACCAAACTCGTCCAGCCGGTGAAATGCTGCGTGCGCTGCCCCTCGCCCGTTTCCGGGTTATACTGCTCCCAGGCGAAGCCCGTGCGCTCCCACTCCTTGAAGACGGTCTCGACCAGGTTCTTGCGCAGGTCGGTGTAGATCTTGAGGGCGCGGGTCTTCACCGCGGCGGGCGGAGCCGGGTCGGTGGAGCGGACGAGGTCGAGGAGCGATTTGAGGATGAGGTAGTTCATGTTGACCCAGATCGGGGAGCGCCAGTAGTTCTCGTCCGTGCCGTAGAAGGCGTCGGACTTGGAGAGGGAGCGGATCCCGAACGGGGACCAGAGTTCCGACGGCGAAGAGATCAGGTCGAGCACGTCGGGGAGGTGAGGGTGGGTCGACGGCAGCAGGCCGGTCATGAAGGGGAACAGGGATATATAGCCCTTGTGGCAGACGTGGACGGAGTCTTCGTAGTCGTCGATCGTAGCGTCACAATAGCATTTGTGTTCGGATGACCAGTGTAGGTCGTCGATGTTGCGGATGATAGCTTTGTGTTGCGACCTGAAGTCAGGTATGTCGTCGGCCTCGGAGAGCAGAGTGGAGAGACGCACGAGGACGCGCGACATCATGCCCACCCACGAGATCAAGTCTATGTGGAGCTCGCCCGGGTGAGGAGGTTGAGGACGCGGATAGTCGTCGAGTCCAGAAGGAAGGATATGTTGTGGTTTACGTCCACGCCATCGATATGCCTCTTTGGTGGAGAACGCTTCACGGTCGTAGGATTTGATGTCTCCAAACTGGGTCCGGCGGAACCAGTAGTACTGGCGTTTGAGCAAGGGGTATAGGTTCCGGAGCTCGCCTTCAATGTGACCCTTGGACGCAGCATATGCGGGGCTCGACATTTTGTCCATCAAAATGTCTATGATGAGGAAGAGTGTGGGTGGATTGGCGTAGTGCGGATACTGGACCTGGAATTCTGGAGGCACCTTGCTACGTGCTTCAGGACCGAGAATCTGCTCGCGAGCAATCCAACCATCCTGATCCATGAGGTTGAACCATGACTTTACGATGTCGATTGTAACGTCTAGATCCCAATCCGCGATTGGGATGAGGTGGAAGCCCTCGTCCCATAAGAACCCACGTGGAAAGAAAGGTCTGGAGGGAACGCTGGTGAAGAGCTCGGCCGGGGGATCTTTCACAATCTCCGCTCGTGCTCGTGCAGCCGCAGTCTCCTCCCAGAAGCCTTCGTTATCCTCGTCATACTCTGGAGCATAAGATCTGTCGACCAGTGAGTCCCCGTAGAAATATCCAATTCCGCCGAACAGATTGGAGAACATCGAGGCGGAGAAATCGGTGTAGGCAGGTTTGGTGAACGGCGCCAACGGTTCGAAGACCTCTTTGAACTTTTTTTTGAACTCAGTTGAGGATCCAGAGATGGATTTCGTGAGAGACTCTGAAGATACTGCGGGGCCAGAGACAGATTTGAATTGTATGTCGGTTTCAAAAGCGCCGACAAACATCTTCTGGACCATGTGAAAATTCCCCGGACCAGGCTGTTGTTGGATGGTAAAGGCTTGCCACGGAGGTGGCATGTTCTCTTGTCCATACTGCTGTACGAGACCATCAATCTCAGACTTCATGCTCGCAAAAACGATGTTCTTGGCTTGCCAGATGGCATCCGGCGGGATTTGGAGGCTGCACAGAAGCGGCCGGTCGAGTGGTTTGGAATCCCAAGACGGGTGTGTTTTGTATGGCAGGAGATTTTCTGACGAGTCCTCAAAGGAAATATCAAATTGCCCAAGCTCACTTGTCTCGCCGTGCAGGGTCACGGCCCCATCTTCCTCGTCCGTGTTCGTGAATGCAAGCTCACCCAGCCCTTCCATGCCAGCATAGAAGATCAGGGTTGTGACCAGTGTGGGAGGCGCATCTTCTCTTGGATGACCCTTTATCCTCGCAGCCCAATTTCCACCATGTTGTCCGCCGGATGTTTTCACAAAATCAATTGTCAAGTCGATCTTGTTCCCCGTGTCCCGTATGACTTGTCTTCCACCATTTCGCACATCATACTCTTCCCACCCATAACCGGCCATCCCCTCATGCTGCTCGCAGGTGTGCCGGAAGTTGAGCTGGGCGGTGCCATAGTTGTCAGTGTTGGCCCATAGCAAACCGGTCAATAGGCTATTGGGGACTCGTGGTCGGACTCCAAAGTAGAGGTTCGGGCGGTAAGGACCCCATAGTAGGGTGTCATTCGAAGCGTGCGCGAAGAAGGAACAAAGTGAGAGGAGGGTGAAAGTCAAAAGATGAAGTCGCTGGAGAACAACATGCCCGCTTGCATAGCTCAACATCCTGCCTGATGGCTACTTCTAAAGCCTCACCTCAGCTCGCCATTGGTGTTGGTTTTCCAGAACATTTCCTGTGGGGGGACATGTGGCCTCGAGCAAATGTTATCGATAGCAACGTCAGGGGAACGGCAGCTGGACGGCTTGTGCGTAACCGTACCATTCCTGTGGAGCGTGGGAGCCTTCCAGCTTACGAACAATCACATTCTAGTTCGACTGAGCGCACCGCGGACGATGCATGGGGCGTCTCTCACCTCACACGCATAGAACGGTCAACAGCTGTGAAAGTGGGGTATCTTCATTGTTCAAAGCACAGGAAAGAAAGGAACTCGTCTCCAGACTATCTACTCTTCGCCATTTTCAGGCGCAAAAAGCTCACCAACTCCACAGCCTTGACCTCGTCTTCTGAGCGAGAGGGACCCCGGACCTTCAAGGTCCTCTCCCCAAGGGCCCCTCCCCTCACGATCACCAGCCAGTGTCCTCCGGCGTTCTGGCTGCCGTAAGCCATTTCCAACTCCTCCAGGGAGTGGAACTCTTCAGAGAGCTCCGCGCTGAGCCCAGCGGCCCACAGCGACGACAAGACTTCCAGGCACGAATTCTTCAACGCGTTGGAGTCAAAGCTCGTGACCAGGATGTCACACCTCCTGGCCACGGGTTTCGACTCCGCCGCGGCGGCCGTCGTCGTCTTGGACGACTTGCTTGCCTGGGCGGAGATCTGGCCACGGACGTAGCCGATCAGGTCCAGTATGTTGAGGCGGAAACCCGCCGCGCGGGTATTGCCCTTATCAGACTTGGTCTGATATTCTTGGACCAGGGCGTCGTATCGCCCGCCCACTGCCAGGACTCGTCGAGAAGCGCTGTCTGCGCACTGGAAGAGCAGCGACCGCCGGTAGAGATACTCCGAGTTGTTGCTGAGTGGCGCGATGAGGATCTGTGTCTGGACATTCATGCGCTGGAGGTACTTCGTCACCTCATCGAGGCGACCCAGGAGGGGCAAAGCCTTGCTGAAATGGTCGGAATCGCCGAAAAGCTTTGACAGCTTCGTGCGAACCTTTTCCAAGTCTCCGTCGAAATTGAATCGCTTGAGGTCAGTCACAGATGTCTCCGGGATGTTGATGGCAGGGCTGCGTAATTCTTCACGTATCTGTGTCCATCCTTGTCCCTGGGTGTTGAGATGTGACAGAGCTCGTTTGACATCGGCAGCTTCGACGGGTTTAATTCGGCAGAAGTCGAGGATGAGGTCGAGCAAGTCTGCATGATTCAGGTACATGGTCCAACAGCGTGCAGCTAGAGCCGGGAATTCGGTGAGAATCTCGTCAAGCACCTTCATAACTTCCGCTTCCTTCAAGGGCAAGTCTTTTGCACTACTAGATATGAAGTCGAAGTCCACTTCAGGGAATTGTCTAGGCTGTGACCCTGGTGCAGAAGCACGGTACACCGTGCCGAAGCAGTAGGCTTTGCTGTAGGTTGGAGGAGTCTGTCCGAGTGTGCGAGCGAAAGGGAGAGTGAGGTCATATGGGAGCTGGACGACCAAGCCAGAAGAATCGAGAAAGGTCGCGGCATGCGGGTAGAACTCAGCTTTTGGGATGATACTTTGCCTCCCGACTTCCACTGCACCATGTCGTCGAAAGATGGACTTCAGTTGGTCGCAAGTAGATATCCAAAGCATCAAGTCAACAGAAGCTGTACTAAGCGTCGACTTGTCCTCCCAGGCAAGACTTGCAACAGGGCTGTTTGGGTTTGCGAATAGTTTCGTGATCAGTGCTTGGTATTCACTGGGATTCTCTGCGGCCATTCTGTCGATGTAGCGTTGGAATTTCTCATCTTCCAGAGGCTCGGGAATCACGCCGCTGTTGAGTAGCATCGATGCAGTTGGTCTCCGAGTTTGATCATGATCGATTAAACGTGCAATTATGTCGCCTTGTTTCTGATGGCTTTCTTCCTTGAAGAGCTGGGGTAAGCGTGGTGGGTTTTCTTTGAGCCTCGCTTCCAAGTAGATACTCCTCTCGCTCTTAGTGCTGAATGTGAAACACATTTCGAAGAATGTAACTCCAAGTGAGTACATGTCCGCGCGTGAGTCGTAGCTGCTTCCCGTCCGTTCAAGCTCAGGAGGCATGTACCCTGCTGTACCGATATGGTATGATACAGTAACCATAGATGGTCTTGCTAGAGACAGGTCCGGCTTAGAGGTTGCTTGTCCGTAGCCGGCAAGTCCAAAATCGCCGATCTTGGGAGTGTCGTGTGAGTCGAGAAAGATATTGTCGGGTTTGAGATCTCTGTGCACAACGCCATGGCTGTGAATGTAGGCAAGTCCCTCGAGTATGCGCCGAAACAATCTCCAGCCAGCATCGACATCTTTGGGTAGACCTGCATTGATTCGATCACGCAATGTGCGGCCGTCGCACAGTTCCATTTGGATGTACAGTACAGATGGTTCGTCATGTGGCAGCGAGCGTGACCGAACATGACTTAAAGCGATTTGAGGCGAGTTATGCGAGTCTTGAGGCGAGTCCTGGCTGTGGAATGGATTTGCGCCTCCCATGGATCCCGGCTCCGGGGCATTTGAACGCTCGAAAGGATCAGTCGTCCCTTGGTCCTCTGCTCTCTCTGGTTCTGGATCGCTTTCGAATGGATCGTCATCAAAGCCGTCGTCTGCGTCAATAGAAGGTGGATCTTGATAAGCAAACAGGTTACCATCGGAGGAGTCGCTGTATTCCGCACCCTGATTCCGATAGACTGATGGTTCCATAAAATCATGACCCAGACTTAGGGGAGCCGTCTGCGGGATCGACCTTGTAGGGACTGCTCGTTGATGTGGTTCTTCCACTTCTTCGTGTGCACTTTCATACCAGGCATTGTAGTACCTGACAATATTCGGATGATTAAGTTTCGCAAGCAGGGCGACTTCTCGTAGGATGTTTTCCAGTTCCTTTATCGACTGACTCTTGATTTCTTTGACAGCGTAAAACTGTCCATCCAATTTGTTTCTGGCGCGGACGACTTTGCCATAGCCACCTTGTCCAAGTACAGCAGATTCTTCCCATTCGTTTCGATACCTGGAATTTCCAGGCCTGTCACTGTATCGTCTTATGCGTCCTGGGGTGGTGAGCAGGGTCGCGGACTTTGTTCGGAACAGGTTGTCGTTTTCCTCGAAGAAGATCTTTTTGCTTGAGAGTTGAAATGCTGAAGGCCGACGGTTCGGATTGGATCGGAACATCTCTTGCAGTAGACCGTGAGCACTGGATTCGAAATCGACATCTTCGAGCACATCTGCAGGAGAGGTATATTTGGATTTGACTCCTTTGCCCAACGCCATCTGCATTACGATCACGCCGAGATCCCAAATGCAGGTTTTGTTTGTTCGCGCTGGTGTTTCGTTGTTTAATTCGGGAGCGATCCAAAGAGGCAACTCATCTGTCTTCGAATCTGACTTATCTCGAACGGAGTCGACAAGTTCTCGAAGTTTTGTTCCGTAACCGTCGGAAAGCTTGACTGTTACCCCCCGCTTTGGCGACATGAAAAGCATGACATTTCCAGCATGTACCGCAGGGTGGACATAGCCATGTTTATCGAAGAAGACCAGAGCATCAACAAGTTCTCGAGTCCAAGTACGGACTTTAGCTGGATTCAGCGGCCCGGACAGCTCTAAAAGATCATCTAGCGATCCTTTGTCGGCAAATTCGGAAAGAATAGCTAGAGTCCACTGGCCTGTGCCATCCTCAAGGGTAATGTGCTCAATCTTGTAGTTGATCAGGTCAACGACATTCTCGTGGTGGTGCTCCTTCGAGAACTCCAGGTCTTCTTCGACAATCTCCATACATTTCTGCATCTGAGCCCTTGTATTTGCTGTCTCAAAGATGTAGATGTCTTTGAGGAGAAGCTGGGGAGCTTGAACATGTTCGGTATCCACTCGAGGGGATACGATCGTGATTTTCTTGTCTTTTCGTCTGAGAATAACGACCCTGCCCGAGACAGCCTTGAACTTGAATGGTGCGTTTGTGACTGTGTCTTTGCAAGTCATGGACTGGTCAAACCGGGTTTGCTCTTCCGGTGCATCGTAAAGCACGGCGCCATCTTCACCAGTGGCTGTGCGAGACAGGTTGGACTTCTGGCGGCGTTGTTTCTCGCTCTCGACTTGTGAGTACAGTAGTTTTTCTTTCTCCTCTGCTTCTTCGGCCTGTTGTCTGCGCGCACTCTCTTCTTTCTCTTGGAGGTGCTTCTTAGCTAAAGCTTCTTGTGCGACACGTTCTTCTTCGAGGCTGAACTCCGTTTTCTTGGCAGCCTTGTCTGAGACGGTCTGGTCAAGGAAGTCCATGATGGCAGTGTTGACCACGTAGACAATTTCGCTTCCTTGATTCTGCCTCTGGTTGGTCGCAATAATCTGCTCGATTTGTTTCTTGAGATCGGGGTCTTTTGGCCCAACCTCGACAATGTTGATCTTTGGGAGCACCTTCGGGTAGTCGCGCGGAAACTCGAAGATGAGTTTGGCGAAATAGTCACGACTTTCGAGAGGTGAGACCCGAACTTGAAAGGCTAAGTTCTCTTGAGTCTGTTGCGGTGTCAGAGATCATCATTTTCAGGTTGCGGCACGATCTTTTTACCTTCCACGCATCCTTCCTGCCCCGAATGCGCTGAAATTCGTCAGGATAGATTGCTCTTGTGGCAAGGAACTCGTTACGCTGGACTTCGGGGTAATCGGCGAGTTCTTCCTCAAGGTTTCGCTGAGATTGTTCGAACTGAGGCGGACTCGTGGGTGTCTGCGGTTGAGGCGCAGGAGCTTGCGCATGGGGATTCTTCCCCTTCTTTTTCGCCGGCATGATGGCGGATTCACTTCAGATCCCCTTAGGGCTCTGGAGACCCGCTTTGTGTTAAGTCTTTTTGCGCACAGGTCTTGGCACGTGACTCCTGTGGAGCGCTTGCCTGGTAGCCGCAGCGACAGCTGCAGCCACCTATAACATCTTTCTCGTCCTCATCGTTGTAGGTTGAGAGTTGTGGTTGTTGGGAAAATGAGAAGAAGATGTGGTTGAAAGTCGTGTCTTGAGTCACGACGCAAGGCTCAAACAGCCAAGAGGTCGACGGGGCGGAATTACCTTGTTCCGATATGCCGATTCTCGATCTCTCACCTTGGTTGTTGGCTGGCTCTCACCAACTGAGTCTCTCTGCGTCCTTAGGAAACGACGGACAAGGTGTATCTGCCCGTTCAAAAAAGACACAGTTCCTCTTTCTTTGTGCTGTCCCAAGTCTGTCTCCGGTCAGGCGCAGATTACAAGGCTGATCGACAGGTTGTCCAGACTCCCACCTTCAAGATGGTCAACATCACGGAGAAAATCAAAGAGTGGGTTGCTGTGCCTTGCGCAAGGCCGTCTCGGATCTGACTCTTGCTACAGGATCGAGGCCGAAATGGCCCGAACTCAGAGTGGGTTTCTGCAGCTTGTATAGATCGCCTGGTCCAGTGCTGATTGGGTTGCAGAAAACAAAGCCACAGGTTCGTGCTTGAATCGTTGAGAATCCTGGTATGCGCGCGCTCTGACCGAGTGAACTTCAGAGTATCACCTTGGTTTATTGAAAGGGTAGGTCTCAAATTTGGTTCCTGAAGACGAAGCAACCGTCAAACAGGAAGAGGGAGCAAGGAAGACAAGATTGTGAAGACCAAGGGCGAGACCTGGGCACGTGCTTTCTATCTATGCACGTGACTGTCCGTGTCCTGCGTGTCAAAGCATAGCCCTCTGGACCATGGCTTGGGAAAGATTCATGTTTGAAGAGATATCAAACCAAAATTGTGCCGAACGGACGCAGAATGTCAAGCATAAGCACATACGATGTTTGCTGTCGAGGGGTGGACCTGCTCAGTTCTCAGCCTTGCCCCTTTTCCTGGCGGATCCATCTGGTTGTCTGCCATCAAACCCCCTCTTCCTTCAATTCCCATAGTCTGCCCTTGGTCAATGATAGTGACTGACATTGTCGGCTAGAAAACTCGCCCGGCTACGAGCACAACTACTCGAGCCAGCAGCTGGGGCTGGCTCCGGTGGTGGTACAGGATTTGACGTCTCGAAATCGGGGGATGCTCGAATAGCCCTGGTTGGCTTCCCTTCAGTGGGTAAATCAACGTTTCTTTCCAAAATCACAAAGACCAAGTCCGAGGTGGCGGCATACTCGTTCACCACCCTCACGGCCATCCCCGGTGTGCTCGAGTACGGCGGTGCAGAGATCCAGATTCTGGATCTACCTGGAATCATCGAAGGTGCCTCTGAGGGAAAGGGAAGAGGGCGACAGGTCATCAGTGCGGCAAAGGTCTGACGCGGAAGTCCCTAATCGAAATCCAGATGGCTGATCCCTAGTTTCAGACGTCTGACCTCATCCTAATGGTTCTCGACGCGACTAAACGCGCTGAACAACGCGCTCTGCTCGAAGCCGAGCTCGAAGCCGTCGGCATCCGGCTCAACCGCGAACCGCCCAACATCTACCTAAAAGCCAAGAAGGCCGGCGGGATGAAAATCACCTTCCAATCCCCTCCCAAGTACCTGGACGAGAAGATGCTGTACAACATCCTGCGGGACTACAAGATGTTGAACTGCGAAGTGCTCGTGCGCGACGAGAACGCCACGGTCGACGACTTTATCGACGTCATCATGAAGGACCACCGCAAGTACATCCGGTGTCTATACGTGTACAACAAGATCGACAGCGTCACCGTCGAGTACTTGGACGAATTGGCCCGCGAGCCGCACACGGTGGTCATGTCGTGCGAGCTGGATCTGGGCGTCCAGGACGTGGTGGAGCGGTGCTGGCAGGAGCTGCGCCTGATGCGCATCTACACCAAGCGGCAGGGCGTGGACCCAGACTTTGGCGAGGCGCTCATTGTCCGCAGCGGCAGCACGATCGAGGACGTGTGCGACCAGATCCACCGCACGTTGAAGGAGACGTTCAAGTATGCGCTGGTCTGGGGCGCCTCGGCGAAGCATATCCCGCAAAGAGTTGGGCTGGGTCATGTCGTTTCGGATGAGGACGTGGTGCAGGTGGTGAGTGCGTGGAAAGCTTGAGGTTGCTCCGTGGCTCGGGTGTGTTTCAGCGATGGATTGCTAGCAAGAGGCACGGCGGGTTTTCATGGCAATGAATGCAGCAGCAAGAGGTCACTACCATGTGGCCATCTACATCAGGTTCTTCTGGCAGGCAGTTGATTTCGAAAAGGCCCAGGGCTTGGCATGGCTCCCATTGGTGTTTGCGGCACGCCTGCTTCTAACTGTTTATCCTATACACACCTCTCCGACGACCTCTCCATCGCTTCATCTCAGTACTCTCCTGGGGTCCAGACTACTGACATTGGCGCTGACCGCCTTCCCATCAAACACAAACTCACTCATCAACTTCCCCGTGGCGGGCCCATTCTGTATTCCCCAACAAGTGTGTCCCGCGGCCATGTGCACACCCTTCACCCCGGTCAAGCCCACCAAGGGGCCGCCGCCCGTCTCTACCTGCGGCAAGTAACAGGCCTGTCTGACCAGGACGGTGCCATCGCGCATCTCGTCGGAGACACTCGCGCAGTAGTCCACGATATCCTGACACCGGCTGTCATCTACCTGGACATCAGCGGTAGACTTGGGCAAGGGCACGAGGTGATCGCCCTCGCCGCACGCGTAGACTTCGTTGTTCGGCCGCGCGTAGATCTCCGGCGTGACGTGGTTTGCGCGGGATTTTGTGCCTTCCTTGAAGTTCTTGGGCAGCGAGAGCGACGTGAAGAGACAGTATGCGCTGACCGGCCTTGAAGGGCGGATGGTCACGCTATGAGCGCGCAATGCGCTGATTGGAGACCCCGGCCAGACAGTCTTCGTCCACGGCCCGGCGGTGATGATGACATCTGTGGCGAGGAGGGATTTGGATTCGTTTGTTGAGGAGTCGGTATATCTGACTGTGTGCATGTCTTCTTCTTTAGACTCGATCTTGCTGACACTGCCCAGAATGACGCTTGCACCCTTTTCTTCTGCAAGCTTCGCCATCGACGTGGTGAACTGGTAAGGATGGACCTGCGCGCTGTCCCTGGGCGAGCCCATCGAGTCGTACCCCATGAGACACTCTTCGGCCAGCCAGTCAAGATCATCCGGCAGTCCCATGCTTCGTAGATTGTTGTATGATTCTTTGCTTCGTTTCTGCAGACTGACACGCGTTGGATCGACGTTGCCATCGCTAGCGACATCGGGGCGGTGCACTCCTCTGATATCCTCGCCTTTGCCTGTTCCACTTCCGCTTGCTTCGCCATCCACAGGGCCATGCTGGGACATCACCCTCGCCTGGCTACTGACATGCCGCCCTTTCAACTCGGCCTGGCCAACACCCACTCCCCTATAGCCCCATCTCTGCTCACCCCCGTGTTCCTTCGCGAGTTCGGCATGTAATCTGAAACTGAGCGGCACCAGGCACGATGGATACGCCCACAGAGCCAGCAAGCCACCAGCCTTCCCCGACGCACCACTGGCGATCCCTGTAGCCTCGAGAAGGTGGATCGAGTGCAAGTCGGGATTGTATTTAGGATGCCGGGTGAGGAAATAGGCAGTCGTGCAGCCGATGATACCGCCGCCAACGATCACTATCGACTTTTTCTGCTCACGCTCGACCATATTGATTATGCTGAAGTATCGCTTTGACTGGAAGAAAAGATGCTGCTTGCCGGGGAGGAGACGGACGGTGGCTGATAAAGATGCGCTGCTCTGTTTCGAAGCCAGATGGGGCTCGATGTGTGGGACTGCCACCTAACACTGCTCAAAGGGTAGTTTTCAATGTTCGTTGTCCAACAATCAATACCAGGCAATGGGCTCCGTGTTGAAAATCATCGAGGATACAAGTTCCTCGCCACCAACCACGATGGAGAATGGGATGTGGAAGCAGTTGGATATACAGAATTCGATCCTCATATGACCTCATACATCCATCGGCCTTTGCCCCGCCAATCACAATTCCTCAGCCTTGTCCCTGCCCATTGGCCCAGAACAACAAGGCTCAATGACCCAGTATATCCAGACACACCAGAGATTTGAGAAGCGTGAGCTTGGAGTCTTGGAAAGTCTTGACAGGGGCATGGGTCGAGGTACCTCATGAGATGCAACGCATACCTCTTTTACTGAATCCGCCATCCTGCATGAACGCTGCTCCGATGAACGGTATCACATCTTGTACATTAGAAGGACCTTTGCATACAGCAACACAATACCCATATATTGTCTTGGTACATGGATCAATCAAGCAGGTCGAGCGTCGACACCTCTTCGTATGCGATATCCTCCCTTTCCACACCCCGCGAAAGCTCATAGGATAGTACGGTCATGTCCATATATGTCAGCATGAGCCTGTATCTCCGACTATTTTCCAGGGTCTGCCACAACTCTGGACTGGGTGGAACCTCCCACTCCCGTATCTCCGTCCTCATCCTCGTTGATCGCCTTTTTCCAATATTGTGTGACAGGTGCTTTCTCCCCGCCAGAGGCCCGTTCGCATGTTCCCCCACTTCTGTGTCCATATTCAAGAATTGAGAGCCGTCCTCTTCGCCGCGGCGCCCATCGATGACAAGCACCGCAGGGTCAAATGTAGTGGGAACCCCATCCACAAGCCCGTCCTTTCCCCATTCTGTTGACTCGGTCGACTCGGGCCGATCTTCGGATTCGTCTCGCTTGAAACATCCTTGGATAGGGGAAGCCGCTATGCCAAGCAGGGGCCCAAATGGTCGAAGTCCTTTCAACTCTTGTTTTTTGGTTGGTAAGATCCAGCTCACCCGCAACCCCAGTGTTCCCGTTTTCTCTTTCTTGGTCAGTGAACAGACCGCACATCGGCCGATCTGCGTAGCAACCACGACAATCCCCAACTCCGGGATCTGCAGCATCATGTTGAGCCTGTCAATGTTGGCGTGAGTCGTGCGCTGTATTGAGGGAGGTAAGGCCTGTTTGAGGATATTAGCACAAAAGACGTGTGGCGAATCTGCTTCTGGAGCCATGATCAGTCTCAAGTTTGATACGCTGCAATGCAGAATAGGTATAGTTGGTGGTTTGGCCCTTGCGCGAGCCTTGTGACTATCGCTGTCGCTGCCTCCGACTAGTGGTTTGGGGCCCGTCGGTTCCGTATGTTGCCGTCTGCGCAACGGAGAGTCTGATTCGGATGCGGACAAGACGTCTACGTCAATCTCCTGGCTGTTTCGGTGAGCGAGACTTGACAGTGATGTGGTGCTTCGTCGACTCGTGGAAGAAAGGTCAGCATCCTCCACTTCCTCCGAGGGAGAAGGATACCGGAGTTCGTCTTCCTCGCTCCCCTCAGAAGCGGTGTCATCCTCCTCGAAATACATATAGTCTAACGAGAGACTCTCCCTTTGAGTTGTTGTGGATCCATCGCTAATATTGTGAGATATTGTGTTAGACCCAGAAGCTGAGGCAAACTCGCTTGTACCTAACTCCAGCACTTCCTTGGGCCCAGACTTGTCCTCCGGGGAACCATCGTTGGTGTCTTGGCCATAAAATGGATGCAAACTCGCATCAAACTGCGCTCGATCGGCATCAATGCTAGCTTCATCCATGTCAGACCAAGAGTCAAACGTCTCCCGGACTTCTTCATCGTCGTCGTCGTCGTCGTCCTCTATGCCTTCGTACAGGAGAAAGTGTATGTGACTGTTGCTGGGCGTGCGGAGCCGGACAACATTGGTCAGGTCGTAGCTTTCCAGATTGTTGTGTCCATGATACTGGGGTACCTTGAAGTATCCACAAAACTGCTGCATCGTCCTGGCTGGCCGGAAGGCGCGAGAGTCTAAGGCGGCGACAAGCCAGCCGCCTTCTCGCCTTCGGTGGGCGTTTGCACGCATGCTTCTTTCCGAGAAATCCCAGGATTTCTGGCAGATGCCTTGCCAAATCTGCCAGATCTTCATGTCCCCATTAATATCGGTGCTCAACAGCCAGTTGCCTTCCAGGTCATCATCGGTGTTCACGAAGGAGATGCAGGGGATGTTATGGCCATGTCCTTCGACCCCGGCGAGGGTGACTTTGTAATTATTATTCCGTGGTGGAGCGATAGCATCAGGACCTCCTGCTAGCCATTCTTGCCAGCCTGCGTATTTACCAGCAAGGGAATAATCGGAATCGTCGCCGTACATTTGGTCCTCGTTATCTGTCCCCTCATTACTCGTGTCTGTCAAGGCGAAGGCAAATACCGTTATTTTAGCACAAGGATCATCGTCAGAAACGATATGAGGCGTGTTCGCCGACACCGCAATCATCCGGGCATTGGTGTGAATGGCAAGGCCCCAAGCAGATTCATGGACCCAGTGCCTGAAGAAGGGATAGAGTCCGGCGTGATCACTCCGAGCATCCGTGCTGAAGCGGTACGGGTTCTTTCCTATGACTTGATGAATTGACTTGGTATGATAGGCACAAATATTCCCAGAATCGGTCGCGAGGAGGAGAATCTCCTCCTTCCCCAAGTCTCCCACAATCAGATGGTTGATGGCATGAGGAAATTGGGGATCGATGTAGCCAGCGGAATCGTACTCTGCCAGCTCGGGTACAATGAGTAGAGCAGGTAGTTTGTGAAGCTTCTGAAAGGGAAAGTCAGGTCTGTAGACGACAATGGTATCTCTCGTTGCGACAAAATAGAGATTGAAGCGTTGGGACAAAGCGGTCAAATTGTTTCGCCAGTAAGAGACGGGTGGAGGGCACGGCACTCCGTCGCGCAGGAACCTTTCAGCTCCTCTCTCGATGCTCGTGAGACCAATATCGACTGACTCAAAATGCCTGATGTCTTCATCCATGCTCTTGTAAAAGGCCTTCGGCTTTCTCCAACAGGTCTTTGTGTTCGATCAGAAGTCTTGCTAGCCCCTCAAGGCATGGCGTAGCGTATCATTGCCACCTAAGTACGTGCGTGTACTCGGTTTGTCTCGGTCTAGAGGGGTTTGAGTTCGTCCGGGGGAGGTTCAGAACCAAGGACCGGATGAAGGCGCAGGCGCATGAGCGCAGATGGATCGAGCGGTCGACTTGACTTCCCTTCAGCTTGCCTGCAACTCACCGGTAGATGTCAGCAACTGTCGTGTCTGCGCCGGAAGAGGACAAAGAGGGAAAGAGACAAGGTAAATAGGTTGAGCAGCGACTGTCAATTGTGGGTATTGCAATTAATGCCGTCAAGTGAAGGCAGATTGACAGCCTGGAGATCGAATACTTGCCGTGGTACGGAGCACATGAGTGGTACTGGTGGAGTGACTGAGCGATGACGCATTTGCGTAGGCCAGGCGAGTGGCTGCTCGTGCCGAAAAGTGTATCTCACATTTTTGTTCGGTGCCATTTCTTCCTTACATAGCACATCCACGTCCTCCACCCACCGCCATCGAACCCGAGCTGATCTAGCTGACGGGGTAATTCACACGCCGACACCTGCAATCTCTGATCGAGGTTGGCAGCACAGAACGTATCGATTCGGAAACAATTGCATACACGACCGGCCGACTCTGCGACGGCTCGACTCATCCCCTTGTCACATTCTGCAATTACTGGACGCCACATACATTTCCCCCCGTATGCGACTTATCATCCCACCGATCAATGCATGAGAGCAGTACATGTTCTGTCTAGGCTGGTGTCGACTTTGGGTTACACACTGGTGGACGTCCAACCCAAGTCTCATTTCTCGCCCCCAATTCGGCTCGACCTCTTCTCCATCTTTGACATTGACATTGTCTCTGCCGGCCTTGGCCTAGTACAGCCATGGATTTGCTAGCTACTGTCAGGAAGGAGGGGTCGCGAGGGGGACGCGGAGAGTTCAAGTGGTCCGATGTCGAAGGCTCCTCTCACCGGGAAAATTATCTCGGGCACTCACTGATGGCCCCTGTCGGTCGCTGGCAGAAAGGCCGTGATCTCACCTGGTACGCTAAAGCAGACGCAGACTCACAAGGCGACGAAGATGCCGCTGCCAAAGCAGCAAGAGAACGGAAAGAGGAGATCCAGCGAGTCAAACAGGCTGAGGAAGATGCTCTCGCCCGCGCTCTTGGGTTGCCAGTGCCTCAACGGAACAATCCACACATGGACGAGCTAGGGACTCGACGCGAGGTTGACAACGTTCTGAAAGAGGCTGCAGTGGGCGAGGATGCAGCGTCTTCCAGGGGTGTTGGTTATGGGCGAATGGCAGGGGGCTCGGCTATGAATGAGGGGAAAACCAGTGCCACTGAACGCCTTGAAGGTACTGTCTCAAATCAGGACAAGGAGCTTCAGTATGCTCTCAAGGAATACAGGCGCCGTCATGGCGAGCGACGACACAGAAGCCGGAGCCGGAGCAGCCATCGTCACAGAGACAGTCGCCACAGAAGACATCGGGACGACCGCCATCGACATAGAGAGCGCCAATCGAGGTCGCCACGGCGTAACAAATCTGACCGTGTGAGATCAAAATCAGCTTCGCCACCTCGAGAACGTGATCATCATCGCCGAGAGCGATCCAGAAGTACCTCTCGATCGAGACGGCGTCCCGAAGGACACCGGGGTGACAGGGATAGAAGATACGAACAAGGTGGACGACGCTGAATCCTGATTGCTTGAAAGCACCCAGGAAAGTGTTTCCGGAATTGAATGCATGCAGCTGCCCAAGACAAAACTTCTGCTATCTCAAGCCTAATGAAGCATCGAAGATGTCGCTCTCAAGATCCTTGATGTCCACGTCTACGATACTGGCTGCACGTGCAGGTCCACCAACCCCCTGCCGTGCGACAATATCGGCTGATGCACTGGTATCGACAAATTCCTCCAGCTCCTCGCTCACTGTTTTCAGCTTCTCCTTCACGCTAGCCACTCCCTCGACCCCGACAATGTGACGGGCAGGTGGGTTTTCATGGCCACCAATTGCTGTCAACGCATGGACAGTCTCTGCAATCAATTTTTCTGTATGTGCATGACTAAGAGGTGGATACAAGCTGACTACCTCGTCACGACTGAGGAGGTAAGGCCCGCTCTGCCTCTCGGCTTCCGACGAAGGCGACTGAATTTCTGTCTCGGGCGGAGGAGGATATTGGGCACGAATACCAGGCAGGCGATTCAGTAAGCCATCCAAGATCCCTCGAAATATTGGAGCTGTGTGACCAAATTCTCGGGTATAGGCCTTCATTGGCGGTGCTGAAGTGATCTTGTTGGTTAAGATTCCGATCTCGACGCTCGCTTGGACAATCGTCAATTTAATGTTGAAGGGCGCAATCTCATAGGCGATGCTATCACAAAAGCCTTCCAATGCCCACCCAGACGCACAATACATACTCAACCCTGGTGTCCCAAGATGACCTGTGATGCCGGTGAGGGCAATGATGTGACCATTCATTTGTGAGCGCATTTGGGGGATGACGGCTTTGATGATATTCATCGGACCGAAGAAATTCTTCTCGAACTGATCTCGCACCAGCGTCAGGGTCCGAGAACTGGCTGAAAGTTCTTCGACAGTCCCAATCACTGCTTCACTAGTACAGCAAAAGAGGATGTCGATCTTTCGAAAGGTATGCACGGCCTCTGCAACGGCCGCCTGACACTGTCCAACTACCCTGTCTCCGAGTCAACCCCAGCTATCTTGTAGCGGAAAGATGCATATAGAACTCAAGTCGCATAATGTCAATTTGTAAAATGCAGTACTGCATACCTGATATCTAGGGCCACCACTTTTAGCCGCTCCTTCATCCCAGGTGTTCGTCCAACCTGGGAGAGGAACCTCTTGAACTCTTGACTCCGAGCCCCGTCATTCTCAAACTCAGCTTGAATGATGCCGGACACAACATAGTCACCGTGATCAAGCACCTGGCGGGCAGTCGATATGCCAATTGGAGAGTCTCCTGAGGTCAAGAGCCACACTCGGGGAGCATTATGTGTTGGAAATTGAGGGTTTGGAGTGCCCACCGAGCCGCCATTTGCCATCGATGCGCGTAACGTGAGTCTCTCGTCTGATCATTGCGTCCTAGGACGCCATATGCGATGCCTCGTCGAGGAGATCTTCAGCTGGCAGTAGTAGCAGCAGTACGAGGCGAACAATCCAATCGAAAACGCAGGTTCTGGCAAATATCAGAGGAAGCAAGTCGTGGTCAGGAATGACGGGTTCATTGGCCCCCAGATCGCAGTCACATATCAATGCCAAGGCCCCGCCGCGTCCGGATCAACAAAATTCCGTATATCCCACCGGCCGAACCGCGGCCCACTTAGACCGAACCAGCCTCTCGATCGCAGGTGGTAGATCTTGTCTGCCACTCTGTCCAAGACAAGCCCTATCCTCTGCTCCAAATCTATCGGCAAAGGCTCTGTCAATTCATAATGCCGGAGTCTAGAGGCAGCGGCACCCCTGCCGCAAGGGAGGAACAAGGGGGAAAGGTGAGAGAATCCGATTGACGGCAGAATCTACCACGAGTCCTGACATATTTGTAGTCGATGTTCCAGACGATTGTTCAAGGTCTCGCCATATTCATGCTCACACAGTTTGTTGTGAACCAATTCTTTGGCTCAAAGTCACAGACTGGCGAAGGCGCCGCTGCAACCAAGCAAAATGTCAATTTCGATGAACGAGCCGATGTAACCGCCCTCACAAACTATTCGGTGATTCCTCAAAACATTGCGCCGATATGGCCAGACAACAGTGTCGTCGACATTCGAATGTACGTGTCTCCGCGTGACACACTTCCTCCCCTGTCAACCGTGTCAAAGGATAGCCTCGTACTGGACGAGAAGAGCTTTGGGATAGGAAATTATGAGGAAAACCGAGAGGTGCATACCCAAATCGCGATCCCAACAGAGGTACAGCACAACGGGACATTATGGGCCCATTTCTATGTCGCCCTAGCAGGCAGCGAGTTTGACCCAACAAGCCCGAACTACGATGCACATAAAGCAACTCACTTCAAACGGCCGCTGAACCAGTTCCTCCCAAAGAAAAAGGCCCGTAAGTTGAAGAACCTGCTGGAGAAGAGCGAGGGGCCAGAAGAAGAGGAAGCGGAAGAACCGCAGGGAGTGCAGATTGGTTCTTATTACCATCCCAACTTCACGGTCGCTGTGGTCCCAAACACGGGCGTGCAAAACTGGCGTCAAATGCACCCCGCGCTGCGCAAGAACATTGTCCTCGAACCGACGGGTCAGCGAGATGCTTCCGGCCAAAATGGTTGGTATTATCCCGTTGTCTTCCTCAATACATTCTGGCAATTGCGCAGCCACATGACTGAACTCAACGACACCGTCAAAGAAATGCCCCTCAACATCCAGCTTTACAACTTGGCCAGTTGGAAATATAACCTGCTGGCTTCCATTGACGAGGGCATGAAACAAAATCAAGCCCAAGCTGCGAGCGGTGCGCCGATGCCCGGTGGCGGTGATGGCAGCGAGTTCGAGAAATTCAAGGAAATCCTGCTGGATACCAACGCCTACTTGCTAGGGACGACCTTCGTCGTCAGCATCCTTCACATGGTCTTCGAGGGCCTCGCATTCAAAAATGACATTTCCCACTGGCGGAAGAAGAAGGACAACGTGGGCACATCGGTGCGGACGATCCTAGCGAACGTCTTCATGCAAACCATCATCTTCTTGTATTTGGTAGACAATTCGGAGAACACCTCGTGGATGATCCTCGCCTCGCAGGGCTTCGGTATTGTTCTTGAAGCCTGGAAGATCACCAAGACTGTTGACGTGCGCCTGCGCGAACCCGGCCCGGATTCGAAGTTCAAGAACATTTTGCCTTACGTGGTTGTTTTTGAAGACAAACACAAACTCACCGAGAAAGAACGGCAAACACAAGAGTACGACCAAATTGCTTTCCGGTATTTATACATCGTTGCCGTGCCACTACTGCTCGCATACGCGGCCTACAGCCTTATCTATGAGTCGCACAAGTCATGGTACAGCTTCGTGATCGAGACGTTGGTGGGATCGGTATATGCTTACGGATTTCTCATGATGGTGCCTTCGCTGTACATCAATTATAGGCTGAAGTCTGTCGCGCACATGCCCAGCAAGGCCCTGATGTACAAATTCTTGAATACGTTTATCGACGATCTGTTCGCGTTCACGATCCGCATGCCGATTCTACACCGTCTGGCTACGTTGCGTGACGACGTCATCTTCTTTGTCTGGCTGTATCAAAAGTACAAGTACAAGGTCGACTATACGAGAGTCAACGAGTTCGGGCAAGGCGGCGAGGACGAGGAGGAAGAAGGGGAGGAGGCGAAGAAGGGGGACGGCAAGACGCCGAAGGCGCTCGAGGGGCAGGACACCAAGGAGGTGAAGCCCTCCGCTCCCGTCTCGAGTGCGAGTGGAGCTCAGGCCAACGCGGGCGCGAAGAAGAGAAAGTAGCCGAGCGGCGTGTCGATCACTTCCTTCTGGACAGCAGGTCACGCCTGGTCACACCACGGGGTCCGAGTCGCCTACCAGGAGAGAATGAAAGGACCATGCCGGGGAGGGTGGAGAGGGAGGATGGGAGGGAGCGTCGGGCAATGACGTCCCTGTACAGCAAAAGTCAACCTGGAAGGCCTTGTTGCTTGTAATATTCTACATTGGTTCTACGCCATGCGAGCAGCAAGAGAGAGGAAGAGAGAGAGGGGGAGACAGAGAGAGAGTCATCTAGCCTGGTCTGGTCCACATCCAGTTCACCACCCAGTTCACTTCTGGTTCCTTGTCTCGGAAAATCAAAAATCCCCATGGTCCCACAATCCCAGTTCCAGTTGCCTACCTATCCCGAGCGAGGAAATTTGTCAACTTCTGCCCACGGCTGATTCCTGAACGTTTCTCTGGGCTCAACTTCCACAGCTAGTGAATCGGGCTGGGCCTCATCAGGAAAGGGGAGGGCGTCGAGGATATGACCCTCTTAAATCCCCTGTCGGGCAACATTGGGGCACTGGTGCACACGAGATCAGAGGGCCCTTTGCAAGCATGCAGCTTGTTTGTGTGAAAGAAAATGAGACGGACCAACCAACGATCAAAAGGGCGCTCCAGGGAAGAGAAAAGAAGAGAGAAGGGGGAGGTGGGTGGGTGGGTGGACTCGAGGGGGTCGAATCCTGATTCCTGGCATGAAAGCGAAATACGCCAAACAACCCAAGTACCTCAGTACCCAAGTACCTCAGTGTCGTCCCCCTACGTTACGGAAAGAATACGGAAAGAATACGGAGTACTACCCATCTTTTTCAGCGGAGGTAAGTATCTAACTAACCCAGCAAGTAAGTCAACAATCCCGAGCACATGGTCCATGGGCACCTCTTCTACCCCGAATGGATGAATGAATGATTGATTGGACGTGAGATGAATGAGAGCGCGAGCCAGGCAGCGAGACTGGGCTGGCACGCAACGGGTTGGACAAGGACCAGATCATCTGGCAAGAGGACAAGAGGCACTGTTTTGTTTTGTTCTGTTTTTCCGACCCTTTTTTTTTTCTCTTCATTTTCCTTTTTCAACTGGCATAGCTATGCATGTCTTTGCGCCTACAGGGGCCCGCCTGTTTGATCACTGTCTCCTCGTCTCGCCACCAATCACGACCTCCATCTCCTCTCCCTTGTGGTTGATTGGGTCCGTCTTTTTTCCTTCTCGAGGCTTTGCGATACAGATTTCCTGACCAGGGGAGGGGTGTTTTGGGCAATTTGATCACACGGTGAAGGAAAAGGGGGCGCATTGGTACAAGGCACGTGGCACAGCACAGCAAAACGCCGCACAAGGCGACCGACAGGGAAAAAGGCGGCCGACTCCCTGCATACAGGACATGCCGGAATGCAAATGAAAATGATACATCGAAAAATGGGAGGGAGGAGACGAAACCAGGCGAAACACCAGGGGAATTGGGAATTGGGACCGAGATCCAAAAAGGGGTGAAAATGGCAGTTGCCTATCAGTTCTCTTGCTTTGTCTCCTCCTACCTTCTTCTGTGTTACTTGCAACTTGCAACTTGCTCGGGCTTTGTCTTGTCTTGTCTTGCCCTGCCCTGCCCTGTCTTGCCTTGTCTTTGCCCCGCAGATTTTCTTCTCTGCTTGCGCTGGCGTCTTTCCTGTTGGCACTTCTGGCTCTTGCAGTCTTCGTCCTCGAAAAGGCAAAGTGGAACAAGGTCCACAGACCGACAAACAGGCAGCCAGACAGGGCACTGAGGGCAGGTAGGCAGACAGGTCGAACAAGACGCAGATACGCAGATGCGGTGCATTCAGCATTCACAGGGCAGAGCAAAGCAAAATCGCGATATTAGCCAAGGCCTTCAGATCTCATTCGCTGGGTCGTATGCGACAAGGGAAAAGGCTCTCGCTCTAAACCCAAAGACAAAAGACGACGAGTGATTGTGACCAAGGGCACAGACCATGCCCGCTTCTCTGGATCTCATTCCGATGGGCGAGCATTTGCGTTCTCCAGAAAAAGGGACAGACACAGGCTCCGCTGCAGTCTCGGTTTCGCCGTCTCCGACGCCTTACTCGTCTACTTGCCTGGAGACATCCTCGAGGAAGTTTCACTAGTTCTGAGCGTGCAGGCCAAAGGGTACAGCCAGGGAACAGGATGGTCATCGGGTGGGAAAGTCCCAGAGCGTCAGCACCGCACAAGCAAGCAAGAAATAGTATCTTCCTCGGAGCGACATGTGCTGAATCCCTTTTGGTCGCACGTCGAGTCCTTCCCATCAGGCTTCTGGCCCAGGTGACAGAGCAAGAGATAGATGCCTGTCCACCACGGCCCATTCGGAGTCGTTGGCGACAGATCCTTGCATGCCTCTGGTGTTTCGGCAGTCCCAATGCGGCACCGACGAGCATCAGCGCTCGTGTCCATGACTCCCATGAATCGCGGGTACCTCTTCGCTCTCCCTTGGTGGCGGTCTCTCCTATATTCTCGCTTAGAGCCTCTGGCAGTCTTCTGACCCGTGTCGCGCTCATTCTTCTCTTTTCAGTCTTAGACCTAACCGGTGAGCCATTAATTAGCTCTCGCTGGCGAGATTATTAAAATTCGAGACCATGCAGTGTGGCGCCAGAGGACATTGGCTATAGCAAAGGCTAGACTCCCTTTGCTGACCGGTCTGCATTTACAATCGGCACCATCTCCGAACGGCCATGCACGATGACATGTGCTGTCGGGACATTGAGTCCAGTCCCGCTGAACCAGTCTGGCGGCTCTGTTAGCAACTTCTTGACCCGCTCCCAGGTCTACGAGACACAAAGTGGGTGAGGAAAGATGGGCGATGGCCTATTTCCAGTCAACCCTAGTGTCCATTCTGAAGAAGACCGACCCTTTCGCTGTTGGCCGTCAACACAGGCGCTTCTGATAACCACTTTGGAAGGCTGCTAGCGTTGGCTGGTCCAAGTTTCTCGCAGACCTTTTGGGTGACCAGTGCGGGACCGTGATAAGTAGGCCACCTCTGTTGGAAGTGCCAAATCCGTCCAAAGACCCTCGTACATTCCATGATGCAGGCGGCTCTATAGCGCTGCTCGACCTTGTGGGAATGTGCTCCCTGGGACTCAGCTCCTTTCAACAAGTCAGTCATGGTAGCCACGGCGGCATAGCCTCTGCTGGGACACCGGTACGAGTTATTTGCGTCTGATGTCTGGTCACTGGCTTCTCGCATGCGGCGTGCTATTGTGATTGCCTTCAGGGCTGCCCCAGAATGGGCTCGGTTCGTGCCCTGCAATGCATGTATCACAATTGATACTGCCCCGTCGTCGACCCAGGATGAGCCGGTGGTCCTGCTTACAGACACCCATGGTTGTGAATGTATGAAAGCGTCCCAAATACAAGTCAGCTGTCCTTTCGTATCTGTGTGGCTGCGTTCCCAGCTTTCCCACAACGCCCTAGGCCAACTGCCGGGCGGTCCCCTGGCCAGGTCTGCGGTGGGTTCACTCTGTTGTTGCCGGTAGGATGCCATGTTCCGTTGAAGATGATTTGTGTTGTACCCCTCCATGTGATTTGCTCCTGCTAATTCCACCCACCTGGGTTGAAGAAGACTCCCATCCATCCATCAGGTCATGCAAGGCTGCCGGTGGCTTGGGTGTGTCGGGGCCAGTTTGGCCGGTTCAAATGGCCTTTGGTCTCCCAGCACCGTGCCACCGGCCCCTCCTGACCAGCGACGGTCTTGTTGCTCCTTCATTGGCCCTTCTGTTACCCAATGTTCAGGAGTTACAGGCGGTAAGGCCGTTTCTTGTCCTGATCAACCGGCTAATGCAGCCGCACGGGCCATACCGTGCAAATGAAAGACTTCAGGAGCTGCGCTTTGCCGCTGGCTGCCCAGTCAGAGGGCAGAAGAGACGACCACGAGCGACACGGCACGAAGACGAGGGGGGGTGAAACGCTCCGCTTTGCATAAGGGCGGTCAGGGTGGGTTGACGCTGTCCAGTGTGGGTGGCGATCGGTTGCCTCTTCTTCCCCCCTTACCCATGCTACCATAACACAAGTATCGAGGTCTCCACATGTGGCTGAGACTTGGGATGGACAATTAGTCTGGAAAGTCCCGTCCCATCTGGGCCCTGAGCAACGAAAATGTCGAAGTCGAGACTGAATGAATCGTTGATGGTGGATCAGAGACTGGCGCAGACCCTCCTGCGCGGGTCGAAGCCACTGGTTGCGCGGGAGCAACGGGCATTCCTGGCAAGAAGAATCACAACCAAACGCCTATGCGGCAGGTGCAATGAAACAATGTCTTGTTGGCAGGCATAAACAAAGGTGAGCACAAGCTCCTGTGGCGAGGACTCTTGAGGAATACAAACGTGTCAATTGGTACAGAAAATATTATATTCGTTAATGGTTCCAGGAGAAGATTAGTTGATTGATCCCATTGCTAACACATTATCGAAGATGACACTTGACACCACTAAAGCCAGGCTCTCAAAACATGCAAACAGCAATAAGTAGCAGTCACATACAAGCTTTCTGGCAGAAGAAGATGCCACTGGAATATCGGACACAACCTGCTCTTGCGAATGCAGCTTTGATGCTAATCCTCCAAACACCGACGATGAACCAGAGGGGGCGGGTAGGGTGGAAGCAAAGACATGCCGCCTCCAGGGCGACACGGAATTGTTGGGCATGTGGAAGATGTTGTGGTTTGTGAATGGAGAGGGGGCAACGGACGCGCCCAGTGTGGCCCGTAGGAAGTCGATTGCGGTCCTAAAAATGCTTGTGTCGTAGAGGGAGAGTGATCGTTCACTGATCCTGGCAATATCAGTACACGGCGGTGAAAAGCAGCAAAGGCTATGCTTATCGTACCGCGGGGAATCGTTGCTGTGTCCTCTCCTTTGTTCAGTTTGCTCTTCTCTCTCCGGGCTTGATATAGGTCGGCTCGCAACAAGTGTCTCGAGTGTGACTGCATTTGGAGCACTTCCCGTGCAGGTCCCATATCTGAGGGTCCTTGAGGATGTCGTCTGGCCGGCTGCATTGGCAGCAGTACCAAAAATTTGCTGGGACGGATTTGCCTTTGCTAGGAGGCATGATGGAGGAGATCTTCGGGGGATTCAACAAACAAGTGCTCTGTAAGGCGAGGTGATGTCCCGCGATCGGTCAAGGCGAGACGGGTTGATTCTATGAGAAAGAGCACAGGGTGATTGATGCCACTGCTCCCCCAGTCTCCCTGAGCTCTTTACTATAAAGCATATTCTGCTGGCAGCCCGTGGTGGGTCTATCGTGAACACCCCTGCCCGACCGGAAAAGCGCTATAGGGAGCACCGCAGGAAATCCCTGTCCGTACCCTTCATTGGAGAACCATCTGACCATTTGGGAGCATCACTTCATCAAGAAATGTTTCAAGTACCACAACTGTGCGCCTTCCAGCTCAGGGGCGCTCCGGAAGCCCGAGTCCTCAAAATACCTGGGTTGCCTGGTTGCCTTTCATCTCCAGAAAGTCCATGTTTCCAACCACAGAATTTTGAGAACTTTCAGCACGTTGAGGGACACAGGAGTCGCCTGAGGCAGGAAGTTATGATGACTAGGGGCATGGGAAAAGGGCCACTTAGCCGATGCAAGACTGGTCGGTATGCGTCCAGAGAGCAGGGCGAATGGAAGTAAGCAGTGTCGTTGTCATCTGGGGCATACGTACCTCCACTTGACGGCTGTCCACAAGCGAGGGTCTTTGGTTTCCTCCTTCTAGTCGTGAGGTCAGGTGGTAAGCAGCTCTGGGATGGCTCAAGGACAGCCATCGTCACCGAGTCTCCATTTTGGCTTTGATGCAGCGTCTCCGTCCTTAGCCCAGGCTTAGAGCCATGAGGACGATGGCCCTCGGGAGCAGCCCAGCGGAGGCCCTGGTCACCACGTTTTCAAATACTTAGTGCGGCAGAGGCTGTTAGTAGAAAGATCGACATCGTTTGGGCGGGTGACTTTTTTGAAGCTTGCCCGTAGATGGCTGACGCCGACGGAGAAAAAAACGCAAGGCCTGTGAGATATTGTCCAAACCCAAGGCAGAATGGTTTGGTTCATGGAGATTGGCTGGACCGTATACACAGTCGTCGTCGCCAAGCAACATCTGCAGGAAGGCATGAACTATAGTAGAATAAAGAGTTTGGCGAACGCGACTCCCCCGGTTGAGAGGTGAAGCCGACTCCTCGGGCGCCGTTCGGCTGAACAGCAGAATCAAGTAAGCGGACGCGGAGGCGAGATAAGGAAGAGAGATGGGAGGCAGACTCAGGCTGGGGAACATGCAAGATGATGAATGCCGTCGAGTGTCCAACGCTCCAATCGGAAAGGATCTTCGTAACTCAGGCCACGAAGCACGTCAGTATACCGCGAGATACCGTAAGGATGGTTTTCAACAAAAGTCCCAACCCCACGAAAAGGCTGGCGCATATTTTTGGTCGTATGCATCTGTCGATTGCGGAGGAGCTAATCCACAGAGACAAGCTGAAAGTTTAGACATTGTGGTTCTGGCCAAGTACAAACCCAGCCAGAGGTGGGCGCTCTAAGCGGACTGGTTCCGGCGTTGTTTGGAAAGAAAGAGAAAAAAAAAGCAGAAGCCCAGGAAACGCGTGTCTTTGAAAAGGGCTGTAACGCTCGGTATTGTATCGCACACCCAGAACTCCATCCTCTGACGTCCAGTTGTGTTCAGAACACGACCATCCCATCGAGATCCTGCCATTTCCAACTCTTTAGTCTGTCCATGACAGAGCCCATGATGCACTGAAAGATCGGCATAAGTCGAGGTTGCTGCAAGGTTGCTGATTGGAAGTCTGGTTGAGCTTGCTGGAGGCCGTCTTGGGCACATTAGCAGGGTCCAGAGCGCTCTATCAAGAGAGATCGTACCGGTAAGAGGGAGGGAAGATGAGAGCCCAGCGTGCTAACGTTGTGACCGTGGGACCACTTTGTCTTGTCGTCTCGAGTTGCTGTTTTGCTTGAGGACGGTGTCCGTGCAGTTCGAGCATTTTCGATGCCGGCAGGGCGGACAAGCCACGTGGAGGGTGCGTAGGTTTTTGGTGCCACACTGGCAGCACTTCCAGGCGTCAGAAGTGACGTATCCGGCGTTGGTCGCGTTGGCGCTCATGTTGAAGCTAAGGTGCTGCAAAGTGATAATACAAACAAGAAGTGAAGGATGAGGATGCGATCTTTTGCTGGTAGAGACCCAGGCAGCGTCAAGAGAACCCACCCCTTTATAGATTTCTGCTCTCAAAGCCCATGTCTCTGGAAGTAGCCTCTTGTTACCTGTAACTTCAACTGGCAACAGAAATGCCCAACCACAGCCACAACCAGGCAAACCCTGATCTTTGTGGAAGATGCAAAATTTCAATAGTCATGGTGCGTCGACATGATTGCACTAACGAAAAGCGCTGTGGAGTGATGATATCGGGCATTCACAGAGACCCGCAGAAGGAGTCAGAGTTGCGGAGATCGAGAAACAATCATGAGAGAGACAGCCAAAGATACCAAAGCATTGGTGCAACAGCGTTAGAGTGGTCAGTAGAACACAAAAGGACGTTTGAGAGATTTTGGGAACAAGATAGGCCTTTTCACAAGCCTGCAAAGTTTAGTGGACCCAAGAAGCTTCTCACCTGCAGAATTGTCCAGTCATCCGCGTGTTCGTCGAAAGACCTACCTTCCTGTGGTAACGGTCGACGCCATGGTGATTGCAAATTTGTTGTTCCTCGAGCAGGAGTGGATGCGACCTAGTGGCCGCCTCCGTCATAGAGGCCCTCAGACACGGCGAGCTAAGGCCGCAGAATTGTTTCAAAGTCATAACCAGTCGGTGAGGAAATGCTTTTTTTTTTCTAGGCAATTCGAAATCACCCCTCGACCCGAGAGCCTGATTGGTCTGAATATCTAAGCCTGTCCAGGCAAAACTCCTAATGGACAAAACCCCCCTGGTCAGGAGCGAAGATAGTCCCTCCGCCTAGGCTCCAATTACTGGAGAAGCCTGGCTCAAGTGTTTTCTCAGCTTTGAAGGGGGCTGGACATGAAGGGCGTAGAAGTTTGGTAGAATCGCCGCGTTCGTCTCCGGGCCATATGGCGTCACAAGATCCTCCCGATTTTCACGTTCTGGCTACCTCGTAAATCTGAGCCATGTCGTCGGGAGCCCAATCCGACTCGCCGCACTGTCGTGTCTGGGCCCCAGTCCGAAGGCACGGCTGTGTGGAGATTCTGTTCTTCAGACAAATTCACCGCACCGAGTCAGAGCTGGCTGTAAGCAGCTCGTGTGGACGGTGGATGATTGATCGAGAAGCCATATCGGGATTTGGCCGGCCCCCAGCCCACGAGGCTACTGACTCACAAATGGCTGTTTGAGACTGCACAGTGATGGTGGCCCAGCATCATTCTTCGGTCATTTTGTGTGTCGCACACAGAACCACCCGGTTATTGCAGGATGGCCCGGGGGACAGGGCAGTGTGGGCGCTGGGAGTTGGGAGCGTGACTGATGGGACGTTGAGAAAAAGGCAGAACATGTTTCTGCCTGAGCCGCCTTTTCTTGTAGCTTTAGGCAGCGATCGGCCCACCCGAGCTTGGCACTCGGCGTCTATGAGGCTGGCCAATCACAGCCCCGCTCAGCCGGATGCCTCGCCCTGTCGAATCCCCCCCTCATCCTCCCGCCTCTTTCGCTATCAACAATGTCCCCAGCACACTCGGATTGTCTGCAATCAAGCGGTGTGCAAGTTCTCGATAGGGTTCTGCGCCGGTGTGCAAAATACGTTTTACTTCTGCAAGTCTGGCTTCTTTCGCCTGACCCACATAGCCACCTGGAAAAGGCAAGGGGCTCAGCCTTGTTCAACTCTCTTGCCTGCGCTCGCCCCGTGTTCCGCACTGTGTCAGCCTTACCCACACTTTACACCAAATACAAGCAACTGGGCTGAGTTGGGGGCGCAGGAGCCCTCAGTCAGCCCTCATAACCTTATCGAAAGAAGCCTTGGGGCTGTTGTCGTTGCAAAGGGATAGACGACCTCGCAGAGTGCGTCAACCGCCTTCTGTGAGGTGGACGAGCAATGGGTAAGACTCCTTAGTAACATGTCTCCAGTTTCCTAGCAGGAGGTAGTGTTATGTAAATGGGAACAACAAGCATGCGGACTCGTCGTGCCTTTGCTAGGCGGGTGCACGTTGTGATATCGTTGTACTTCTGTATTCGCTAATGCAGGAGCATGGGCAGTAGATCCGTGTTCGACACTAGAATATCTGAAGCATCTAGTAGGCAGCCAAAGAGATGCGACCCGTTTGTCATGCATCGAGAGTAGAACAAGCGCTGGTAAAGCACATAACTCCCCCACAAAGCTTTCTTCTTCTATCTTGGCACTGGCAAACCACTTGGTACCACCATACCAACACCAGCTTCTCTCCTTTGTTCAAGCACACAACCTCTTGTAAAAGCTAAACATATCCCAGAATCCAGCAAACACCTCCGGGATTGCCAGTGCACAGCTTCGCCGGCTGGTGATGTCGAGTCAGAGGTAACCGGTTCTCGAGAATCTATGCTGTGGTGTTTTCAATGCGGCAAGCGGAGCAACGCCGTGTCCCACAATTAGCACAAGCAGCATTGATCTTGACGGTCATCGGTCCATTACCGCACTCGCAGCAGTACCAGACTTGCACAGCACCACTAGACAGCGTCATTGGCACCAGAGAAAGACTGTTGCGAGCTGAGCTGGGACCGGCTGGTTGAGGATGTCCATATTTGTTGTCTCTTTCTTCCACTGATGGCGGCGACGGTGCGCGTTCCACTTGATGCCGAATTGCTGCTAAGGACAGAGGAAGATCGTACATTTTGAGACTAAATACCCGTATCAGTAATGTGTCGGAGACGTTCTGATCTCACTTACCACGTAGTAGACAGTGATGGATTGGATAAAAAAAAGCTGTGGTAGTCGTTCTCTTGGTCAGGATAAAGGAGATAATGAAGGAAGCTGGGAAGAGAAATGGAGCTCTCCTTATCGACCCTTCTCATACAGGTCGTCAAGAGTTGTGCGGCATTTACTTTGCTGGTTTGCTGGGATCGTGCCCAATTGAAGGATATGCTGTGATTCAAGTGACGGTGAAGATGTGGATACATAGATCCTCCACGAGCCTGGCGTTTGATTCTCGTTGAAACCAAACGTTCTTTGCTCGCTGGGTTGAGGAGAGCGTGTGGCGCAGGTTTTGAAACGGCAAAAAGTGATGAAATGGGACGAATGAGAAGGTAGAGTACCTAGTGTACATGATTCATCCCAAGATTCGAGCAGGCCATTGGTCTTCTGACGCGGGCCTGCGTAGAAAAGAATGGATCTTCCTTCGGTTCCACTCAAGCACCCGAAAGCCCTAGTAACCCCAAGGGGAAGGAGTCGGAGTGGAAAATTGCCCGCTGTGATATACTCCGCTTGTCGGTTGGAGACATGCTGCATCAGCCTGATACCACGGGACCGCAGAGTCTGGTAGTCTGCCACAGACAGACTTGAGAGGACGGGCCGTAGAAGCAAATCAGAATGCGAGAGATTTCTCGCAGCGTTGACGCCTTTTTGGCTCGAAGGCAACCATAAAAAAAGGCCTGGTCAATGGCAATATTGGCCTGAACTCTAGCATAGCCATCAAACATCTCACGCAAGGGCCCACCCAGGAGAATATTCAGTAAATTGTGTTTTTGAAGGTGTGTTTTCCGATATCAATCGCCACACTTGCAAGCCCAGCTTCCGGCAGGGCCACTGTTCAGCGTAGTCTATTGGTTGGTCGTGAGAAGACTAAGGCGCCCACGGCCTGGGGCTGGAAATTAGAACCCTCTGAGCTGCTGTAGCTGACCTACCTTTTCCGCGCCCTGGTACCGATCTGCTTGGTGAGGTACTCTCGAGCTTGAAAAAGGCTCGACCAAATCCGGGATACCTGGTTGTGGCTTAGTTATCGCGCTTAGAGCCGAAGTTATTTCTCTGTTTCACACCTCTGTGAGGAAGTCTCTTGTACTTGTGATGCGGTGCCTTCGAATCTAGTCTCATTTCTCGGGCCAAAATGGCAAATTCTTAACTGCCTCAGCCGCTTCATGGACTGGGGCCAGCTTTTTGTGAATGTGTTTTTGGTCTAAGCCGTTCTTCAAGGGGTCCACACACATGAAATACTGTACTTTCCCTTGAATTTGAGAATTAGGTTAACCTCACGAGTCAGCCGTGAAGGTGCCTTTCATGGCTCTGCTCATTCTTCTTCAAAGGCGACGACAGCAGTTGGACTAATCCACAGCCTTAGAGTCTGCCAAACTTTTGGATTGGGGAGCAGTCAGGCAACGAACGCGACACTCGAGACCAGGCCTTGGTAGCGCCATAATTGACTGATGGCAGAAGAAGGGTCAACGATTCCATGATTGGGCTTAGCGAGTTGGAAAGGTCAGTGTCTCGAGGTCTGGCGATATCGACATATTTGTCTACTCCATTCGAATCCTGTAGCCTCTGAGTATTTGGTCCTTCGGACTGTTAGCATCTTCTCATGCTCTTAGCTATTCTCCGGCCAGGTCGTTATGATAAGACCTCCGGCTGAATATATGATTTGAACAAAGGATCGACGTGTGAAGCATATTCCTGTGTGCGTCTCCCTAATGACTTCGTTGGCAATTCTGCCACTCAAGGTGCCAAGGGCATCATTCTTGAGGCCAAGTCTATGTGGATACAAGCCTCTTTTGCAGGAAGCGGACGTGCTTCTTGTCTGTAAGGCCTGCCAAGCGATAGCCGCGATGGCACACACTCCACAAGCCTATAGTCAATTCAGATTTCTCTTTCGGGCTATAGGCTGAGCGGAGGATGCCCAATTAACAAATAGGAATGAAAACAGCTCTAAATCAAACACGGCAGTGCCTAGGGTAGGAGGGTGAACACCAAGGTCAGCCGAGTTCATAGAGAAGGACGGGAGCCTGATGGAATGTGAATGTCGCTGACTAATAAAGGGGCTACAAAAGAGGGAGGAATCTTGCATTCACTTTATTAGGTGCCTACCTTGTACGGAGTAATTACCTAGGTAACGCTCCGTAAGGCTGGAATGCGCCAAGCGGTGGCCCTCTCACCATCCTTAAAACCCTCCACTTGATCTCTCTTGGTCCATCAACCAACCACCACTACCCGATCTCCCTCCACTCTTCAGTTGCCACGACTCTCGATCGACCCGACATATCAGCGCTCCCACTACACATTCTCACTACCGTACTGTTCGACATGTCTGGCAAAGACAATACAAGCTCGGGGAGCGGTTCCTCCGGTGGCTCGTACCACCCATACCAGATCACCAATAGTGGCGTCAACAATGCAGTACGATCCATTCCTGAGTTTTCGCATCCTTGTCGTTGGCTAATCAATTGGTCTAGGGCAACAGCTGGGACACACGCACTCAGCCTGGAGGGTCTGCCTACCACTACTCCAATACCGGTCAGTAGCTCTTCTCAATGTCCAGAGCCGTGCTGATGCCTACCGTTGCAGATGGCTCCTATTACTACTCCAATGCGAATGGCAGCACCTACCACCACAACGGCAATGGAGGCTCGACCTACACAGCTCCCAACGGCAACGTCTACAAGAAGTGAGGTGGACTGAACAAGGCCCGGAGGTGTTGGTTGCTTGACGTGAAAAAAGAGTTCTGCAAGAGACCACATGCCTTACGCTAGCACCACATCTCGTGTGGAAGCCTCCAGGACCCCGAGAGAGAACCACATGGCAGCAGGAATAATCTTGATCGACCAATCATGGCAAGAAAAATGTATCCGCGTATCATACAGTAGGATACACTGCTAGGCAAGACTTGCAAGGGGTTGGGGGCGAACCATACATAGGCACCGAACATGCATTGAAGCGGAAAATATTCACCATTCGTAGTCCGCTAGCTGCATGCAAATCATACCCTACCTTCCCCACGAACTCCACTGCGCGCGTATGCCAGGCTATCTTTCCAAGTGTCTTCTCGATGTCTGAGACATCTCGGATCTATTAAATAGCCCTTTTGGCTGTCTCGGCTCCCGATCTTAATGGTCATCCTCGATGAAGCAGAAAGTCAATGCACCTCTCCACACTCACTGTCAGGCAAGAGAGGATGCGGAAGAGAGTGGTACCGTAGCTGTACCGCGGTGGGAAGGGAACCATGCAAGCGAACGACTTTGGCACTGGACTAAACAAGTCTCTCACAACGCGGCTTTCGAAACAGCCGATCTAGGCAGATCCTGGGATTTGCGTGCTCTCTTGATCCGGACATAAGGCTTTCGACATCGCGATCAGGCTGAGCTTCCAAGGGGTTGTAGGGCTGACCGGCTCTCTCGCCACCATCGCTGATCTAGGGTCCAAAGGCCACTACGACGACAGCTAAAGCTGCAGCAGCTATATTAGGTGCCCAGGTACTGCACAACGACAGGCGACTAGAGGGCACATCGCCCCCAAGTAACGAACGATTTTGGCACCGTTAGCTGGAAATCTCGTGCACTACACGCCCTGGTGAGGCATCCTGTCAGTCACCGGCGTTGGCAGAGGCCTTGACCAATCCAGCCTATTCCCTGAGGCACGGGTCAGCGTCTGTGGACGCCGCTCATCCTTGATCGAGTGATCGCCGGGAAAGCCTGAAGCGGTATCTTGAAGGCAGGATAGTTGGGCTCAGTCACTCTCTTGTGGCTTCATACAGTCGTGTCCTGAGAGACTACGCAGAGCTAGGTACCGGAGAGAGGGATTAGTGGAATGAAGAATATGAAACAAAACATATCGAGGGAGATGAAGGTGCCTATAGGAATTGAACTCTCAATTAATATCAAGGTCGTGAGTTTGGAAAGTGCTGAGGTCGATATTGCAAAAGGGTGCACAAATGCTTCGGAGGCATTCGAGGGGCGCCGCTACGGAGAACCATGAAAACGAGAGCGCAGCTACCATTTGGACGCTATGCTCGAACCGATATTTGCTACCTGCATTTTCCAATCCACTTCCTCTCCGAGGCACGCTGATCAATATCGCCGTCGTTCGTTGAGAGCACTCTGTCTTTTGTATGGGTGCGCGCCAGCTCTGGAGGTCGCGTCTCTCCTTCGAGATCTTTCAGGCGCCATGCCGGCACTGGTCAAGCTGTCAACTCCGACCCTCGGGTCACAGCAAGTGGGCAAAGATCAAACATGACAAGGGCAAGGCAGATGCGGCCAAGAGCAGGGTCCGCACCCACCTATCTGCCGATATCATAATGGCCTCAAAGTGTAAGACATGACCAAGTTAAGTCAAAGGGCCTCCAAGAGACTGATTGTGATACAGTGGGCGGACCCGATCCCACCATGAACTCCAGACTGGCGCATGCGATCGCAGTTGCGAAAAAGGGCCAGCTCTCCAAGACTGCCATCGAGAACGCGGTCGCAAAGGGACAGGGGAAATCTCCAAGCGGCCAATCTCTTGAAAATGTCACCATCGAAGCCATGCTACCCCACGGCGTCGCGGCCATGATTGAGTGTCAGACAGATAACAAAGCGAGGACTCTGACAGATATCCGGTACATCATCACCAAAGCCGGCGGCACAGTCACTCCTACAGCGTTCATGTTTGAGAAAAAGGGTCGCGTCTCGTTCGAAGAGCAGGAAAAGATCGGTGTTGAGGACGCCCTGGAGGATGCGATCGAGGCAGGAGCTCTCGACCTTGCTTTGGAAGAGAACAAGCTGGTGGTTGAGACAGAACCTGGCGATGTTATGGCTGTTGCTCAGAAGCTCCAAAGCAAGCTGGGAATCCAGGTGGAAAAGGCAGAGGTGGTCTACATGCCGAATGAGGATTCAATGGTTGCCCTGTCCGCGCAGCAGGAGGAAGAGGTGCAGACCATTCTAGACTCGTTAGAAGAAGACCCAAGTCTTCAGAATCTGTATATTAATGCTGAGCCTGCATGAAAAGGCTTGCTCACGCTTGCACAACTGAAAAGTATTATGTCCATGCCTGTAGATGTATAGCAATTGAACATCACTGTGGCCAGAAGCGGCTACGGCGAAGCACTGGCATGCACAATGCAGTTGCTTCCAGCGTGGCCTCAACGGAGCGTGAAAATCATCCAGAACACCAGGTACTTGTCCATTGTGTGAGATCTCGACGCAACCACAAGTGCCAGTGTCAAAACTTGTCCATTTGTCTCTGGCCCTGGCAGGTAGTTATGTTCGTGTCTGACTGAACGATCCGCAGCCTGTCGTCCACGAGCATGGAATCCAGTACGACAATTATCAGTTGGCAGCATGCCTTCGAAAACCATCGCATCCCACAAACCCGCGTGATTGAGAAGCAATTGCGTGCAAGCGCCGCACAAAACAAAGATAAGCTTCGAGCTCTCGTTGGGTAGGTCGCCTCTCCTGCCTCCGACAGGGCGGGCAATTCTCCAGAACTGACTCTCTACGCGAAATACCAGTGGCAGCTATCGCGAGCTTTTGGCAACTGCCGAAGCCATTGTCGTCTTGGATGCACAGACTAGGACTGCGGAGGACAACCTTTTGTCAATCAGTCACAATTGCAGACCACCTCAACAAGATGCCTCTCCCCGGCCTCCGCCAGCTGACAAAGTGGCGCTTGCTCAGTTTCGTCTCCTGCAACGGTGCTGCACAACTGCGGCCTCATCCCTTCGCGACCAGCATATATTGCGATGTGCTCAACTTTTGGTCGTGTCGAGGTTGTTGTTGAAGTCGTTGGGCGACCAGGACACGCTGACAAAGAGCCTCGATTCTCTGCGGAACAAGCTTGGTGCGCTTCGGCGGCAACTGCTTCTACGAACTGAGGCTCGGTTGACCAACCCTACATCAACCTTGTCAGATCTTCTTGAGTCGATTTGTGCTTACTGCTTGGTCACCAGCAGTTCTTCTGAGGATGCCCTGGAACATCTGCGCCAGCTCAGGCTAGAGAAAATCCGGCGTCAGCTAAGCGCCTCTCACCAACGACCTACCATTTGTCAAGCCTTGAGGTACCAAATATTGTCCCTGCAGACCTTCAAGTCTTTGATAGGACGCCCCATGGTGGATTCTATTAATAACTTGCAAAAGAGACCGATTTTGGAGGATCCGTCCATCAGAGACCTCGAGTGTCTGGGTCTTGATCAGACTTTCTCGTTGATTCCGGATGAGATACGGTCCTTCGTTCCATACTTCAAGAGAAGTGCCCCCACATTCGAAGAGACACAAGCGAAACTAGAGACGTGGTCTCGAGAAAGTTTACGAATATTTTCTGATGCATTGCACCATTGTCTTCCCACACTGGACCAAATAGACGAGGTATTGGGGTTGCGGCAAGAGCTTTACACCATTCTCCTCCCTTCCTACTTTTCAACGCCAGCAGGGTCGGACATTAAAGAGCAAATTGCCCAAGCTCTGAACAAGAGAGTGAACGACATTTGTCACAATCGGAGTGCTTACCTGGTTCGCATCACGATGCCGCTCCTTGACAAACTTGCCGCTAGCAAGACCACAAAATCCTTATGGGATTCAGAGCTTGCACTGTTAAATCTAGACGCCGGAGGAACCAAGCTCATTACCCGCGTCAAAAATCGACATGAAGGCAATAGCGTGGCATTGTCCAAAGCTTCAAAGTCATTGAACATATGGATCACGACTACGAACAGCGCATTCGATCAGCTTAACGAAATCACGAAATTAAGATGGAGAGATATTGTGGAAGAGCCCGAGGAGGAGAATGAAGACGAAGCTTCTGATTTGATCAAGGAACTGTGCGAAACGGATTCGAGGTTGTACCGCGACAATTTGCAAGAAGCATTGCAGAAGGCGTTGCTAGAATACGAGACAAGCATCACAGAGAGAGCAACTCAAGTGGTTGAAGAGCCAGAGACTGTCTCCCATGTCGTCGCATTATTGCGCTCCATCAGAATGTCAACGTCGGCATTGCAGCATTCCTTTCCTGAACAAGCAAGATTTGCGAAGCTCCCTGAAATTGTCCGCAAGTTGCATCAGCTCGTGGCAACAGAGGTCAGTCTGCAACTGTCCGCGTCAAGAGAGGGCCAGAAGAAGTCAATGAAATGGAGCAAGGACATGTTACCTGACAACATGCCCTCACCCTGTGCATTTTCGACTTTACGACAACTTTGCAAGATCATGCTGGAGGTTGGTGGCACCGATTTATGGTCTCTTCCCGTGGTTGGACTGGTCAAGGAAGCTGTCGGATCGCACATCTTCAGATCCGAAGTCAAGGCCTGGTACATGGAGAACGAGTTTGACGAAGCATATCTCTCTATTGCACTAGGGCGAGACACATCAGCCGCGCCCAGGGAGAAAACGAACATAAAATCTGCGTCTGAGTACTGGGCGAGGACAAAGTTGTTGTTCGGTGTGCTTGGGTTCCCGGATGGAATGGGAGAATGACATTTATAGGTGTCGATGAATGTGATGTTTGTACGGGCTACATTGCTCCCATAACCTCTCTATCCCAGTTTACATGAAGGGCTGTAGCTGCATTTACGACTACTTCTTCCGGCTGTCTATGATGGTAAAGTGGGCATCATTAGCTCTATCACATTGCATTGATGATGGCAGCAGGAAGCGTGTGGAATGACCTGCTGTCAGCCTCGTGAAACATAAAGCCGGAAGCCGGAAGAATATTTATTCCGCAGGGGCCCCTATTCAACTTCTCGGTCTCACAAAAGACACCCCTCCCTTTTCAATCCTGTCATCCCACGTCGACGAAACGATATATTCATGGCTAAGGTCAATTTACGCTTGCGAAATGTATGCTGAAACTGATGAGGAGCCATGGAAAGGATGACCAAGTGGAGCGGCTCGCGATAGTCTGTTATCACCAACACTGCAATCCTCCTGAGTCAGCTTTGCGAACACATCTCAGCGCCTTGTTCAAGCCCATCCTAGTTACGGTTCCATTCTCCAAACGATATCCTCGCCAGAGATTCGCAATATCGAAATATGATCCAAGGCTTCCCCCGGCAGCAGGTCTTATGAACCTTATCTTCCTCACTTCGCGGCCACCAGATGTAAAGACGAGGCGTTTTATCTTGCTCAGAGGAGAGTTGCTGCGAAGTTATCTACAACGTGCAAGATCAGCCGACATTTCAAGATGCATGGCGTTGAACTCGACACGCTCACTGGAGCACCTTCCCCACTACGCCGCTTATCCCATCACTTAGAAGATGCTGTGCCCCTACAACCAAACGATGAACTACGGAGGACCAGCATCTCTGAGATGCTGGATGAACTAGGCAGGTCGAGATTTCTGATTGACTAGAGTCCATAATCTGACCGCGTCGACAGAAGACAAACCTCTAATATCTTCCGACTTATCTGATGAAGATAGCGCATATCCCACCAAGGTGGAACTGGAGACTCTTCCCCGCGTGGCCGATAAGATCCCCTGGCGCGTCTACACGGTTGCCTTTGTGGAACTGTGCGAGCGGTTCTCTTACTACGGCACGCAAATCCTGTTCCAGAACTTCGTGCAGCGGAGACTGCTCACGCCGACCGGTCGCGCCCCCAACCCAGGCGGAGACACAGACAACAACCCCGGTGCGCTGGGCCAGGGTCAGCAGATGGCTACTGGGCTCGGCACTTTCTTCTCTTTCTGGTGTTACGTGACTCCTCTGCTGGGAGCGTGGCTGGCGGACACCTACCTTGGAAGGTGACACTTACTACCTACGCCGAATATGGGCTCTCGCGTGTCAACAGCTGCTGATGAAGGTTTGCAGATACAACATGATCATGGTGTCCATCGGCATCGCCGTCATTGGCCACGTCCTTCTCACCATGAGTGCATTGCCTTCTGTCCTAGCACATACCGAAAGTGCCCTCATTTCTTTCATTGTCGCCCTCGTCGTCTTTGGCCTTGGGACGGGAGGCTTCAAACCGAACATTTCCCCCCTGATCGCCGAGCAAATTGTGTCGGAAAAACTCCGCGTCTCGATCGACCCGAAGAGCGGGGAGCGTGTGATTATCGACCCAGCCCAGACGTCGGCGAGGATATACAACTGGTTCTACCTCTTCATCAATATCGGCGCCTTGATCGGCCAGATCTCCATGTCTTACGCGGCGTTGTATGTTGGCTACTATCTCGCCTTCCTGCTGCCTACGCTCATGTTTCTCCTCTGCCCCCTCATCCTCATCCTCAACAAGAAGAATTACCGTCTCACGCCTCCGCAGGGCTCAGTCCTGGGCCCTACGGTCAAGACACTCCTCTACGCCATCGAGCCTTACTGGTCGTGGAACCCTCTGCGCACAATCCGCAACGTCCGCAAGACGACCACGTTCTGGACCGCGCTAGAACCATCCCGGATCCCAGCCCACAAGCGCCCGTCTTGGATGACATTCGACGACGCCTGGGTCTCCGAACTGCGCCGGGGCGTGAAGGCCTGCTCTGTCCTGCTCTGGTTCCCGCTATATTGGCTCACGTATAACCAGATGAACAACAATCTCACCTCTCAAGCGGACACCATGAGGCACGCCGGGGTGCCTCCGGAGATTGTCTCCAACTTGGATCCCCTGACCCTGATAATTTTGATCCCCATCTGTGACCTGGTCATCTACCCCGGCCTCACGAAGCGGGGCGTGAAATTGACGCCGATCAGGAAGATCACGCTGGGCTTCTGGTTCGGCGCCGCCGCCATGGTGTACGCGGCGTTCTTGCAGAAGTACATCTACACGCACAACGAGTGCGGGTACTATCCTTCCGAAGGCCAACAAGACCTTTCCGCCGAAGGCGGACGTGCCGGCGGCGGCAACACCAGAGACTGTCCGCCGGCCTCGGTTTCCATCGTCTACCAGGCCCCGATCTACCTCCTCGTCGCGATCAGCGAGATCCTCGCCAGCATCACCTCGATCGAGTACGCGTTCACCAAGGCCCCGCGCAACATGCGCTCCATGGTGCAGGCGTTCTCGCTGTGCATGAGCGCCGTGGCCAACGTGATCGGCGAGGGCTTCCTGTGGCTGGCCACGGACCCGTACCTGGTGTGGAACTTCGGGGTCATGGGCGCGGTGGCGTTCGTCGCCGGCGGCCTGTTCTGGTGGTTCAACCGGGGCTTGGACGCCGAGGAGGACGCCATGAATCAGTTGCCCCACGGCAGCATCGGGGCTGGAAACGGGAGGAGGAGGAGGAGGAGGAGCAGCAGCAGTGCAGCAAGAGAGGATCCACGCATGCCCAAGCCTGAGGGTAGTGGCTCCGGTCGCGGCGCGGAGGCCAGCTGGAGTGACCTGGGCGGAGCTTCTAACGAATCCCACGAGAGTCTGCTAGGCGATAAGGCTTCATTTGGTGAAGGGAGGAGCTAGCGCAGACAACGTCCTGAGACACAGTCGAGTTGGAAATGCAAGGGCATTACGCCTTGTTCGATGAGTTCCCACCAGAGGGGTTGTTGCGCACGCAGTAGGATACTAAAGACGTGGTTTAAGAGGCTCAGAGATTTGAAAGACCGAAGTTTAGGACTGCTGGTTGCAGGCATTCCAGAACACGACAAGAACAACCCACAAGAAGATGTCATAGACACTGGTCTGATACGGTTGGATCAGGCACAGTCGCAGACACTCCCCGACTCTGTCTGCATTTGTATTTATCTGGCAAAAATCCCACGCTTTGCAATTTCCAAGTTTCGAATCCACTCAAATTCGTGGATTTCCTCTCGCAAAACTTTTTGTCGCAAAGGTTTCTCTTGACTTGGTCTACCACATCTCAAACCGGCTGGGTCTCACCACATTGGCCTGCATGTCGAGACATTTCATTGGAACAAGTCTGATCTGCCGGCCTTGCTTCCCACCCAGACACAATCCGCGAATTCTTGCATGAATCAGATCATCTCGTCTAAGAAGGCCAGGATCTGGTCGGGTCGACCGTCTAGGGGCGAGATAGATTCCTAGTTAGACAAGAATGCGGGCCCTTGTTGTCCTTCGGATACGATCTCAACGACATTATCCGTCAATCGTCAGTGGTGACGCGCCTAAAACTCACCGAAGGCGGAAAGGGCAAACATGAGTCCGAAGCTGATCTTAAATGCCAAGTTGTCATTGACCGCACTGCGCAGATCGATGTTCTTGAAGTATCGTTGCAAGCGATCAACCGGTATGAAATTATATCCCCGTCGCGCGGCAAGCTGCCAGATGACAATGCCCAATCCGATCAAAAATGTTAAGCTTGTAGAAAAGGCGGAGACAACCAGTCCCGCAGCCAGCCCTAGGATTGACCCCAAACTTATTTGCTTAACCGCGGCAGGATTGATTGTCTTCCCATCCTTCGTAAGAGGAGTTTTGGCTTCGCGGGAATTCGAGGAGGAGGAGGAGGAGCTGCTAAATTCAGCGGCACCTGCGGGAGGGGGTGAAGAAGGCGAAGAATCGAGCCTGATGACGGATGACGGATGTATGAACGGAAGGGAAGCCGTGAGGCCGAATGCAACGAGAACAGGTCGCTTGAAAGCCGGCCGTGCTAGAGGAGTAGATATTGACTTCAAGGCGGAAGGAAAGGAGAGGGAAGGTCGTATGACGGTTCGTAAGAACATGTTGCAGGAACCTTGGGGATGGGAGGAGGTGCGGACTGCTCGGGGCGAGAAAGTGTAAGCAGAGAGAACTAGATAGGATTGCTGAGAGTTGAGAGCGGTTGGACAGCAGCGCAGGCGAAAAGCAATGCGAGAAGTTGAAGTCGAGGCGAGAAGGTCAATGGCACATGATGTCATGGGCGCAGGCACCGAAGACCCGCGGTTGGTAGAGAGGCACAACATCCAGAGACCAAACACCCGTCTGCGCAGCCACCTCCATCATCTCCAAGTCACCCGCTGTGCCCTCATGCCACCCGCAGAACACGTCCTACAATCGCTTACGAGAACCTTTGCAAGCACTAGCTGGACTTATCGTTGGGAGCCATGGTTCATCCAACCATGACAGAGTCTCCTTTTCCCGAGCCACCAGCAGCGTCCCCATACCCGGCTGCCGGGGTCCAGAGCCATGCATCTTTCGGGATCCAAGTGCCTTGACGTGTTCCGAAGGCCCGAATGCAAACGAACCCCTTGCCGACATTTGGGGTGTGAGAAGACTATTGGCGCTGTAGCCCATCAAAGTTCTTTGCCCATCCCGCAATGTGAGATCAGTGGAGTCTGGGGAAAGGGGGTATTTCCGTGAGCTTGGTCGTATATAGGGTCTGTATCGAGACGTCGTTCAGCAAGTCTACACATCCTTCATCACACCGAGTCTTATCATTTCATCACTGGACTCACAGCCTACTCTTAGACCCCAACGCCAACATGTCAGGCTCAGTGGTTACCAATGGCGTGCCCGAGATCAAGTCGAAAGTGGTGGAAACGCCGTTCCTCATCGTCGGTGCGGGGCCAGCAGGGGGGTCATTGGCGTGTTTCCTCTCCCATCCGCCTTACTCCATGACAGGTATCATGATCTCTGCTGCAACGACAACATCACAGACGCCGAGGGCGCACATTACGAATCCCGCCGCCTTTGAATGTCTCCGAGATATCGATTTGGAACAAACATGTCTTTCCCAAGCAGTTGAAGGCGACTGTATGGTCCACACCCGCTGGTGCCATGATATGACCGGTGAAGAATATGCCCGCATCTATTCCTGGGGCAATGACCCGAAGAGACATGGGGAGTACGAAGCAGCCACTCCTTGTCATCATGTGGACCTACCTCAGACAATTTTCGAGCCCATCCTGGTTCAAAGAGCGTCGGCTCAAGGCTGGGACGTCAGATTTCGAACCAGCTTTGTCAGCTTTGAGAAGGAAGACGACGGGAAAATTCTCAGCCGAGTACGGGACGAGCTAACTGGGACCGAATACTACATCCGCTCTCAGTATCTCTTTGGGTGTGATGGCGCCAGAAGCCAAGTCCTGCGAGAGCTCAAGATCCCTTTGATCAAGAAGCCCGGCCAGGGATTGGCCTTGAATGTCTTGGTCAAGGTAGATCTCAGTGATTACGTCGAGGCTCGAAAGGGCAACCTGCATTGGGTGTTCCAACCTGAGAAAGAATATCCCGACTTCGCCTGGAGCGGACTGATCAGGATGGTCAAGCCATGGAATGAGTAAGCGAGGCTCTCGATTCTCTTGTACCGCAGCTACTAATCAAGGTTTCCAGATGGATGTTCATTCTATTCCCCAAACCTGGGACGGAGTGGAAAGAGCCCACTCGCGAACAATACCTCCAAAGATGCAAAGAAATTGTTGGCAGAGACGACCTTCCCTTGGAAATCCTCGATATCTCCAAATGGTACATCAACGAGATCGTGGCAGAGTACTACTCGGAAGGCAACATCTTCTGCCTCGGCGACGCCGTGCACAGGCATCCCCCATTCAACGGTCTGGGTTCCAACACCTGCGTCCAGGATGCGTTCAACCTGGCATGGAAAATCAAATATGTCACTCAAGGCCTTGCGTCCCCCGCAATTCTCGAGACGTTTAGTCACGAACGACAACCTGTTGGCTTGGGAGTGATCACCCGCGCCAACCAGGGTATCCGGGATCACGTCCCCGTCTGGAAAGAAATGGGTCTCATGGAAGAAACCGTGGAGAAGAGAATGAATATCTTCAACAGCCTGAAAACAGCCACACCTGAGGCCCGAGAACGGCGAAAACGGGTCAATGCAGCAATTGAAGGGACCAGCCACGAGTTCCACGGTATTGGTGTTGAGATGAACCACAGATATGAATCCACAGCCGTATACCTTGACGATGAAATCAAGGCCAGCACTCCCAAGCCTGAGTGGCCCGAAGATCCCATCTTGCATCACAAAGTCAGCACTTACCCCGGCCATCGACTGCCTCATGCATGGTTGAATCGGACCATGCCAGCGAAGGACCATACATCCACGATCGACTTGGCCGGCCATGGGCAGTTTTCTCTGCTGACTGGTATTGGGGGCGAGAAGTGGATTGAGGCAGCAGAGAAGGCGGGCAAGGAGCTGGGAGTCGAGATCAATGTCCACTCGATCGGGTGGGGACAGGAATGGGTGGATGTCTATCGGGATTGGTAAGTGTTTCTCTGGCGTGTGATTCAAAGCTTCGTGGCTGATTTGTATTGTGAACAGGGAGCGCAAGAGAGAGGTCGAGGAAGACGGATGCGTACTTGTCAGACCCGATCGGTTTGTTGCATGGCGGTCAATGAGCGTGCGGGATGACTGTGCTGAGAAGCTGACCGAAGTCTTGAAGAAAGTTCTTGGGCGGTCATAGCTGTGATCTGTTTGATTCATTCCTGGGTCTTGCGGTCTTGATCTTGGACGGGCGTATTGAGCGGTCCCCGGGGAAGGGATTGAGACATACATTTGGAGCGTACAATCTACGTTGCGCGACTTGTAGAAATTATCAACTTGGCGGGTTCTCTTCTGAAGGGGTCTTTTGAACAATTCAATCTTGCAAAACACAAAGAAGTCGCGAATATATCTCTGGACCGAGTACATACCTGCACATCGTCAGAGATCTTACATTCATTTCGTGTGTCTTTGCTACCTTGTCTCGTGCATCTCATCACCCGTCCAGCGTGCCCTCATGCTTCACAACGCTACCTATCTAGTACGTACCCACCTTCTCTCACCTCACAGACCCACCATCTATCTCCATGACAAAATATATCAATTGAACCCTCCAAATCTCTCTCAAGAATTCACACACAGAAAATTCCAATAAAAAAAACATCCAGTCTTCAGTCCCATCTCACGGCTCACACCCTGAGATGTGGTGGAGGCTGACAAGAACAGCAAGATTGGTTCAATGGTAGAATTCATCGTTGCCATCGATGAGACCCGTGTTCGATTCACGGATCTTGCACAGCCTTTCCTTTTTGCTCCGTTTCGGCGTTGTCGTCGATGTATTTTTGTTGGGGGGTTGGGTGTGGCAGGTGATTGAGGATTTAGTGTGGTTTACCTGGGGCGGAGGACTGCTCGGAGCTCGCAATGCATTCATTCCCACCATACATAGAACCCGCCTACATTGGATCGATCTGGATTGGTTAGTTGGTAGGTAAGGGGGGGGCGGAATACCTGCGTGGACTGGAGCGTGAGCGCGAGGGCGAGGGCGAGGGTGAGGTGAAGTGTGCAGAAAAATCTTTGTTAGTCGAATCCGCCAGATCCCACCACCTCGCTCGCTACGGATCCACAACAAGACAGCAAGTGGCGGTCGCTACACATGGCCACCTTGCATTTTCCGTCAGCTGGATGGAGAGGAGGGCGGAAGAGAATCACTTCTTTGTCCCTGAAACCAGACACCACGCCTCATGAGGAGGATCAATCAAGAGACTGGAGGGTCGATTTGGTACTGAAATCAGCTACGAGGACAGATGCTGCAGCAGTCGAAGTGGCAGCCGAGGTTGATATGCGATGCCAAAAAGCCAAGAAAATTCTCCACCTGGGGGTATTTCCGGGCTCTAGCTTCTTCAGGTATAGCGGGATTGGGGTGGATATCTGCCAGATACGAGGACTCTCTCCCCCTACACCATCCCTACTTTGTACCAACGTTTGATCAGGTCCTGAGACTAGAGAATGCATTGGCTTGCCCCCAAACCATGTCGTCCATAATCTCACCCGTAGCCCCCACATCACTCATCCTAGGCGAACCTTCCGCCACAACCTCATACACTCGAGCATGTCGGAGCCCACCTTCCCCATGACCGCATTGTTCGAACTCATCGCTTCTGCCACGACCGCGACAAGGGCGACGGCATGGCAAAACGCCACTTTATCCTTTTCCTTCTCCAGCAGACGGAACTGTTGTTTCTTCATCCCGCCAGCCGTGGCCCAGGCCATCCATTCGTCCAGGATCCCGATGATTCTCATTGCTTCGCTCTGTTCGTCTTCCACTTTCCCTTCTTCCTTCTGGGGTGGACTTGGATCCTGTAAGTCCACCACCATCAGATAACAAACAGCCTCGGCCAGGTCGTTCACAGTCCATTCCTTCCCCACTTCTCCCCTCTCTATCAACCATGTTAAGCACGCTTCACTGACGCGCTTGATGTCCATCCTCGGACTCGCAATCGCGTCAACGACTTTCCTTTCTTCCCTTTCCTGCCTCGCGGCAAGGGAGGTCATCATGTCATTGTGCCGCTGCTGTCTCTCGTTCGACTCCCGGTTCATCTTGTGGATCCGAGCTTGTTCCGGGGGCATGGTGGCCTCCAGTCTCTCTGCAGCGAGCCGAGCTTGAAGCCATTGCTGGTGTTGCCGTGCCAGCGTCATGCCGTCATTATGATCATCTTTTTGATACGACCACTGTGGTGCGTCGTTTTCGGAGAGAAGGCCAAGAAGGACCATCACACCGCACGGGATCGTGTCTTTGCGGACAAAGGTTTTGATCTCGGCGGGAGTTTCGAACGCCCAGAGACCGCCGCTGGTGGAGCTTTTATGGGCGAGCAACGCTGATGCCGCACAGGTAAACCATAGCGCTGCCGAGGATTGCTCGTATCTTCGGAATGGGGCGCAAACGAAGCCTGTTTCGATGTTGTTATGTTCCCAGAGGAGTTTTTGTATGCGGTTATCTTCAGTGTGGAACCGGAAGCTGCTGCTGTCCATGCTGTGTTTGTTTGCCGACTTCAAGCCCTCGATCCGCGTAGGTAAGTCTTTCTCATTTTCTTTCCGTTTTTCATTGGCTTCGAGCAAGGCAGGCTGAGTCAATCGTCCCCAGCCGGGAGGTAAGCTTTCCGCCCCTCTCATGTCTCTGACGGAGGTCGCTTCGTCTCGCGTCCATCGTATTGTTAGACTCAGTATCCCATCACTCTCATCAGGCATACTTGTTCGCAGCACCCAGTCGACGCCCCTTCCTCGTTTCTTAGTGCCTTCGTCACCATCGGCACCGTCATCCTCGGGTTTCTTCAGCAACACCGTCCCGCTCGGCGTCCATAACCCACCGCTCCTCAATTTCTCCCAGCCCATCCCTTCTGGCACAGCACCCCAATCCAGCAAGAACACTACCAAATCCTCAAAGCTCACTTCTGCAGGGGGTTCCCTCAATTCGTCCTCGTATTGGATTCTGTACAATCTTTTGCCAACAATGAGTTTCTTCCAGTGGAAGCCCCGCCAGCTGCCGCCTCGCAAAAAGCCACGGACGCGCCCTTCTTCGATCATGGACAGGGTGCTTTCTGCACGATCCAGTGTAAGGAGATGGTGGTGTTCTTCTGGCGCCTCTCTTCCCTCGGCCGTGGTTTTCCAGTATTCCTCATTTCCGCGCTCAAGAGGGGCGATAGTGTAGCGAGGTAACTCGACTTCGATAAGACTGGTCATTGGGGAGCTGCGGATGGTGAAGCCATCGTGCGGGCGCGTTGTGCTCACAGGTCTATGGCCGTGGTGGACGAGGGCGGCGCGGATCCGGCGCTGTGTAAGGATAGCGAGCATAAATGTGTACAGGATGGGAAGGACACCTAGGACGGCCAGCGGGACGCCGATGTAGGTGATGACGTCCGATGCGTTGGCCATTGTGTGCTCTTTGCGAGAAGGACGTCTCCGGAAGATAGTTCCTGGGCCTTCGCTTGGGAAAGTCAAGGAGGTCTCCAGTCACCTCTCACGGGATATATTGAGGAACGCAAGCCAGGCTGCATGGCAGAGTCATGCCTAGGAAGATGGCCGATGCTGGAGGGAGAGCTCATGTTTTAGAATTGTCAAGTCGAGCACAGTGGGCTGCGCAGTCTCTGCACGGACGGGGAAGTCCAGGCTATGATCAAATTGACTGGGTTGAGGGGCCAGAAGCAGAGAAAAGGGGTAAGCCAGGGGGTTGTGCTGTTTCAGCCTTGTCAGCCTTGCCAGCCTTGTCTTCACGTCTCCTTTCCCCTTCTTTCAAGCAGCATGGCCAAAGAAGCCTCCCATTATAAGTAGATGGACTTCTCTGATCCTTATACGAGTGAAGGTTCCTACCTTCCATCATCCTAATGAATCCTCAAAGGATGGTTCAGAGATATTACTTTGTCACGTGGTGAAGCTCCTTTGCCGCGTCAGCCTTATCGAGACTGATAAGGAACGAAGATACAATGTCGGAGCAGATTCAATCATGATATATATTCCTCCGCCAGACCTGTTGGCGCAGCATTATGAATCTATAGTTGAGCTCTGAACCGCCCATTAGAGGAGGTGATGCACTCCAAAGGGTGACTATGGCGTTTTTACCCCGGTTGCGAACCAGTGCGCAGACATGTCTCTGCATATGCCTTGGTCTCGCTGCGCTGCACCCAGCGGTGTCCGCCCAACAGATCCCGCTCAAATCCTCCGTACATGAGCCGCCCAGCTTCGACTTCACATCCACTGCTCCTCACATCTTCTCCTCACTTCGATATCTGTTGGAGCAGTGGCCCAACACGTACATTCCGAACGGACACTCGATTGTGCCGTGCGAGATTCCGGCTTTTACAAACCTCTACCATGGAAGACGAGATGAGAAACTCCCCTCGAGCCCGGAGTGGTTCGCGTTCGACGCCGAAATGTCCTACGGCATCATGGGCTCCAGCCGGAATTCGCACCTACTAACGTACCAGAACGTCAGGCCGGTCCAGTGTCTGTATTTCGACGGCATGTCCGCGGCGCTGATGGGCACGGGGCCGCTGGACTCGCAGATGGTGTTCTTGTGCGGCAACACGACCTGCTCCGAGGGCGCCAATGGGACGTGGCATAGTCTCTTTGACGAGTACGCTCGTGCCATGGCGCTGTGTGAGTGGGTGCAGAAGAACGAGCTGGGCGGGTTGGGTTGGGGCATCGAGGGCATCGTTCGGATGAATGCCGGTTTCGAGATCATCTGGTGCAACTTCACCAGCCCGAGCTTACGGCGAGTTAGCCACGTCAATGTTTCCGTGCCGTTACTACCTGAGAGTTTCAGAGACGACGTCTTGATTGGTGAAGCGGCGTTAATGGAATGGCTCATGCTCCCTGGGATGCTGGCCACGCGAACGAGCGCTGCTCCGTCAACCTCAGGTCGCGGTCCAGCATCGGAGATCCCAACAGGAGGCCCAGACATGCCTCTCCCGCCGAACTGGCGGAGCAAGGCCGAGCTGGAACCCTTCCTGCAGGCGCAGAGCTTCGAATGGTATCGCAGCGCAGCCTGGCACATGGGCAGTTCAGGTTCATCTACGGGCCGACCTGAGGGGCGAGTCAAGCCGAACTTCTGCGGATTTCTCAGCTACTATGATTCGATGCTCACGGAGCTCTCGTCCGCCTTCGCTGAAGAGGAAAGGATCCGTTTAAACCTGACCGCAGATGGAAACTGGAGAGGCCCAGGCCGTCGTGGGAACCACAGCCTCGCGGTGAAAGAACTCTCAACCCGGCGCCGCTCACACAACCTCTCCCAGATCACAAACTATGAAGCCAACATAATGAGCGAGGCCGTCCTCTACACCCTTCGCGCCCTCAACCACTCCTCGTCGTCCTGCACAGGCATCGACTGGGCCCAAAAGACAGTCGACATAACCTCCCGCTTCTCTCGACCGCTGACCCAGGTCCTTCAGGTTCTTACATCCCCGCCGGCCAACAACACGACCAACGCGACCTTCGTGAGGGAGTATATCGGCTCCCTCCGCTCGAAATCGCACGCCATGCTCATGCCCTACCTGGCTTATCCGCTGACCGCCGCTTCCCTCCCAGCAATCCACGCCCGCTGTACGACAAGCCAAACATCCGCGCTCCACGAACTCCGTTCCACCCTCCTCCCGACGGAACAATCCCTCGTCAACAACCTCGAGACCGTCCTCTCAACCATCTGCACCACGACCCTCTCACTAGCCTTCTCCGTCGAGCAGACCTGGCAGACATACTACCAGCACCACAACGCCTCCTCTCCGATCCCCACCGTCCCCGAGTCGGTCGTGCACGCCCTGGTCACGGAGCACAGTGCTTCCATCTCCCTGCTGCGCGCCTGGCTGGGCTGGTTCCCGGACGAGATACAATGCAACCGCGTCTGCGCCGTCGACGAATTCTGCTTCATCCCCATCTGGCCGCTCCTGTTCCTCGAGCCGCGGGGCGCACCTGGCGGCGGCCGTCGAACACCGCCACACCACCCACCGCCGCCTGGACGGGGGCGAGGGCCGGCACCACCCGGGCGAGGTCCACCACGTGGAGGCAACCCTTGGGGGGATTTGGAGAGCCAGTTGTGGGAGCCGCAGTGTTTGAAGGTTTTGGATTAGATTGGGAAAGTGGCCGGTTGGTGGTAGTGGTCCTGAAAGTCTACATGCGCCAAGGATGGAGAAATCTATATCTACATCATGCTGGTTCAAGCGCCGTGAGGAAAGACCTCGGGGGTCGTTCGGAAATAACAGGAGACAGTCCGGGTCGTCTTCACATCCGCCGAACTGTGTCATTATACTGTGCTGAACTTAGCAAGACAGGAGAATTTACGAAACGACTCCGTTGATCTATATAGAGAGACTTCGAGCCGGCACGAGGCTAGCTGGAAAGGGGGATATCATTGGACAGCCAAGTATCTGCAAGCCGAACGAACTGAGAGGCCTTAGTTAAATAGAGGAGAGTCAATGTTTTTCCGAGTCTGCACAGTAGAATTGTGAACGGAATGTGGGATGCTATGGTTTCCTCGTCCGCTGGGAGCAGATATACAGTACGGTAGAGTACAAAGGCTCGTGTGGCGGGTGCACGTGACAGGCCGTGGCTGACATAATCTTACCACGTGATCTAGAGTTACCTGCAAAGGGCTCCCCTCCAGTGCCCCGGGTGTCGACTACGGACAGCAGCACGACAGGAACATTCGATCGATTTTCTGGTGGTGAGGACTGCAGACTGTTCCACCGTCCATATTTGGTGCAGATTCTGGCTGCATGCATTTCGTCACCCGCCGCAGAATTTTTGCATGGGCCAGATAAATTTTTTACGTGCTTGGTGATTGGGCGAATCGAAGGGCCTCCGCCTGCGCCGCCTGCGCAGAAATCTTTGCCCAGTCCAATCGATCTCGCCGACCAATCTCTTCCTGCTCCATCTCCACAGAACTACGTCTTTTCGTTGCGAAGAAAGAATTTTGTGCAAACGACCGTGCAGAGAACTAAGACTTGCCTTCGTAAGGCTCTGATACTTCTGCTTCCTCTTGCCTGCACGAGAATCGCCATCGCGTTCATGTGCTTCCCCAGCATCTTCACCTCTCAAGTAAGTGTTTTTCTTTCCTGGCTTGCCCCCCCGCCAGCAGCCCACTGATAAGCACCTCATTTCGTTGTGTCACTGCAATACCAACGTCATTTGCAATCTCATGCTAACATATCGACTTCTAGGATTACATTAGTGGTAACTACTGACCTCCCTTTGGACTTCTTGACCTCGCTGACGCGGATGGTAGATCACTTGTGGAAGGCCCAGGCAAACTAGCGGTCAGGAAGAAGGAAAAACATACGAGTCATAATATTTCAAGATGTTTTCGAGGGCTTTGAAACAGTCAACTCTGGTGCCCAAGGCGGCCAACGTCTACTCGAGCGTCTCTGCTTTGCGAGCTCGGTCCCTGGCCACTGTGGCGGACAATACTCCTCGACAGCAACATCTGCCTGTCCACAAGCAGTTCAAGAGCACCTCCCCTTCTCGAGAAAGGGCGACGTTTACCATCCGAAACGGACCCATCTTTGACGGAGTGTCCTTTGGTGCCCGGAGCAACGTCTCAGGAGAAGCTGTGTTCACAACCTCTCTTGTGGGATATCCCGAGTCCCTCACCGACCCCTCCTACCGCGGCCAGATTCTGGTCTTCACCCAACCCTTGATCGGCAATTATGGTGTCCCATCTAATGCTCGAGATGAGCATGGACTTCTGAAATATTTCGAGAGCCCAAACATTCAAGCCGTGGGAGTGGTCGTTGCGGATGTGGCAGAGAAATATTCTCATTGGACTGCAGTGGAGAGTCTGAGCGAATGGTGTGCGAGGGAAGGTGTGCCAGCCATCAGTGGTGTCGACACCCGAGCCATTGTGACCTACCTACGGGAGCAAGGTTCTAGCCTGGCCAGAATCACCATCGGAGAGGAATATGACCAAGACCAGGATGAGGCTTTCATTGATCCTGAGCAGATCAATCTTGTCCGAAAAGTCAGCACCAAGGCTCCTTTCCATGTCAGCGCTGCGTCACCAAATGCCCACGTCGCTGTGATCGATTGTGGAGTCAAGGAGAATATCCTCCGCAGTCTCGTCAGCCGGGGTGCTAGCGCCACTGTCTTCCCATTCGACTACCCGATCCACAAGGTCGCCCACCACTTCGACGGTGTTTTCATCTCCAACGGTCCTGGTGACCCGACTCACTGCCAAGATACTGTTTACCATCTCCGAAAGTTGATGGACGCCTCTCAAATCCCTATCATGGGCATCTGTTTGGGTCACCAGCTGCTCGCCTTGGCAACTGGAGCCAGGACTATCAAGCTCAAGTACGGCAACCGAGCACACAACATCCCAGCCCTTGATCTCACGACCGGGAAATGTCACATCACCAGTCAGAATCATGGCTACGCTGTTGATGCATCAACTTTGCCCAAGGGCTGGAAGCCTTACTTCCTCAACTTGAACGACAACTCCAACGAAGGTAAGCAAGCTCTCCTAGTCAAGATCCAACCTCAAGTACTTACAATGCCATACAGGTCTCATCCATGAATCTCGCCCCATCTTCTCCACGCAGTTCCATCCCGAAGCCAAGGGCGGCCCGCTTGACTCGTCGTACTTGTTCGATATGTACCTGGACAACGTCCAGAAATACAGGGAGAACCAGGCGGCGTCTCAACCTTACCGGGACAGCAAGCCGAGCCCCCTGCTGGTCGATCTCCTGGCCAAGGAGAGGGTGGGTGTCGATCTGACCCAGGGCATCCAGAACATGATGGCGTCGACCACGCAGGAACCCGAGCGCGTGTACGCAGCCGGTGCGGCTTAATGATCCAAATCGAACGGGATACGGATATGTGGCGTAACTTGGGATTGGGTACCCCTTTTTTTTTGATGTAGCAAGTTTCACAAATTGACATTTGATTTGTTGTACGCCCCATCACCTCAAGACTATACGCCATAACTCCTTCGCTACTGGCCCATCGTGATTCCACGTCGTAAATGCATCAACGCCACATCAAAGGTCAAGAAAAACATTGTTCAAACACTCGTGCCCGATGCCACTGATCAATCCTCCGTACCCACTCCCACATACTCCCCAGCGCCGACGCCGCCGGATCCGCACCACATCTCGGCTTGCTCACACGAATGCATCGGGAGAAGATGAGCCCTCGGAGAGTTGCCTGACCGAGTCGGAGTCGTACTGGGGCTGGATCATGGGCCGTTGCTTGGAGCACTTCCGCCGGATCTTGGGCAGGCGGTAGAAGCCGAAGCCGAAGGTGTTGCCGCCGGTGCCGTAGCCCCGCGTGACCTGGGACGCGTCGAGCATGCTCTTGATCCAGGCCAGGTAGTCCAGGTTGTCCTCGAGGGCCTTGCTCGCCAGGCCCAGCGGGAACAGCCAGAACAGGGCCGAGTCCCGAGAACTCTTGGACGCGAGCAGCTGGAACTCGAACGCCCGGCAGATCTCGACGGCCGGCTCGACCAGCGAGTCGACGTCGCCCGGAAGGAAGAGGGCAGCGCCCGTGCCCGCGCCCGCGGGCTGCGTCGTCGGCAGGCGGACGGACGGCGGGGATTCCTGTTCCGGGGGTTTCAGCGTCCACAGCACGCCTAGCAGGAACAGCAGGATGGCGTTGTATAGCGACAGCTCCGCGGCTTTGGTGAAGGAGGAGAAGACCAGGACTTTGCGGACCGGCCGCGGCTGGGTGAGGAGTTGGTCGGCCGGCAGCGTCTCCGGGTCCACCTCCCACGCGACCGTCGGGTTCATTTCTTCCCACTGCCACCGCCAGTTGTGGGCTTTGGCGATCTGGTACTCGATGCGCTGGATGAGTTCGAGCCGGAACTGTTCAGACGGCGCCTGCTCGAGCTGCGCCTGGTCCTGCAGGAACCCAGGTATGTGGACCAGGATGTCGACCAGGCGGTTCTGCGGATTCTTGTTGTATTCGCCGCATATCGCCCATGGTTCGCTCAGCCATTCTGGTTGCTCCAGAAAGGTTCTGGTTCTCGTGATCAGCGAGACGGTGACCTGCAGCAGCCGAAATGTCAGCATCAGTTTCAACATCGGTGAGCTGTGCCCTGCTTACCAGCGTTGCCCGGCAGGATTCAAAGGCAAACCTCAACGGACCGGTCGCGAACCTCTCTGGACCGCATATTTGGATGAGCTTCAGCAGCCCTTGGATGTGGAACGCAGAGGCCTGGGGATCGGGGGTACTCGACTGTTTATGTGTTTGGTCAGCCTGCGGAGGGCACCCCCTGGTAAGCGAGGGTTGCAGCTAACTTACGGAGTGCATGAGAAGGATCATGATAGGTACGATCAGATTCTCACTACCCGGCGCCCCCACATTGGACAGTCGAGATGATAGGGCCCGAACTGTCTTGTCGTAATGTATGGCGCCGTTTACTTCTATCTCGGCTTGCCGATGGTGCCTGCCGAAAATGGTGAGGGAAAACGCTCGACAGGCCTCCAGCGACAGGGCGTCAAGCTTCCCTTCGGCCGACATCTGGAGCCAGGGCGAGCCATAGCTGCTCCACACGAAATTGTCAAAGAGATAGGAGAACTGGATATTGTCTCTGAAGGCAACAAAGCTCAGCTCCTGGGGCATGGAACCGGAGCTCGAGGGCGGACTGTCATTGGACCTGAGTACAAGATTCTGGGGCACACCTCCAGTCGTCGGGGGAGGGTCTTTGCTGGTCTTTGTTGAAGCCGATGTCGCGGGTTCTGCCTGATCTGAAAAGGTGTGGAAACGCATCTCCAGCTTCCTCTCATACCCAGCGCACGCGTATCCGGCCTTTTCGCATCGCTTACACGTCGGACGAGCTTCATCTGAGACGCCACGAGTGTCAGCCATTGGTCTGCAGGGAGACGCCCGAGACACACCACCACGACGGTTTACGTACCACACTTGACCCTCCTTTTCAAACAGGTATGACAGCCCTTGCTGCGTCCAGGAACACCAACCATGTTGATGAAGAAAAGTCGACTATCTCTGCATCTCGTCCATTGATGCCCCAAAAGGGAGGACCACACTTTATATCAACCCCGATGAATAAGGAACCCCTGCGAGGCTTTGTGGGTTTCTGTCATGGACGCTGGACATGCTCACGCCCATTTCAGCGGGCTCCACAAGGACGAGCTGTACACATATTGCTGCAAGGACGATCATTCGCAGGCTCGGGGAAAACGGGCCTCAGCCCCAATTGGTAGCTCTAGTGCCTAAAGAAACGGTGTTTGTGTCTGAGGCGTTTGGAATTGCGGGCCGAGATTTCCATTGCTCAAGCGATCGCATACGAGTAGCTAGCCTGAAGCAGCATCAGCTCAAGCGTGCGGCAGCCCCGATCAGGTTCGAGCTTGGCCGTTGTGGCCGTTTCCAAGTGGACTGGGGGCCCGATTGAATGGCGTCAGTGATTTGAATACACACCCTAGAGATCATTAGCGAGTTTAGCGACAATGGCTGCATCCTGGACTGAAGGCTGTGAGAGGTCGACGAGGTGGATGGGCTGCTGACTTGACTCTTTGTTGCGGTCCATCTCATGATTCCTGATGAGGAAAGGCGCAGGTCTTGGCACTCTCCGGGGGCTGAGTCGCAGTGGTTTCTCAAATTCCCACGACGCCAACCCTCCAAGCCATCAATTTAGTCTGTATTATTTGATATACATCTTTCAGCCTTGGACCACAGCTCCCACGCTCCGTCACCACTGGAACCATTCCAGCTGCGTCAAGCTTCTGACAAATTCGTTCTCGAGACTGCGATGCTGCACAGCATTCTCCTCGCCCCGATCCAAGTACCTACGTCCCATTCTGGCCCCCACCGCCTGAAGCCGCCAGTTCTTCTATAAGCGAGACGAGAGAGCCTCAGAGTTCCCCGACGGCCCAGCGATTGGCGGCATGCTGCTGAATAATAAGCCCTCACAAAGCCAAGATCCACAACTATACGAGACACCTCAAGAGGTCGGGGTACACAGACTCTCCTCCTTGCTCTGGAGCTTCTGCTTGGTATCTGGATGCCTAGGGGGTCGCCCAATGGGCTTCATTCGGCCGAGTGCGACGACAGGTGGACGGCGTTAATACCCTACTCCCTACACGAGCTTTATCCGGCAAGATCATCGCTTCCTCTTGCGGTGAATGGTCCACTGCTCGCACCTCCAGGTGCTGGCTGCAGGTCCCGGCACATTCATCAAATTATCTAATACAATGCTTGACCCTCCCCAAGCTTCACACCTAAGCAATTATGTTAGCCGCTGGCTCGTGGACACTCGGACCCGGAGATGGGAAGTTCCAGGTAGGCTTTTGACTTCTACGGCCAAACCGGCACTGGTGGACTCGCAAGTGAATGCTCTCGGTGACCTTGGACACCCGACGAATCAAGCCTACAAGCAATGATTGTATGACGTAGCGACATCTATCATTCGTTGTGCGATGCGGCACTCCCGCAGAGGCTTCACGGGCAGAAATTACACGTTGTGCCAGAGTTCCTCGAACCAGAAAAGGACGATATCCAGTGTGAGACAGAAGGGTTCTTCCTAACCCACCAGACGCGTTCAGACTGATAAAACAAGAGGCTAGGAGAAACGCTCAGTTGTATCTCGCCTTGGACTTCCTGTCCCTTGACAAAATGTGCTCGCAGATGCAACCGGTCATCCTTTTCTTCAGGTACCCCAGTTGCTGCACCCATTTGAGTTCGCCACTACATGTGTCGCAGAGTACAATGCCCGGCGTTGTGAATGCTGTTCATGCGAGACACGTGTAGGCGTTGGCAGCGCGTTGGCAGCGCGTTGGCAGCGTTACCTAGCAAGGGAGCAATGTCGGTGTGAAGTCCTTCGAAGGAGCAAAGTACCCACCGCGTCTCGGGGGTCAGTTGCGCATAGTCCTTCGGGTAATAAGCCCACGTGCTCCCTCCTCTACGGAACAATAGACTCTATTGTTTTGTTTCGCTCGACCGGCACGACGGTAGATCGACCTCGTCGATAGAAACCTTCGAAAGATTTCAGTTGTTTAACATCAATACCCAGAGCGGGTGCAGAAGATCGTTGATGAAGCCCCTCAGCGGAACTCATTTAGACAACTCACCCATGTTTTCCAGAACGGCTCGAGCCTAATCCCTTCATCTTGACCGTTATGACTTGCCTGATCGTGATCCATTCAGGACGTTGAGCCGTGCTTCAGATATGAGTTCATGTTGTTCGGTCATTGCCGGACGATCGGACGACTCACTGCGCACGCAACACACTGATCAATCCTTCGTGGTTCGACGTTGGCAATCGCTCCCTGTGATATCGGCGCCGGCACTCCTCGGCGAGCTCTTACCTTTCATCCACATGGTATTCCCCAGTATGCAGTCTGGCTTTCTGCTACCATTGACTCTATGGTGGTGTGAGCGGTAGAATGTCTCTTCAACATCAAGATACGTGCCCCAGTCGATGGAGACATTAGTGCAGAGGTCGACCGTGTCCGCGTATTGCAGCTCAACGAGGTCAAATCGCGTTGACGCAACCGAGAATAGAAAAGTCTTTCGTGTGTACTTTCAACGCAAGGCAGATTTCCTCAACAAGCCAGGTTGCAAATTGACATTCTGGACATGTCGCTCACATTTTGTTACTCCTTTCCAGGCGAATGCCAAAAGATCTTACTCCATCTTGGTCGTTACGAAGTAGATGCACGACAATCGATGCAAGACTGAACGGCGAAACAGTCACGTCCATGAGGTCATTTTGTCCAAACATCTGTCTTGCTCGCTCGAGAAACGGGTGGAACATGGATGAACGGAGCCGTGTGAAGCAGGTACTGACTGAATGGGCTGAATCTCTCAGTGCTCCCGAGCGAGTCCTGGCCAGCCCGTACTTCGGAGATTATAGCAGTCCATATCCCGTCCTTCGCAAACTCGGAGTCAGGCAGCCAGACAGATAGTCCACCCAGAGAATTGAAGCAAGAAGGGGTAGCTCAATCTAGCGCAGCTGCAACCAAAGGGATAAAGGAGACATCGGGGTTCGGGGAATTCGAGCATTCGCGGTGGATGATATCCCCTCGTTCAATGTGGTCGACGAGGCCGCGGCGGCCTGGATTGAAGTTGCGATAGATCTGCAGTGCTAGAAAGTGATCATCGGAGATGAAAGACCCTGAATTCTAAAAATGCAATTGTCGACTCATGGAGCATACATCCCCTGACGCGGCTTGGTAGCAGTCTTCAACTTGCACCCATCGCAGCTATACGGCGGTGGAGTTATTGAAGAGCAAAATTTCCCCTAAGAAACTTACCCCTAACGGGAGCCCCTGCTCGCCCGCGCGGAGGGTTATAGTTTTGCGAACATCATTTCTTTGCCGGTTTGCGAGAATCGTCGTTGCAGCGCGTGGTGATGACTTTGAGGGAAGTGGACTGCTGGTTCGAATATGCAGGGCCCGATCGGCAGACGTTATTGAATGTGTGTACACCAACGTCGCTGTCAACGGAGAAGACAAAGAACAAACGTAGAAGCATCTGTATCAAGTCTTGGCATTCAACTATACCCCTCCTTTGTATGACAGAGTCGAGGTGGGATGTGCTGGAGGCGGTGATTCCTCACTCGATCTGGGGTGCTAGGGGGTCTTACCCGAGCTGGAAGAGGGTGAAATGGGAAGCCCGATGTGTGTATCCAACCCCAAGGTCCAAGAGCGACAAAAGGCGCTTGATTCGCCGAAAGCCAGCATAAGCGAATCATTGGCTTGCGGCCACAGTACCAACTGGATGGAAAGCGACGCTAAGTCAAGCTGTCATTGCTCGAGCCATAAGGTTGTGGTCAGTTGAACTTGGCTCGCGGTCGCGAGCTGAGACTGTGCCGTTTAGCCACTATCAGCCCACAAAAACCTGCCGAGAAACCCTGAGTTCGGAACGTCCACATCAAATAAGGACAACCGGGCATTTAAAGCATGTTCCCCACATTAGGGGCGGAGAAGACGAGGTCCGAGCCTGACTCCGAAGCCTGGTCTTGCGGGTGATGCCTCCGGCAACCCTCTGGTTGAGCCAGAAGACGAATCGCAGACTGTGAGAGATTGAGGCAGCAAGTATGGAAAGGAAGATGAACATTGTCGTATTTCGGTGTTGTTGACGAGACAATCTGGCAGCACAATCCCAATGACGTACCTCGTCAGACTTCAAGGTACCGCCTTGCATTGTGCTTCTCGTTAATGTTGAGAGAGGTGGGGGAATGAACCTAGACATAGCCGGACTAGGAGATGATCGTCATGAGGGCAAGATAGGTTTTCTTAGCGCAGTGGCTTCCTCTCGTTTGCTGACGCTCTGATCCGGCACGAGAGCCGAAGATGAAAAGACCCGTGCAGTCCGCGAAATCCTCGAGATCACAACATGGGTCTCGCAGACACCAGGCCAGTAAAGGTTGGGGGACAAGGATGTTGCTCCCAGGGGGTAACGTCATCAGGGAAAGGAGCTGGCTCTCTGCATCGAAGATTGTGCCGCAATCTGCCAGATATCCCTCAACGCAAGCACCTAGTTTGGTCCTGCAGAGTCATGTCAATGCAGCTTTCTGAACTCTGTTTTTCCAATGCAAGGACGAGTGACTATGGCAGCACTCCCGCGCCAGACTTAAGGGATGACAGCTGGGGTTGATGCCTGCGGTAATTGGACCCTAACCCTGGACATCCACAGAGTGGTAAGATGGTTAGCGAAGCCAAGGCCAGATGACAGATCCCGGAGGAACAGATGCTGCTCCTCCAGGTTAGGCCACAAGCAAGGAGCTCAAATTACGTACAGGTGATTGGCAGAAGCCCCAGAAAGCATGTGAATCCAGGTTGAGACAGGGCAGGATGCGAGGATGGAGGGCGCAGGATGAAGGTTTTGGAAACTGGAGCCGCAGGGAGGTGAAAAAACCACGGGCGATTGTTTCCCGGGCCTGATTTTGAGGAATAGCGTATCTCAATGAAGCAAGGGGACGGACAGGGAGCAGCCAAATGCAGTCTTTGACTTTGGGATGGAGGAGGAGGTGGACGAGTTTGTCGTGTGTCGGCTCCCCGCCTTTCAAGATTTCCAGCTTTTTTCCACCTTTGCAGGCTTTGCACCATGCCACATCCGAGGGCAGCGGACAGTGTTGACGCAGAAAGTTTGCTGTGTTTGTGGAGTTTGTGGTTGACAGATGGCGCTAGTTGGGCTAGTGGAGCTAGGGGATCTAGTGGAGTCTAGCGTAGTGGCCGCCACCAATCGCCCGTCCGCCCTCGGCCCGTCACTAATCCGCGCATCCAACCACAGCAACCACTTCCCCCCCAAAATGCACGTCAATCCTACAAGCCACTCGACTCCATACACCGAGATCCATCCCTTGCATGCTTGTCGCAGCCACCTCTTCGGATCCTCCTTGCCGGCATATTGGGGCCACTGTCGATTGGCTGCTCAGGATGCCTTTCGACCTTGCGGTTGCCACCCAGTGCTCAATCGGGCCTCGCGATTGCTTGGATGCACAGGTTGCTTCACCCACAAAGGGACTCGAGATACGGGACATGGCCTTCTCCCCAAGCCATGCCAGCCGCAAACATCTCAAATCATGTCTTTCAGACTCCGTCGCTCACCCTGAGCGTTGACAAACGTGGTCCATTTATACACCTCGCGAGACCCTGGAATGTTCCCCCGTTTCTCCCACCCGTCACGCACGCCCGCCTTGACATGAGTTGCATTGACCTGGTAACCTGCCTATCCTTCCACCTTGTTCCTTTGTAAACACATTTGGCCTATATCTTTTTGTCTCCTGCCTTCTAAGATCACCACATCCTGGATACCTAGGTATCCATTGGATCACTTGCAGCCCCATGTTGCAAGCAAGGCTGGACATTCTCTACATGCGAGACACAGAGGCTACCATGGAAACCTCGGAACCAATCATGGCGCTCCCGCCCACCGACACCTCTGTGGGCGTCTCTCTGTTCGCTCGAGATTCCATCCCGAGACTCCCGGAGATTTCGCAAATCACCCTTGAGCACCCTCGGACCGAATGGCATACTTACAGCGAGTCCTGCCCCAGCCCAAACATCCCGACGCGGTGTGAATCAATTTCGCGCGCACGCATGCCGCAATTTCGACAATCCCGAAGATGGGCCAAGATGTATGCCTGGTCACGCGCGGAAATGGAGGCGGCTCCAACACCTCTCGACGCCGAAAATCTCCCTTCGACAGGATATCTATGCACGTCCGCCACTGGCAGCGATCAGCACCTCGGACACCCAATCTCTCTACAACATCGCAGGCTTCCCAAAGCGATGGCCAAAACATTTGGACGTCCGAAAATCCACCGGAACATCAGCGAAGCCAGCGCTAGTTCTCATCACCGCAACCTGTGCGCGCACAGCGCCGCTTATTACTGGCGATGTGTCAAACCTCTCATCAGCAAGGTACCTCGCGCAAGCTCGAGGGTGTGGCCGAATGGACGGCCTCGAAACCGGAAAGTGACAGCAACGAGGCGTCAAGACGTCGCGGGCCGGCGGCCATCAGCTCTGATTTTTGTGCCCGCCAACTCGCGAAGGGAAAGCAAGATGGAGAACGATAACGACAAAAGCTGTTGCGAACCTGGCTTGACTCTCGCCAATGGAGCTCTCGGGTCATGCCTCAACGGAGTCAGCCACGTCGAGAATGAACCTGCTGGGTGTACCGGCCTTGCAGCATCGCCGATGCCCTCGCTTCATAATCCCATCAGCAGCGGCCGATTGTCAGACGAATGTAGAAACGTTCAGAAAAATGTGAACTTTGACAACGATCGCTTGCATCCGACTACCTCTTCAGTACCCGCTGTCGTCATGCGATCATCTGCGAGGAAGCACACATCCCAGGAATTCACCCAGCAATCGGAGACTGCCCGCAAGCGGGTATTGTCTGCAATTACCTCCAAGCCTCTCCCTCCATCACCACCAAGAACAGAGGTCAGCATACCTATTGTGAACAACACCTCCACGCCCCCCCTCTCGGCTCACCCACCTCAATGCCGAGAGTTTGCAGCTCAAGCTCCCGGCAACATTCTCAGCAGCCTTAATGGGATGCTGCATACTGCACAAACCGAGTCTCTGCCAGTCGTTTCATCGTCTGCTGTATCCCGTGAGATGAATCCACGATACCAGCATCAAAGCACTGCCATCAGCCCACAGCCCAGACCCACGCGGCCTGTCATGCGTCTCTCTTCCGCACGCTCGGCTAAGAGCGCCAATACTCTGGTGGGAATAGAAGCTCAAGTTCAAAGAATGTCGCACTACAGCATTGACGTGGAACTGAGACGAAATGGGTCCACTGGATCCAGCACTCGAAATAGCGGACCTCCTCCCACCATACCGTTGCCTGCGTTGCCGCCCGAAGCACACAATGGACAACTGGCCGTGGCCAAATCCACAGAGGACTTGGCGAGGCTGGAAGGTGGTCTCGAAGAGAACTTACAGATTTGTCTTCACTTTGTGCGCCATGTCATCCAAAGCACTCGCGCTGATAAGGTCCGAGAAAGGAGGATGCGCGATCTTGCCAAGTCGCGCAATCGTTCGGGCAAGACTGACGGTCTGGGAACGAACGAAGCCCGCAAGAAGAGCTCCATCTCCAGAATCTCACAGACTGTCGCATACCACGTGGATGAACTTGATCACTTTCCAGCTGTCCCAGATTCCCGACCAACAAGTCTCTACAGTATGTCTACGTCTTGTTACAGTCGCCAGCACAGCCCAGAGTTGAGGATTCGTCAACAACGCCGCATGTCCAAAGTCCAATCAACTGAAACCCAACGGAGCATTCCTCAAACGCTCAGTCAGAGCAATATTTTCGTCGTTGTCGATACCGATCCCGTTACGGCGCGTTTTCGCGCGGGCGCTATAAGCCCCAGACTGAGCATTGCAGGCAGTACCACCAGCGCGGCAAGTCCAAAACATGCACGAACTCCTTCAAAGCTCAAAGAGGTCATGGCCAACAGGTTAAGTCTATGCGAGAGCCCGAGGCGAGACAATGTTCTAGGCAGCCCCATGGAGAGCCCGAGACGGAAAGCAGCAGGATGCAGCCCGATTGGCAAGCAAGGTGTCAAACTTCGTCGATCACAGTCTTGCTCGAGCGGCCAATTCAAGCCTCCTGGAAGAGTTGACAGCCCAGCCCCGAGCAGTTCTAGTGACGACAATTGGCTAACCCCTGGTGAAAAATTCTCGCCAGTCAAGCCTGCCAGCCCCAGTCAACAGAGGAAACGCCGACGATGGAACAGCGGCGACATCAACCTCGTCAGACAGCTGCACCAAGATCTACGCGACTACTATGTCACGATCTTGGAGCAGGAGGAGAAGATTAAGTGGCAAGCCACGCAGATCCAGACGATGATGAAGATCTTTGCGCCAATGAACCAGATCCAAGGGCTGGAAGAATCTGTCCACCTTCAGGATTCTCCGGACCGAGACACCCACCCAAGCAACAGACAAATCAGAAAGTGTCGGAGTGCCGTTACAGACAGGCGACCGCCGAGTTCCGGTTCTCGCTCTCGCTTTCCACTGTTTAGCATCAACGAGCAAACACTCAACAGCCAAGCTCACAAAGCAGCAAATAAAGGGGATGCTAGTAGCACAGCCCCTTCTTCAGATACGATGTCCCTGGCGTCCCTCAGAGCTAGTGCTTCTGAGACGTCACTGACGGAGCAGGAAAAACTTACGGTACCCGTCCGCAAGCAAGGCGCCAACCTGGATACATGGGGTTGGATATAGGTCGCGTGGGCCGCTGGCGCTGGCGCTGGCGCTGGCGCTGGACTTGCGAAAACATGTAAACTTACAAGGAGGATCTGGAGTTCACGTCGGTTTGGCCAGGACAGGTCTTCGGGATAATGGATGAAATTGGATGAATCACCGATAATGATAGGAAATAATGACAAACATGAAATCAAGTGCAATATCGCCCAAGTGACGCTGAGCTAACCCGCGACCAAAGTCAGGACGATAGCTTGTGCGCCCCTCGGTTGTCATCTGAAGAGCACTAACAAAGGTTCATCGAGGCAGATTCGATAGAATAATGCATCAAGTGTCAGCGCGGCCCATGTTTATAGAATGTTCTGGAGGAAGAAGAGCGGTGATCACATGTCAGGCTGATGCCAAGCAAGGCAAGGCTGTGGCGAAAAGTGATGAGTCGAGGTCAGAGCATCATCTTTCTTGCGCGTCCATTCTTTTGAATCAGAGATGGAATATTACCCAGCACGAACACAACACTGACCAGAAGCAACATACATCCAAGAACCATGTCCACCACGGCCAACGACAACCTCAAACCGCTAACATCTCTCCCTTTCCCACCCGTCACTCCAGCGCATATCCTAAATTGCTCCTTCCACTCATGGTATCCCCGTTTCCGATCTCTGACACCCAAATCCCGTCTTATTCCCCTCTCCCAGCCATTTCTGGACTATCTGCGTGCCGACGGCATAATATTGCCCCCTGAGCACGGGCCCAGCGACGCAGATAGTGGATTCGAAGACGGGTTCCAGAACGACGACGACGAGGAGAGTGAAGATCCTTCGGAACAATGGGCCGACATCCACAGCAAGATCCGCTCTACGATATCGGAACTGGGAGGCAAAGTGATGCCGAAACTGAACTGGTCGGCGCCCAAGGATGCCACCTGGATCGCGACCACAAATGACATGGAATGTCGAACGCCAAATGATGTCTATCTGTTGTTAAAGTCGAGCGACTTCATTACGCATGATCTGGAGCATGCTTTCGACGGATGCACTATCGCAGACCATTCCCAGGGCGACGACCGGCGCGACGTACAGGATGATAATGACAAGGGCCCTGGCAAGGAAAAAGCATTTCCTGAAGTTCCCTACCATCTTGTACTACGGAAAGCATTTAACCTGAACCCCTCGCTCGAATTTCGGTGTTTCATCCGCGAGCGGAAACTCATCGCAATAAGTCAACGAGAGATGAACCACTTTGATTTCCTCTTCGACCTGCGAGATCCATTCAAAAGGTTGATCCGGGAGTTTTTAGAGCAACACTTGCTATCTGGTAGCGGTGGAAAGGGTTTTCCAGACGAAAACTTCGTCGTGGACGTCTACATTCCTCCACCGCACGACCGTGTTTGGTTGATCGACATAAACCCTTGGGCACCACGGACGGATCCACTACTCTTCTCCTGGCTGGAGTTGTTGCAACTACGAAGCCCAGAAGCGTCGGTGGTGAGATTGAGAATTGGAGAAGGGCTAGATAGTGCAAGTCGAGAAGAGGAGGAGGATGGGGATGATGAAGACGACGACGACGACGACGACGACGACGACGATGTAGTCTTCGATCCCGAATTCCGACTCGTGAAACGAGATGATCCAGAGGCCTATCAATTCTCGGCCACGAAGTACTCTGCGCATAAACTGCCCAAGGAAGTTGTGGACGCAAGCATGGCGCCAGGAGACATGAAGAACATGATGGAAGAGTGGAGGAAAGTCATTGACAAGCAAGTGGAAGAAGACGATGATTCGGACGAGGACGAGGGACATACTTGAACGCCCGCAAGGGAAGGGAAGACATCCTTGTCCTTTGCACTCATCCTAGTGGCCCCGCGTCTTTGCCGCTGAGCATTCTCTTCCTTGACACATACAAAACAATCCACAATATCATCGGTCCATGGCTGATCATCACAGCTTCTACTCTGAGCCAGCTTGACGAGGATGAGCTCCACGAAATGAGCACTTTGACGAGTCGCATTCCGATCTGCAGACTGTCGACAGGCATGATCTCGAAATCCTTGATATGGTTTCCGGGTTTTGATGTTCCTGCACCGACGCATAACCCACTGAGGCCACGAATCTGCTGTTTCAGTCTTCTGAGGCCGTGGCGGCTTGGCCTTGGATGAGCTCGCATCTTTCCCTGTCGCGCCTGTCTCGTGCCTAATGATACCCTCTGTAGCATCCACAAACAGCCATAGACGTCTCCAATCCTGCAAGACTCGACTCGGCGTTCTTTTCCATCAATCCCATCGGCCGAGCGGAATTGATGCTGGTCCGGGAAAGGATGGTGGCCCCATCTAGTACTCATGGAACGTGACAAAAGTGCCAAAATGCTCACTTCCTCCCCGCCAGGAGTGGCCTTCGTTCCATCAAAGCATCAAAGCCTGCTATCAAAGGTGCGCTGCCCCAACGACATATCGATTGGCGATTCATAGTCGAGCAATTAACGACTGAGCATGTCAAAGAGCCAAGCTTTCTATGGTGTTCAGTCTGCGTCGATCGATGGTCCAAACAGTATCGTTATTCGGACAAGCACACCTCGCCACACTGATGAGGAGAGGATTTGTCTCGCATGCAGATGATGGACAGTCCATGACCTACCTCTGATTCCCTTGCATCAACATGGGTCGCCTGAAACTACGTTTTCTAGCCCTTCCGTTCATCAAGCTACCAGCCCCGGAGGAAAGGGTCCGCATGAACCCCGCACCTCCTTGTGCACAAATGGTTCAAGGCTGAGCTCAAATATCAGCCTGTGACTGCCTCGCTGACCCCTATGATCACGGTTTTGTCTCGAATAGATGACTAGAGTCAAGAAGAAGACCATGGACCCACCAACGAATTTATCTGGCATCGTCGACCCGGAGGCTGGTCCTACCGCCCCGGCAGATCAGGCGCAGGCACAGTCGCAACCTGCTCAAATACCGTCGTCGTCGTCGTCAATGTCGGACTTTTCATGCGTCTATTTCGGATATGGTTCCAACTTATCAGCACGAACGATGAAGCAACGATGTCCCGACTCCCTCTTCATAGGGCTTGCAGAGCTGAAAGACTGGAAATGGATCATCAACGAAACCGGATACGCAAACATTGTTCCGTCTCCGGGAGATGTCGTGTACGGGAGTCTGTGCTTTCTCAGCAAGAGAGACGAGATGGCACTGGATGAAAGCGAGGGGGTCCCCTGGTTGTATGAAAAGATGACATTGCCTGTGAGGCGGCTTCTCGGTAACGTGGAGAAGTCATCCGACTGGGCGGATGGCGGAGATATACAAGTCCAGGCCACGACGTATGTGGATGTACAGCGGACGACGCTCGGCAAGATTGAACGCGAGTACGTGATCTGGGTCAAGAAGGCGATCGAGGACGGGCACGCCGCGGGGATGCCGGCGGGATACGCTGAGAAGTACCTGCGGCCTTTCCTACCGACAGATGAGAGGCAGTTGGAAGATATCGTGATGGTGAGGACGACCAAGTTTGGGGAGCACAGCGCTGGGATCGTGCCTCGAGGATTCGCAAGCTGGTCGAGGGGATGATGATGGTGATGCCTTGGTGCAGGAGAAGGTGGACGACGTCGTTATCGATAGCCAGCTGAGATGCGCGCTAACCAAATATGGGAAAACACCAACAACGCGCAGCCTGGGGAAGCTGAGAATCATCTTTCCATGATAGAACACCCCTCTCATAGTTGCTGAGGGGGTATTGCATCCAGACCTCGTTAACTCGTCATACAGAATCCATTCACCGATATGCCCGGCGAGGACACCATCCTAGAAGGGCCGGTGACCCCAGCCCCAGTATTCGCCTACCGTGCAATCCGCAGCATCTTCTTCGCCTCGCCCGAATCTTCGCCCGAGCACGGCAACAAGGAAAACCTCGTACCTGCGTTCCCCTCGTCCCCGAAACGGATTGTTCCTTTCGCAGAAAACTCACCCCAACCGTCACCGTCACCGTCACAGAAGCGCAAGAGGGAGGGCCACACCAGGAGTGGCGGCGGGACCATCCTCTCTCCTACAAAGGGCATACTCCGCACGCCGGGCCTGGCAACACCGCGAGCAAAGTATCTGAAGGACATCAATGTCAAATTCAAGAGCGTCAGCCCCGAGGCCCCGAAGCTGGTCACTCTGCCTGTTTCTCCGAGACAGCGAACAACCAAAGTCCGCGATCCGCCAGCAGCACTTTACCCGTCAAAATCCAGCATCGAGCTGACATCGCCCACCAAGACAAATCCGACGCCGGTATCGCAGAATCTGCTGCAGCACGAGCAATTACCGGCAGGAGGCAACCATGCCACCGAAGCTGCGCCTCCAACGTCACCATGCCTCCTCTCCCGAGCCGCAATCGAGGCCTACATCACGCAGACCGAAAAGGAAATGAAGAAACTGGTTCGCTACGGCCAGAAAATGCGCGAGTACGCGCGCAAGAAGGACGCGGAAAACCAGGAACTGAAGGGCATGATCGAACAACTCCGCCGGGAGAACGAGAGACTGAGCCGAGGCGCGGACGGCGCTCCGGGATGCCGCCCCGGCACCAGCGGTCTTCCGCAGGCGGGCAGAGAAGTGAAGGATAAGGAGGAAGAGAAGAGGGCCGGGGCTGATGTCTTAGGTACGGATGCGTCGCCGGCCCTGAGGAACAGACCTCCAGGCTACGTCCGGGAGGAAGTCGATAGGGTCGAAACGACGGTGCGGAGCCAGGCGGTGAAGGTCCCAAAGGATGTGAGGCACTCTAGCTTGTCGAAGACTGCGAGCATAGGACGGAGCGCCGGCGCGGGCATCTGCGAACCCTCGAAACCTTCTGGTCCTTCGCGCAGTATATCGAGCGACCACCCACCAGCGATCAAGCGATCAATATCAACAACCCCGACCTCAAAACGCACACCTTCGTCTTCAGCGAGGTCGTTCGCCGCCGTTCCCAGCAAACAGCCTCCGTCCATGGAGACAGACCCAGCGACAACGTCCGTCCGCTCCGCCTCCGCCTCCGCCTCCGCCTCAGCCAGCACCGTCGCCGCTCGACCCGGCCTCACAAGGCTCCCACCCGAGCGCGTAGCCGCTGCTCGCGACAGGATCCGTCGACGTACCGAAGCGAGGAAAGCAAGTGTCCTCGTCGAGATCGAGGTCGTCTCCGCTCTGGACAAGCAGGGGGAGGACGGACATGCCGTGCAGGGCCGGCAGCTACCTATGGAGACCATCAGGGAGCAAGAACCGCTCGCAAAGCAGCTTGAGGAGCCGAGCGAGGTCGACTGGGCGAATCTCTGACTTGTTTGTACGTCGTGTCATTCTCGCGCGTCCATCCTAGTCCGCTCCTGCTGCACAACCACTCATGTGTGTTTGTATTTTATGTATTTGTCTGTGTTCTCCATCCATCCGCATTCCTGGCCCAGCTACATGAAATAAGAGGCTACAACTTTGGATAAACGAAGAAACAAATCAAGCTGGAAGACGACTCGTGTGAGCCGAAGGATTGTGTGGGAATTCTGCAATACCAGTTTTGTCTCACTGAGCAGCGAGCAGACTGAACTGCGAATACAATCAACTCTGAGGCGGTGTGCGAGGATGCCATTCAGGACCATGTCGCTCGGTTATTTTCCAGTCTACCTAGATACCTAGGTATCTAATATGTAGATGTGCGCTCCGGGACCGGGGCATTTTTGGCTGGGGCATCGATCCACTCATCAATCCTCCCATCGAGAACGCAAGTCTATATGGTATCATATCACATTTGGCGAAAAGCCCTACCCCCAGCCTCGTTTTTAATATATCATGTACCAGGGACCCCAGTCCATAAAGGTGCTTCAACCAAGGCTCTCAGTGGCAATGGCCATCCCCTCGGTCTGCGTCCCTTGTGTCCGACTCAAGCCGGGGTATTTGGCCTGCTCGCGTTGAAACTGCTGCTCGCGGTCCTCTTGCGCCTTCTCCGCGGCCTTGCGTTTCTTCTCGGCTTCCTCTCTCTCGCGCGTCTTGATCGAGGAGTAATTCAGGGCCGAAATGATCATGACTGGCACCGTCGTAAGCGATCAACCATATAATTTGGGCAATGGGTTGGGGGTCGAGGAAACTTACAAGCACAGAAACCAATCGCCAACGCCGCACGACGGGTCAACACCCACCGCAGACCCTCCACCTCGCTCCTGGCTTCGCTGTTCAGAAGCACTGTGATTTCATAGTTGAGTTCCGAGATTTTACTATCGATCTTTCGCTTGTCTTCCTGCAGGCCCAACTTGCGGTCGTTGAAGAGCCCCTTCAACTCCTCCTTGAGCGTCATGAGATCCTGCGTCACCTTCTGATTCAAGATGTCGTACTCGTGCTGCAGCTGCGCTCGTTGGCTGCGTTGCTTGAGGGTCTCCGAATGCCGTGTGCTCTGCAGGGTGGTCTTCAACTCGGAGCAGGCTGCACGGAACAGGTACGATTCGTTCTCAATGTCGGACTTTGAGACGAGGCCCTCCTTGGCGACGTCGAGATTCAGCGAGAGCATGAGCCGGATGGCCTTCATCAGCGTGATGGCCTGGTCGACGGTGTAGGCGTCCTTGTCCTTCGCCGCCAACTGTTGGACCAGCGAATAAGTGTCGAAATGATGCTCGTACGGAGATGGTTCGAGATGGGGATGTTTGGGCGCGTCTTTGCCCTTGACTTCGGACGGCGAGGGTATCGCGAGGATTAGGTCAAGTTCTTTGTTGTCTAAAGGCTTGTCCTCTTCGACGTTGATTTTATGGTTCTTCGTGCTCATTGATGCTTCGTCGATATAGTCTGACGTGGCATTTGATGCTTGGGGCTCATCTTGTCCAACTTCTTCTGCGGTGGGGACATCTTTCACGGAGCCCGATTGAGATGATTCTTTGCCCTCTTTTGACTCTTCCGTCCCCTTTTCCTTTTCCTTGACCTCTTGCTGAGAACTCGCCGGTTCCGAAGGTTTTGACGGAGGCGGGAGGTTCTGGGACGCAGCGGGGCCGTATCTCTGGGGAAAGGTATCTTGCTGGCGGCGTGCAGAGGTGTGCAGTTTGGCTTTGCGACGAGGTTTTGCCGCAGCTGGCGGAGGGGCACGAATTGAGTGGTAGGTGGTCGGCTCGCACGCACGCACGGCGCGCAGGAAGTTTGGGTACAGAAAGGGCAGGCGTGCAGTTGCCATGGTTTTGAGCGGAAGAACCACCAGCCCGTGGAGCTCTTTGTCGTCGCTCAATTTACTGTGAAGCTGGGTTTTGTCTGCTCCTAGAAAATGTGTTGTCATCGGCTATTGTTGGCACGCATCGGGTGCTGTCTACGGAGAAAAGTTATGCCGTCGCCGGCTTTCCCCTCCTCGATGACCCTTTGCATCGAGACAGCTTCAACGTGAGTCCTACCATATTCAGGATACAGAATATCGAACATGCTATATGTCAGGGCATCGTCCCTCTGTCTACCCCTTCCCTCGCAGCCTCCAGGGACAACACGGCGAGAGGCCATTAAAGTTCTCCCGTGACGTCCAAACCTGCGCAAGGCTTTGCACAATCCGACCATGGCCTCGTCGATGGGATATCCCTTTCTCCAGTGGCTCATCTATGTGGAAGTCTACAAATGCTTTAATGAAACCATCATCGCCAAAAAGGCCAAGCATCGGTTTATCAAGGCTCTGCGATGAAGTCCCCAAGATAGTCGTCAATACAAAGAGTACGAGACCTTTCCCCGGGGTTTGCGTTCACGCTTTATATGGAATACCATCATACATCTCCAATGTTGGTGGCAACTGACCCACTGGGCTATATGCCATCGATTCTTGACGGGCCACGTCTATGTTGGCCGGGTGTGGTAAAGCAAGTTCTCAATGATATGGTGCTGCACCAGGAAGGACGCAGACCGCAGGCCAGGGCATCCAAGCTGAAGTGTGTTCGATAATCCTGCCGAAGAATAAAACCAGAGAGGAAAATGGTGGTATGAGTGCTAATTCCGCGAGGAAACAGAAATGGACGACCCAGACGATTTATATCAGCGGCTACCTCATCGGAGAAACTGTGCCTGGGTCGCGTGATCATACACGCTGATTTCCACCAGTACTTTGGCTCGAACTGTGTCTCGCTACACTTGGATCCGGGCGTTACTCATCACAGTACGAATCCGCCGGAAGGGCAGCAGCATACACCGCGAGCCCGCAAACGTCAGATTAGAGCCTGCACACGCAACACCTGATTGGAGTGCCCGAAGTTGGAGAAACCAATAAGGCGTGGTCTGTACAGTGGGCATACTGCAAGATCGAGGCACTACTTGCGGTCTGATGGTAGTCAGCGGAGCAAGAAATCCGGTCATCGATCTGCAGAAGGCAGCCATGCAACTCGGGAGCCAGATGGCTCAAATTCGACCAACTCTTGCCCTTACAGGATGCACAGCCTTGCAGCAGACTTGACACCACTCCAGGATGCCACCCAACCATCGATGTCTCCTTGCTGACGGGTACAGAACAAGCAGACTCTGTTATCCGGCGCCTTCAAGTCACACGATATCTCTCAGCATTCCCGGACGCGTGAGGAGCGACGGAGCAATCTCTTGTTAAAGAGTGAGCTGGCAACGAGGCATCGTCGCTCCAGGGTATGGCGGGGAATTACAGGAATCCACGGGTAACTGAAGGGGGAAGTCAGATGGGCCACCGTTGGCTATTCTGGCTTTGGAGCCTCGTGTGGGGATATCTCGGCCGTGAAGTTGATTCAGGGCCAGCAGGAGCCGCGATCTCAGTCCCAGAGATCTAGGCGCAGACGGGTAGCGGTTGTGTGGTCCCGATGTGGCGGCAGACTGACTTCAGCCGTTTTGTTCAACCTGCTGTCGTTCGCAAAAGGAACTTGGGCTGGCCGATTTGGGGAAAAAAGGGCGATTCGTCGCCGGCAGATCATTTAGGCAGACCATGAACCGACAGGGACGGGTGTTTTTGGGCTGGTGAGGCAGGGAATTCCCCCCAAGCTCCCCACATGTTCCCTCTGCCGGCCGAGCTTCCGCCTTTTGATACCAAAATAGTACATTTGTTTACATCCATGGGTTTGTGACCATAGAATAGCATCGGAAGACTAGCAGTGCAGCGTTCCGAAAGACGGAACAACATTTTCTAGACTGAGCTTTCGTCTTGTGCAGCGGAAAAGGTTCGACTTCCGAGCAATGCCCGCTCGTGCGTCGTGTAGCCCGTCGCCATGCAAGGGGAGACGCGCGTGGTGGGAAGGTCAGCACCAAGGTCTCGACGTCCCAACTGCTCTTGTCATCATCCTCTTGTGGCCGCACATGACGCGCGATTGAATCCATGCAAAGCATTGAGAGATTGTAGCTCGTCAAAGAGGGTTTTTGTTCGGGATTGCTCCGAATGGGAAAGGCAAGGTTATGCACCATGTGAAGGCTCGGCGGTAGGATGAGGCGTCAGAAATGGGTTTCGCGATCCCAAGTGCCGTGCGTCAGGCGGCAGGCAACCCGGTCGAACTGGGGGGCATGGGAGCCTTGGAGCTCAGAGTCTGGAGCAGCAAGCATTGGATGAAGTCGGAAGATGAGTGGTGGGGCAGGCAAGAGGACGGTGGCAGTGACTGGCAGAGCTCCGCAACAGGACAAAGAAAAGAGGGGGAATGAAGGATGATGTGTGGAAAGACTCGTTGCCCTAAGAGCAAGGACAGCAAAGAGGGAAAAATCTTCGTGTGTGTGGTCATTGAAATGCGACATGGTCACAAGGTTATAAATGTGCTGAGCGTTCGTCCGAAGACGATTGGAATTCTTGATTCCTTTGCTACTACAGTTGTACCACAGTTTCCGAGTGACCGTCTTCTATCTGTCGAGCAGTTTCTGAGACGAGAGTTGAGGCTTTGCAGGTACGTACCCTCCTAGTGATTTCGTGATTTCGCTCTCTCTGCTATGCTACTATGCCACTCTGCCACTCGAGTGTTTCGATTCGGGCAACATTTCCCGGGGCGCAGCTTGGTTGCCGCCACGAGGGCTCCCAGGCGGCCCAGCAGCGGCCAAAGCCCTTGTGCTCGGGGGAGGAGGAGGAGCTGTGCAGTGCTCTCGCCCACCACCCGCACCCGCACCAGCTTACAGCTGCCACTGGAAGTGTTGCCCCTCCTGGCCCTGCCACCACCTTCGCTCCCGCTCTTCCTTTCTCCCTCTTCCCCTCTCGACTCCTCGAGCCCTGCATTGGTTCCACCTTCTGCCCACCCCACATCATCCAACTTCCCAGCCCACAGCCCAATCCCGGCCTGTCTCTGTACTTGTGGCAACCGTCCTGACGCTCATCACGCACACCGCGCACACCACATACACCCCCAGTGCTTCATCATGCTCATTTATCCCCCGCTACCACTACCACTTAGCCCCCCCGCCCAGGTCCGGGCTACGCTAACTGATACTTGGTGTCGCTAGTCGGAAAAATTAAGGTACCGTTTCTCAGGCTCAAAGCTCTGCCGGCAGACGCACCCAGCTCACGACACTGACCCCCCGTTGCTCCAGGCCCAAGGTCTTACTACAAAACCACTTTACCGCCTGTTTATCTCTTCGCAAACTTCTCTCGACCTGCTCACCACCTTGACTCTCCTCTCCTCTCACCTCTCTTTGTCACAATGGTATTTGCCCGTGCTGCTGCGCGCTCTTTGTCGCGCCCCGCGTCATCCCTCTTTTCTGGTTCCCCGCATCTTGCACGCCGTGCAGCCATTCCTTCCATTGCCAAACGCACACTGACAGCCTCTGCTTCACGTCAGGGCAAAGTTCTTCTCGTCCTCTATGATGTATGTCTTCGGTCGACTCCCTCTTTTCTGACCCTCGCGAGGTTCAATCCCTAACAGTGACTCGTAGGGCCACGAGCATGCCAAACAACAACCCAACCTCCTCGGAACCACAGAGAACGAGCTAGGTATCCGAAAATGGCTGGAGGATCAAGGACACACATTGGTCACCACCTCGGACAAGGAGGGCGAGAACTCCAAGTTTGACCAGGAATTGGTCGACGCCGAAGTCATCATTACCACTCCGTACGACGCCCACCCCGAGAGGGGAATCCCTTAACCGATGTTACTAACACCTTGCATCTAGTTTCCACCCGGGTTACCTGACGGCCGAACGTCTAGCCAAAGCAAAGAAGCTGAAGATTGCCGTCACTGCCGGTATTGGGTCTGACCACGTCGACCTGAACGCCGCCAACGCCACCAACGGCGGTATCACTGTCGCCGAGGTCACTGGCAGCAACGTCGTCTCCGTTGCTGAGCATGTTGTTATGACCATCCTGACCCTTGTCCGCAACTTCGTTCCTGCCCACGAACAGATCGAGAGCGGAGACTGGAACGTCGCAGCTGTGGCCAAGAACGAGTACGACCTCGAAGGCAAGGTGGTTGGTACCGTTGCCGTTGGTCGTATTGGTGAGCGTGTGCTCCGTCGTCTTAAGCCCTTTGACTGCAAGGAGCTGTTGTACTTCGACTACCAACCACTCAGCCCTGAGAAGGAGAAGGAAATTGGCTGCCGACGTGTCGAGGATCTCGAAGAGATGTTGGCCCAGTGCGACGTTGTCACCATCAACTGCCCTCTCCACGAGAAGACTCGCGGACTGTTCAACAAGGACCTGATCTCCAAGATGAAGAAGGGTAAGCTGCGCCTACCACTAACTTCATCAACTTAGAGAGACTAATCTTGATTCTACAGGTGCATGGCTCGTAAACACCGCTCGTGGTGCTATCGTCGTCAAGGAAGACGTCGCCGAAGCCCTCAAGACCGGCCAGCTCAACGGCTATGGTGGTGATGTGTGGTTCCCTCAACCCGCTCCCAAGGACCATCCCCTCCGATATGCCAAGAACCCATGGGGCGGCGGCAATGCTATGGTCCCTCACATGTCGGGTACTTCTATTGATGCTCAGAAACGTTATGCGGCTGGCACCAAGGCTATCCTTGAGAGCTACTTCTCTGGCCGTCACGACTACAGGCCCGAGGATCTGATCTGTTACCAGGGTGACTATGCCACCAAGTCTTATGGCCAGAGAAACAAGAAATAGATACATTCTGTGGAAGCAAGCGCGCGGTGTTGACGACAAATGGTTGACGACGTGTATAAGCTAAGGGTCAAAAGGGAGCGGTGAGCATGCGGAGGGTCAAATTTTTTTCCGGGGCTCGATCCAGCAAGCCTAGCCTTCAAAAGCAGAAGTATACCAAGGACAGCAGTGATCTTCCATCTTCCCAAGCAGTCCAGGTCAGGCGAAACATACATCTATCTGGGACAGATAATCCATCACAAACATTGATTGGGCTGATTGAGAATGTAACAATCTTGATCAAGTCCAGAAACATGACTGATGAACCCAATCGCCGCGGCTGCGAATCTCCAGAGTCACTCCTTGCATGTGAAATTTCCTTCTCTCCGTGACTTCAGTGCCAATGCAGGTGGCGGCTTGGATAAAAAGTCGCACGACTCTCCAAGCTGGTGCGGGGAAAGCTTCGAGCTCCAAGCTCCAGCTCCCCATCATGTTTTGTCCTAGCTTTTCGCTATGTACCTCGCAGAGTCTGCACGATCCGTTCGTAATACCGGTGATATATCGGTGACGCCAACCTAGAGCTCTGCAAGCGCTTATCTTCCCGCGGAACTCAATCTTCCAGATCATCCTTCTGCCAGTTATCTCAGTCACAGGAACTGTTCGGTGTTTGAGACCTGCTTGAACGATTAAGCGAAGGAGGAAGGGAGGAGGTACAGGCTCATTGCCGTAATAGGTCTAGTGCAATGACTTCCGTCCTGGGATTAGCGTGTCACGGGGTGCAGATGGGTCTGATAAGAAACCCGGAGCTTATCGATAAGAACTTGGCATTATCGGCACGTGGCAGTGGCCTCGCCATACCTTCCAGAATCTCAACCACTTTCGCCACGTCGGGGACATCGAGGCGCGCGGCGCGTCAGTCAACACCAACCTCATCCAAGCGAAGAACGTGTTGGTTGTGGCGATACTAACATTCATCAAAGATGGTCCTCAAGCTCGCAGGAGACTGCCATCCTATCTCTGCCCAATCCACTACCCCTCGAAACTTTGGTCGGAACTTATCGCCTATTCGTCGAAGCCACAGAATGGTGGTCAATGACTTGTGCCCGAATATTTCTCGTGATGGATCCTCCCCTTTCGAGAATGAACGTTATGTTCAGAATTCTCTCATGGATTGGAATTTGACTGGGCGTGGCCGGTCCGCAGAATCAAAGCGGTCAGCGCAAGCAACTCCCAGCACTCTGTGGATAAGCCACTCAGAATTGCCCCTAGTGGCTGGGAAAGGAGTGCTTGGGATAAAAGAGCTGATGCGGATGCTGCATTGTCAACAAAAGCCAGTCAATCCCTCCAAGGTATCCAGTGCCATCAGCCCGAGTTCATGTCGAATTCTCGGTGTGCAATCGCTGCCAGTGAAAAGGTGGAACGCCAGGCCTCGAGGTCATTTTTGGATGCCTGTCCCAGACGAAACCCTCCAGGAATGACACGTTCTCAATACAGATTTTTTTGCAGAGGGAAAGCCTCTCAGAAAAGGTCATGCCAGTCAGTCCCATGCTGCATACCCAGGGGCAGCAAACACTTCCATATGTCCCCGTTCCCCACTGCAGAATTTTCAGCAAAGTTCAGGTGCGATGAGGATTCTACGAAATCCTGAGCGGTGCTCAATGGTAGGTCTCAATTTCGATTCTGAAAGTACGGTCTGAACACGGTCTACTCGCATTGACTTTTGATGTGGACGAAGAGGCTGCGTGTGACCAGCATGGTGGAAATTTAACTTTGGCAGGTTAAGGGACGCCCCGTTTCAGCCTCGTTTCCCAGTATTTGCAAAGACGACATCCCCACGCGCATTGAGAGTTCCTTTGGTTCACTCAATGGATTTTTTCAATCAAGAGGACCCTGGGTTGATCTGGCGGTGAGAGCATTGAACAAAACTCCAGAATCCCCCCGGCGGCAACTTCTCTTCTCTCGCGACAGTCCACGTACTCGTGGGTACCCCTACCAGTCAATATTCCTGCACGTTTGACTGACATTGTGCTCTAGGAGCCCCCCAGCGACAGCAGCAGGAGCAGCAACCACCACCTCGTGAGTATGAAGTGTGCCTCAGCAACAAGTTGACCATTGCTAACAAGATCCTCCAGAACCACAGTCACCAGCAGCAGCCTTTTCTCAGACTCTTGCCCACTCGACAAGCACCATGGGCGTCTCTCTCTCGATCTTGGCCAGCGAGACCTGCTGGGCCCTCAAGAGGTTTTTCCTCTTGTTGCGCTTCCGCAGGCGCCTCCGCAAGATCTTCTGCCGACCACCCAAGCATGGGAGCACGTCGACCTTCGACTGCTCCTTCTCAGAGATTCCTGTCGAACTCTGGGAAGGTGACTCCGGCCCTATCTCCCCCTTCTCCTCTCCTCCCACCTCTCCCGCCTCGACCCTCCCCCGGGTCGTTCCTCGTCCTCGCCGCCTTTCCGAGCGTTGGACAACTTACTAGTGGGCCCCGCGGCCAAATGTGCATGACGCCGACGTCTGACAACAGCGGTTAGCCCCCAGACTGCCTTGCAGAGTGGACCTCTATCTACCGTCAGGTCACAGACGGTTGCAGACCAGTAATGACAGTGAGAAGGCTTCGGCCGATGTCCCGGTTACTGAGTTGCACAGCATGACATCTCACAACCTCTGACGCATCAATGTCAAGTTAATGATGAGCTCTGTCACCTTCGGATTGTGTGCGTACTGGCTTCGGCTGGGCAGATGCCACTTTCTGTTGGATGTGAGCCTAGAGCCAAAAGACCGAAAGCGCTCCAAGCGTTATTAGACTCTGGCCATCGAGCTGCACAAAGATATGTCCCAGATCTGCCAGTCTGTTTTTTATTTGAGCGACAAGAGCACCAGTGACAGCAGCGTCAACCTTCCTGTCAATCACATGGCAGTGCGACTCGATCTGAGCTTGCCATACACATTCTTTACACCAAGGGTTTGACGGCACCCTTCAAAGCCAGGTTGACGCTCTTTACACCACTTTCACTTTCATTTATTCACACAACTGTCGCTCGCTCTCACCTCTCTCGTTTGAATGCTGAAGGACATCCACACCACATTCGCTTTCTCAATTACAAGCAAAGCAGACGCCGACCTCAACACACTCTTTTCAACCACCTCGATTCCAACTGTGGTCTGGCAACGCCCTTCACAAACTAAATCTTCATTCAATCGTTCAGAGCACCGTCAATCACTCAATCCAGTTAATTCAATCTACAAAATCATCTCGACCACTGGCACTCTCACAGAGAATGCATCTGCCACTACTTATTTCACCATTTACCACAATACATATCACCGTCGTTCTTTCTCCTCCACTCGACTGATTCCAAACCACAACATTGCCATATACCTCAATCCTGAATTCTCTGTGACAGAGGAACGCCACATTCCTGCCATCTACAATGCAATCTATACACACTCCTGAAACTTGTCACTCGTTCAAACCCTGTTCGATCTGCAATCAGTCCAACGCTCCGCAATCCACTTTGACCACCACATCCCCATGATAGAGGAACAACATTTCGCCAACATCTATCTACATTGCCATCTACGCCGCCACTTAAAGCACTGCCGGTCATTCACAAGCATTCGATCGTTCAACCAATTCAACTGAGCTTTACACCACCGTCAACCCACCAACGCCGGCTTCCCTCCAGCAACAGCACAACTCAATGTCGTTGTCATCTATCTGCCAATTTCCACTGCCATATACCAGCTGTCTACGACTCATCACATCCCTCAAAGACAGCCAATCAATCACAACCCCCAGAATTCTGTGATGGAAGGTGAACGGAAAGAAAAATTTTGGAAGGATTGAAGGTGTTGGGATGGGAAAGGTCTAAATCACAGAATTCAGGAAGGACAGGAAGCAAGGACAGGAAGCAAGGAAGGGAGTAAAAATCTCACCGAGATCAAAACCAAAGAGGAGGAAAAGACCTGAGCTCTCTCGGTTGCCGTTTTCTTGAGGCCAGGAAGGAACTGCCCATTGGTCGTTGGTATTCATGTATTCTAGTCATCTATCACCCTGCAATCCAGGTCATTGTATATTAGTATATCGGTCCCTTGACAGCTGTCTATATCTGAGAAAAATGCTGACGTCGACGTCGCTCACTCACGGTCATCCGTTCCTCTCTCACGCCCTCGCTCGTAGGCACTGGTTTTCGTTCGGACTCGGAGGAGAAGTGACAGAAGTCCTCGAAGCACTGGGGACGATTGCATGCACAGTCTGTACAGGCAGACACTCCTCGACCGCCGGCGTCTGGAGCGTTGGTGGAAAAAAGGGGTCTGCATACCTACCTACATACAACTAACGGCGCAGCGGCGGAAGGAAGAGAAAATGCGGTCTCGGGTCCTGGGTCTTGGTTCTTGGTTCTTGGTTCTGCAGCAGAGTCTCGAGAGTGAGAGGGAGAGGGAGAGTCAAACCGCTCTCGGCTGAACAGCAAGTAATCTACAACACTCCACTATCCCACACAACGCATCTATTGATGATTCTCATGTATGTGTATGTATATATACGTTCGGAAGCAAACGGCCCGACAGACAGACAAACACGCAAAAGGGCATGGGCAGCTGAGGGAAACGGTATGTACAGGAGAGAGGGAGACAAAAGACAAACATCAGCTTTGCGTCTCAAAACTTCAGGACCACCATCTCCATCCGCTCGTTCTGGCCTATCAGCCACCGCTCGTCGCCCGCGATGCGGCCCATGAAGGAGACTTCCTTGGTCAAGTCGTCGTCGAGGGTGGCCCAGCCGAGGGCAGCTTCGTCGAGGGTGGCAAAGTCCCTGTTGTCGTCGGCTTCGACCTTCAGACGCACGACCAGCCTGTTCTCCACGCTGTGGCCCGAGAAGCACGTCTCGACCAGGCTCAGTCTGACGCCGGCGGCGGCGTCGACCACGTCCATGACGGGCAGGAACCACGGCTCGCTTTCTTCCACGTCGGCCGTCTCCATGCTGCAGTGGCCGCGGTACGGGGGCAGGTTGCCGTCCCATTCCCGGAACAGCCTGGGCCCTTCGCCGAGGAAGGGGAACGTGGTCGTCTTGGCGCACCACAGCCGCTCGGCCGGGTCAAAGTAGCCCTGGCCGGCCACGCCGACGTTCTCGCGCACCGTGAGGGACAGGGTCTCCGAGTCCAGGTGCAGCGACATCAGGGCGACGCTGGCGCGCTGGCGGATGCCGAAGAGATCCATCTGCATGAAAGAGAACCTCGACACAATACATGGGCCGGCTTTCCCGGCGGGGCGGAATTTCCCAGACGGGTCCGTGGAGGGCCGATACGGCGAGGGGCCAGAAATGTCCCAGACCGAGAGCGACTCGATGGGCAGCTCCTCGTCGCCCGTGTACATGCTCCGGTTGGGCTGCCAGAAATACACGGCGTAATGGGTGGCATTGTGGGTCGAGAAGAAGCGGTCGTGGTAGTTGGGCGGCAGGCCGAGGAAATGCATCTTCCACTCCGACCGCCAGGTCACCTCCCAGGACGTGTCTTCTCCAGCAGGCCGTCGGACGTCGAAACAATTGGCAAAATGCCGGTTGACTTGTTCCATGGCGTTGAGGTTGTGGAAAGGGTCTTTCTCGGCCCATTCCACAATCAAGGTTCGGTCCTTGAGCCGGAGATTGCGGATGATCTTGCCTCGAATGTCGAATGGGATCGGATACTTCTGGCCCGTCTCGACGTCCAACAGGGCCAGGATCTGCGGGAAGTAGCCATCCTCGTTGCACTCGGCGGGCGCATACACCATGAGACCGTCGTCGTAGGACCACAGAGTCGGTCTGAACAGGTAAGGCTTGGTGCCAATGCGACTCAGGTGGCTGGCCGCGGTCTCGTAGTACAGACGCCCTCCTGGCTGGCTTTCGTGGTAGTCCCACTGGCCGACAGGGAACCAGTCGCCTAATTGTTCAACCGGCGCCATGGGATATCTGTCGACGACTCTGGCAGTGCCATGGGCCAGGTGGTGGTAGCGCAAGGCCACGGCGGCCAGGATGCCTTTCCAGTCCAACGAGCTTTGTGGGTGGCAGGGAGAGTGCAGATGGAGTGTGCCGGGGGGAAGGGACCGGACTTCCCTGGCGCGCGGGTAGGACTGCAGCACGAATCTGATGTATTCGTCTCTAGAGAATGCGGTGCGCCATGCTTTTGAGACGCGCTGGCAGGACACGACGTCCCATGCGGAGAGGTCTGCCAAGACTAAGAGGAAGACGTCCTCGGGCAACTCGGGCAGCGATATCAGGGCTGGCTTTGATGATGGAGACGGAAGAGAGGAAAGGCCGGGACCGAGCTCGTCGGAGGTTGAGTCCAGCGGCAGCATAGCTGGTGTCTGGGATGAAGCTGTAGCGCTGTGCATGGTCGTCGGCTGTGAGTCTGGAGTGAAGGGCACAGCATGGGCGCAGCATCTGAGCAACGCATCGAGAAGCCCAAGGTGCTGATCATGGCCGGGTGGGCGACGAAGGAGGGAGGAGAGGTAGCAACAATGCCCGTCAGCTCATGGTATCCTCAGTGAGGTAGGTAAGGTCTGTTGTGTTGTATGACGAGTCGGAAATCAAATCCAGTTTGGTTTACTCCTCCTCTTCCTCCTCCTCATCCTCCTACTCCTCCTCTTCGCCCTGGATTCCTGGCGCCATGTGAGCTCGGTCCAAGTGCGGAGAGGGAGGGATGGAGGGATTCGAAGCGAGAGGCATGTGGGCGCTGACTAATCGGGTCACGTGGCCGCTTATCGGGACGATATCGGTGCCGCGGTTTTCCGATGCTGTCCAAAGGTTAGCAACTAGTGCCGCCGCTACCAAGGTCATCCTGCTGTTAGAAGAGCGATTAGGGATACTAAAGCACGATATTAGGCCACTAGTGCTCCCCCTAGTGCTTGCAATCAGTGGGCGACTTGTCCGACGGCAACCCTCGCCGCGGGGAATGAATGCGAATTTTTTGCCTCTCGCGATAAAAACCATTTCCCCAGATGCCGCGGCGACTGGGAGCAATCTATACGCCTCACCACGAGCAGTAGAACCCAGGTCCTTAGTATCTGCTTGTCCCAGGGCGCAGGGCCAGTCGACCACCACCAAACCTCCAAGTACAAGAACCTCGTTGCTCGCCCAGTTGGTCCATCTCGTCTCCTGACAGAGTCACCCTTCGGCATAGACTGTAGCACAGCACACCACCACTGCATTTTTCCCTCTGCTTTTGATCCATCACCTGCCCAGGACCTGGCTACGCGGGGAAGGAGGTCTTTTTCTCACTTTCCTCTTTGGTTGCATCCTACTACCCAGTGCTGCAACTGTGGTGGCCAGACTCTGCGTGTGGGGGGAAGCACATCTCCATTGATTTTTCGGGTGGTGACTCAGGACCATTATAATTTTTTTATTTTTTTTTCCCTTTTCGCCTCCCGCCATCACCTTGAGGCCTTTTCCTTCAGCCTCCTCTTTGGACACCGACACCATTGCTATTGCTCTCCATTGGGAACAGCTTCTAGCTTCTACAGACCAGCTGCCTGTCCGACCGACCCTAGCCCGCCTGCTGTCCTCCTGCTTTCTCCTTCACCCCACCCTCTTGAACCCGATTATATCCCTCGCCTCGACCACCTCTCCCGCCCCGCTCTTCCTTCTCTAACCAACAACCCCCCAACTGCTCCTGCTCGCGCACTCCCTACATCATGGTTATGAACGACAACTCCAACATGTCCTCCACCACCATCGTCCCCCAGACCTCCGCCGCCACCAATGGCGACCTCCCCTCCTTCACAGTAAAAGCCGGCCTGGCCCAGATGCTCAAGGGCGGCGTGATTATGGATGTGGTCAATGCAGAACAAGCCCGTATCGCTGAGGAAGCCGGCGCCTGTGCCGTTATGGCTCTCGAGCGCGTGCCTGCCGACATTCGCGCCCAGGGCGGTGTCGCCCGAATGTCAGACCCCGCTTTGATCAAAGAGATCCAGGCCGCCGTTACCATACCCGTGATGGCAAAGGCTAGGATAGGCCACTTCGTCGAGTGCCAGATCCTCGAGGCCCTGGGAGTCGACTACATTGACGAGAGTGAGGTTTTGACGCCTGCGGATAACACCTTCCACGTCGAGAAGGCCGGCTTCAGAGTACCCTTTGTGTGCGGTTGCCGGAATCTGGGTGAGGCACTGCGACGGATCGCCGAGGGCGCCGCCATGATTCGGACGAAAGGCGAAGCCGGCACCGGCGATGTTGTCGAGGCAGTCAAGCACATGCGCACGGTCAAGAGTGACATCGCCAAAGCCCAGGCCGCCTTGAAAGAGGGAGAGGGTTCCTTGAGAGCGCTGGCCAAGGAATTGGGCTGTGACGCCGCCCTGCTCAAGCAGACCGCCGAGCTCGGCCGCCTGCCCGTGGTCAACTTCGCCGCCGGCGGTATCGCGACCCCGGCCGACGCCGCCCTCATGATGCAACTGGGCTGCGACGGTGTCTTTGTTGGCTCGGGCATCTTCAAGAGCGGAAACGCCGCCAAGCGAGCAAAGGCCATCGTGCAAGCCACGACGCACTACCGAGACGCACACGTCCTGGCACAGTGCTCCGAGGGCCTGGGCGAGGCTATGGTTGGCATCAACGTGAGTGGTATGAAAGATGGCGACAAGCTGGCCGTCCGGGGATGGTAGACGATCGAAGACCGGCATGTGCATGGTGTTGGGATAGAAAAGAATGGAGCTCCCCCCTTCCTTCCTTACTTTCATAACGAGTGAGAAGAGGCCACGGAACAAAATCCAAGCCGAGGAGAGACGTATTGCAAGATGGAGAGACATCACGAGCACGAGCACGATCCTGGCCATGGATTGGTACGAGGACGATAAGTCGCGAGCGAGTAACGAGGACGAGGATGAAGACCGAACATTACGACCAAGGATGTGGACGAGCATGAGAGACACGGGAACAGTGCATTCACCGGCGGTTGGCGTCTTACGTATCTACTCCATACCTAGGTCAGGCCGATTTTCTAATCTATTCGAATGGAAGTTGCATTTGGATTGGACCTCGAGGGGCCAGGCGTATACAGTCACGCAGAACAAAAATAGATTCCAATCAATCACTCGATCACTCGATCACTCGGTCAGTTAAACAATGTAACGAAACAAGCCAGTTGGCAATCCAATCCTGGTTCGAAGAAAAAGCATGCATGTTCACACCAACTAACTAACCGCTTCACGAATGGTTTGATCCGACATTGCTAATAGAGGTTTGTTGCCTGTTATACCGGCCTACATAGCTGGCTACCAGTACCTGAGGATGTATATATATGATACGTAGCCCCTAGTCCGTACCCTTCACGGCACCACCCTCGTGTATGTCGATCCTCCCACTCGCGCGGTCATTCACTGCCAACCTAGCTGATTCACTACTGCCGCCTCTATCGTCCCTGTATGTGTGGCTGGTGGATGTGGGAAACAGCGCCTGTGGGCAGGACGCGGAACCCCGCGCCCGACGATCTCAAATGAGCTCTTCCAAGACAGCCTCCATCTCCGCCTTGGCCAGGGGGACGCCCAGCGTCTCGGCGCCGCTGACGGGGTCCCGCCGGCTGGTGATCATCTGGTGGTCCAGGAACTCCTTGAGCAGGAACTGGAAGTTCATGCTGCTCGAGCAGATGAACTCCTCGGCGGCCTTGCGGTAGAGCGTGCGGTATTCGACGCCCACTTCCTCTGCTGCTGGCCCCGTGCTGGTGGTGGTGGTGGTGGTGGGCGCTGCGGACGTCGTCTTGTCGCCCGTGCCTCGAGATCTCTTCCGGCCCGTTCGTCTTCCGTCTTCTCCGTCGTCGTCGTCTTCTTCTCCGTCTTCCACCCCGCCGCCGCCGCTGCCGCCGTGGGTGTAGGGCATGGCTTCGCCGTCGAAACCGTCTTCTAAAATGCTCAGGATCTCAGCGAGCAGCAGGCGGTACAGGTTCCTGGCGTTCTCCGGCAAGCTCTTCAGCACAAACCCGATGCCTTCCTTCCCGCCGGCCCGCATCCTCTTCTTGCCCAGTAATTCGTGGACCTCGTCTACCACGCTGCCCATCTCGGCCGTGTAAGGTGCGAAAGTCGTGCAGTCGTGGAAGACGAATTTGAATTGGTCGAGGAGGGACGAGTTCCACAGCGCCGGAAAGGTGGGGGTGTCGCACGTGGCGAGAAAGGAGACGTTCGGGTGAGCCGCTAGGCGGGCCAGGAGGGATTGTATCGACGGTCGGCGGAGGGATGCGGAGTCGATGGAGTTGACCATCACGAGCAGCTGCGAGGATGGAGGGTTGTCTGTGAGGTGGGATAGCAGAGTGTCGAGCATTTCTTCGGGTTGACCGGTCAGGCGAATTGCTTGATCCTCCGTTTCGGCCACGGCCGCAGCAATGGTGTTGAGGATTGTGCGCGGATTGAGCTTCGGAATGTAGCCATTGACAACGACGATGCGAGGAGATGGACGGCATTTATTGTACATGTACTCGGCGAACTGGTTGGCAAGAGGTTGTTTACTACCGTAGCCGTAAAGACATAACCCAAATCCTTCAGCGAGTTCGAAGCGCCACTGTGGGAAAGATCGGGCGTGCAACTTCATCAGAAAGGCTTTCTCCGGTTCGTGAGGATCTCGCCAGCACGAGATCTGTTCAAAGTATTCCTCGTGCGTGAGCAATTTGACCGAGTTGAACTTGTTGCTTGAGACCTGAGGAGGCCCAGCACGGTTTTGGTAGAAGTATCGTTCTTCGGGGGGGATGTCGCCCTCGGGGGTGGGCGATCTCCTGGACTTTGCTCCCTTTGGTCGCCCTCGTTTGCCTGGGCTCTTCTTTGATGGTGTGCCAGCTTCGACATCCTGGCTCAGTCCATCTCCGTCGACGTCCTCCTCGTCTGGTTCCTCACCCTCGTCGAGTATTTCTCGAGCCAACTGCGCGTCTTGTCCGTCCACATCGTCATCATCAGCGTCCTGTGCCTCAGCGAGCAGTCGGGCACTCTTCCTCTTAGCAGACCTGTCCGCCTTTGCTCGTGCGGATTTTGATGGTGTGGTAGTTGCTGCGCTGCCTTTGCCTCGGGTCGGAGTAGAGAACAGAGTGCGGCCATTGGGTTTCGGGGTAGGACTGCCTTCGTCTTGGTCCTCTTCGGTCTGAACGTCCTCGACGGCGGGCTTTCTTTTTCTTCTCGAAGGGGTCCCCTCTTGATTGGGAGTGCCATTCGTCAAGGGGCTTGCGGCAGAGGCATCCTCATGGTCTCCATTACTGAGTGCCCCTCTTTCTGCTGTCTTCCTCCGGCGCTTCGAAGGGGTGTTCGTGGCTTCAACGAGGGAGTCCGGATCGGGATCGGGGTACTTTCTTTTAGCCATAGTGAGGGGTTGCAGACACGTAGGCAGAGAGGGCTTGTGCGAAAGACACGAAAGAGAGTGAGGTGTCGTTGGATTGAGGCTGGAATCCCTGACTTGTGGCCTCTTCTCTAGTCTTGTTCATTGCGCGACGCGACTTTTGCTCCCGCTCCGCAAACCGGCGACTCTGATTGGCCGATGGATTCCTCTACCAGTTTTGACTCACCTTCGCCTTTTTTCTCTCGCCTCGATGCTTCGCCAATGAAAAGGCGCTGCGCCAATGCAGCTAACATATCGTCGACATTGCATTCAGGAAAATTTTGACCTGAGGGTTGTAACATTGACGCACCGGTGCGGGCAAGGTTCGCATTGTCTCTACTCCCTCGTCTTGGAAATCCGGTCATTGATAAGGACAAGCCAGTTACCAGGTGGGCGCATAAACTCAACGACCAACCTCACCACCACATGAACTGGAGCTGAAGGAGGCGGGAATCTAGCGAGATATCTGCTCGGTGTTGTGAAGGAGACGCACCGAGTCATATTCGGAGTGGCTGCGCCGTCTCCTCCTCAACCCAACTCTTTATCTCCTCTCTCTCTGTACAGCAACCGAAGATGGCGTCCGCTATAAATCCTTCAACAACCCGTTCCGCCATCCGGACTTTCGTTCGACACTACTCTGCCCCCGTTGACGCGACCATCCCAGCGTCAAAGTTGAAATATGTACCCACGTCCGGCACCTACCCCAAAGGCTTCCGGGTCTCGGGAACCCATGTGGGTGTGAAGCCGGCCAACAAGACTCATCCCGACCTGGCCCTGATCGCCTCTGACAAGCCCGCGTTCGGTGCCGCCGTCTTCACTACCAACAAGTTTCAAGCCGCGCCGGTCCAAGTGAGCAAAGCGGTGCTCGAGAAACGCAGCGGCACAGGACTGAGGAGCATCGTCGTCAACTCTGGCTGCGCCAATGCCGTCACCGGCCAGGGAGGCGTGGACGATGCCTGGGCAATGTCCCAGACAGCCTCTGCCCAGTTCCAACAGCCATCCAACGCAGAAGATGGCCACGGCGGCGCGAACAGCCTCGTCATGTCCACGGGCGTGATCGGCCAGAGACTCCCCATCCAAAAGATCCTGGCGAAGATCCCCACCGCATACCAAAACCTCGGCAGCGACCACGAATCGTGGCTGACCACGGCCAAGGCCATCTGCACCACGGACACATTCCCCAAGCTCCTATCCACGACATTCACCTTGCCGGGTGCTGAACATCAAGGCGTCGAGTACCGATTGGCGGGGATGACAAAGGGCGCGGGAATGATCCACCCCAACATGGCCACGCTGCTGGGGATCATGTGCACAGACGCCCCGATCAGCGCCGGAGCGCTGCAATCGCTCCTGACCACCGCGGTGAACAAGTCGTTCAACTGCATCTCCATCGACGGCGACACCTCGACCAACGACACGGTCGCCATCCTCGCGAACGGCGCCGCCGCCTCGCCCTCGTCGGCCCGCTCCCCGATCTCCTCCCCCAGCAGCGCCGACTACCGCGCCATGTCCTCCATCCTGACGTCCTTCTCGCAGCGCCTGTCCCAACTGGTCGTCCGCGACGGCGAAGGCGCCACCAAGTTCGTGACGATCCACGTGCGCAACGCCCTCGCCGAGGCCGACGCCAAGGCCATCGCCTCCACGATCGCCCGCTCCCCGCTGGTCAAGACGGCGCTGTACGGCAAGGACGCCAACTGGGGCCGCATCCTCTGCGCGATCGGGTACACGCCCAACATCGCGCTCGCGAGCCCGGCCGAGTCGGTCGTCCCCTCGCGCACCAACGTCTCGTTCGTCCCGGCCGAGAACTCAAAGTCCAAGGCCGAGGGCGTCCTCAGGCTCTTGGTCGACGGCGAACCCCAGGCCGTGGACGAGGCGCGGGCCGCCAGGCTGCTGGAGGACGAGGATCTGATCATCGACGTGGACCTGGGCGTCGGCCGCGAGGAAGGGTACTACTGGACCTGCGACTTCAGTCACGAGTACGTCACTATCAATGGGGACTATCGCACGTAAGAGCGCACAGGGGAGAAACAACGTTTCGTACTTATCCAGGACAATGACCCCCCATCAGCGAAATCGTCGTCTCATCACGTACGTAATAGTATATATATCTAGGCCATATTATTTCACGCCTCTATCCATTCCGCTGTTCCTCACTCAGTCTTCTCTCCCGCTCGCGCGCTCCAGCTCTCTCAAAATCCAGCACTCGAATCCCGCGAGGATAACTTTCCTTGTCACTCCCCTTCTGGCCATCGTTGATGTTGCCAGCCATGTTCCAACGACGGCACAGAGTGTGGAAAAGAAGCCTCAGGAGGTTTGATCGGACGCGGGGGAAAGTCCCCAAGACACGTCGTAGCGAAGGTCTAAACGCAGATCTCTCGAGGACCCAGGTAGACATATATGCCCACCCAGCGAGCCAACAGCATATATAGGTTGCAGAAGTCTTCATACAGTACAAGTAGGGCCAGCTTGGCGGCGAAGGAGTCTGTACTATACAAGCAGTACCAGCCAAGACCAGATAAGATATAATGTTTCCTCTGCGTTGCCCCTTACACCTTGGGCCCTTGCGTCTGAGCAGTCCCCCGACCCTGACCCTAAAACCTTTGCTATGCAGAAAGAGGGCACACTTTTGTTCTCCTAGCTTCTCTAACAAGCCCGTGTGTATGAAAAGATCAACTCTTCAAAACCTGTCCAGGTGCTAAGCAATCAGCCCCTTCAACCCTTGGCCGAAATCTCCTTCCTTGGCCGCAATCTCAAAATAGCCATAGATGATCGTGACCGCCAGCAAGATCCCAGTTCCACTCCCGAGCGCACCGAGCATATCACTCGCGACGGACAACGCTCCAATACACGCCCCTCCAAACGCCGCCGCCGTGGGGATAACTCTCTTCAGCTCCTTGTACATGCTCTGCTCACGATGACCAGCCATTACCAATCCTTGATCCTTTAGGGTCTTAGCCACGTCGCGTGGGGCGCTGCCAGAGACTTCGATCCATGTCTTGGAGAAGACCGCGCAGGTGACAATGATGAAGGTGACGTAGATGACTGTGTGGATGGGGTCAAGGAGGGCGTCGGTGAAGTTAAGGGGTGGGGACATGTAATACGCGATTCCACCGCTGGCGTACAGTTGGGATGAGCCCTCTCTTGGTTCCCATGTTCCGAGAAGTTTCACCAGCAAGTTGTCTGAGAAGCGGGTGTAGAGCATCTGGCTGATCATGAAGATATTCGACGCCAAGGCGGATTGCAGCATGATGGGCATGTTGGAGGTATAGAAGAGGCGGACGGGGTATGAGCCGCGCATGCCTCGTTGCCGAGAGGATTTCACTGGAATCTCGACCCGGAAGCCTTGAAGGTAGATGACAGCCGCGAAGACGGTCAGTGTTGCCAAAAGATTCATGATGTTCGGAAGGTGTTGGCGGTAGAAGGCCTCGCGGAGCGCGCGGGTCTTGTCGGGCCAAGTGACGAGGAGGTGGAAGAGGGCAATCACTGCGCCTTCGAATTCTTTCCCGCGACCTGTGTCAACCGTCGTCGGGGAGAAGGCTTTCCAGATGATGGACTCGCAGATGTTTGTGGCAATGAAGAGAGAGATGCCGGATCCGAGACCGTACCCTTTCTGAAGCAGTTCATCCAGGAGAATGACCACCAAACCAGCAATCACCAGCTGGACGATCAAGAGGAGGCAGATACCAGCACCGAGGTCGCTTGGTTGGCCATACAGACCAGTGAGGACGAAAACGCAGGCCTGGCCGAACGACAGAATGATGGCGAAGAGTTTTTGAGCGGTTTGATACAATTCGCGGTCGGACTTGAGATCGAGGTTGACGTCGATGAGATGGGTGCCAGCCAGCAGCTACGAAACCACTTGGTTAGTACTCCCGAGGCGACTGGGGTCCCGTTCGCACATACCTGGAAGACCATCCCGGAGGAGATGATGGGTGTTGTGCCCAGTTCCATCAACGTTCCCCTGTTACTGGCCAGCATCATACGCAACCAGTAGATGGGATCCGACGTGTCGGACGAGACGATGCCGTAGAGTGGCATCTGGCTCATGACCAAGAAAATCAAGAGCGTACACTGTCCATCGCAGTCCAATTGTTAGTCTCGTGGCGCTTGTCCATGTTGCCATCCGGCGCGAGGTTCTCGACTCGGGTGCGCTCTTACTCCTGTCCACATCAACTTCTGGTTGAACGGAATTTTTGATTCCGGGGCCGCCACCTCCGGCAGGAGGGGGGTGAAGGGTTTAATGAGGTCGAGAAAGCGGACTGTATGTGCTCGTGATTAGCAATTTTGTCCATTGAAAGTGCGGAGAGGAGAGGATGGGTGAGGGAGGGACGCACGGCCACTCATGGTTGCTGCACACCGTGAAACAGCTTCAGGCTGTTAGAGAGAAAGGCAAGGAAGAAGGGAGCAAAGGAGCGCGAGAAAGAGTCGCCAGAGGAGAGGAAATGGGAAGAAGATGGAGGACAGTTTCTCCTGAAAGCTTCGAGGAGACCTTGCAATTTGGCTGCAATGCCTGAGGACACTTCAACAATCCTCCATGGGACAAAAGCAGAAGTTATGCCGAGACAGCCTCAAGGCGCCAAGAAACCCAGAGTTCAGCCTTGTCCTGCCTCGAACAGCCTTGCCGAACCCAACGCCGTCAACTCGCAGCCCATAAACACTGATGCTCTTTCGTTCAACTGTCTCCCTTGCCTTGATCGAGGGGGAGACTGGCTCAATAGGAGGACTGCAATGAGCGCTTACAAAATATCGGACCAAAGGGCCGGAAACACCTTGGTTCTCGCCACTTCGCAAGTGGATTCCGTTATCAACTTCTAATCGTAGGGCGTGCAGATACTCCTCCCTCTACACCCCCCCAAAATCTTTCTTGGAAGTCGCCATGATACAAACCAACTAGCATCTACTCTCCCGCTTTCATTTCTGATCTCTGTCCTTGTTGTCATTGTCGTGAATTCAACAATGTACCTTCGCGCCGTGCACGCTGAACTCCACACCCCCGCCCTCCGCCAATTCATCCGAGAGAACCCCTTGGGATTGTTAATCACGTCCCTGTCTTCGCCCAATTTCCCTACGATTCAATGCACGCACATCCCGTGGGTCCTCGATGTCGAAGATGACTCGAGCGAGACAGAACTCGGCAGACTGCGCGGTCATCTTGCAAGGCAAAATCCGCATTCAAAGGCACTGATTGAAGCCGCCCAGCAGCATCAGCAGCATCAGCAGCAGCAGAGTACCTCTGATAAAGGCACCCCCCCGCCGAGCGGCCTGCAAAGCCTCAAGGAAGAAGTGTCCGTCATCTTTAACGGCCCCGCACACCACTACGTGACCCCCAAATTCTACGTCGACACCAAACCCGCCACTGGCAAGGTCGTGCCGACGTGGAACTACTCGGCGGTGCAGGTGTATGGGACCGCCACCGTGCATTATGACACTCATCTTGAGGGAACGGGCAAATTCCTCCAGCGGCAGATAAGCGACCTGTCCAGCCATGCCGAGACGACGATCATGGGGTACGAAAGGCCTTGGAGCGTCAAGGACGCGCCCGAGCGGTACATTGAGCTGCTCAGGAAGAACATCATCGGGATCGAGATCGAAGTGACCCGCCTGGAAGGCAAGTACAAGATGAGCCAGGAGCTCGGCAACGCGGACCGGCAGGGCGTGGTGAAGGGGTTCGCAGCCCTCAACACCCAGGTCGGGGATCTGGTGGCCAAGACAGTCGAGGAGAGAGGGACGCTGAAGGACTCGCTGAAGGCGGTTGGCTAGGCTCGTGCTTGAAACAGCAAGTTCGTGCGAGAGTGCGAACAAGGGGGGAAGTGGTCGAGCTTCTCCTGCGAGAGTTGTGTCCGCTGCAGAGTTCTTGCGTCCTGCAAGTTTGGCGGTCGACAGCATCTATGTATTATGCTAAAGCTCTTGCAATTCCCAGCCTCGCTGGCTCTAGGCTTCGCAATCTAACTGCCCTTTAATAGGGAGTCTGTCAATGAAACGCCCGTCGCTATGTAGATGCTCTCGCTCTGATGCTTTCCTATTCATGATGGTGTTCATCAACACCTTGTCTTCCGCGCTGTCAAATGTTACGCTGCTATGCAAAAGCGCCTCGTAACCCGACCCGCTGCATCTGCGAGTGAAATACAGCCCTTAACCAAATTTCTCCACGTAGACAGAGTCTACCACTGCCTCTTCATCAAAAGCAAAGTAAGTCGAAATTGGCTCCACAATATCTGTGCGCCATGCTGTCGTGATTTCACCGTGAGCATTTGGAATGCAAGATTGATGGCCGTGGCTCTTTTGCCAAGACACCCCAGGCCGTCTGTGGGTACCGGTCTCATCTTCGTTTCATAAACATATCATCGGCGTTGGCTTTCTTCTTCCTCACGGCCGGCTGCCCATTGTTCATCATAGCAGGATGGCGGCGACCGGGAGGTCTTGGTGGAAAGACTGATGGTCCCGTTGAAGGGTTCCGTTCAGGCGGTCTCGGAGGCAACCCTTGCAGGCCCTTGTGTACGTTGACCGTGCCGGATGCAGGAGATCTGTTTTCTGGCTTGGCTCTTGGTACTTTGGCCTTTGTAGAATCACTACTAGGGGACTCGTCTCGTTTTCTCTTGACGTCCCTGTTCGGGGCAATCGTGTTCGAGGTCGTAACCGAGCTCTTGACCGTGGGGATCTGCGCGCCGTGTTCGCCAAGTTGTTTTTCGGCTCGATACTGGCGTGCTCGATCTCTTCTTTCACCATAGCGGATCTCTTCTCTCCGAACCCTTTCTTGTTGCGCCTTGTTGAGTCTCTTTTCTAGGGGCGCTGTACACTGATCGGCGGCATGACCTACTTCCCCGCAAGAGATGCATCGAGGTTCAGTGCAGTTGGCAGCTGTATGGCCAGGGTACTGACATCTGTGGCAAGTCCCAATTGACCCAGCCAGGGCTGCTTCGTTGTCGCAATCGGCTGCATAATGCTCATATGACCCACAAACTGTGCAGTTACGGAGGTCGTTGAGGCCGTTGCCGCCTCCCGAAGGATTGTATTCGCCGGAGCTAGCGCTCGTAGCTGTGGCTTTCATTCTTCGTTCGGCAGGCTGTGGTCCGTTCGGAACAATCCGTGGTTCGATTCCGGCATCGGTTTTGGTGAGATCTCGTCTTCCAACAGATTGTCCCGAGTCCTGCCGCTTCGGCTCTGGTCTGGTAACTGAGGCTGTTGAAGATTGTCGGGAAGGCGCACTTCCCGGCCTGGAAGATGTCGGAGTGGCTTGATTCGAGGCAGCTGTCGGTCGAGATGCGTCTTTCCGTTCTTTCACCGGTGCCGCTGGCGGTTCTTTGGACTCTGCCTTGCCGCTAAATGAGCTTTCGGCAACGGTGGAAGACTTCACGGTTTCGGACAGGGACTCGTTGTAGTCAAGCATTTCAACATCGTCCTTCATCATGTCATCCGTCAGCAGCTGCCGGCTCAGCAGCCTGGCAAGGTCGCCGTCAGTGTACAATTTCCTGGCTTTCGCATCTGTGACCAGAGCACGCCAGTACTCGCCTTGCATGAGTGCTTGTGAATTGCCCAAAACCCAAAGTGAGCATTTGGCACGGGTCAGACCCACGTTCATACGCCGAATGTCGTTCAAGAAACCAATACCTTGGGTTGAAGCTCTGACACAAGAAAAGATAATAATCTCGCTTTCCCGGCCTTGAAAAGCATCTGTGGTGTTGAAATCAATCTTTGAGAAGATAGTTTCACCATATTGATCCCTGAAGCGGCGTTTGAGTTCGTTCAGTTGGCCCTTGTATGGAGTGATGATGCCAATCTTTCCTGCAAAGTCATACTTGCGAATGTCTGTCGTCAATCTCCTGTACAGTTGTATTGCCACGTTGATCTCAGCAATGTTGACCAGCGAGTGCCCCTTTGTTGATGCTTGACTCATTCCCTGAACGTCAAAGAAGCGATAAGGTGCAAAAATGTCACTGTGGTGCCACGGTCTCCGACGAAGCTTGGCCATGCCTTCGCCGTCCTTCAACAAAGAGTCATAGAATGTCTTGCTTGGGAAAAGACTGATCTCTGGATGCATACGATATTGCGTGTCTAGAAGATGTACGTCTTTCTTGTGGTTGTTCTCCATACGGGCAAATAGACTCTGCTCATATTGAAATTTGGCCGCTTTCCGAGACAAGACTGTAGGCGGTAATTGTTTGGGGTCACCCACGAGGATGCACTTTGAACATCCATATTTGAGAGGAATCAACGCCGACAGTTCAATTGACTGTGCAGCTTCATCGATAATGACAGTTTCAAATTCGACGTTGAGACTCTGGAATAGGTCGTGTCCACTTCCACTTAGAGTCGCGCAAAGAACGTGTGCCGAATCCAGAATCTCCTGTTGAATTCGTTTTCGACTGAGTTCTACGTCCCGGGACGCAGTATTCTGCTTTTCTCTCAGGTCGTCGATTCTGCTGCCCAGCCCGTTCTGCTTCCGTCGAAGCGCATCCGTAAGCTGTTCATCGGCGGTTGGCACTGGTTGACCTTTCCCTCGACGATCTTGAATCGAGTCTCGGAGATTTCTCAGTTCTTCCGAGACCTCCTTATGCTGCATCATCAACCCATGGATATCTTCCCCTGCGGCCCTAGGTGCGGCAGCGCTGAGCTTGGCGTTGACCAGTTCCTCAAGTGTAACGTCTTTGACATTAGTGTTGATGACTTCACTGCGGCCCAAGCGGACGACTGAGATCTTTTCAAATGTGCCGTCCAACATTGTGACCCCGGTTTTCAACCTCATCACTAACTCGTCAACGGCCGCATTGCTGGGAGCACAAACAAGAATCTTCTTGCTGGAGGACGGTGGTCGTGATGCACCAGGAGTCGTACTCGATCTTGCAGCACCGTTGATTTGTTTCCTGACGAAGCCCGTCAACATGGCACCAACGAGTGCACAGATGGTTTTGGTCTTGCCGGAACCTGGAGGTCCCTGAATCAAAGTGAATGCGTCGTTGTCAAGGGCGGATTTTACAGCTTTAGCTTGTGCAAAGTTCACACTGTAAGTCGTCTTGATTGGCTGGAGTACTTCTTCGGGATAGTCGAGGATGGGTGATGGTTGCGCTTTGATAATCTCGTCACACAGGTCATAGTACTGCAATGCCATCAACGCACCGTACTCTCTCTCCAACGGTGTCAGCGACAGGATCTGTATACCGTAAACAACTGCTTTGTCGCTCAGAAATGGTCTCAAGAGGTTGTTTGCAGCATTCACCCGATAGGTGACCTGGACTTCTCCTTTCTTCCTCGTGATTTCTTTGACTCTCGCTAGACAGTGTGGTTCGTTGGGGTCCTGATCCGGTCTGCTGGACTTTGACAACAAAACAATGTCGGAGACGCCGATGCCGAGATCTTTTCCTTCCGTGAAAGACATCAATGAGTTGACTTCAAAGAAGCTGTCCACGATCAGAGAGTTGGAAACTTTGACTTCGAAAGCTTTGAAATTGCCCTCCTCCCGTGCCGCCCGAAAACTCTGCCAGCCTTCTAGGACCAGCAGTGGTTCAAACGTCCTCTGATAGTCCTGTGCAGTTCGAAACGTATTTGTAACAAGGGTGTAGTCATCCTTCATTGAATTGGGAGGTGTATCGGTGTCCGCAAAGAAATCCCACCCAAGGATTGTGCGGTGCAACTCACTGAGATCAGGAGCAAGCCGGGCGCGGATATCCTTCTGGGTTCGTTGTTGCTTGACCTTACGCACAGGGCCAGCTGGCATGGGCTTTCTCTGTCCAAATTGCTCACGGACTGTAGGGCCCCTTGACTGAATGCCAAACAATTCATCGTCTGAGTCGGAATCGAATTCGGAGTCGCTAGACACCATGAGACTGTTTGGACCAGCTGAATGATCTTTGCCCACAACGCCCAGTCCAGCAAGTCCAGACCCTTGTCCGCTCGTCTGTGCGCCGATTCCGGTTTTGCCTTTCAATCTGAGAGCAGCTTCCTTGTCTCGGAGTTTTCGGGCTGCTTCTTCGCGCTTCCGGTTCTCGATGAAGGCCCTCGCCTCTTGCGCCTTCTTCGCTTGAATGTCGATTGTAGAGACTGGCGCGACCTTTGGCTTCGCAGGTGGCTGTTGCAGGAGTAGAGATTTGATCTTCTTCTTGTCCTTGGCTGTGACGGTTGCTTTATGAGTACCAAGCGTTTTGCTGGCGATCTCAATCAAGTCTTCGTCAGCAATGTCGTCGTCTCCAAATTCGTCGGCGCTACGATCCTTCGACTCGTGAGTGGATATTCTTGAGACCGCAGCTGAATCGGTCCATTTTTCCAGGTTGAGTATTGCTTGTTTCTTGACAGCTGGTCTTCCGATTTGGCGGTCAAAGTAGTCCTCCAGGGCTCGAACTAGTCTAGCTTTCTGCGAGGCTGAGAGCATCGTTCTAACAGTGCCTCCTGTCGCCACATCTTCCACGTATGCGAGGCCTTCGCTGTTGGTCACCACGGCCCGAAGCCGCTTGAGTTGGTACAGCATGTTGCAGATCAATGATACTAGTGTGTCGGCCAGATACTCGTCCCTCAGTCTCAACCATTTGCACATGGTATCGAGAGCACTCAGAGGTGATCCTAGATTCTTCTCACTAGCGCTAGCCGAGTCCAAGAGGGTCTTTCGAATCTCGCCAGCTTTATCAGGCTTTGTCTTCGTCAAGACGGTTGCGAAAAGGTCATATTGCTGGAAAAGCTCTCCAGCGTATTGCATGGCGTCGCGGCAGACCTCTTTCATAATATCTTTGTTGTGCACCTCCATCGACCAGCGCTCAGTGTGACCATAGATGGTCTTGAGGGCGATCCACTGGTACGACCAATAGCTTTGTACAGCTTTGAGGTCTCGACCCGAGAGCTCCATGCGTCGTAGGAGGCCAGCCGTTGGGTTGGAAAGCACATCGAGGATTTCCATACCTGTCTTGAGCATTCTGGGCACCGAAGCGAAGGTCTTATAATTGGCTACTCGCCTAAACAGCCAGCAAACGCCATAGATGGTGGTCCCAAGAAAAGCATTGATCAGATGCGCAAGGGCTTCCTTCCGACCTGACTCTCCGCTGATATGCTTGACCATGGCAATCGCTGCTTCGTATATCTCTTGATGCGGGGAGAACAAAGCGGCGACCAGAGACATGCTTGTATCTTGTTGTCTGAATAGGGAGTCCAGATGGGGTGGTTGAAACTCGGATATGCGCTCTAGCAGCTTGCTGACCATTTGGTTAACCTTTTCGAAAATAGCGTTGTAAGACTTCTTTTCTCTTGCCAGACTATCGCCCTCTCTGATTCGGAACTGCTCCAGACCAGGAAGAGACATGATCCCAATCAGTACCGCAGTGGACAGTGCGTAATCATCATCACGAAGGTTGTCAATGACTGAGGTCCAAAGTTCTGGAGTGTAGGCACTCGACTCCTGCGTCCGGGATTCGTTGCGGCTGAGGCTCTCGAAATCAAGCTTCAGACACTTACATTCCAATGCGACTGAGTTTTTAACGAGGTTCACAACATTTTCTTGAGTCTCCTTTGGCAGTGATTGAGCAAGGACCACGTCTCTAGGCCGCAGCATCACGTCTAGACGGTGGCCAACCAGGTTCAGTGTGTCAAGATAGACCAACCGCTCAACTGGATGTTGGCTGTCCTCTTCCTCGCCGGAGAAACTGATCACCGTCTTTAAAAGCACGTTTACAGCCTGCTCAAAGCATGCTTTCCTTGCTGAGAGGCTAAGGGAGCCATTGTCAATTCTTTCAAACAGCTGGTTGAGGAGCGTGTGTGAAGCAGGGGGACGATTGGCAGGCTTGAGAGATTCCAGCAGTGAACTGATCCAAGACAGGACATCCCGAGCGGACCCATGAGCGTCAGCTGTGGATTCCTGGAGGTCCTGATTGAACACAGGGCTTGCGAAGATCTGCTCAACAATTGTCTGCGAGGAGATGGAGCCCATAGCCTGCCAAAATGCATCTGGAGCCTTGTCCAAGATCTGTTTGAGAGTCGAAAGAATAGAGGGTACGGCAGTCGTCCGCTTGGCTAAGTGGTTCAACGCTGTTGTGCATATGTTGGGGTGGAGGTCGAACAGCTTGAAGGTGATCATCCGTTCGTCGAGCTTTTGGACAATGAGGTCCAGAGCACTCCACAGTTTTGCAACATCATGAGGATCGGAGGCCGACTGCAGCTTCTTCTGCAGGTAGTCCTTCACTGCCCAGTCCCATTCGAGGTCCGTGGGGCATCGATCGAGTCGCGTCCAGATCGAACTTGCCCATACCACTCGGACTGTGTTGGAGTCAAAGAGAAATCGAGTGGCGGCAGGGAGGATCTCCCGCATCTTAAGCGACTTCTTGGTCTGTATCATCCTGAAGGGCGCATCGAAATGGGCCTTCAGTTGCTCTTCGTCGTCCAGGAACGTCTGAGATACGAGCGCCTCAAACAAGGCGTGGAGGTGTTTGGGGTCTAGTACCGCAGTCCCTCTCTTCTGTTCGGGGACACTTCGCAGAGTCTTGTCCGCGGCGTCAAGTCCCTGAACAATCCGTTCGACATCTCTCCGATTGATCAGGGCGAAGAAAGTGGCAATATCATCCTCCTCGTAGTCCTCCCTCAAAGCGGCCAGGAAGTTGACTTTTGCAATGTAGTACTCGCGAATGCAGATGTCACATTTTCCCAGGGCTTCCTCAAGCGTGTCCCAAATGAAACGTTGGTATTGCTCGCTTTCCTTCCCGTCATAGGCGAGGAGTTGGAGGGACGACACAAATCTTCTCCGCCGTGCCTTGGTCTCTTCGATTCTCGCAAGGCGAACTGGGTCTTTGGGGTCGGGGTTTTGTTCATCATCATATCTGTCGGTATCGTCGTCGCTCTGTCGGGGGCAGAGGAGATGGAGTCCGGGAGGTAAATGTTTGAATTCTCTGTGTGCGAGAGATATCAATAAGTGCACCTTCAGTCAGGAGAAATCCTTTACTGGCGAACTTACTGTAAGGCCGTTATGAATTCTGCCATGACGGCGGTGGTTGTGACCGCAGTGAAGCGTCAGTGTTGGTGATGTTAGCAAGAGGTGGTATGCATAAGCGAGATCTTGGATCTCTCATACTGGTAAGTCTGTGATCACAGCGACGGGTTCTCATGCTAAAGGAGACAGTTGGCTCTGAAAGAATAGTGCAATTCCATTGTTGGCAGTTAGTGGAACAGCTTGTGGTTTGGAGAAGGACTCTGTGAAATGTGGTTCTGCAGTCTGTGAGAGCGCCGCGGGCGGGAGGCGCGTCCACCAGAAAAGTCGCGTGCAGCCGAAGGGACTGCCACTATAACTCCCTTGCACTAGACAATTAGTGCTTCCTAGCGCCTAGGTTGCCCGCATTGTTAGCTACACTAGCTACTACTAGGTCGCTTCAACCATAGTCGCCGGTGTGTAAAGTGCTACGAATACTCAATACAAAGTGCTTGGCTTTTGTCTCAAGGTGTCTACGACAGTCTTTCGCAGCCTGGCATTGCTTGATCATGGGTACCTACCTAGGTACCTAGGTCTGTGCGATGCACTCGAAGACATCTCTGGTGGCAATGGCAAGTTCCGAATCAACACATTCCAGCTGACTCTATATCGGAATGATAGTTGCATATCTACATGGCAGTGGCCAATCATGAGGATCAAATGGCGGCTCTATCTAGAATCAGTCGCGTTAAAAGTCTCGTCCACTTCTGGTGCGTGGTTTCATTTAGGTGTTTTCAAAGGTATATACAGCAGAAAAAGCCTTCGCTAAATATTTCACAATTCCATGGCCAGTCTCTTCGGATACTCTCCCTTATAATACCTGTCCCATATCCATGCGGTCCGCAACGCCTTTTTCATCATAGCTATAGAAGGCCGGCATAAATTCGTGATACACAAAATGTGCTGTGACCCCTTGTCATGAGGGCTCTACACGTTCTCCTCAGGGATGACTCGAGTATTGACCTCACTAAGACCAGGTTGGGAGTATTGAGATTCCATCCTTGACAGCATGGCGGCGCTGGTGAAATCACGGCTTCCTTCGAAACTCGGTCTCAGCTTGTCGAAAGACTGTCGTTGCCTCTCAAATGACGAGCGAGCACGCTCTATGGAGGGTCTCCTCCGCCGTAGCTTTTCGGGTGTAGACGAGTCTGCATGATGTCCAGCAATATCGAAGGATGGCTGGGTTCTATCTGTGCCGTCACTGCCTGTTTGGCTGTGAGGATGACGGGTAGGTGCCTCCGAGGGTGGGTAGATCGGTCGCTGTGATTCCGCCATGCTTCCATATCGTGCATGATGAGGCTGCTGCTGCCCATTTGATTCCACATGAACCTCTTCAGGTTGTTCAGACGATGTCCCTGAAAGGTCGACTACTTTGGGAGGAACGTAAGCCTCGTATTCGTCCAAGTACTTGAATTTGCCTTGTCGGACCTGCTCCCGGACGATGTCAATGTCGTAGGGCAGGTAGTTCTTCTGGAAATATTTCACACAGAAGCGGGGTAGCAGACATATCACGAACGTCAAGAGCGTCATCGCCCAGAATGTTAATTGCCCGTAGACTTCGGATCCGGCTTTGTAGAATTGGAAGGAAGCTTCGAAAGAAGAGTAGATGCCAGTCCAGGCAAAGATCAAGAGGCAGCTGATGACGGTGATCAAAACCATGATCCAGTCCCACTTGTACGTGTTGAGAAGGATGTAGGAGTTGATCACGATGATGGTAACACAAGCCACATAGACACCCATGCGGCTTCGGTCGGCGATGCCTCTTCCGTTCTCGGTTTCGAAGGTTGCAGGCTGGAAAAGGAGGTAGGCCATAAAGTAGCAAATGGCAGACTGATATAAGCCGTCGACCATGTATAACCTGAGTTCCTGTCAGATGAAACGGGTCAACAAACGGTTGAATTCCTTACCAGAACTTGACTTGGGTCCATTCCTTTCGCTCCATTCCGCGTCGGTACAATTGGGGTACTGCAAGAGATACTTTGTCGCTCACGTCTTGATCCAGGATACCCAGCAGAGCGACAGGTACCGATGTGAAAGCCAAGTTCACCAGCAGGATGTAAGTGTAGTCAAAGAGGTAAGTGATGTCAAAGTTGTTGTATATTTGGTACCAAAACAGGGCAAAGGTCCAGACCAGGTTCTACCAGCACAATCAGTCAAAGCTCCAGAAGGTGAGGGTTCACACAAACCTTATAGAAGAAATTGGCAATACTCTCAGCGAGACGGCGGTAAGACCAACGACCGTGGACGAGAACCAGTCGCTGCAGGAAACGGAATTGGCCAATGGCATAGTCGGACGACATAACGGCCTGTCGCCCTTCCTCGCCGGCAATGCCTACACCGACGTCGGCCTCCTGAATCATGGCAACATCATTGGCACCATCGCCGATAGACAATGCCATAACGTCGAGTCCGTTTTTGACAAGCTGAACCACAGCAGCTTTCTGTGCAGGGCTGACTCGGCAACAGAGGACGGATCTGCACTGTTTGCACAATACCAAAAACCGCTGTCTTAGCTCATCTCGCAAAACCAACTTGAGCGACTCTCCGTCAATGACCAGAGCATGGGTTGGTGGCGGCGGCTCGTGAACAAGTCGAGCGGCTGCGAGTTCCTCGTCGGAGCCGGTCAATCCGAATGTTTGGAGATGTTGATCCAGCAGCTTCGCAGCTTCGTCTAAAGTGGCCTCAGGGATGTCGAAAAGAATCAAATCCATCTCATTTGAGAGCAGATTGCAAGAAAACCCAATGTTGATGGCGGTCTCAACCTTGTCGCCAGTGAGGACCCAGAGCTTGATACCAGCTTGGCCAAGTAGAGCGATCGTGTCGGGAACACCATCTTGTAGACGATCTTCAATGGCTGTGCCTCCAAGGAGTGTGAGTTCTCTCTCAATCCTATCGGCTACCTCTTCAAGGCGGTCCTCTCGGTCGGTCAAAGCTTGAGCGGCAAAGTCGTGGTCCTTGTTCCATTCTTGGTAGAAGTCTTCGTCAATCTCTCTCTCTGCCACACAGAGCGTCCTGAGCCCTTCACGAGCAAATATCTCCAGATTTTCAGCAGTTGCCTTGCGAAGTTCTTGCTGTTGGCCACGAGCAAGACGCGAATAGATCATGCTGTCGGCGCCCTTGCAGAACAGCTTGATCTTCCCATCAGGCATACGTACAATGGCACTCATTCGCTTTCGGGTCGAGTTGAACTCCAGAGTGTTCAGAATCCGGTAGGTTCGATCTTCCCCAAGGACGTTGACGTGGAGATCATCGTTGGTACGACCCAAGACCGTAAACCCCACATCACGCGCCGTGGCGACAAGAGCAGCTTCATCGGGAGACTGAGCCTTGAACTCAATCTTTGGTGGATCACCTGGCGTTGTTTCCGTGATTACCGTGTGGCAGAGAGCTAGGGCAATCATGAAATGTTCCGTTGCCGCTTGTTGTGCTTCACCTGATTGACCATTGAGATCACCCACAAAGGTTGGAGAAATGAACGTGAGCTCGTCATCGTGGAGATATGGATTGTCGTAGGTCTTGCGGAGCATCTTCAACATCTCAGCACGTGCCTCTGCGATTTCTTGACGCACTCGAGCAGCCTCAGCGTCGACGTCGACGCCTTGTCTTCTTCGCATCCCTGCTTCGGCTTCAGTGTAAGCCTCGCCGTAGGGTACTCCGTTGACAGTGCACTTTTTGAACTCCATAACATTCTGAGTCAATGTTCCAGTCTTGTCCGAGAAAATGTACTCGATTTGTCCCAGATCATCCGAAATGTTCCAGCTCTTGGGCGTACAGGGGTAATCAAGTTTCTCGTAGTACATATGGACATCGGACCAAATGAAGAAGGCTTGGATGGACCTGACGATTTCCAAGGTGATGTACAAAGAAATGGGCACCAAATTCTGGAACAAGACGACGGCGGCCCAGAAAGTGATGAAGCCGTCAGTTGGGGGATTGCCGCCAATCGAACCAAACTCGAAGAAGTTCAAAGAGTTGTTGTTTTCGGACCAGGTGACACCTTGCACGATACCTGCAACCAAGCACATGAAGAACAAAATGATGAAGTTGTAGATGACGTTCCAGTTCAGGTCCCTAGCCATCCGTGCACGTTTGCTGGGGGTGATGCCCGAATTAAGCATGATTTTGGTCTCACCCCCGGTGAACACAACCACGCCGAGAATCCATTCAGTGTTTTTCAAGCTGCAGCCACGTAGAAGCATGTTGTTGATGGTAATCGGTTCCGCCATGTCACGCGTGGGAGCATTGGGGTTCTTGGGGTCCTGCTGTTGCCATCGGGCCACTCCATTGTAAGTATACAAGTTTGGGCTAGGTCCTTCACTATCGATCAAGAACTCGGCGAATTCACAGTCTTTGGCATGCTTGACTCTGCGTCCTGCCTGAAGCGCATGGCGGACCTTCAGATTTGTCTCGCCATCCAGGTTTTTGGTTTCAATGTAGCAGGCACCATCCGGGTCAGATGTGGAGAGCACGACTATGTCGGCCGGGACCGGCTCGTCATTGTAGATACGGACAAAATCGCCCACTTTGACATTTTTCCAGTAGTCTTTCTTGAAGCGGGCAGTATCAGGGACTTCCTTGTGAGGGTTGATCACGCTGCCGTAGTCCTTCTTAGCGGGGACAACGCTCTTTCTTTTCGAGGAATTCTGCGTTCGGAGCATTGAAGGTGCATTGTCTCCAGCAGCGCGACTTTCGTCCGCCGTCTCGTAGGAGAATGCACTACTCGGAGGTCCGCCATTGGCATCCGGGGGAAGGCTCGATCGGTAACCGGGAGATGGCACGGGAGTCATGGCAATGTCATCGCCAGTCTGGCTCTGGGAGGAATGGAAAGAATCGCCTTCTTCCGAGTGGATCGAGCTTCGAATAGTGTGCCTTGTAGCGATCGAATGATTCCTTTGCAGACCGGGGTGATCGGCAACCACATCTTTTTCTGAACGCTTGGGTTGACCTTTTCGCAGGCTCCTCATCCAGCGATATGTCGAAACGACAGATCTTGTGCAGGCCTTTTTCAAACGCCTCCAGAGGGAAATATCGTCATCAGAGGAGTTGACGTTGTCCCAATCCACCAGCCGGTACACTGGTGAGTTGTTGAGTTCGGTGTCCAGCACCGTTCTGCGCCAATCCTCAACTGCGTCCTTGATGGCTGTCACTGACAGGATAAAAATCAGGGGAACGGATCCAAGACCGGGATTCGAAGCACCAAAGATGGAGAATATCTGACAAGGTTAGACGTCAACAGTGAGAAAAGGTCCCAAGCCAGCTTACACTGAGAATGACAATAAAGAAAAAGTATATATTAGCGATGTTGTGGAATTGAAACCACAAGTTTTTGGGCACGAAGCTGAGAGGGGTATATTTGGCCGTCCTAATCTTGTTTCTCGAGTACTTGGCCTTGATATGGCCGTCTTCTGTTTTTGCTTCGGGAGGTAGAGGTAAATTGACGTAGATCTGGCGCCCGTCTGATTCCTGCTGTGCTTGCTGCTCGCCGAGGGGACTCTCGTCGGTGATCAGACCGGCGTTTTTGGGGCCGTCCGGCTTTTCTTCGTAGGTCGAGACGGTTACCTTGGGTACCCGTTGAAGTAGAGAGAGCCTTTTCTTTGTTCCGCTTTGGCCAGGTTTTCGAGTTGTCGCCCACCGCATTCTCTTGACCGGTTTCGAGACGCTGGTCTCGCCGCTGGTAAAATGTATTCGAGCCATGTTGCGGGCGCAAGCGCAGGTGCAGAATCCAATAAAGGGGGGTAAACCGTCACCCCAAGGGCGCGGGGTGTGACTTTCGTTTTATCGAGAAACACCAGAGGACAAACTTTTGCCAAAAAACGGGATTCCAGATACTGTCCGCTGTTCTGGGACGTTTGACGAAACTCGTGGAGGCGAGACGGGTCGAGGGTCGAGTTTCCGCGTTTTGAGGCTGGGGGGGAAGAGGGAGGGCTCGGAAGAGTCGGCTCACGTCAGCAGCCCGACAAAACGCGCATCGTTGAGGGAGAGAAGGGAGAGCCGGCGACAGCGACAGTGCTGCGCAAAGAGGTTCGAGGGTATAAAAGGGAGGAGATGGATGGTCGACAAAGGGACGGCGAGAAAGAAGGAGTCGGCGTGAGCTCGAGGATGCAATGTAGATTGGATCTAAGAGGTATGGGGACGGTTGGAGTATAATCTTCGGAGGGTTTTTTTCTCGATGGACCGAAAACTGCACTCCGTGCTCGGTAACGTCGTGTTCACCCGGGGCTCCGCCGTCGGTTTAGCGATGACTGGAAAGATGAGTGGTTGTGCAACGCGTGAGTGGCGACCAGACAAGCCCTCTGGGCACCAAATGGGCTGGTAAGAGAGATGAGGAAGCTCGAGATTGGGAAGGATGCAATGCCAGATGCCAAATAATGCCAATAATGCCCATGCGCGGACGCCTCTTGCACGCTTCTGAAGCGCAGGGGCCGAAGCGTGTCTGTTTCACAGTTGGACGCTCTGGCTCCTAAACTCCGGCTTGCACCGAGCGCGGACGAACAAGACGGTTTGCCTAAGACTTTATGCCCAGGAGATGGCGGAATGGAGGGAAAAGGGGGGACGGGAGGAGTCTTCTTGTCTTTTTTGTTCCTCTTTACAGCGTATCTGCTCAACAGAGCGACAGCCAGCCGAACTGCTATGCTAATAAGCCACCAAGGCACCGAGTGTGCGCACCTGAGCCCCTACTCTCGCTACTATTGTGCACACCTGCATTACTGTTCACTCATCTCTACGCAGGTTCCTTTGGACTGTTGCCCCCAGCTCCCGAGCCTTGCCGTCGACGAATCATCAACTAGTCACCGCCATTGCCCAGTGCGACGATCCCCCCGTCCAAGGTCTCCTCTAGCCACTGTGGGTGACAGGCCTCACTGTTGGCGCCTCTCGAAGCTGACCAAGCATGCTCCCACCCCGAAACCTCCACAAGATCTGACATTGGGATAGGCCAGACGCGGCGCCCAGAGGCCACCGCAAAGCCGGTTACCCTTACTCGTAATAGGGAGCGCCACTCTTCGCAAGCACGTGGTTCAGGCAGAAATAATGGTCGAGCAACACAAAAGGACCTCAAAGTGCTCGGGATACTCCGTACTGTTTGAACACAAGTTGAAATACGCCTTGTCTCCAACAGAACCACCCTTCGGAGCGATTTGCTTCTGATTCTATTTCTAGAAGCGATACGCCCTTCTTTCAATTGACACCAAAGTATATGTCGAAGATGACGGCCACTGTCACCATGGGATCCTTTAGGCAAGTCATCTATGAGGCTGAGTCATAGATGCACAAGCTGCTGGTGCCGCTGGCGCTACTACCGCAAACTGCGGCTGCGGTAATCTGCCCAGTGACCTTGGCACCTTTTTTTTTTCACACTCATCGATGACAAAAGCCTTCCCCGATCACGACTGTCAACGAAGCACTGCCGGAATGGACGCCTGAAATCCGTCACAGCCCTCCTCTTGTATCTGTGGATATGAGCGTGGTTCATGCGCGACCCCAACGGCCTTCCGAGTTGGTAACTGCACGATATCCCTCCTCGATATCTCTTCTCTGTTCAGAATACCCCATGCGTTCGGGGTCATGACTGGATCTTCGGCACCGACGCCAGATGCTGTCTGCTATAGAAGCTAGATACTACCACAATGTCCCTTTGTATCTTCGCCGACTATGTCAATGATCTCTTGTTTCGAATGTCCACTATGCAAACCATGATCTCCCGACAAGTACTTCGACGCGCATGTATTCCGACCACATCACGTCGTTGGGGATCATAAAAGCACGTCTCATGCGAAGCACTGTCGCAGGCAGCGGAGACAAGGCAGGAGAGGGATAACTGTGAAAATCTGAGCGTCAATAGATAACACAATGACTGAGGGTCCAATTGGTCCACGACACACCACAGCGTTCGCCGATGTCAAACTCAAGCCAGCATTATCGGAACAAGTAGAGTGGACACCACCGTTCAGCGTCCGTGTCGTGCCGTCTTTGTAGTACTCCGTAAAGGTTCCCTTTCTTGGGAGCATCGAGCAAGCTTTTGTATACATACTTTTCCAGAAGGCCACTCTTGGCTAATTCATTACCGGGCGAGATCTGTCTGGGTGGGTGGGTGCGGTGGGTGCGGTGTCAAATACGAAGCCAAGGGAAATGTTATCCGTGTAGGTTGCAAGTCACTCGTGGCATTTCAAACTCCCGGTTTAGGGGAGATTCTGTCGAGCCACGCAGACTCAGGGTGAACGAACTTTTGTAAACAAGGTACCTAGTATGGGTGGACACCCCAACATGCCACAGATCCCTTGGTCGGCTCGGCACAGAAGTGAGCCGAGAGCCCATGCTTGTATGCCTTCAGTCGAGATCAAGGATTGTCAGGACTCGCATGCATTTTGAGCATCTTTCATGGAGGCAAACAGCATGGACTCGGTGCCGAAAAAAGGACGTTGGTCGTCAAGCGAGATAGAAAGGAGGGAAAGGGATTTCGACCTTGGTCAAGATGGCGAAATAATAATTTCTCAGCCCGGATTTTTAAGCTGCAGGCAGCTCAAGATGATCTGCAGGAGACGGGTTAAGCATGGTTAGGTTAGTCTTGCGGAGGATCGTGCCCAGGGGTCGCGCCATGGGGTTGGTCTTTGGAACGCCGACTAGCCAGATCCTGCTTTTTTGCGCTGACGGCATGTTCAGGGAATGTTCCCTGCCACTTTAGATTACCATTTACGCCCTTTTGGCACCACCAGCCACAGCAACCTTCCGGGTGTGCCGGATAAGGGTTATCTCGCTTGCCGATACCCTTGATGCGAACACGCAGCTAGGGCACGTTGGACGAACAACAGCCGCAACTTCAACGAGTCCCTGCTGGTCACGGCCGCGAGGCCTCATTGTTGAGATGGCCACCTCACCATTCCATCTCGCAGCCTGGTTGACGAGGAGCCGGCCACATGTGAGGAAGTGAGGGATGAGAGCAGGCCATTTGTTGCCGGGCGTGCACCAATAGAGCATCGCTGTTGCAGGACATGGCACAGAGAGGTATAAAGGGTGAGTTTTTGTACACCGTCACCACCGTACTCCGCATATGTCTGTTTATCATCACAGTTTGACATGGCGTCGGACCTTGGAAGCTCCGAGGCTGCAGTTGATTGTGCCATGGGCCGTCGAGCTCCACCGCCACGCATCAATATCAGCCGTGAGCCAGTCTTCTTTCGGAGATGCTAATCAGTCTCCACTGGTCCGAACATGACGCCAATGCCTCAGTGGCGCTGCGAATCGCTAGCTGCATCCAGAGGAGTACGTAACTGTGCCTTTTCTTGGCCGAGGAGGGTCTTGACGGTATCTTCCTATCGCTGGAGCAATGGGCGTTGATATCTGGAAGCGGTGTGCTCGCCCTGGTACAGAGCTGTCTCGCCGCTTTCATCTGTGTGATCGTCATTGCAGATGGCCAAGCAGGAGATGAAACGGAAATAATGCTCCATCCCGGAATAACCTGGGAGTCAAAATTAGGGTTGCTACGTATGCAAGTCTCAGACTAGACCGGATATGCAGCCAGGGGTGTAGCCAGATCCCCCCATGTTCATTGGAGTATTCAATTCGTTCCAGGACATTGTGCGAGGCGCATGTCGACTTCACAATTGGCAGATTCCCGGCTTCGCTGTGGACATGCAACACAGATTGACGAGATGGACACGCTTTCCCAACGTTTCAGTGGTGAAATATATTTTTTTTTTTGCGCAATCACGCCCGAGCAGTCGTCGGTGAGGCCTCTCGTCGATGCAGCACATGCCAGTAGGCGCATGGCGTTCCCTTCCAGTTGCGGAGCAATCGGCCATGGCAAGTGGGCGGACGGGGAATCCTTCACATTTGCGCCAAACGGCATTCATCCTGTTGGCCTTGAGAGAATTCGGCCACTCTCCAACTGTCAAGGCTTCCTAGCTTGAAGATAGGACTTTTTTTCATAAATTCCTGGTTGTCCATGGTTAGGCGATATCAAGTTGCATAAGCTAGCGAGGTACCGGAGGGGACAGAATCAAGGTAAAAATGGATCTGGCTTTGGGATTCAGGATTCAAAGAAGCTGGAAGTGGAGAAGAGGGCCACCGACCGGGGGGGCGACAAGGCGGGTGGCGGTGATAGGGAGCTGGCTAGTCGAGATTCATTCCAGGTAAAGCTCGTGCCCTATCTCGGCAACAAGACGACGCCATGGTGGCCGTGGTGAGCTTCTCACTCAGCTTGGGATCATCAACAAGGGACGGGGACGGAGTGGCTCCTTCACCCGGACATTTGGACGGTATTCTCATTGCTCAGTCCACAACGGCGTCGACAAAACTGCACCAAACGCACCAAACGCGACTGGTGTGAAGTCTCGTCCTGTTCGAGAAAATTGAGAGGTTTCCGGATATAGGTCCCCCTGAGGGCGAGTTCCATACTTGATTGGCCCCTGCGGCGTGCTCGAGGGGGGTGGGTTTCGATATACTCGTAGGCAGAGCGCTAGGACACTGTTGAGGAGTGCCACCCGGAGAATGTACGTACTCGTACCTGTACCCTCTTTCCAGAGCAGGCGCTGTAAGACGGAGTTAGCTGTGTACACAAGGCCTGTGGTGGGAGAGCAATCACGGAGGATCATGCGGATGTTGAATCCGACGACGGGCGGCGACAACAATGGGATCCATTGCACCATGAGCTGAGCGACAATTGCCTTGGTTTGTCAGTTCAGCTCAGGCGAGAGCCTTTAGCCTGCATGGGCCTAGCTGTGTCCGATTCCTCGTTGTGTCCGCGCGCGCTCTGAGGGTATACCACACGCTAGGTTGGGTTGCTGCGTGCTGCGCTGGACAGAAATTTTGTCGGGCGAGTAAAGCAGCGCAGTGCCTGAACGCCCTCGCACCAGTGGTTGAGGGGGAACCGGGGGGGCCACTAACTACTGGCGGTGCCGGGGCAGTTTGAATTATTTTCCCAGCGGTTCCTGGCCTATCCCTCGTCTCGTTTCGAATTGCGCATCACAATTGTTGCGCCTAACGCAGCCTATTCTGTCACTGGCCACCGCTGTGCTGCACTCCACGTCTACCACTTGCCCTTGACTCCCCCCCCAAATCCAGGCGCAACTCCGAACCCTCCCTTTCAATTACAGCCATCTGCACCGCGACAAATCTACGCCGTCACCTCTGTTGTACCAACTCCCTCTCCTAATTCCCAAACCCTCTCACTTCTTCCTCGACGACGTTCGTTACCTTAGCTCGAGCATCACAGCCTTCGTGCTGCATTCACATGGCATCGCTCTTCTTCCAGCATTGACTTTGCCTTGTCCTCATTCCCTTTCGCGACCAAGAAGCGAAGCTTGGGTGTTGAAACATCCCTCCTCGTCACCCTCGAATCAATCTTCCGACAGATCTACTACAAAAGTCTCTCGTTTCAATTCAATGTCGCCGACAATCTATTAACTTCCTTACCGCTTCCCTTCCTCCGCTCGCTCCCTCTGCATCACTCAATTCTTTCGAGGCACGCACTCGCCTCCACGAAACCCGGTTGGCGTGTTTGGTTGAGGACACACAGGAAAGACGAGGGTTCTGTTTGAGACGAGGAATAACATAATTTTGGACACCTTCAGTCGCAACCACCGCCTCGCACCTTATCGGGACGTGCCTTCTCAGGCCGCCTCTACTTAATAAATTAAACCCTCCGACCCAGTACCCTGACGCGCAATGGCGCCTGCTCCTCCTCGACTACGCATCCTTTCAGGTGAGCATGACTTTTTGCTGACCTGCCTTGCCCTGCCTTGCGCAGGTCCACTCAAACCTCCGTTGGAGTCTCTGACCTTTGTCTCACCTTTCCCTTATGTTTTGTTCGCCGAAATTCATTTGAAATGAATCGCGAGCTAAGACGTTGCTGCATAGTGGGTGGAAATGCAGTTTCTGCTTTCTTATCATGGCGGTTGCAAGCCACCAACGCCTGCGACGTGACCTTGGTGTGGAAAGCCAATTATCAGGCCGTGGCACAATACGGTGTCTCGTTCAAGTGAGCAACCTGGATTTCACCAACCCTAATGCCGCGCGACTGACCCTCCCAGATCTTCTCTGTACGGAAATGAAAGATTTAAGCCCAGATACGGTACGTGGAAGCAGAAATTTCATGCCAGGATGAAAGCTAATTTGATCAAAGTCGTCCAAAGCCCCGAAGAGGCGGCGAGCCAACAAGCAGCCTTCGACTATGTCCTCCTCTGCGTCAAAGCCCTTCCCGACGTCTACAACCTTGCCGATATAATCCAATCGGTGGTCACCCCACAACATACCTGCATTCTTGTTAACACCACAAACACTTTGGGAGTGGAGCAACAACTTGAAGAACGGTTCCCCACGAATGTTGTCTTGTCTCTCGTTTCCGGCGCCGATTTGACCCAACTTGGGTCCAGCGAATTTGAGCACACCGGCTCAACAGAAATCTGGGTTGGGCCAGCAAGCAAGAACACCGCAATTCCCGAGTCGATCCAGAGGGACATGTCAGAGGCTTTGGCCATGACCTTGACCACTGCCCAGGTCGACTGCAAAGTGTCTGTAAACATTAAGCAACAGCAGTTCGAGAAAATGATAGGGTCGGTAATGTCTGATCTTTGGCGCAGGAAACACGTCAACTGACTTTGTGACTCCAGGCCCATTGCATTCCATCCTACGAGTGTCCTATTCGAGAAGCCTCTCCTTTCGGACCTGATCCGGTTACCTGGTGTCAACGATCTGATATCCGATGTTATTGAAGAGTTGATACACATAGCTCACACGCAAGATTGTAAATTTCCCAGCAACTTCAAGGAAATCACAATCCAGTCCATGATCGGATCAAGTCAAGATCCTAGTACCATGTACCAGGACTTTACAGCTCGCCGGCCAATGGAGGTCGAAACTTATCTGGGTTCTCCGGTGGAATTAGCCAAAATGGCAAGCATCAGGGTTCCCCGCCTTGAGACTCTATACACGATGCTTCGACACGTCAATACGGTCAATAAGGACCGTCCTACCGCTTCTGCTACCATGCCACAGTCGCCGTCCGTGATGCAGCCGCCGCCACGGACGATGTCCCTCGCAAATCCTCCTCCCCCCCGACAACCGAATCCCCCCGTCAATGGAGCACCCAGGCCGATGCGCGGCCCCAACATGGGACCACCTATGGGACCACCGGGGAGACGCGGTCCCCCTCCGGTCAATGGCTACCGGGGCCCCCCGAACAGTTTCCCGCCACGGGGGCCTAGCCAGATGCAACGGAGGCCATCTTATGATGAGACAAACCTGGACGAGTTCAGTCACGTTGTTCTTTACGACGACCTTCCCGATGGTGATGTGGCCGCCAATTTCCCCGATAATGGCGGGCCCGCTGCGGCAACATTACGTGAACGAGAGCTGATGTTACGCGAAAAGGAACTACACCTAAAGCAACAAGAGATGGCGATGAGAAGTCGCCCTGGTCGAAGAACCTCACATAATCGTCATCAGGACTTTGACGATGACGACGATGACGACGATTACTTTGATCCGATGCAGCCACGGGGTCCTCCGATGCCCCCGATTGACCCAGACAATTTCGACATGATGAGCGTTACCTCGAGGCGGACCAAACGGACAACTAGCCAGAATCAATTGCGTAAAGACGTCTTTGCAAACGGGAACAGTATGCGTCCCGGATCTTTTGGCCGGCCGAACCTCAACAGGCATCGGACCAGCACCCAACTCCTGTCCGATATGCCTATGCTCGGAGAGAATATCCTGGACAACCCAATGATGGGCTTCTCATCCAACAGATACGGTTCAGTGGACCGCAAGGAAATGGCGGACGAGTCACGTGCAAATTCCCTGACGGCAAGCCGGCTTCAAGAACTTGGTGCCAACGGAGGACCCTACCCCGGGCCGCCTAGTAGACGGACGAGCCGGTCGCCAGGGAACCCATTCAGTCCGCCTGGACGAGTTCCCAACCGGCCCTCTCCGCCGAATGATCCCTATATGCAACCAGGACAGCGCAACGGCCGACCGTCCCCGCCAGGAGGGATGCCTGCACCAGTGCCGAGATACCCTCCAGGTCAAGGCGGCATGCTTCCTCCGCATCAAATTGAACAGGCCGGGGTGAGCAAACCATTCCCACCACCAAAAGCACCTGTGAAGAGTCTGACTGGAAGTGCCAGTGCTAGCGCTGGGAGTGGGGATAGCGGAAGTGCCAACATTGATTCCGAACCGTCGGCTCACAGCAGCACCAGCAGCTTCGCGCCCCGGCAGATGCTGAGCATCCGTTGAGAGTGTCTTTTGGCACACTCTGTGCAAGTTGACCTGGATTGACGATTTGTTGCACTTCGGCGAACAACATGACGAGGATTCGACTTGGCCACACAGCATCACATATATTGTTGATTGTTACCCTGTTTCGCATATACCTTTAATGATCGGCGTCCGCGAACATTACGACACGATGGGCCTGCGACGGTCTATCACCTCGGCAAAAAGCATTGAGATGAGTTTGGTGAATGACAATAGCTTGAATGGAAATGTTGCAACATTCGACTTTTGTGCCCTTTTCTAGTACATACAGCATTGCAAGGAGGCGTCGGGCTCCGCTTTTTTCTTTCCTGCACATTTTGCCCCAACAGCACCGCACATTCTCGAAGACCGGCATTGGAGGGCAGATTGAGGCTTGTTGTGTCTCTCCGCTTCAAGTTGATTGGAGAGATGTTTTGTATTGCATAAATTGGGAAGATACAGTTTTCAGGCACGAACACGATGGGACCGAGAATGACATAATCACATTATGCTAGATCTCTGGTTGGTAAACAGAGAAAAGGAAAGGAGGGTCAGGAAACATGATGGTGGAACTGGTATGGGGTCGTGAGGCAGGGTAATAATCGAATGCAAGCAAAAATTGGCCTGGAAATGAAAGAACAGAATGAGGAGCCCGGGTGAGTCGGCTCTTGTATATCAATCTGCGAGTCTGGAGACATTCACCTGTGCTTGATCCATTGTTTCATTATTATTCTGTCGTTCCAACACTCGCATATCGACGTTCGCAGCCTTGCAGACCCATGCACGAGGCTGTGTGGGAATTTTCCGACGAGATCTAGCCTGTTTGGGAAAGCGCGTTCTGTATTCGCTAGAACTTGCACCAATCCAGTTACGGCAATACCAACCACGGCAGCCACGGCAACGTCTTCCGCCGTCGTTTGGAGACTCGTCTATCACCTGCTACTACGTCACAGGTACCGACTAAAGTACGAGTACCAGGTGCTCCGTACTCCGCAGACACTGTGTGACCTTTGCCGTCAAGTAGACATTACAGCCTCTGCTGAAGACGATACTAGGATGAGGAAAGCCTCGCTCCCTGCTCGTCCTCTATACCTACCTTTTACATCCAAGCAGTCGACTCAATGCGATCTAGTGCAGTTACCATCAACCCTAGCTGAGAGAGGCGCACGACTAGCTCCTATCCACCTCTCACCTCACCTGGTCTCATCTCAGCCACCGAGATGCAGCCTGACCAGGATCGCAGGTATTGCTCGAGGCTATCGGACATCGCGCGTTGACGCCGTTTGTGGGGCAATTACACGTCTGTCTACGCGTGATGGCTAGAATGGAGTAAGGCTTCTACACGAGCGTGAGCAATTATTGCTGCTGATGTGGTTTTGCATCATGTAAGACATTAATGTGACACTGGATGAACATCAACCCTCCCAAGGGCCCGCAAGTTGACCTACTGTTACGCAACAAGCGTTGCGAATGCCGTTCGAGGCTGACCGAGACTATCCGAGAATGATACCTAGCTTTTCGGGCGATAGTGCTGTCACTACTCCTAACAGAAATCGATCACACCCTGGAGAAGTTGTGCGCCATCGCGCTTTGCTGCTACTATGTCACTGGCTCAATTCTATTTGTCCGAGCCCCCAGGCGAACCTTCAGAAAATGTAAGGGAATCTCCCTCTTTATTATTGTTTTGGCACCGAGGGCAGGGATCAATAGTCAGGTCGGTCCGTAAGAGTATCCAAGCGCAAATTGATACCTCCGGTTGAACTATTTGGATCTCGACATGCATCAACGGCTCTACCCAGATGCAAACTCCCTACGTCTTCGACCAAATCTCAGATAGCAACCAATCTGCCAACCTCCCTGGGTTGACTGACGGATCCAATGGCGATTGATGGACTCTCTCTCTCTCTCTTATATTTTGGCAACGCCAGCAGGATCCCAATTTCGCAGGCCGGCGCTTTCAAGTGTGTCTTTGAGTGCTTGCGGGGAATTTCAGAGCCTTCTCTACATAGTAGTGGCGATCTGTTAGACACATTCGTGTGACAATACATGCCTCGCAGCCTTTTAGGAAATGCTCCGATTCATACTCGGAGATTCGCAAGACATTCGAAGAGCCAGCGAAAGTTGACGCACAGTCCGGAACAGTCACTCTTCGTCAACTCTGTGCTATTCGACCAAATCACTCCTCCTACCTCATTACATGGGGAGCCTCCCGCGAGGATCCATGGCAACCTTGCCAACAGTTCCATCCGGCTAACGGCACCTTTATTGTTGGTTTTTTCGACCTATACGGAAATCGTGGCGTGGATTTTGATCCTGGACCTCCTGTCACCAAGAGAACCTGTCGAGATATTTCCATTTCGGTCCTAGACACTTCTACGGTAAACGCGGGCTTCAGGCGGGGTCTGATGCTGTTATCAAGCTTAAGTTCGCTATTCGTCAAAAGCTATGTCCATATCGTACCTAGCCCGAGCACCGGGGAACACAACAAGGACCAGTCAAGCATCACCTTGCTGCAATTCCTTCAATGCCAGAGCTGACAAAGACTTGCAACGGCTCATTCCATGGCTCCCACCTCCTTGATTAGGCCATTCCCGTCTATCCATGACATGCTTAGTGCTGCACCGAGTTCGGGAAACACGGGCCCAGCGGCGATTGGACGGATGGCGAGTGTGGGATCTGATGTCGAATCGCTGAACAGGAGGCAGCATGGATGGCTTTCCGGCGGACAATCGAGAGAAAACATGACACCGGCACCGTGGGGTGAAGCCGACGGTTGTCTGGAGGGTCGAGAAAGGTTCTAGAAGCATTTGCATTCCACAAAGGGAAAGGTTGACCTTCTCCTTCAGGTAAGGTGTGTTCTGTGGATGAGCTTCGATGCCCCTCGTCGAATTGGGTTTGCAGCCTCGTTCCTTTCAGGTAGGTCTGCAGCACCAAAAGCCGCAAGCGAGGATTGTCAACCAGTGGTGCCTTGCCTGCAGGGTATGACTACTCGTATTACTAAGGAGCTGCAGGGAGCGTTTGATCGGAGGCCTAGGCTACCGATACGTGGATTGGGGACTTTCCTCAAAACCGCCAGGCGCTTCTTACTACTTGACTGGCCGGGTTGAAGGACCATACCGTTTGACTGCCGCTTTGTACTGACTCAGATCCCTTTATCCACTCCGCGACTACCTACCTGGAGCGATAGGGACCCTCTCAGAGACTCCAAGCATCGTCATCGTACCGGAGCTCGCTCGGGCTCGATTGCTCTTGCAGGCTGCTTTTGCCCGGGGAAGATCCTTACGAAATTCATCTGTCAGCACTACTTGACATTCCCCGTCTCAATGGGCTCCTCAGCAACCCGGGTATACGATGATTAGCCCCACCACAGGAACTGGAGGGACGGTGTGTCAAAAAGTTCTTGAACGAAGCCAGTAGCATTGGACACTGGATTGGCAATTGCCCGCCTCGGCTGCTAATAACCGCCTGATTCAAATCTCAAGTGGATTGATTCGCGGGCCATCCATTGCACCATCAACCAAACACATGATATAGCGTCGAAGATCCTATTCCTCTCTATCTACAACCCTCAACTCTGAGCCACTGGACCATCAAAAATGGACTCTCAAGGTGTTTTTGAAATCGGCCCTTACGATACGTGGGCGGGCCTCCCTTATGACTGGGAACATGCCACAGCGGTCAATGGGCCAGACCAACGAAGTTCACACTCTGGCCATGCCAAGCGTCTGTCAGTGAGAAGCTCTCAATCGTTATTGGATGAAGACTACGACCTGTTCGACTCGGAAGTAATGGACAAGTTCCTCTTCGACGTGGTACTATACCCTAAACCTCTTCAGCTCAGGAGTCTCTACTAACCTCTTTTTTTCACCCCTAGGCTGAATCAAATAACTCCAGAAGCAACCATGCAAGTTCTTCTTCTTTCTGCGGAATGCTAGAAGCAGAGGGAACGTCACCACCCGCAACCGAGAAGCCGACAAAAGCGGGATCGGATGGCAGTTCCCCCCTAACGGAAGTCGTCATTGATATCCCTGGGGAGGTGCGTCAAAAAGTGCTATCACCAAGTCTTGTCGAGCTGACCGGGCTTCTCACAGCGCCGGCGTGCCCAAAATCGTGCGGCCCAGCGCGCACACCGAGAACGACAGAAACGCTATGTAGCTCAGCTTGAGAAGAGATTTTTCACCCTCCAAGCCAACTACAACCACTTGGACGAAAAGTATAAGAAGGTCGAGAGAGAACATCAGTGCTTGATCCGAATGCTGTCCGCTCGACAAACTCCCAACACTTCTCCCGACTCTCAGGCAAGCGTGGATTCCTACCTGTCCATCTGCAACAACGGCGATCCATTGGTGACCAACGAGTTTCTACTGTGCGAGCAAGAACCCGAACCGGCATTGGCAGTGGGAATCAATCAGATGTTGTCGACGAAGTCAGGCGTGCCCTGACACAGGCACGCAGACTCCATGCTCGCGGTACATTGCGGGTTGGATGGGAACCGGTGGAATGCATCGTCAAGCACCGAGACGGCCTGCATGCGGTCTCGACACTGTCGACTTGTCATTTCATCCGGATACATATTGTCCAAATCCAAAACTCATGCTAACAGGCTGGATGATTACGGGACTGGTTCTGTTTATACAGTATGAGTGATGCTGGATTTGATCCGCTCCCTTGCGACTCTGGTGATGTCGCCCCAAGGAAAGCACGCAAACCATGATGGCCCTGCCTGATTTCTGCATCAAAAGAAGCGGTGATGCCAGCCAATCAGGAAGGATGTCGCCCACTCTCCCGTCAGCTGCCCGGCATTTCGACGACTACTACCAGATCTGGAAGATACCAGGACGCCTCACGTTGGGCCTGCCACCATCTTTGCATTTGGGTCACCGGCCGATCGGTCCGAACTGCACACGACAAGAAATGGGAGCCGAGATGCTACTTGAACCCGAGTTCGGGCGATTGAACAAAGACTTGGCCAGGCGAAAACAGCAAAACACGAGAGAATACCTTCCGAACGGGTGGGAATAGCCTACGCACCTTTGGAGATCTTGACCTGGAACCATTCGCCTTTTGGTGATGAACGGCATAGGCCAGTGTCCAAGCCACATCCGGGGGGCTGCAACGAGCCCTTGGGGGATATCAGGAGCTGCGAACAATCCCCGTTTTCTCCTCCCAACAAGCCATGCCAGGTGCCAAACATTCCGCACGATAGGCATTGGATAAGATAGGATGGTCGGCAGCGTGGTTGATTGTATACTGAGAGCGTCCAGACTGGAGTTTTCTTTTTCTTGGCCCCCCATTCGTTCCTATTTCGCCCTTATTCCATTTCGGTCACGGAGAATAGAAGAAAGGGGAGACTTCAACTGTCCTCACTGGTGTGTCTGTGTGTGTGTGTGCCCGGGTGCATTTCCCAAGATGGGAACCGGGGGGGGGTGCCCTAGGTAATGGTAATCGGTATTAATAGTAACAGTAGTAATGCGTACCTACTTGGTTAAGACTACCTGCGATCCGTATACTCCCTACTCAGTATAGGATACGCGGCACCAGGTCATCCCACGCACGAGTCACTACCTAGATACCTTGGCAGGGAGGTTCCTAGGTCGGTATGGTCGGTATACAGCACAGACAGGGAAGAAACGTTCGAGGCACACGTGGCTCGGAGTCTGGAGTACGGAGTACGGAGTCCTCGGACGGATATGTAGAGCAATGTGCATGGACTTTTCCCTGTCCTGGAGAAAGGGAAGGGGACATATACGTGCAGCTCCAGTTGAGTAATACATATGATATTATTACCCCGTGTCTCCTGCATACCTAGATAGGGTAGTGGCTTGCTACTGTCAGCTCGGCCTGTTGAGATATTACCAATCGACTAACCAATCTACCTAGGACCTACCTACCTACTTACCTTCCTACCTTCCTACCTTCCTACGTGGTTGGGTGATTATAACTTCCCAGACAGCCTCAGGTCCAGAGACCAGAATAGGACAGGACGAGTCGAGTCGAGTCCAGTCGAGTCGAGAACCAGGTCGTGTCCTGTGCAGTGCAGTGCGCTCTGTTGTTGCAGGCCGTACATAGTATATTGTCCCCTATCGCCATGCCTTCTTTTCCTTTCCTTAGCGGGCCTTTCCTTTTCTGGGCCCTGACCCTGGTCCTGGGCGTGTGCCATATCCCATCCATCACACATGCGGTTTCCAAAAGAGACACAAAGTGGGTAGGTGATCTTTCAGCGCTTTTGGGTTACATATCCATCCATCCGTCCATCCGTGAGTCCATCAATCCATCAATCCATCAATCCATGCATGCATCCAGTGGCCGAGAGGGGCCGGTGGTGGGAGTAGTGGTGGCAGTCGCAGCAGTAACAAGGAGTATATACAGTGTTCATTTGATGATACAGGCCACGCCATGTTCTCAGAGTGTTCGAGCAAGCAAAAAATACTCGCGTCTAGGACTGACTGCAGTTGACGGAGCGTAGGTAGCCGTGTTGGCTCTCTATCCCTTGCAGCTGGATACTCGTAAAAGGGGAGCTCATCCCAGCTTTTTTCTATGCGTAACGAATCTCCCCGAACTGAGGTCCCTTCTTTATTTTCCATCGTCTCATTAGCGATTGCGGCATCCGACGTCATGAATTCCACATCCCTGATATCCTAGTCGACCTTACCGCCTGTTCAAAAAGTTCACTCCACCAATCTGTGGCATACTTAGGAGACTGTCCGCCCTCTGAAATACATCGCCCCGGAAAAAAGAATCTCCATACGCGCTCGCCGGGGTGCTCGGCACGGCCGCCATAGGCGTCGGTAATGCAGACGAACTCGTCGGTGTTGCAAGAGGATTGGAGCCTGAATTGGCATTTGAATTATTCGGTACCGTTGCTTGGGCTGCTGGACCGAGGGCTGCCGAGAGCGGAGTTGCCGGAAGTGGAACAGAGATGGGGCTTATACCATTGATTGCTGCAGACATAGGTCCGGCACCGTTGGTTGACATTGAGGATATTGAAGGTATGCTGCCGTTGACCATTTGTCTCGTTGCTGTGTTTGGCGTGCTTGCTAAAGAAACGCCAGGTATTGGCGGGACAGGAATGAGGGGAGGAGGGAATGGGCTTTGCAGGGGATAATTTGAGATCTGAGCGGAGACCGAGTTTGGCGGGTAAGGCGAGGCATTGCTGCCGTTGGGGATTGTTCCGTGGACGGTACTGGAATATCCATTGCCATTGACGACAGCGCTAGGAGGCTGGCTTGAGTTCGCACCGAAAACGCTAGGGGGTGGCATCGCCGCCGCCGCACTATCAGTCAAGTACCGCCAGGGACTCGTCTCTATCAATCTCCCTGCCTCACGACTCGCTTTCTGGACGGGTCTCAACATCGTGATGATCTCCTGTGACAGCAACCTTTGGGACTTGGCAATCCGCATCTCTGTCAGAAGCTCAATGAAACTCATTAAAAAGTTCTTGCAAAGAAGCCACAAGGAGGGGTCGTTTCGACCGCTGCCCGCTGCGACGATATGGATGCTTGGATCTTGTAAACGCATATTGACAAGTCGGATTTGGAGGGCCTCGCTGATGTCGATACATAATTTGCAGCGATAGACCAGGGTCGACCATAGCTCGTGCACCGCCTTCGGCTGTCGGTTTTCTTCTGCCGCTTCGAGACATCGCAGGAATTGTGCCTTCGCGATCGGAATCGTGTGCAGCGCAGCGTCGTAGGCTCTCGTCAAGGCGAGGAAAATCTGCTCGAAGACGAGTTCCTCTTGAGCATCAGTGAGACCTGTGGCAGGATTGACTCGAGCAGCGAAGGAAGTCGAGGGCGGGAGGCTAAAGGCTTCACCCGAGCGAGGCGTGCTGGCTACCGACGAGGACGTGAAGCCATTCATCGTATTGGCAGTGCGTGACCCTGACCGTGACCTGAAGCCAGAACTGGAAGCAGAAGTGAGAGTGCCACTATTTGAGAAGGTTGACGAAGTGCCCGTGAGAGTTCCACCATTCAAAGTGGTACCGGTCAAGTGAATCGGAGTCGGGAGGGCAGCCGATCCTGCAGGTGGTACAGGGTTCGATTGAGATGTCGGGATGTTATCAGCAACTGGATGCTGAATGGCCGTGTCACTGCGCAATCTCCCAGCTTGCCTCGAAGCAAGATTTCTGTCTCGGGTGGGTGTGATTGCTCGGACAGGCTGCAATGGAGTGCTGAACTCCTCAGGGATAGTCTGGATAGGATGCGCGTTTCCACTGGACATCTGTCTTCTATGACCGAGGCCCTGTGCGACTCTCACATCTGCCCCAAAACTTTGAATTGCATTTCTGACTTCCATCATACTTCCGTAGAGGAGGAGCATGAGTGTCCGCACATAACGGGCGTCAGACCCCGCGACAATTTTCTTGACGTTATCTTGCAGCTGTGCGGTTACGTGTGTGTAGGCCATGATGCAGGTTGCACAATCCCTTCGAACACTATCCTCGACTTTCTCAACCGCATCTGTGTCTCCGAGATCGACAGCGTCAGCTTCTTCCAATGCTAAATTGAGCCGGTCGACATGAGTGGAAGCATTGAAAAAGGTAAATTCTAGCGTGCTCCTCCGCACGTCCTTTCCTCTGATCGCAGCGATGAGGCCGGAGATTTGGGGGTGGATCTGATACAGGGCGTATAAAATCCCTTTGGCACCTTCGATGACAGGGTTGTTCCATTCGGTCTCGACCTTGTGTTCCGGAAGACTAGACAACCGTTTCACAAAGGCGAGCCTGTGCCGTCTGGGATCGCGTGGGCTGCTGGGACTCGAAGAGCTATTCCCGCCAGGGGAAGACAGCGCGCCATTACGTTTCAAGACCGAGCCGTGGCTAAATCCTCGGAGATGGCTGTTCCGGTTCACCTTGAGCTCGTCGATACTGTCCAAATCAGGCTTTTCTTTTCGCAGCATGCCCATCCGTTTCTGCCGAGCAGCGGCCGAAGCCTGCAAGACGCTTTCGCTGTTGCTCCGGTTTCTCTCATTATTCTGGCTAATCAAAGGGGCAATACCTGGTCGCCGAAGCGCGATCGGCTGCGTATTAGAGGCCATTCGATAGTGTGAGCGAGTCGGTACAGGGGGCGGGTTCGCGAGAGTCTGGATTGGCGATGATTTATTGGCCTCTGACCCGGACTCAGAATTGTTGGTGCTGGGTATGACGGGGAATCTGCTGCTCAGAGATCGCTTGAGAGGTTTTGGTGTCATCTCCATTGGACTCTCGTCGACTTGGAGAGACGCTTCCACATCAATGGGGGTGATCACAGGGTGTACTTCCCTCAAATATCGCTTGATCTCGAGGGTGATTGCCGTCTCCCTTTCGTGGTCCGTCATTTCTGAGAATGAGACTTCGGATTCCTTGGCCTCCACAATTTTCTTCAGTTTGAATCGCAGTGGATTCTCCGCGATCTTCAATATCTGCAATTTGGTCATTTCACACAGCTCCACCGGCAAATCTTCCACCCGATTGTGCACGACCGAGAAGACACGGAGGGACCGCAAATTTTTGATGTCGCTCGAGATCTTTCGGACCTTGTTTCGACTGATATCCAAGATTTCCAGTTGACCTAGCTTGTACACCCCTCGTGGGATCTCCCGGAACACATTGGACCGAATATTGAGGTATCGTAGATGTGAGCATTCTGAGAACCGAAGCGGTATGTGCCAGATCTGATTGTGGGACAAAGACAACCTCTCGACCTCGGCCTTGATCAGGTCCACCACACTTTCAGGTAATCTTGCGATGTTGGAGTGGCCCAGATCTAATGTGAGTTTCGGCTTGACTGCGTCGCTGACGGCTTCGCTCCCAGCAAGCGCATGTTCGGTGTCTTGTCTAGCATCCGCCACCTTTCTCCGGAACAACTCAGTCGTATCTTCGAGAGACAAAAGGGCTGGCTCGCGGCCGATATTATTTTGTGCCACCGTGTTTTCCTCCGGCAGGGGAGAAGAATCCTCCGCATTCAGGGCGCTGCCTCCTCTTTCAACATTCAGCCTGGTGTTCTCGCTCGCAGCTCGAGCTCTGTCGGAATCATCATGGCGGAAAGGTCGTCCCAATCGAGAGGCGTCCTCTGGCCGGAGCATGGTCCGGGAATTAGTTGCTGGGGGCAGTTCAGGATCCATGATATTCGAAAGATTGATATCTCTGAACCCCAGCACAGGAATGGTGTCAATGGCCAGCATTGAGGCGATTGTTTATGCTGCGGAATGACCTACCCATCCGCAGCATAGTCGATGGACGGTATTCAGGGTGCAACGTGGGACACGTTTAGATAGTCGTCGGATTGTCGCAGGGGCCTTCTCACGAAAGCTACGAGAGTCCAGAATCCCCTTTCTCAGAAGCTCAAACGGAAGAATAGGTAGAATCAATCGCTTGGGTTGAGGGTTATCGTCGGGTTCCTTGGTCGATCTGCATTGTCCCAGGGATGGGTGATGGTGACTTGTAGGACAAAACGGGGGACAGTAACGAGGGAGGGGTTCGCGTGTCAGTTGGAGGCACTGTCGATCTCTGCCACGGCCTGGCGACTGGGAAGGAGGCAAGAGGTTGCGAAACTCGATATTTGTGTGTAGAGACGCAGGCAGCGGCCTTGAGATGCTGCAGGAGACTTGTTTCAATGGGTGTATGTTGATCACAGTGGACGGGGGTGCATGCAAATGGCGCGCGCCTCTGGCTTGCCTCCTTTGACCGTTAGTGACACAAAAGGGACCAAACACGACAAAAGTTTCTTTGTGCCTTGCATGCTATGTACCCACCCGGATCAACTTCGGAAAATATTTCTTGCGGGGAGCTAGCCTCACCGGCGCACTAGGCCATATTCGTGTCTACACAGATACCTGCGCTCTATTTCAGCCTCACTCTTGCTGGTCCTCCATCAGCCTGGTGTCGGTCCCGTAACCGTGCAGGCCTCCATCTAGGATCCATTGCTCGTTGTCCTCATTGTCGTCCTGTACCCGCCTCCACACACTCTTCCTTGCCGTCTCACGACCCTTCCCTTTGTCCGTATTGCCGCCCTCTGACGCCTTCCAGACTGGCCGTATGAGTTTCCCACCTGCGAGCAGAGGGTTGTTGCTAAAGGCCCCTTTCCGGCCAGTCTCATGTAGAGCTAGATGTTGATCTTCAGCTCCGCCTTCGTCGCTGTCGGAGCCAGCACGGTGTTCTCTCTCCTGTGCAAGCGCAGGTGCTTTCTCCCGCTCATATGTCTTGACCAGTTTCCCATTCTTGATGCTCATGCTCATCACTGTTTTTTGCTTCTCCCACTCGGGCTTGTTTGCTTCCTCGAGTTCTCGAAGATACTTTTGCTGCTTCTTCAACGCAGCAGCTCGCTGCACAGGGGTCATCCATTGCGTAGTCCCCGGCGTAAGCGTCGCATCGTAATCAGCAGCCTCATCATGGACACGAGTCCGTTGAGCATTTTCTCTCTGAAATGCCAGCAGTTTATCTCGGTGTGCTCGTGCCCGCGCTGCGGCAGAGGAGGCTTCATCTCCTGACCCACTCTCTGGGGTTGACGCACCGAAAATAGGTGTGCCTCTGCCTGACAGCGATTGTCCGGCGTTGTGGACAGCCATCCTCTCAATTCCTCGCTCTTCCTTCAGTGCCTTGATCATGGCGTTTACCTGGTCTTTGGTCAAGATCGGCGAATCACAAAACGAGCAAGGCTGAAGTCCCTCGAGGGCGCAGATGATCTTGCCACAATTTAGACAATTGGGCGCGGTCGTGAAAAGTGGATGTATTGAGGCATTGCATGGGCATTTTCTCCTCTGAGTTGACAATGTTGGATTTGTAGATAGCTCTAGTGCCGCGATTGCGGCGGTGAGGTCCGCCACACTCGAGGTGGTGGTCGTAGCACCGCCTCTGTGTGGCGTAGAAGTGCCAGACTGCGGTTGGGAGTGACTGGCATGCGCGGGCTTCTTAGACTGTTTTGACCGAACATTGGCAAATCCAAAATCCGATATGAGGTTGCCGGATGCCGATGGAGGGAGTTTCTGGGGGCTCTTCCCTGGTGAGGCGTCTCGAGAGGCCGCAGAGGAACCGGGGCTCTGCCCACCCGCTGTAGTTTGGGGCACTTGAAGAGCGTCAGGGATTGAGGACACCGGAGCAGCATCATGGTCTCTCGAGACCGGTCGGTTCTGAGCCGCGCCGAAATCCGGGTCACTGTTGTACTGTTTTGTGTAGCCGCCTGCGACATCCCCATATCCTTCTGGGCGACGCACTGGGCCTGCAGCATGCAGAGGAGGTTTGGCTTTCTTGGGACCCTTTTTCTGTGGCTTGGGCACTCCAGATGCCTCGACCACGCCGGCTGAGGCCTGCGTGTTGCCTCGTCGTGCGTTGAACGACGAAATGAACTCCAAGGCTTGTGGAGAATCACCGAGCAGGTTCTTCAGGTGTTCAGCGGCCAAGTCTTTTGATAGGGTCGACGAGTAGGTGATCACTTCCTTGAGCGAGTCGTCATCTAGAGGCAACAGGCGGCTGAGGCGTGGTAGCGCCCATGATTGCAAGTCGCCACTCATGCTGTTTCGAGGTCATCGAGCAGCAGTTCCTGGCGTTGACGAACTGGATTCACTTGATTGACCCAGGGAATTTGTTTTGGGAATCGGTGAGGAATGGTACTGGTCTTAACTGAAGGATTGCTGGTGAATGAGGACGTCACTTGAGTCACAAGCGACACGAGGGAGGCTGTTTAAATTTCGACCCTCCGTAAATTTTAGCCACCGAGCGGCCAACGTCTACTTCAAGACTTACCAGCCCAAGTCACAATTAACAAAATTATAGATCTGATTAATCGGAAATCCGCCGTTAATTAATTGTTCTTTTTGTGAATGCTACCGAGACCATGCAAAGCCCAACTATACAGGTGCCTTTGTCCTCTCGGTCTGTCCGCAGTGTTTGAATCTACAAGGCTTGGTCCGCATTATGGGCCACCAGCGCGATCAGCGCAGCGCCCAAGCCGCTGCCGTCCTTCGCAAGCCCAATTCTTATCCGTTTCTCGTCCTCGCCGATGCCTTCTATCTCCCTGAATGCCTCACGGATGTATTCCTCGAACCCGGGATAATACTCCACCAAACTCCCATCCACGCCCACATCGACTATCTCATCCTCTTGTAGTTTGTTCGTGGAGATGATGACTCCAGCCAGGGCGACGGCACTCAGTCTCGCCGCACGTTTCCCAATCGCGTGCACAAGCATCTTGACCGCAACACAGTCCTCGGTCGAGGCAGCTTCTACCTTCAACTCCTTTTCCAGTGTCTGCTTGGTGATACGGAGATGGTCCGAATGGTCTTCCTCAACAATGGAGAGAAACGAGGTGTCAATGCCCCATATCTTAAATAGGGGACTATCGTCAGCCACGGTCGTCGTACTCCTAATATCGTTGTCGTGTGACGATGCGTCTTTGAACAGGGCGACACCGGCGTCGGGGTGCTCATAGAGACTCAGCAGAGCTCGCCGCAGGATTTCGCCCAAAAACATTCCCGACACGCGTTTCTCAAACATTTGGATGCCGGGATTCACTGACTCGCGGTCCAAGTCAATGTCAAACTGAGTGTTTGGCAAAACCGACAGTGCATTGTCGAAACTCCCCCACTCCGTGTTGATGACCATCAGCCCAGTGGACGAGTCATAATTTGCGACACCGCCCTCTGCTTCGTCTATGGCCTTCATCTTCTTTACCCTCTCCAGCTTTTCGACGTAGGCGCCATTCGTCCCCGTGCCAAAGATGGCACCAATCAATGTACTTGTCTTGCCTGGAGAAGTGTACGACCTCGCCATGAGAGTGCCGACAGTGTCGTTCACCAGAGCTGCCACTTTCACCGGGAGGTTTAGTGCGTCAATCTCCTTTTGCAGCAGGCCACAGACGTCTTGTCCTATGGCTTCATCGATGTTGAAACCCTTTGTCCATCGCATTAATTTGCCCTTGTTGATGCCCACTTGATTGACAGGAAAGCTGAAAGTGAAGCCCAGATCAAAAAATTCGACCTCGCCCGGTTTGTCTCGGTGTGTCTCGAAGTGGTCAGAGTGATGTACTTTGAGGAAAGACTCGATTTGTTTGGCGAGGAAGGAGAAGAGCTCATGGGCCGTCTTTGCTTCCATCAAGGCCCGAGGGACGGCGACCTTGGATTGCTGCAACGAGAATGACTGGTTGCCATGCAGTGTGATTGAGCATACTCGGAAGTTGGTACCGCCTAGGTCTACGGCCAGATAAACGCCCTACTGCCGTTAGCCGAATCGCAGTGTGGTTTCTCTCCCTACCTTTTCGGTGCCATTGGGAACGGACGTGACGTAGGTTGGGATCTGACTGATTGAGGTCCCCTGCTTTTCCAGACCCTCTTCCATCTCCCGAATGAACTCTTTTACACCTTTGTTCACATCTTCCGGGGTGTACTCAAATTGTGCAACCATGCGCTTGGCCTCTGCTTCCAGCGCCATGTTGGTCAACGCGTGTGTAACGGGCAGGTCTGAAGTGAAGGGAGACTTCGGTCTGCACTGGGTGCCCGGTTCCAATAAATCAAAGTACGCCTCTTGACGGTATACACTGTCACCAAAGGGACTCAAAGGAATTCGCGTCGGCTGGGGAGGAGTAGGAGCAGTTGCAGATGGAGGAGAGGCAGTAGGAGCCCAAAGGCGCGGCTGGGCGTCTCTTGACGTGAGAAACTGAATGAGCAGAACGACAAGGAGGACCAGGCCGGAGACAGAGTAAAGGAGAGGCACGCGTGAATCGGACAGGAGTTTGGCTCGTGTTCTGAATTGTTGAGTACCAGGAATCCAACTAAGACTCTTCTGCCATAAGGTCGGCTGCTGGGCTTCTTCCTGAACAGGTTGAGGAGAAGCCAGCTTTGCTGGTGGCATAAATGCCCAGGAACGAAGACAGGTGAGGGGCACGGAGCAACAGCGCGCAAAAGCTTCCAATTCTCAACGAGGGGCAGAGCCAGTAGGAGGCTTAGAGGTGACGAGGTAAGCTAGGAAATCCAGGTAACGTAGCGTAGCATATGCAGATTGTGGTGTGGTTCATTCCCAAAGCCTGATGATGGGATGGATGGGAAGCTGCTGGGCGTGAGGAGGCATGACGGCCGATGATGTCGTGTGGAAAATTTTAGCGGGCACCAGCGGGGGGGCCTCTAGCCAGCCGGAGGCCCTTAGCCGACCTTGGGAGCATGGCAATTTAGGGGTGGGGCGACCCCCGGCCACTCCTAATGGTCCCTTGGCGGGCGCCATGACGCTGCGAACAGCCCTTTACTGCGAAAGGCACAGGGCACACTGGCCTAGGGTTGCAAAGACCTTGGGGTTCGTCCACACAGAATCAAGCAAGAGACGCAGTATGTGATCATGTCGCATCTGGTCGTTCTCACATATTATGGGTATAAACTATGTACAGGTCGAGAACATTTTCTGTTGGTCATTATTTGTTAGTACATCCAGCACCTTCAGTGCCTTTCCCAGAACTGCCACTTTTGATGCTTGCCTTCTCGAGGTTTAGCATATCCTTGCCCATGCAGATTGGGAGAACCCGGCCTTCAGATACCACTGAGACGGTCTCCCAATAACAAAAACGCCCCCAACCCCTCCAAGTGTCGTTTGTGCCTTGGCTTTGGCCTTTCTCTTGTCCTGAACGCCCGAAAAGTGCATGTCCCGCTAAACCTCCGCATCAAAACAGCATGTCGCTGGAGTCATCGTTGCTGGCCTCCCGGTCCATCATGTCATAATCATCTAACGTCTTCCTTCTCTTGACTTCCATGGTCCTTTGCTCCAGCTTGCCGACGTCCAGGGCCGGAGCTTCGGAGGTGTTGTGCCGTCCTCCCCAAGTAAACCGTTTAATGAGACTCGACCGTCGCTTGGGGTCGGCACTTGATCGTCCAACATATGTCGAAGATGACGAGGACCGTGTTGGAGTGAAGTACGATCGTCTTTCCGAATTTGGTGTCATGGGTGAGTGGGCTTTGTCTCGAGGAGATGGTCGCCTTTCCATTGCATCTTGCAGCATGGGGTCTTCGTTGCTCCCGGAGCTGATGTCGCTAGGATCGAGGTCCCATCTTGAACTGAACAACTTCATATCTGGATCTGTGGCATACAACGTCTTCATGTCGGTGATGTCTTCTTCGCCTCGAGGGGCCACGCTTGCACGTCTTTTCCACATATGCCACAACAAATGGTCGTTTCCAAGTACCTCCGCCAAAGAGCCGTTCGATTGTTCCTCGGTCTGGCTTGTTGACATGGGTGTCGTCCTACCACCAACGAGAACCTCCTGGCTGGAGTTGTATTGTAAGTCCAAATAGTCTCGGACCCAACTTTCCTCGCTGAGAGAGAGAGGAGATGAGCAGAAGTCGGCTGATTGAGGCTTTGTATAGTGGTCACGACGATCCTCGAGTGGCACTTCTTCGCTTGCAATACTGGTGTCTGACCACCAGCCGAGGCCAGGCCTCTCATATAAGCTGTCCCCTTGGCATGGGCTGTTTTCGTGGTCCACTTGATGATTCCCATGGCGTTGCTGCCTCAGCGGATGCATGCGGATGACATTCTGAGTAAGCCAGCTCGGTCCACCAATTGCACTCGCTGGCCTGATTATGCGTCCTTCTTTCATAGGTTCTTCGCAGGCCAGAAGCATTGACGCATCACTTAACCCTGAACAGCCTTTCGAGTACTTTCTGTTTTCGTTAGGTGGCCTACTGGCAGTCGTCTTGGGGTCAATCGGGCAGTCGTAGGTTTCACCCAGCCTATGCCCACCGCCCGTGAGTTCCACATCATGCAACTCTTTCGTTGCACCACTGTGACCGCCATTGACACCTTTTGCTGTCACCGGGTCGACGTAACTCCCACATATATTAGCCTGACCATCGAATTTAAGGCAGAAATCGAGATCACCGTTTTGGTCAACAGCTTGATCATCCGAGTCTGGCTCGGAACCGAGTTCGCATTCCTCCCGAGCTTTAACCTCTGAGTGCCATGGTGAATTCAGATGATGGAACAAGTCCGGGATGGAAGGAGGTTGTTTGTTGTTTGCAAACCGCATAGGTCGGAGCCTTCGAGCAGACTCGTGACTTCGCAGGCCGTTCACGATCGTAAACCAGAGATCCTTCTGCAGTGATCCCACAGCATTTCGCCCCCTGTCACAACTTCCAGACCCCAACTCAGCCGAACCTTCGAAGTGCTGTTGTGGAGCGCCAGATTCCGAAGAGCCGAGGAGAGTCTCCAAGCATTTGGAAATTGTCGGAATGAATCTGGCCTGCTCTTCAACCTTTTGGAGGTAATTTGGTATGAATATGGCTGGGGCGAGATCGCACAGCCAGAAAGCGTTCTGGGCAGTTAGACACTTGACGCCTGCAGACAAGTGAACGGGTTTGGAGCAGATGCTGCCACGCACGGCCGCGTCGAGTAGTGCAAAAAGAACGACTTCATCCAATGACGGTCGCTGCTTGTTGGCCTTCTTTAATGGAGGCTGTTCATTTGACAGAGAAACCTTGTCTGCCAAATGCATAGTTGACGTAGGCTGTAGTTGAATGTTCGCCATACCATGGGTGCTGGGTATGTTTCGATCCACATGCCGGCTACTCAAAAAGCGATCCTGTTGGCATATGTCTAGACCGTTCCTTCGTTCTGGACCGGATTCTATCTGTCCCTGTCCTCTCAGCGGATCCTCGCCTGTAAAGTGTAGGCGTATTTGCACCGACTTCAACTCTATCGTAGCAAGTCCAACGGGAAAGGTTGAATCACAATGTAAACCCCTTCGACTCTGGGTTTGTGGATTAGCATTAGTGTAGGAGGTTGACAGTGCCATACACAAATTTTGAAGTCCAAATCCAGGACGCCTTCAGCCTCAGTGGTACCGTTACAGGTGGATCGCATCAGAGATGCCTCGTATCCGAGCTGCTCCCACAGCTATGCGGATGATGAGTACGCCACAGGAGTACGTGATCGTTTGAGATGAGGCTTACCTCAGCGCCTCCAACCAGATCGGCAATGCTTGTGGCAACATCATTCAAGACAATCGAACCAAGATCCAAATCATCAGCAAAAGAACATTGAAGCGAGAGAAGAAAAGATCTTGCTCTGGGAAGCCATAAACGACGGGGGTGAGCTTGTTTGTCTGAAGTTATCGGAGCGGCTTGAGAAGCGTCTTCACAAGTTACCTTCGTGCTTGTCGTGGTTAGTAGGTGAACATGAGATTTGCGTTGCTTGAAGAGACTTCTACCCAGCTCGAAGGTCGTCTCATACATCCTGAAGGACGAGCCGCCGAGCTTATGGAGGAGAAAGGCCTGGTCTCCCACACAATGAAAAGAGAAAATGGAGGTTGGGAAAGTCGCGATGGTGCATCTGTTCGGCATCGGCGGTTAGTTTTTCCGTCTGCGCATTGGGACCCAGGGTCGGGAGGTTTAGGATCAATCATGTCGCTCAATCTCAACCACGTTACGGGCAACAATATGAGCATTCAATACTGGAGTGGGTGACCGTCCGCCTTCTTTCCCCCGACAGAGCTATCAGCAATATGTCGCCATAAAAATGACTCACGTCTTATAAGCATCCCGGCAGCAGCTTGTCACATCGCCGACTCTCCTCCCCCAATGCCTCGACATTTATTACTGTGCCTTGCGCGGGCGCGGCTCGCTCAGCAAACGACACAAAGGGCTGCCCTTACGAACCATGCTTTGGTCCGACCCTTTCACTCTACCTTGGCAACTCGTACAGATGGAGTCTACAAAGCTCTTACAGAGATGCGGGTTCGAACACCATGGATTCAAGCACTTCGAGAAAGAAAAGAGGCGGAGAACAATACACATATAGCTGCCGCGGAGAGCCCCAAAGCAGTCCTAACACCCAAGAAAATGTCGGACAGCTATGTCAGCCTTGTCCTGCCTCTGTCTGTTAGTTGCTTCCCATGCTTATGACATTGTCTCCCCTTGCCAACGGTTGACGTGTACTCCTGTAGCAAGATCCGTGGCTGCTCGACACCTACGCGAACTATACGGGTCAAATTCGTATCGGTACGTTGCTCATGGACCTGGATGCGCTGGCCGGCGTGGTCGCCTACAGACATACTGGGGAAGGAGTAAGCAATGTAACTGCGGCTGTGGACAGGATCACAATCAAGAATCCTATTAGAGAGATTTGTGATTTGGAGCTCAGTGGACAAGTGACCTATGCTACCGGAAGGAGCAGTATGGAAGTGACTCTGCAGATCGCCAAAGCTCCCGCGCCAGGTCGGCAAGTTGCACCAGAGGATGTCTTTATGACCTGCGCTTTCACCATGGTGGCACTGGACCCCAGGACCAAACGGCCCGTGAATATCGCTCCCCTGGAAGTCAACACCCCCGCCGAGAAGGCGCTTTTCGCCAAAGGCGAGGAGAACTACAGAAACAAGAAGACCATGAGATCTGCACACATCTTGACCAAGCCACCTGATGCAGATGAGTCGGCTCTTATCCACAAAATGTGGACCGACTCTCTGGCGTATGCGGACAGCAAGAACCCGAAGAAGCAGCCCTCCAATGTCCTGGCCATGTCCAGGACCACCATCCACAGCACTCAGATAATGATGCCGCAGTACAGGAACCGTCACCATTTCATGATCTTTGGAGGCTTTTTGCTCAAACAGACCTTCGAACTGGCTTTCACCTGCGCGGCCTCTTTTTCACATACCCGTCCGCGGTTCTTGAACCTCGATCCTAGTACATTTGAAGAGCCTGTACCCGTTGGTTCGGTGCTCTACGTCTCCGCAGGCGTTTCGTTTACCGAGCCTCACCCCAGCGGTGGTACTCGCATTCAAGTAATGGTGCGGACGCACGTCCGGCCTGTTGAACACCAGGACCAAGAAAGGAAGTCCACGGGAACCTTCTTTTATACCTTTTTCTCACCAGCAGAGGTGAGTGTCTTGCCGCAGAGTTATTCCGAGTTCATGCGGTGGGTAGCCGGAAGGAGACGTGCCGAGAGGCTGTCAGCTATGTTAGACGCCGATCCGAATCTCGTCCTCGGGAGTCTGCATGACGAGAACGTGACGGAGTGAGATGGTTCTTACCACCTATAAGATCATAATTGGAGATAGCAGCCAGTTCGATGTCTAACAAACGCCGGTCCGAGGTTGATTATGGCTTTAAGGAAGACGTTCCAGATGCGTCGTCCCCGAAGAATGACTCTGACGAGTGGATCCTTGAAGGAGGCCCAGCTGAAGCTGGAAAAGGATGAGGGAATGGCCAGAAGGCGCCTGGTGTCCCCTCCTCGCTGTCTCGCCCAAGGAATATTGGGGCGAGGAAAGTGAGGAGCAGAGTTTGGGAGGGTTTGGATGTTTTTGCACGTTCAAAAAGGTTGGCAAGGCAACACTGCCTCATGTCCAAAGAGCAAACGCAGATCAAAGATCGCTCAGTGTGAGAGCGACGACGATTGGAGAACACCATTCAACGTACTTGTGCACAGCATCGAAGTGAGCTGCAACGGTGATATGTTCTGGTGATATGTAGGGAGCTGCAAGAGTGAGAATTTTGGTTAACAGAAATGAACATCTCTGATGCTATGGTACAATCCTGTCCACTCTTCTCGAAGCAAGCGTAATGACTCCGTCCTTCGCGAGGCTCTTCAACACTGGCCACAAGTAGAAGACGTGCCACAAAATCGGTAGTGACAACCTGTCTCGGCAAGCTGGCACTCGCCAGATTGCATGGCTACCGGATATCGTCTTAGGCAAGTCGGTTGCGGTGTACCATTACCGGACATCGTCTTCTCAACATCTGAAATCATGGAATCATCTTGGCTTCAAACAGACCAATGCACAGAAGACGGTGAACAGGATCGTAGAAGCTATGTGGCCGAGCCGTGGTCAGAAAAACCAAGTAGGACCTGAAATATGGTCCTTCAGGGAGTGGTTGCGCGAAACAGTGGCGCCCGATGGTGCTTCAGCTGCTGATCTTGTCGCTTTTCGCGGGTGGAAGTGGTTCAGCGAGGACTCGTGATTCAGTCGAGGTCGAGGTCGAGGTCGTTTCCGCCGTCGTGGACAGATTTAAGACATAGTCACGACTCTTTCGATCCATCCTCCCCTTGTTTGCCTCTGCCCTGCACACTCTCTTCCCCTAGAACTTTGGCGCTGCCCATAAACAACGCCCCGACGTAACCCCCCAAGAACCGCATATCTTGGGCCTGCACGGCCGTCATCCTCAACAGATTCTCGGTGTCCGCGAGATGCGCGTTCAACTGCGCCAGCTGTGCGTGCAGATGGGCGTATTGCCGGGTTTTGTTGGTGGATGATGTTGTTGTGTTTGTGGACGCCACGGATGAAGGACGCGGTAGGGATTGTTTTGCCGGAGCGAGCGTGCTGGTTCTGTCCATTTTGTTCCCTTTTTCCGAGAGCGGCAGTTTTTCTGAAAGTAGCAGTATCAACGGGAAGACATTTACTCGGGGCTGAAATAACGGTCCAGGGGAATGTAAATGAGGTGGTTTTCATCAAGAGTCCCGAGTTTCTCGACGCGTGACGCGCAAACCAACCCCGCCTCTAACGAATTCCAGATTCGGAAGCCGTGATGCCGCCCTATTCTCACGCCCACCTCGCCTTGGGGGGTTAAGCTCCCCAGTGGACCGAAGCATGTGGGTCACAGCTATCGAGTACAACAGCATACTCGTACATCTCATACTCGTAGCCTGCCTGAATACTCCTAGACTGATGACCAGCACGGCGTACCCAGCACCTTTCCTATGTTTTGCCGCGCTTGTTCAAGGGCATATTGCTTCCCAGAAATCACTGCCTCGTTATGCTCTTGTTCTCGGTTCCATTCTGCAATCATACTCTCAATTGTCTTTCCCTCCTTTCATGAATGGTTTCTATATCATCCTTAAGTCTGTTCAGAGCCGAAACAGATTCTTCCATCTGTGCCCGGTACCTATCTGCCATCGCGCATGCTTCCATTACCATTTGCTCATTGTGCGACTCCGGTGCTATTCTCGCTTTCACTAGCACTGTTTCGATCTGTTCCTTACAGGCTCCTTTCAGCTCCACCAGTCCCCTCGTGACCGCTTTACCAGCATCTGTATCGGACAGTAATAGTTGTTTGTCAAATAGTTGATGTTGTAAAGCCAACGTTACGTAATGTCCCCGCCAGATAAGGTGATCACAAACTAACAGGGCTGCGCTTCGATCTCGTCGAAATCGAAATGTTCGACTTCTTGTGGCCACCATTCACATCAGAAATCCGGTGTGCTGATAAGCTCCGCTTCTCTGAGTTGTCCGACCTGAGGGTCTACTTTATCCCACATGGTTGAGACTAATACCACGGCATCGAAGACGCTGCCATCGCAGATCTTCTGAGAGATTCGGAAGCACTTTAACGCAGAGCCTCCATTCGATTGCTATATGGATATACCCACAACAGGTGCGTAGTCTGTTGCGAGGTTATTACACACGAATCATTTGATTTTGGTGTCCAGGGGATCCCTCTGTCTAGTGTTGAAAGGGAAACCACACCGACGCGCTCACACAGATAAGTACAGTAATTACCTGTCGGAGTCTGTTTCGGTATGACAACGCCGTCAGAATTATAGTCCAGTGCTGGTCCCAGTCTCAAATTGCAGGACTAGGGACTAGCGCTCTGTTCAAGTATGTACCAGCAATGACCCAGTCAGTCCGGATCCCAGTCAGTCCGGATCTTCCTCAGATATACGGAGAGCAGCCTTTAGGTTTTGTGACCAATACGGGCCCCCTGCTTGGATTGCCAGGCTGCAGGTCATAGTAACGAGTCTATCGGAATGATTTCCTCTCACATAATACCTGAGAATATTCACACTGCGTCCGTATAGCGAAGGATCCAGTATCTCCGTCCGCTGGCTGGTGAGGCAAAAGTAGGACTTCGACTCCTGGGCAGCACGTTATCCATCATTGACGTGAAGATCTTCTTACTTCGCCAGACGGTGACGTGTACACGAGCATGTGAATATATGACAGGGACGAGGCAGAAGGTACCACTCTTGTACCATTTGCCGCTGTCACAGATATGCTTGAGTACTGGAAGAACCGCGCAGAGCGATTGCGGCATATTCCCGCACTTGGACACCGCCTCCGCCTCACCTGAATCACCACCGCGAACCTCGGCATCAACTCAGTAGAGGTGTCCAAGGGTAGATCTAAGATTGTGAGGATTGATTCTGTGGTGAAGGAAGAAGTATCTATCAAAAGGCACGACCACGAAATCTGCCCGCCAACGAGGCTTCGCTCTCCGCGGCCGGGCCTGGCTCGGCTATATTGGATCAAGACAAGGCTGTGAGAGCCTATGCAGCCTCGTCACGACTGTCGTCATTTGCCTTCATCCACACCTCTCTCTTCCTGATCAGGTTGTTGCATAAGCAGCTACAAATGTACGTAAGCCATTCCCACTTCCTTCGCTTGGTCAATGGGAAATTCTGCGCTCACAGAGGTAGGGATTGGTACCTATGCCCATATACAGCAATTTTCGTGTGCTCCTCTTGGAACACTTCAAGGAATGCAACACGAGCGAAAAACTCATACAACGCTGTCCTGTTGAACAGCTTGTGCAATATACATTATTACTAATTAGCAGGCTTGCAGAAAGGTTCCGGGCCTCCTGGCCTGTGCTGGGAGCAGTACCGGCAACTTTATGGCTAGTTTGGCGCATTGGCTTTCATCCAAATGCGGTAGTTGCTGGCCTGGAAACCAGCTTCCGGGGGCCTATCTGCACCTAGGATGCAAGAAACGAGTACACATCTGTACATCATATCGGATTGTCAGCCCTGTTATACTCACAAGAGGAAACGCCCCGGTAGTAACCGCACTGCAGGGCAGTCAATGATTTTTTCGGGACCCCAAGGAACCCAAGAATGGCGCAAACTAAGTACGCCACAGGCATTTTCCGCTTGCGTGTGTTCGAACATGCGATCGTGTTTCCTTGATGTGCATTTCCTCTGTATGTCGAACCTGGTCGATATCTCTCGGGCGATCGCCTCTCCAAAATGGCCTATTCAGTCCTCTTGCTTGGTGCAACTAGCAGGGTCGGCAGCAAAACACTGGAAGAACTAGCTCTTCAACGAGAGCATTTCTCCCGAGTGGCCTTTCTTCTCCCACCTCCTGACACCCCTTATCAGGAAACCGAGGTCGCCCCTACCACACTGGAACGTATTCATGGAAACCCTTCCGACTCTGGCTCCTACCATGGCTTCCAGGTTGTCGTCTCAGCGGTTGAAGATAAGAGTTGGGCAAAGCAAGAGGAATATGCGGAGGCAGCATTTGCTGGCGGAGTCAAACACTTTTATCCCGCCGAATGTGAGAGCTGCTTTCCCTCCAACAAAACATATCGTGCGGCTGACGTGGACGGAGACGGCCCCGACCTCAATCATCCTGCCATTAAAAACGAGCAGTTCTTCGCCGGCATGGTCGCCATGCGTAAACACATCGAAGCGAGGGTGCAGACCGATAACTCTCTCGGCTTCACATGCATCATGACGGGCGCGTCCTCAGATTTGCTCCTGGAGTCAAATGCCCTGGCGCTGAGCGACGACCAAAGATCAGCGATCTACCTTGGAAATCCCACCGCTCGAGTCTCCGTGACACATAGCGACGAGTGAGTTTCCTTTCCAACCTTACTTTCTGCTTCGCAGTCAGTCGAACTAACCCGAGAGCCCCAGCGTCGCTAAATTCATCGTTGCGAGTCTCCTCCCCCATCATCTGTATAATCTCAACCTAAAGAGGTACCTGTGCTTTGCTGCCTCAACACTACCGAACCTCTCCCTTTTCGATGCCGTTTCTTACGTCCTACGCCATCCTATCGACGTGACATACGAAGGCTTCTGCTCATCGCACGAGAAGGAGGAGCAGCAGAAAGCGGCAGGCGATAAAGTTCCTCAGAGTTTTCGGCGCAGTGTTGGATTTGGCGGATTCGAGTTGAAGGAACAAGACGTTGCGTACAACAGGGAAAAATTTAGGTTCGAGGTGAAGGCGAAGACTTGGGCGCAGGTGGTATATGAATTCTTCACGAATAAGGAACCGTCAAAAGAGCTTAGCAAGTGAGAAGCTGACTGGCGCGGATCTATCGTTGCAGGTCCAATGTCACAGATCAGTAGGTTTGCTATCTATCACTTCCGTTGCGGTTGGGATTGTTTATCACCAATTCTGGAACTGTTGGAACTGTCAAGTCCTCTGAAACAGACATTTCGACGTCGGAATCTCGACACGCGCACTTTCCATTTCCATCTTTGGACCCGAGCGTGGCCAGGAGCCTCACTGCTTCAACCTGAGATGCTCCTGCACGTGACTGAGCACGGTGTAGTTCGGCCTGAGCAACGGATCATCGTGCCCACATCTGGGCCAGGGGGCCGTGTTCCTGGCAACCGTCTATAGTTGCTAACCTATTGCCTTCGGCCAAGTTTACCCATAACTTAGCACCCGATTCTAGTTCACATCATGGTCACCAAAGTTCCCTTTCTCTAAATTGGGTTAGTCTGGGTCCAAGCTTCGCCATCATCGCACTCCCCTTACAGTTCCGCATCGCCACGAGGACAGCGAGTCAAGTACTTCATTGCTTAGACATGTTGGCGCTTATGTGCTGTTATTTTGACGGTAAGGTAGATTCAGGTAGACGGCGTTGACGAAGAGCCGACAAGCTTAAACCCGCTATTCAACGCGTCGGCCCCTTTTCTTTTCGAAATCGGCAAAACTGCCTACATTATAAATAAAACCTTGTCTAATTTTATTAATTTTACGGTATTCGACGCGCGTTAAAAGGAGCTTTCGAATAATATAATATATAGTTATTCTTATATAATATTATTAGATCGGGTATAGTATTGTAGATATAAAAGAGAGGCCCTTAGATTTTTCTCTCTTTCTTTGCGCAGACTCCTCGGGCCGAAACCTTAACTTTAACTATAAAATGGCAACAAAGGGAGGATGGGGAATAATACTGCTGAATTCTGTAGGCAGGAAATATCTCTCTACATGAGGGGATCGGAAATTCGGCACAATCTTTTCCTACTGTGGCAGATTCAAAAGTCTGCCAGCTCCAGTGTACTATCAACCGCAAGCTTTGCCCAGTTCCTTCTCCTGTAGGGTATGCCTGGCATGTGGCCCTCACTACATTTGAGGCACGTCTCAGGAGGTAGGCGCGTTCTGAAGGATTCCGCCCCCATGACCGGTGAGTCTCAGGTGATCGGTTACCCGGCTCGCGCGAGCCGACGGTGAGCACAGGGCGGCATCACCCTCGTCCCAAAGGGCGTGAGCTGGATGTGAATTTACTCTGGTCTCATGGGTAAATCGTGTAATGCAACGCACTTGTAGGGATACTGTGGCACCAACGCCGCTTTCTCAAACCAATTTCTCTTTGGTCAGTATGGTCAGCAAAGCGCAAGGACTCGCCACAAACCGGTAGATCAATAATTATGTGGCTACTCTCGCTGTTAGAGCTTGCATATTGCAGGGGATTGTTTCATCTACGCGACTTTACCCATGAGACCATAGTACCTCGTCTTGGCAGACTGGTTTGTGTCGCTTTGCCCTATTTCTTCGCAGTCAAGTTTCCCAGGGAATCTACTCTTCTTCCTTTCTTCTACAGTATTTAATATCTGTTTAACAGCGGATTGTTATGCAATACACCAGCGCAAGCTCACTGGATTCTCCACCTCAAGGCCTCAATCAAAGTGAACGCCATGACTATGGCTGATGGCGGTTTCAGCTTCTCAAAAGTTCCGCAAATAGATAGCCTGAAGACCCCGGCGCACGCTACCTCAAGAGAGCACAATGTGCCGTTTCGTGTTCCGCCGCCCGCCAGGAAGGCGGTTCCCACTTCGCGAGATCGACTATCAGCCACTTCATCTGAGGATGAACGCATGTTGACTGAAACGAGAGACAAAGAGTTCGTCACGAGCCTGGGGAGACCTGTGCGAAAGGGCTCAATCAATTGGGTCGATGCTCTCGCCACACTCCTGTCCATGTTGTGCCTCATTGGGGCAATCGTGGTGGTCAATCCGTCCTTTTCTTATTCAGCCTACCTCGGATACACAGAACAAATCATAGTCGTGGGCTTTCTCCTTGGCATTATGACCCAGTGCATGCTTCGAACTGTCCCGCATGCATTTCTCCTGATCGAAGCCCGGTACGGCCAGTCGACTTTACAGAACTTTGACGGACTTTTACGGTGGACTCCGCTTGCAGACAACATGGGAACCATATGGACAGTCTTACTGGGAGTATTGCTCTTGCTGCCTCTCGGCCTGAGCATCGGCTATAAAAGATACACTGGAGGCATAGGCAGCACTGGCTCCGTCACTACGGTTGTCGAATTCGGTACCAGCTCTCCCCCTGGTACTCAGAGTACCGGTGTTTTGAACCAGATGGTGAATGCCACATTGCCTTTTATGGCAGCAACCACCACAAACGAAACCTTACCAGAGTTTGGCACTGGAAGCGGTCAAGTCTACGGCTACAATCTGGCTTTGTTCTCGGTAACAGAAGCTGCTGCCCTCGATATCCCTCTATCAGAAACTGTCCTATCAATTCAAGCCGAACTAGGCTCTGGCGAACTCGCAATAGTATCTGCCGATGTCAGAGGAACAATGGCCCGACATCATCCCTTATCTAACACGTCTATCGATTGGGAAGACGCGTGGACATATGGAGATTGGAGTGCCTCCAATCTGTGGGGCGATGAATACTATCTCGGATTCCTCGCAGTCAGCGGGCCCAAGGACGACGATCCAAGATCGTGGAATTCTTCCTGGGTTTTTCTTGGTGCCTTCAACGAGAGCGTAACGAACAATGTCAGCGAGAATGCCATCGCATTTCAGCAGGCAGCGCGTCTCTTCACTCTCTCGCGCGTAGGCTGTCATGCTACCTGGAACATCACCACCGGTTCGATCCTGCTCGCCGCAGCCCGTTGTGGCGACGAGCTATGGAAAGGCTACCAGTTCTACACAAGCTGTCAACTGGCTATAGCGGAGCGGGTGCCGTCGCTGTTACCGGAATACCTAGCTCCATTCACAACCTTCAGAAAAGGCTCCCCTTGGGAACTGTCGACGTACGTGATGTCTGTCGCCTCCAGCTACCAATCCCGCATGGCCTCCAGTCTCGGAAGCGTGCCCGTCCAGGTAAACGGATCCATATATCAGGATTGGGCCTTGGCTACAAATTCCACCACGGCCTCTCCCCTGAATTTAACATCAGGGCTGTACCAGGAGACGTACAACAGTACCCTGACGAAGAGCATCCAACGGCCCGTGCTGAGATCGGACTGGTTGCTGTACGGCCTTTTGGCCATCCAGCCGTTTCTTACCGTGCTGGGCATCGTCACTATCTATCTACTCCGCAGAGTTCCTCTTGCACACGGCTTCGGTTTGATCTCCGTTCTGGCAGGAGTCGATAAGGACGGGCTCGACATTCTGGCGGGAGCCACCTTGTCGGGCCAGACGAAGAAAGCAGTGAGCATGCAAGTAGATGTCGTCGAAGATGTGAATCCTTCCAATGGTACACTGACAAGAAGGCTACGTTATTCGCTTGGCCGCCTAGGTTTGGCGCATCCACTCGTGGATACAAAGCTGAAATATCATTGAATAGGATTCAAATGTTGATTCCAAGGTTACCCTACTTGAACTGCTGGATTAGATTGTATCGGGTAACGTGTAGACATTCTGCGCTCACTCAGGCTACACTTTATGAAGTACTGCACGGTTCGGTTATACTCTTTTCGCCGGCATTGAGAAGCACCTGTTACACAGCCGTGTTACGAGGGCTCCCTCGCGTTTTCCTGCCTGCCGTACGTCCATGCCTGACTCCGTTCAGTGGATCAGCAGGGTGGAGGCAAGGTGAAAGCAGGGTGTGCGCGCAGCCCCTTTCGCGTCCATCTGGCCCAACCCCTCGTCCAGCATCCTGCCTCGGCGACTCCGGATCCGCTGTCCATGAGTTTGACTTCCTGCAAGGCAGATTTCGACCTGGGGAATTGACCTCATAGCCAGTGATACCATTCTTAAATTGTCATTCAGTCAAGTCCACGCGTAACTGGCCTACCGGAGCCCGAGACTGTGCCGTTTTCGGTGTGCCACTGCCTCAGTCGTCTACACGCCAACCCGTGAGCCACTTCTGCCATTCGGTCGATGGTCGGTTCGTTGGCACTGCCAAACATAGCAGCGCAGCTAGATTCAAATGATTTAGTGGCGCTCCATAGGCAATCTTTTCACTAACAGCTAACCCCGTCTCTTTTCAAAGGAGGAAGGTCTCAGGACCATCACTGCACCGGGGGATCGTCTTTGCCTACAGTCGAATGTGTAAGGTGGATTGAGCGGGCTCCGAACGCGCCTCAGCTCAGCGTGTATCGATGAATACCAGAACGGACTCGGGGTCTTAGGTGAAGGGGGAGATCATACAATGTAAGGATGGTTTGATCGCCCGTGCACAAGCTATCGTCCTTCCTCGATCAGTCGGGAAGCCGACGGAGGAGAGAGGACAAAACAGGGCAGATGTCGTCGTGGAAGGTGTCATGCCAACATCGATGGGTGGAGGAGATTAGTTTGAAAGAAATAGCACTGACCCCTGGTATAAGCTGACCGCCTGAGCTAGTGACGACGTTGGGCATGGACAATTGATGTAATATCTGAGCGAACAACAAGGCAAAAGGCGTCGTAATGACGGCAGAGCGTGGGCCGCAATACCCTCAATTCAGTCCATTGTGATTGTCTAACTCTCAGAGAGAGAGAGAGAACAGAGAGAGAGTCATAGGGAATCATCGGACGCAGCTAATCCCGACGGGGCCTGACGTGGTCATGTGACAATTGACATAAATTCCTCAAGGGCTGTGCAGACGTCCATCGATAAAGAGACGTGTGTCGCCGATGGATGGGTCGTTGTCGTAGCACCTTCGTTGAGAAATCGTATCCACAAATCATGAATCAGCGATGGGCTAATCTTGCTTGTTGACTTTTCTCGCGCGCATCTTGATAGGCGACCGATATGGCTTGTCAGAGCGAAATGTTCTGGCCGACTTACATTCATTCTCAGGCATAGACTCTTGTTGTTCATCATCTTCCTGACTCAGCCCGGTAGAAATCGAACTGGCTGGCGACAAAGTCCACTCAAGGTCTGTGGGGAAGTCTTCATAGCGATCCTTTGCGACATTGTTGTGGAAGTCCTCTGCGCGCTTGACGATTCCGCATAGTTCTTCGGCTGTGATAATAATGGTCTCGTTTCGTAGGGAGTCGGGCAACAATTTAGGAGGCGCCATTTCTGCCATTGGAATTTCCAGTTGCGCACCGGGGACAGGCTCAGCGTTCGTGTTTCGTATGACCTAGGCACTAAAATTAGTATCTCGTAACATATTGTGGACAAATATGGGTGTGTTAATTACTTGATCAACATGTTCGGCTGTTAATCTCGGCGGGCAATCGCTGGTGATACAGGGTCTCCAAACCGTCAGATCCACCTGTGAGTCTTGATGAAGTTTCACTGTAACGACCTGACGTATCTGTCCTTTTCCCGCCTTGATGATACGACGTGCTTTCTTTTCTAGGTCCTTGACCGCTTGTGAGTTACCCACCTCTAAAACCAGGCCTGGCTGTTCTGCGTCGAGGCACATGATCTGGTCATCCGGCATGAACACATCGCCTTGTTCGGCTTCGATATCTGACTCTCTTAATAGTTCGAATGGACACACCACTTGATGTTTGGCACAGAGCTGTTCAATCTTTTTTTGCAGAAGACGGCTGAACCCTGAATGGACAACCTCATGCTTACGCTTGGGAATTCGAAGGACGAATTCGTGGGTATCAGAGAAGTAATCGTATCTGTGTATTAAATTTTAATCCCTGATTGGACGGACTATCGGGAAAGACCCGGACTCTCCATACCGCACACTTTCCTGCCAACGCAGTTTCTGCTCATACTCCCCAGTAAGTCTGGTAAAGTCTTCTGCACTCAGACGATATCGTAAGCGATCGGGCATATAGCCTGCAAGCCGGCGCTCAAGCTGATGAACAAGTATCTGCAATTCGGAAGTCGTTGTGTTCAAGTCAAGAGGGTCCTGAGGAGGTCGGGGAGAGTCTGAGCAGTCACTATGGGAGTCGCTGTGCGCGGCGACCACCCTAAGCGGGTCCGCATCTGTTCTGGGGCTCGTCATCCTACGGTCTTGAGAGATCTTCTTCATAGTCGCTCATTGATTATCGCAAGGGCGCAAGAAAAAGAACACGCTCTGAGTTTAAGGAAGAGTTGTGAATTTCGCATCATCATCACAAGGGAAAACTACGGCTATACCTCGGCATCTCCCCCACAAACATTTCCCAGGGATTGTCGTGGTAGGTGTAGCGAGAACGCGATTCAATCAAAGGGACAAGAGCAGCAACAGCTTTGGGCATGACGGTCACAAAGTTCCGCAACCCATCTCGCAAGGTGCGTCAGCCACTAGCCAAAAAATTCATACAAAGGAGGCGCTGAGCAACCCTCCAAATAGCACTTTGTCTCCTATTCAGCTGAGGGCGCCCGACAACCGACAACCGCTGGATCACCCTCCTCTCCAAGTACTTCGTCGCAGAATCACTTCCGACTCCATCGCAATCAGAACGCGCTGTTTGTTTATTTAGTCTGAGAACCAAACCGAAACTCCGCTTCTCCATCACGGCAAACGGCAAATGGTGTGCCACCCATGTGCAGTTCTGGAAAGGGCTTAGGAAGCACAGAAAGCCATGCCTCTGCCCCCCTAGAGCCTTATTTTGGGCCCTCGTTAAAACTTGACGGTTTGGAGAAGGGAGGACGTTTGAGTGAGCTGGCCAAGGCATAATTACGGAGGAGTGCTATATGTGGAGGGACGTCTATACGGTGAACCTTTCAGCATGGCCCCACCACGGTCTCATGCCTCTTTGCTCGCCGCGAGCTCAACCTTGATACGACGTGGTCTTGCAGGCGCAGGCGTAGCTGGGCGAGCGCTAAAGCCAAACACCGCCTCGCAGCCAGTATTACAGCCTGATGTGCAATGATGCCTGCGCTCGCATTCCCAACGTCTTGTTATGATGGGTGCCAACTTACATGGCGCAAGCTAACATCGCAGCATGGTACTCGGCGCCGGGAAGCGGGTGCGTGTTTAGCACTGCTCAACGTAGTTGTTGCTGACCATCACAGTGCCGATGATATCGCACGAGAAGCCTACGAAGACACGGTGAAATACTTCGAGGAAGAGTTTACAAGAGATGGCAAGAAACCCGATTGGATTCGTGCCCAGACCAGCCTTGGAGACGTTCTCGACACTGTCAGAAAGGCTCAAGAGCTCTACACGGCGACACACAAAGCCACAGCAACTCGAAGATACGTGGCTGCTCTCTCAACTCGAGTGCAGAATTTTGGTAATGTGCTGGATGTTTTGGCACAGCACCATCCAGAATACGTGTCGCTCGCCTGGGGTGCCATGAGATTCCTCTTCAATGTGGGCATTGACAGCGTCTCTTTGTGACACCTAAATCTGATACCCGCAGGGCGTTCTGAACCAACCGGAGCTCGTGACCGAGCTATCAAGGGCCTTGGTTGATATCGCAGATGTACTACTACACGTTCAGCTGGCCACTAACCTTTACCCGACCATATATATGAACGAAGCCATCTCGCGACTATATGCACACATCATGCTCTTCCTGAAGCAGGTTGCCAAATGGTACAGTATGAGTCCCGCGCGCAGAGCAATCTCGACCTTGGCGAAACCGTATAAGATCAACTATAAATACACGATTGAGCAGATCCAGCAATGCTCCCACATGGTCGACCTTGCGGCCAGTGCCGCTGCTAGAGCGGAGTTGCGAGATCAGAATATCGCGCTACGAGAGCAGGTGCACGAGTTGCAAGAGCGTGACAAGGACCTTAAGGAGCTGCAGGAGAGACTGCGATCCCTCGGCCACTTTGCGAATGCTAGCGAAAACAAGTTCCTGAAACTGCAAGATGTGTCCACTGGGATCCCCACGACCAGCGCAGCCGGCAACGATTTCACGCCCGTTCTACCGGAGAATTTCCCTCAAGCACCCTCCCGTACCGCACTAGTTGCTGCAGATCTTCTGCAAACAGCCCCTCAAGCACGTTCCAATACTGCGATAGGGTCTGGCTCCGTTGCCGCCACGACTTTCAACGATTCCGGGTACGACAGCTACGGCTCCTCTAACCGTAGATCATCGGAGAAGGCGGTTGAGGCTGATACAATGACAATTGCCACGGATAGCCAGTCGCTTCATATTCCAGAATCGACGAAGGAGCATCTCATTGTCGCATTAGTGGAAGAACTCCTAGATAGCATCACCACGGAAGATCACGGGATCGTCCTAACACCGACACAGATCGAGGAGATCTGCAGCTTGCTCAAGGAGTGTTCCATAGAGATGGGTCACTATGCAAGCGGCAAGCTTGAGCTCGACACACTCACGTTCATTCGTCAGCAAAGGAGGTAGGTGCAGCTTGGTTCTCGCACCTTCTAGGCTATGAAAACTGTCTCAATCATTGCTCCCCTTGCATACAAAGCCGAAAGAGTGAGTACGTCAAGCTAATCGTTTGCTTAGGCGCATTGCACAGTCACTCGAAAAGTATCTGAACAGCACGCAGCAGGAGCATGAATCTGAGTCTGAGGACGAGATAAATGACGAGGTAATATCGCTGAGTGAGAAAATGCGACTGTGGCGTACCAATGAGAAGGTAAACACCGAAGGCACAATCGAAGAGGTAGCGGCTGCAGACTTTTGCGAGCTTGAGGATGAGCCACCTATCCCGGAACTACCATACGCACGAGTGTTTCTGACGACACACCCATTCTATCCGCAGTTGATTTTCAGATTGAAGGCAATCCTGAAGAACAAAGTTTGCGAGGGAGATAGAAGCAGTCATATACGCCATGCAATTCTCCGTGGCCTTTCCGCCCCGGGGCCACCCGCCTCACGGCCACATAGTATGGCGACTCGGTCGGCTCATTTCAAATTTCCAGCACCGTCTCAATCGTTCCTAGCTAATGATGCACTCTTCAAAGACGGCAATTCTCTCGCAGACGTCGTAGTTCTCCAAGGTGGCTTGGACAACGCCTTCGCAACCACCTGTGCGGAGTACGTCCGAATGACTTGGGGCCAAAGTGGAGTTGATGTGTTCGACAAAATACAAGAGGCAATACATTCAGATGGTAAAGCCAGTTGGATCGTAATAAGACAACCTGGGAGGGAAACTCTCGTCTCATTTGAAGTGTCAAATGGCTCCGATGACAGTAGCTCGGACCAGGAATATCTGAATGCAGTGGTCATCGGAAGTCCCCTGGTCATGGCGGTCCTCGGAGAACAGCTGGCGTGGTTGTCATCGGCCTTCCTTGATATTGAAGGGTCCAACGCGTTGTTAATCCGAAAGCCTGAGGTGCTAATCGAGACGAGCCACACACGTTGGGATTTAACCTTGCAGATTGACTCGGAAAATTCCCGCCAACTGGACCGATTGTCATCGACAACAAAGCCGCAATGCTGGCATGATCTGCTACGGCGTTTCAACTTGGTTGAAGGCTTCCCCATCAGACCCCGAAAGATCACGCAGAAGGGACTCGAAGTCCCGCTCGACATGATGGCATTTCTGGCCGAGACTTGCAGGGCTACCATCTTCGACGCCCGAATGGTCCTTAAAGGCTGGTCTACTAGCCTTACGCCCACCGCACAAGTCGACGACTCAATACTGTGGCACTACACACAAGAACAGAACGGGAATCACCTATCGTATGAAGCCATAACGCGTACCTGTGCTGCGACTGATCAAGGCATCCTCGACCAAGGATGGTCGTGCCTGAATCAAGACAGACACTTTCTGGGATGGTGTGATGCATCTGAAGTCTTAGCAGGTACGTCCTCCCCTTGCTCTGAGACTCTTGAGTGTTTGAGCCACTAGCGCGACCTCTAAGCCCTGCAAGAAGCTACCCTTTGCGCCTGCTTTTGCCGCGAAGGTCAACACGACGCCTGATTGTAAGTAGACATGATCCATATTGACAATAGTCACAGGGACAAGCTCCGCCAAGTACGACGAGATCGACTACTCAGGCGCCGCATTCTGCGCTTCAGGCGTGGCATTCGAGAAGATGTCGATCGTTGGTGGTCAGTTCTTGAGTGGAGGTGCAAGCTTTGTGAGAGGCAACAGGAATACCCCCCTGATCGTCTCAAGCCCACGGCATTACATGGAGCAAATCGAGTGGCTTTCAGGAAAGAACTTCGTGCTTTATGACGTGGGCGATCGCAGAGCATGGCTCATAGATGGGGCTCTTGCGGTGTTACACATTATGTGCACTCGACTTCGTCTCAGGCCGTATCGCTCCGGCACAGAATGCATGCTTGAGAAGCTCCGATATGCGAAATGCGCAGAGGGGCATGATGCTGGTTACAATGCCCTGACAGATCCGACGAACATGCAGCTTGAAGTTTTCAGAAACGAACAGCCGTGGGAAGAAAAGGTCGAAAGTACCACCAGTTCTCCCATTATCGAAAGAAGGACCAAAATCACGATCACACGTTTTGCGGATCTTGTGACGCAAGTCTGGTTCGTGATTGAGGAGATGTTCGCACACCAAGCCAGACTCCAGACCACACCTAGCGTGAATCTACGTTTCACCAGCCGTGAAAGGCTTGAAGGGTATGATTTTATGGACGTTGCCAGGGGTGAATCTCCGCTCAGACCCAGGTTCGTCATCTTGAAATCCAGCGGCAAAGGATGGGTCGACCTCGCACGGAGCATAGGCGCAATCGCACTGCTCGGTTACAGCTTCGGTGACCTCATAATCCCGGCCGAGCAAGCCAAAGCTCTTTGCCACAACTGGCGACGGCTGCCTCATGGCCACGACTATCTGGCCGCAAGTGTCTCCTTGATCAAACAGATCCGTAGGCGACACTCGAGCCGACAACCTGGACCATTCCAGATTGCTCAAGATGTCTACTGGCATCAGCATGATAAACTGTTTGGTGCCTGTAATTGCAAGGCACGAAGATGGAAAGACACTTGTGACCGCGTGCAAACACTACTGCCTGCGTCCGTCGGCGTGAAGCGCCCACCTGAGGACATCTTGGATCTCAGATATCAGGGCGGCGCCGTTATATTCGGACGAGGGAAGAGGTGTCCTTATCGTTGGCCCAAAGACCCAGGTAAAGCCCCAGAGGAGCGGCAGCTGGGCGAAGACTCGGATGTTGCTGACGAAGAGCCGGCCGCTGCCCTCATGGAGGAGGACAGTGGTCTCGGGTCAAGCATCAGCGCTACAGCAAGTCAGAGCATCACTTCTGCTTCGGCGTCGCTCTCAACATCCCCCCCAGTCCAGTTTGCTACTGTCGACTCTCCTGGTCCGGCTGGAAATGACAACCCGGAACCGTCCACTTCCGATCGCGAGATGACGGTCCCGCCTGATGGTTCGCAGCTTACGATGAGCGACCAAGAGGATAGCACAGCTCCGCCTCGACAAGACCTGGTTCATGCAATTACAATACCTCCACCAGTCTCACTACTCCAAGACGCACCAGTGACGCTCAATGGGCCAGTAACTGCCACGGGTCCTCATGGCAGGACTACGGAGGGGCCAGTTCTAAAATCGTCGCGCTCCAGGCTGTTGTCACGTGCCAAGCAACTTTTCTCACCACTACCAAGTAAAACGGCAAAGAAATGAGTGCAGGTCTCAGCGACCCAGGAAGCATTTTGGACGAGAGGACTTCCTACATTGTCAGAAGTTACTGGAACTTGCGCCTAAAGAATGAGACGGTATTCTTCTGGGCCCGCGAGGACGGACAACGCGAAGATAAGCAGACGGCCTACTCTCATGCGGTTTCCGATTGAGCTGGTTGTGCTCAGCCTCGATCATGCTGTCGCCTCCTACCCACATCGCCGGTGGTATGTCAGAACTGCTCTTTTCGACTACTCTGTTAAGAAATAGGTCTCCAGTCACAAGGCTCTCATGTAGGGGTGCGGGGAGTGAAGACAGACTGGGTAGAGAAGTGGGTTACTGGGGTATGCACTGGATACTCATGTGGGTGTGAATAGATAACATGAATTGGCTACGAGGGAGTGAAACCATGTCATCTGACAATGAGCATATCTATAGTCGTATCTCTTTGTGCGCTCTGTTGCTCTATTCGCTTTATTGAACACAGCGAGCACAGCGGCATGCCCAGCAGACCGTCCTTGATTGCTCCTTTCCCGAGCAGCGGACCCAGGCGGAATCACGGCCACGTTCGCTTTTTGAGCCGCGAATTGCCCACAAGTCTTCCTCTGCCGTCCTGAACTGGCTAACACCCCCTGCGACACCGCGCTCCCTCTGAAAATCGGGAGCGTTCTCGAAACAAGCTCTGATACTCTCGGCAGTTATGTAATGGAGCCGGTCAACGCGTATGCCCTGGAGACTGGAGTGAAAGCGTGCAATGGGTCAGGATGGGCTGATGGTCAAGGTACTGAGGGCCGTTGCAAGACGAGAACAGAAAGGGAGTCGGGAAACAAACAATTCGACTGCACTGAAACTACCTTTAGGATTTTGTCATCGTTAAAAGTGCGGGCATGTATACGGGCAGCATAAGTCAAGATGCCTTTCAGCGCAGGCTAGCAAGATATGGAACATATTACAAATCCTCTTCCTCGCAGCATCGACCTCACTATACTGTGCGTCCTTCAAGACATCCCTTCAGTGGCCATCCTGGGCATCTTCTGCTGTTGGAAGCAATAGCCGCGCATGACTGCTTAGAAGGAGCCATCCGTCTCATCCATTCGTTCAGGGCACAAGAATAGCTCGCCCTCTGACCTTGCCGGCCGAAAGATCATCAATGGCCTTTTGGAAGTCTTCCAGCTTATAGATGGACGTGTGCAGGACCACCTTCCCCTGAGCGGCCAAGACCATCAATTCCGCCAGATCATTGTACGATCCCACCAGGTTGCCGATGAAGTTGATCTCGGTCGATATGATGTCGATGGTAGGAACGTTGACGTTCTCTCCGTACCCGACAATGTCTGTTGTGTCTTCAGCATCTACTGTACCGGGGAAAATACACGGGTGCTGTAAAGTTCACTGTGCAGCAGAGGAGGGTAGGTTGGGGGGGGGGAACCAAGACGTACAGTAGTTGCCCGCTCGCCGGAGCATACGAACACCCGTGGCGGTTGAGCCGCCCTCAGCGACGAAATCAATCACGGCTTCTGCGCCTTTCCCTCCCGTCAGAGATAGGACCTCCTTGACGAACCCGTCGTCGTTTCCTGCCTGCACGACGTGGTCGGCGCCCAGCTTCTTCGCCAGACCCAGAGCATCCGCGTTCCTGTCCACCACGACGACCGTGGCGGCGCTGATGGCCTTCATGACCTGGATCCCAATGTGTCCCAGGCCTCCCGCCCCGATCAGGACGACGACATTCCCGGGTCTCAGCGCCCGCGCCGCCTTCGCACAGGCGTGGTACGCGGTCAGCCCGGCGTCCGCGAGAGCCGCCACGTCCGTCGGTTCCAGCTTCGGGTCCAACTTGATCACGCTGCGGGCGCCGGTCTTGAGGTACTCCGCGTAGCCGCCGTCGGCGTTGATGCCCGGGAAGACGGAATTCTCGCAGTGCACGTCGTCCCCGAAGCGACACGCGCGGCACAGCCCGCAGGTCACCAGCGGGTGCAGGATCACCTTGTCCCCGACCTCGACCCCGGTCACAGCCTCGCCCTTTGCGTGGACCCAGCCGGCGTTCTCATGGCCGATGGTGTAGGGGAGCTGGACGCCCGACTTCTCGGCCCACTGGCCCTCGAGGATGTGGATGTCGGTGCGACAGACCCCCGCGGCGCCGATCTTCACAATCACGTCTAGCGGCGAGGTGATTTCGGGCTCGGGAGCTTCGGACAGCTCGAGGTTTTTGTGGTAGCCGACCACGCGCACGACTTTCATGTCGGCGGCTCAACGAGGGCTATGCAAGATATGTTACTGGAGAGCTGTTGACGGCACGGCAATAGAAATCGACAATGACGATTGCGTGGATGTATCGGACCAGCGGATCTGTCGTTGGTAACGGCAGCCCCTTTCACAGTCAGCCTTGCTCTTGTGAGTGACTTGAATATTGGAGCAGTCGGTTGGCTTGATGCCAATGCTTCGTTTTCAGAGCAGATGGGCTTCTATACTTCTTATCCGCCTTGACGGCGGGATTTTCAGTCAGTCCTTTTTATGCTTTCCTCCAAGGCGATATCTGGATACTGGCTGGCTGGCAACCTCACATACGGCACTAGTTCCTGGCTAACCCCTCTTTCTATATACTAATGTAGCATCCATTCTCCTCTCCCCCGCCACGGACAGAGAGCGATTGAACGCGTCATGTCTGTTCAGTCTCACACAAATGGGAAGCGGGGCATTGCAGCGTAACGTGCGCATCCCCCTCTTTGCCCGCCCACCTGCGCTTTGCGCTCATGTCGCTCGAAAGAGGGCACCATTGACGTCGACGCTGCCCAATGGGACTCTTTTAGGAAAGTGGCTTGGGAAAACCGTCTCCAACGACCGCCATTTCGCAGTCCGGCGTCCTAAGTTTGCGGGGGAAGCTGGAACCAACCACGCCGTCTCGGTCTTGGAATCCTTGTTTCTTTGGATCAACATTTGGAATGCGGGGATGCAGGAACTTCGGCATTTGAGCATTTTTTTTTGTTGGCCTCTGGATTGAGGTTCGCTCACAACATGGGCGGCAGCAGAGATGGAAGAATATATAACTTGCCCAACTACGAGCCCAGGGCGGTATTCCCGCCAGTATTTTACTGATTTAGGCGGTAGACCCCATCGGCTTGGGGAGCGGCATGGAAGTCGACCTCTTTCACAACACGTTCATTTTGTAGTTGCCCGCCTCGTCCAAAACGTGCTGCGCCTCTTCCCAGGCTTTCCGGATCAACTCGGCGTGCTTTGGACTCCGAGCTTTGATATCACACCTGTGTCACCCAGCGTTAGCGAATTCCCCTTTAATAGAACTGTCTCCTAGAGATGAGACGGGAAGGGGAAAGGTGGACGCGGAAGGTAAGTCATACTTGAAAGGAAGCGGTCTGGCTGCGATCGACTGGGTCAGCTCGTCCTGCTCGACGTCAATCTCCCTCCCCCGTGCGTCCCTGGCTTTGGCAATGGTGAACGCCCACAGGATCCGCGCCATGCTGAGGAGCATCGTGGCCTCGGCGACGTGGATGCCCGGGCAGATGCGCCGCCCGGCGCCGAAGGTCCAGTGGTCGCGGTCGCGGATGTCGCTGGCCAGCGCGGCCTCGCCCATCGAGAAGTCCGGGTTCTGGCGCGCCGGGTCGAACACGCGCGGGCGCGGGAACAGCGCCGGGTCGTTGTTCGCCGCCCACACGGCCAGCAGGATCGTCGCCCCGCGCGGGATCACGTACCCGTCGATCTCATCCTGGGAGCGAGCAGCGTGAGGGATCGCGCCCGTCACGGCCGTGGGCATCCCTGTGTGGGAAGATTAGCCTTTGTCAAGCCCCTCCTATGGATACTTGGATTGATGGAGGATAGGTGTGTGCATGCGTACAGCGGACGACTTCCTTCATGATCTGCCGGATGTACGGCAGTTTCTCGAGATCGCTGGGCTTAGGGAGTCGGTCGTTCCCGACCACGTCGTCCAACTGGGCGTGAGCTCGCTTCTGCTCATCCGGGTACAGCATCATTGCCTGGGAAGGGTCAGCAAGTAGTTTGGGACTGACGTCTCCTACAGAGGGAAGAGGTTCTCTACTTTGATGAATGCTACGAGCTGGTTGCCTTGGGTATCCGTTGCAGCCTCCATGGCGACGCCGGCGATGTACGCCGCGGCGTGGTCAGTCAGGATTGCACCTTCTTGCTTTCCTTTCCATGATTCTTGCGCGCGAACGATGTCGGACGCGAAACCTATTGTATAGAACAGTCAGCTCCCTGCGACTGTCTGAAGAAACAACTGCCTCTGGTACTTCATACTTGGCAGTGAGTTGTCGTGGACGATTTTCTTCCTGGTGTCATTCAGCAGCTGGTGAAACTGGAGTGTCTCCCGACGAAAGATCTCCTTCGCGTCTCGATACATCGGGTACAGGAACGGCGGGAGCCAGCGCACGATCCACCGCAGCTGAGGGTACCAGTCCAGGACCTGGCTTTTGTGGACCATGGTGAAGAACCCGTGGGCGTTGTGGAGGAGCTCCTTCATGACCGGGTTGTTCGGGTCGGTCACGCGAAACCCGTACGCCATGCTGGTGGCAGCGCTCATCGTCGTCCGCATGATCAGCGCCTCAAAGTCCTCAGGACGATGGAGGAGGTCGAAGCAGAGCTGCTTGGTCTCCAGATCCTGGTAAGGTATGTACCGGGCGGCCTTGGTGCTGTTGAGGAACTGGTGGTAGAGCTTCCGCTCGACTTTCCACAGGTCGTCGTAGCCTCGCATGATAATCCTCGAGTGCTCGAAGACGTCCTGCATGAAGAGCGAAGGACGGTCTGCGTAGTTGCCGCTCCGCTTGTCCATGACTCTTTTGATCATCTCGCCGCTTGCAAGGACGATGACGTCCTGGGTCCCCATCTTGAGGGAGAAGATGGGTCCGTCTGCGATCAAGTCAACTGTCTGATCCAGTAGCACGAGAACTCAGGGTTTCTGAAACTTACATTCTTTGGCCCATTTCTGGTGCTGCAGATGTATGTCCTTCTTGGGGATTTGATGGATATTCCCAATGATAGGCAGCGTCGGAGGCCCTTTTCGCTTCAGTTAGCGAATGTCAGGGATGAACCAGGAAAAGGACCGTCCTACCAGGAGGCAGTTTCCTGCTTCGCTTGCCAATGGACAGCACTCGGACCAGCAGGAAGCATACCACCGCCAATGTAATGAAAAAGCGGGCGTCCATCGTAAGGAGAGCCATGATTTCGTCCTTGAGGAGCACCTTGGGGAAACAGAGACAGTAAACCACAATCGCGACTGGGACTTACCTTTTTGTCTTATTTATGTTGAGTCTGGAGTGCCATCGCTCGCACTGGTAAACGCGGAAATACCCCAGCATCCGAGCTGAAGGATGGTCTGTGCCAGGACGCCTTGTGGTTGGCAGGGGCGTCGCCCATCAAACTTCCTACTCGTATGCATGTCTGACATGGCGTGGAGATCTGCCGCCAAAATACGACGCAGCACGCCCAACGGTCTAGTGGCGTAATCTCACTCGCAAGAAGTAGAGATCGCCATCTATGGTATGCTGGCGAGCCTGGGCACGTAAGGTTCCTACATAGATGCATCGGGGCCTGACCGCGGTAACGATGCCTGGGAGATGTTGCATATCTTTGGATAAGCAATTTAGTTGGATGTAATAGAAGCTTAGCCGCATAGACCTGGACTTCAGCTGGTCCCTTTGGATTTATTACGGCATCACCCTGACTCCAACTGTGAGTCGAGTTTACGACTCTACACTGCAGCCTTACGTAGGAAGTCGATAAGTATGTGTTATATGACACACCGCTCCATTCCCGCGGGTCAACTTGGAGTCCATATTTCTTAAAATAATCTAGAACTTGCCATAATGTACCTCCTCTACCCTGTATCCCAATTAGATCCCCCGCCACCCCGTCAGCCTGTCTGATGTCGCTGTTTCTAAACACCGTTCAGCTTATGCCTTGGCGTAGATGTCGCTATCAAAGTGCAGCTTGTCCAGCTTATCTCTTCCTTCGGCTTCTTTGTTCACCCACACACTAACGCTCGTGCCGGGACACATGAACTCTCCAAACCCGTCTTCATCGATTTGTACTTCATCTTTCTGCCAGCCTAGCACATCAGTCCAGACTTCTCCCGAGTGCTCCTTGCCGACGAATATCTTCTTTGTCCCCGGGCCAGCGTTCGACATGACGCAGGCAAGCCCGGATTTCCTGTCTTCGGTGCCCCTGCGCACAAATCCGACACAGTTTGGGTCGTCATCGAAGTAGTCGTCCTGGTCTCCGTACGCAAAAAGCTTCCTCGCGAGCACGAGTTGGGGCAATTTCTCACCACACGCAGGCGGCTCGGGCTGCTTGCCCTTCATGCCATAGAGGTCGCCGTAGAAGACGCACGGATAGCCTTCTCTCCTCAACAAGATCAGGGCGTAGGCGATCGGCTTGAAGAAACCCTCAATGGGTGTCTCGACGGTCTGTCCTGGCTGCGTGTCGTGATTCATCACCACCGTCACGGCACTCTCAGGCTTGGCTTTAACAAGGCTGTTGTCGAAGACTTTTCGGAGGTCGGCTTTCTCTGTCTTGGAAATTTGTGAGAAGGAATACACCAGCGGCGAGTCATACAGGGTGAAGCGGTGGTGCATGTTGTTTAGCCACTCGAGCATCTCCTGCGTGTCGCCGCTCCAGTACTCTCCAACCAGAAACAATTCGCCCTTTCCAAACTTTTCTTCCAGATGTTCCACTAGATCGTTGGTGAAACGCTCAGAGAAATGTTGGCAGGCATCGAAACGGAACCCTTTCAGCTTGAATTCCTTGACCACCCATTCGCTCCACTGAATGACGTCCTTCGCGACCTCTGGATGGCTGTAGTCGAGATCGGCAAACATGAGGAAGTCGGCATTGCCAGCTTCGTCGCCCACGGAATGGGACCAATGCTTGTTGTCGCCGAGAATGCGGAAAATGCCAGTCTTTTCAGTGCCTGCGTCGTAGTCCGTGCCTGAAAAATGCTCCCAGTGATATTTTTGAGCAGAGTATTTGTCGCCACGGCCCGGGAAATCGAAGCCCAGCCACGCTTCGATCTCAAACGGCTCACCGATTTCTTTATTTCGATCTGGGAGATCAATCAGTCGAAGAGAACTTTTCGACGTGCCAGTCGAGCAGAACGCCGAACTTACCACTCTGATCCACCTCGACGACCCTGCACTTCTCTTTCCTGTCCGCGCCAGCCTTGTGGTTTAGCACCGCATCGAAGTATAGTCCAATCCCGAGCTGTTTTGCCTTATTGCTCAACTGGTCCAAGTCCTCTCTAGAGCCCCATTTGGTAACTTTGGAGCCTTTTTGCTCAAACTCCCCAACATCGTACAAGTCGTAAATGTCATAGCCATTGGCCTGATCACCACCTTGACCTTTGCAAGCAGGCGGGAGCCAGACATTGTCTATTCCAATGTTCTTCAGATCCTGTAATGCGTTTTGCAACCGGATCCAATGTTTCTGATCGGCGGGGACGTTCCATTCGAAACCTTGCAACATGCAGTAATTCTCAGGGGTGGGCCCCATGTTGAAAAGCAAAGCAAGAGATTAGTATCGAGTAATCTATAAAAACGAATTGGTTAGGGAAGGAAAACAAAGTAAGTGAGAGAGACACACAGACAGATAAGGCACTGAATGAGAGAAAACAAGTCTATGTATAGCCTCAAACTATGCCAGGCAGACCATTGCGGGAACGGAATCCGGCGTTGGTTGGGATTTCCATGATTTTCCTGGAAAAAAAGACTCCCGCGCGGTATGAGATCATCTCTCTCTTTCCCCTGCAGTGGCGTCGGCCCTCCACCCAATAAGATCCGAGCAGGCTGTCAACATGTTCTGGGCACGCTCGTATCCGAATGCCCATGGTATGTCAGTGGCTGAACAGTGGCGGGAATTTCCTGCACGGACGAGATAAGATCCGCAGAAGGGGTTTGCTGGTGCCACAACTCAAACTAATAAATATATTCCCGTTGCACCCGTCGATGGAACTGATTGGGAGCTCGATGACAGACAATAGGGAGTTGCGAGGCCTGCATCGAACAGCACTTCAAGTGTATAACTGGCTGCTGGTATGTTGGATTGGCAGAGGTACACTGAAACCCTTTGGGCAATGGGAATCCTGTCGGTGGAATACATGCCGCAAGATATGCAATATGTATTCAGATCTTGGCTGTGTCGCGAAAGATGATGCTGGCTTTGTTGTGCTCACAGACGGACAGGAGATCGCCCGTGGCTTTGTCTTTCATGACCCCTCGTATCGTCGCTGAGAGGGGGACGTCAGTTCTTCCGTTCTGAACCAGCATCTCGGCACATACCGAATCGCGCTCCCACCTGCAGAACTTCGCATTCGATCAACACCTTGGTGCCCACCTTTGTCGGCCTCAAGTACGTGACACTGAGGACTCTAGACACGCCGCCGAAATGCCAGAAGTCTTTTGTCGCCAGGGGCGCCATAGCCATTGTGGTGCAGATGTCGTGTATGAGTGTGATGGCGGCGCCTGAAGCGTTCCCCATACGGGTTCCGTACATGGGGATGATGTCCATCTCGAAAACAGCGGTGACATTCGGCGGCCCAGTCGCACTGACAACGCTGAGATCCCTCGTGATCAGGGATTCTTCGAAACCCTAGAGGATTCTTGTCAAAGTCCGTTTCAGAGGGAGTATTAGTCCTCCGGCAAGGTGGAGCGTACTTCAGCGACGGGTTCCCTTTTATATCTGTTCATGAATTCCTCTATCCTCTGAACCGGATCTTCAATCTGAATGGCAAATGACATGCCAGGTCGCAACATGTAATCTTTAGTGTAGAATTTCTTAGATTTCTCCATCTTGGGCTTCTAGTGAATGAAAGAGAGTGCAGACCGAGGAATCCGGAACGATCGAGCGAACAACTCAAGGAATGGAATGGATCATGAAGAGATACAAGGCATTTTCATTCGAGGAGTGACAATTGGAGATGCCAGTGATTATTCTTGAAGGAGTGACATGCCACCACCAGCATCGAGTCAGTGCCGAGGGTTATCGGTTCCTTCACGGGCGTCGATAATATCCCGACTGCGCCCGGGAGTTGCCTTTTGCTGGCGGTGTATGTTGCGGGCGCAGGTCTTTTAGTCCACCGTACCTGACTACGGTAAAGTATTTTCTCACAGACTGTGGCACATATCGGTTTCATGGCTGCCACTCCGTTTCTGCTACCGACACCTTCATTCCTCTGGTTATTTCCCCCCTAATATGGCCTTACTACGCCTCTGACTGGCTTCTTTAGCCCTAAATAGATATCAGAGCAGGCCTCGATGAAGCTGCGTCATCATCCCTCTGTTCAAACCAATACACATGGCTGAATTTGATCACTCGCTCATTGGTGGACTTCAAGCTGTTTCCTCTCTCGCCATCAATTTCACGTTAAAGTCGTTGAAATACGCAACTCCCCCGGCAACCACAAATCTCCCTGGAGTGACAAGCTCTATATCAAAGCGCCGAATGATCTGTGGGTGTAAGGTTAGATTGATTCCGCAGTTTTCACCACCACATCCTGGCTCATCATGCTAGAGATGGACCTACCTCGGGAAGAAGCTTGTGCAATTCAATGATGGCGACGTCCTTTCCCAAGCATATCCGAGGTCCAATGCCAAACACAAAGCTGTGAAGCTCCATTTCGGCTGCTTTCTCTTTGCTGTCAAGCCATCGTTCGGGGCGGAAAGCCTCGGGATCTGGACCATACAGCACCGGATCCCGCTGCACGACGTATGCATTGCTCGTTATCTCCGTCCCCGGAGGAAGGAAGTGCCCATCGATCACTTTACCGGCCTTTCCAACCACGCGGCCAAAGAGATTATCGGCAGGCGGGCATAATCGAGTTGCTTCTTTGATGCATGCGCAAAAGAACGGCAGATACTCGCGTGTTTCTTCGTACTGGATTGGGTCCGACAATTTACCTGCACGATCAGCAGCTTCAATCTCCTCCCATGCACGTTTCAGCTTCTCGGGGTTCAAGGCCAGAAATCGTAGAGTGGCTCCGAGCGCGGTTCCAGTGGTGTCTGCTCCTGCTTGAATCAGGAGTGTTACATGGGCTCGCTTTTGGACTGGGCTGAGGGGCTTTCCATCCATTCGTGCATCTAGGCAACTATTGAAATGTTCAGCTCTTGCGCCATGTTGTGTGGGTCGTGCTTTGAACTAACTGTTGGAGGAAGTCTGGTTGATCCGAAGTCAAGCCGTCGCCCAACTTCTCTTCACGACGGGATACTTCCTTGTCAGCCCAATTCATCAGATACCCGAAGCCGTCTTTATCGGTAGCGCTGGGAAGGAACTTCTCCCCTATACCAGGGATGGACAGGATTTTCCGAAAGGAATTGCATCGTCCGGCAAATCCGAACAACGGGAGTCCTTTGCGCCAGCTGCCGAGGATCCCGCGCTCATCACGACTGTTTCTAACGAAACCCCAGGGCTCGGTGAAGGAGATCATGGTCATGATATCCGCGGCGAATTCACTGCTGCAAGTTAGTTACCTCGTTGATGGCCGTGCTTGAATACAACTTGCGCTACTCTTTCCGAGAGCAAGACAGTATCCTTGGCCTGTGCTCTTTCTGTCATCCTGCGGATGAAGAGACGGACCAGGTCGTCTATGCGAGGCTCCCAGTTATTCTTTAGAGACCCTATGGTCCACTGCACAAACATGAGCTGGTAAGCTGCTGAATAGAACACGGAGACAGATGCATTTTACCTGCTGACCGCCAAGAGCCTTCCTCAGGTTCTTATGCTCTTCGCCATCGAGTGTCGTGAAGAGGTGAGGCGGGCCCAGCGCCCCAGTTCCATAAAGGGACATTTTCGTGTTACATTTAGGGTCCCAGTATATCTCCTTGAGCGCGGACGGCTTTGGAAACAGTAACACCGTGGGTGAAATACGAATCGGCGTCTCAGCTATGGCGGGAGTGGCACTCAATCAACCAGCTGCTCCTGAAGCGGGAATGGGAAATGGTGGCTAAAGGAGGGGTTACGCACTCCCATATTTTCTTACCACACCCATGAGCCATTGCGGCTCAACCTTCAACACCGATATAACCGCAACTGACAGAGAAGTTGCGGCTGCATACCAGGGTCCGGGGTATTTCGAGAGTGGGTGCCAGTAGAGATTGTAGATGAAGCGGAGGCATACGAGGCTGGCGCCTACCACCCCAAGCAGAAGAACAGCAAACAAAGGTGAGATGCCGTGCGTAAGCACGGTATTCACGAGCATATTGTGAACTCAGTTTGAAGGGCAATGTTCTCGTCACAATGTTTTGTTGTAGCGTGACTTATGCCGATTACCCTGATCTAGGCTGTGCGCCTAGAGTTATAAAGGCTGGTTCAGAAAGCCGGCTACAGGACAATCCTAAATCCAGCCCTCAAGAAATTGTAGACAACAACTTCTTTCGGTTCTCGATGTCCGCAAATGGACACCATTCCCCGTGTCATGGTTGGTATTACCTCCCTGTCCATAACGCAGCTGAGACCAAGAATGATGCGCGCCCAGACAAGTTTGGTACGTGGGGAAACAAGAAGTAAGCAATCCACCAAGTGACTATAAACTGGAGAAAGTGGAGATCGCAAAAGTCCCCGTAGGCAGTCCCATTTCTCCGGACTCTGGTATTTCTGGGGTCCCCAAAAAACAGCTCCAGGCCAGACACAGCGCGGAGAACGAACGCCGAGCTAAGTAGGTGCTGATCGGCTCTTGATGTCGGTTGACCATTATAGTCAAGGGGATTGGAGCACGCAAAGGTTGTTCGTCCTCTCCACAAAATCACTGACCCCCCGAGTGTCTTCCGTAAAAACTCCGTGGATGCAGCCCGAAAAGATCGGCAAAGTAAGAATAAAAGAGCTGCGGGCAATACCGGGGAGATTTGAAACATCTGAGAGTGACAAGGTCCTCTGTAAAGACTCTGAGCGGCAATAATGACAACGATCCCAAGGATAGGCCGTTGCGAGGCTAGATTGTATCAGTTGTCCAAGAACTCAAAAGGCCTGTCAGAGCGAGATGGCGATCACTGGAGGAGAGTCCTCACCTCGCCGGTGACGCTTCCTATAACCATTGGGTCCTTTCTCGAAGCCAAATGTAACTTAAATTAAGAAGCTCTTGCGAAGAAGTTAAGAAAGGCAATCAGCGGACGCTGACGAGACTTGATGCAGCGGAGATAATTCACCGAGCTAAAGCATGGAGATCGAGCGCCGGTAGAACTTGCTTTCTGTGTAGCACCTTAGCGACAGGCTCGCAGCAAGGTCATGCATAATCGAGCTGCTCGAGTCAGGTAAGTGTATAGATGGCTAAGTCAGCGGAGGAAAGCTGCGAGTACGTAGTTGAGACCACAGCTCTCAGCAATACCCTGATGCAATTTCACTTGCATTTTTGAAACTCACCGCTGCAAAAGAACTAGTCAGTGTTCTGTCGATGGATGCAGTGCGTCTGATCCTAGAGTCTGATCTTGGAGAGTCTAAGATGAGATCATGTTAGCCCCAGAGCATTGCTCTAGGACAGGCACACCAAGACAGATGAGACTTCGGCCTCGTATTCCAAACTCTTCGCGGCTTTAGTCCCCCGTCCCGCTCTGTTGAACGAGCCTTGCCCCGCCTCCAGGGATGTAATAGTTGCAGCTTGATTGGGAAGAAGAAAGCCATGGTGGCTTGGCGGCCAAAGTCAACCCGATCTGGCATCAAAGGAAGAGTGCACCATGACCCAAGGTCTGTGGTATCAAAGTCATTCCCTCCAAGGTACTTGCCTTTCCCGCCAGGGTGCACGTACTGCACTCCTCAAGGCATTACATAACAGCGACATCATAGGGTGGACTAGGGACCAAGTATCCTAAGTGTACACTCATAATACCAGAGGTATGTGTCGCACCAGAAAATAGTGACGCATTTGCAATGGCAATGACATCGTCTTGACAAAAGAAAGGCATCAAATTGACATATCTTCCAATAGCTCAATGGGTTTGATATCAGAGGACAGGCCTTAGGATACTGTCGCTGTCATCTATTCGTATGTGTATATTTGTAAGTGAGACTCTCCTGACTCTTTCTCTACGACGACCGAGATTCTCTCGGCTCACTCCATTTATAACAAATTTATAATGAATTGCCTAGATCCAACACGACACCCACAAAGCACATTACCTTCGTCTACTCCAAACTCATGCCAGTTCCTTTCCACAATACTTTCATGGTTTTTCTGCCCCTCGTGTTTCACGTCCCCTTTGCCCTCCAGCCATGTCTTGCAATAGGTGGAATTTGTCCTTGATCACCATTCCGCGCAGATTCTATGCGCCTGAAACAATTTCTCCGGGGCTTTTGCAGAATTTTCGATATTGGTCGGCTTCAAGTGCCAACCATTGCTGCGTCGTCCTCTCTATCCCTCTCTAGGCATGAACTTCGAGCGCCTTCTCAATTCGTGCCCATACTTCATGAACAAGAAAGGAATCGGGATTGCTAGTGTAGCGATACCACCCAGAAGAGACATTCCCGGCCCAACACCCAGGGTGTTGAACATAGGGTTCGATAACAATGGGAATCCAGCTGCGAGCATTGAACGCAGTATGGTATTCGCCGCCACAGCCGAAGCGGCGAATTTCCCGTACGTGTCAACCAAGAAGGTGACGCACTGGCCGAAGATGATGAGGAAGCCGCCGCCGACGAAGCCTGTTGCCATGACAGGCACGATCCAGGGGATGCCAGGGCGTGCAGCCCAGCCGAACCAGAAAAGCCCAACTGTGAACAAGACACCGCCAACTGCCATCGTGGAGACAAGCTTCGGGCACGGCTTTCCCACCATTGGCGTCGACCTGGCGCTTATAGTAGACTGGCCGACACCCATGATGCCGGTGGCCGAAAGGACTCCAATGAAGAGACCCAGGAAGGGCAGAGAGCCCACCACAGGCGACCAGTGCCGATGTTCCTGGAAAACCAAGGGGAAGACTTCCGGACAAAGGTAAAGGAGCGCGTAGACGAACGAAGCATAGACCGCGATTGCAGATGCTTGCGGTTCCGTGCAGAGCATCTGCAGGGGACGGGCAAGCTGTTTCTGCACGATCGATTTGACGTCTAACTCAATCTGCTCGTGTGGGTTGTAGATATCCTGATTTCCCGTCTCCTTGCGTAGACGCTCAGCTTTGCGGTCCAGCAGCACAGGGTCGTACACCTCTGGCAAGAAGAACAATGAGACCCCGAAGGAGGAGAACACAATGATCGCTTCAAGATATTCTGTTCAACGCCAGCCTAGGTGCTGATTGACTGTAATGGCAGAGCCAATGATGGGGCCTGGAGTCGGACCACCGATGACTGTAACCGCGTATAGCATCATTGCATTGTTCCTCACTCGTGGTGGCCAGATATCCCCTAATGCGGCGGACACATTGCTGACGGGAGCAGAGCCAAACACCCCGGCAAAGAAACGCGTAACGAACACCGATGCCGTGTTCTTGCTGACAGCTGTGCCGATCGAGAACATGCCTAAACAGAACATAGCCGGCAGCATCGACATCCTGCGACCCCAGACTTCGGAGACGGGGGCCCAGAGTATAGGACCAAGAGCAAAACCGACTATGTAGAGCGAGACTACCAAGGCCACGACTTCATCGCCAACACCGACTTCCTTGGATATGTCGGATTCTGCTGGGGATATGATACTGGATCCAAGTGAAGCTGCCAGGGCGAGGAAAGCCAGTTGTGTCAATATAAAAACCTTCTTTGCCGTCGACCAGTTCATGGGATTCTCCGGGTCATCTCGATCCCAGACGACGAGATTTGGATCGGCGGTCTTTTGAGTCTTCCTTGATTCTGGATGTGGTAGCGGGTTCTCCTGGTGCTCGTCGCGCGCTGCTGGTGAGGAATTGCCCATAGTCAACGAATTTTGAGAAGGCGAGGGAGAACTCGCAGTAGGCAAGAAGAGACAAGAAGCATTCACGTCAGACATTTTTTGTGCAAAGGCAAAAGAAGCAGAATTTGAGACGTATTGTAGAGTGGGCCTCGTGCAGTGAAACAAGCAAGCATATACACACAGCAGCCATTGAAGTTCTTGATATAGCTCTCAAGGCGCCAATGTCCCTAACCAAGAAGGCGGCAAATGCGAGATCGAGGACGTGGTGGCTCCTCGGTGTCTGGAGAAAGAGCTATCGGCGCCGTTCGAAAAGAATAATAGGACTGCTGCAGCAAGTCAACACGCAAGGTCCTGGAAGGACCAGATTAGTGAACAGAAGGTGGTTATAAACAACGCGGTCTCCAGCCATGCGGTACGCCATTTCTCGCCCAATCCGGTAACCAACTCGACACTGAGTATAAATCAGGAAGCAAGAGGCGGAGTGATAACGAAACAATTAGATTGACAGGCGGTCCTTTGCGACAAGAACACATGGGAAAGAGGAAAATTCCGTTTTGTGTGCCTCGGAGACGGGGTAATAACAACCTGGAATCCGACCAAGAGATCTTTATCCTGTTTCTGGTCATTAGGAACGGAGCGGGTAGGATAAGGGAGAATAGTGGTCCATTGTTCTGCACATCGATTTCTTTCTTCTCAAGTTCTGCATCAAAATGCCAGATGCAAGGAGCGCAACAGCGGCTTTAGCCCAACATCGGAAAGGATCCAACAGAGGCCCTGGGGGTTTCCTTTGGAGCTCACAGGGTGGAGACACCAGGCCAGAGAGTTCCCAAGAACGGTACGCGGTCTCCAAGCGTCTGGTCTGCTGTTTCTTTGGAGCACATCCCATCTTCCAAGTTCCAACATGTTTCGGAGTTGATCTTCCTCTAGCTGCACGACCGACTCCCACCCTGTCACTGCCAACGAACCTCTCGACGAGCAAAACGTACCTCGCCATCAGCATCGACCTTGACGCCCGCTTCCGATCTTTCAATATTCTTTCACCTCTGCTGCACTGGATACAGTCGGACCTCACCACGTCGCCCACCTCGTCAACCCTATCTGCTCCTGTGGCGCCAATAGCCAGCTGGATCCCTCCGTCGCCGCCGGGACCCTCAGGGCCGCATCGTTACGGTTTTCTCCTGTACGAGTAGCCGGCTGAGTTCGATGCGAAGAAGTTAAGGAATCCAGACGGGAGGGAGGTCGGGTTGGTGGCCAGGATGCGGTGGGATGTGAGTTCATGGGAGAAGAAGGTCGGCTTGGGTCCCGTCATAGCCGCCAACTTCTGCTTCAGCAATTGAATGGAGGCCACCGTGGAAATGCAGATGAGTTAGAAGGATAGATCGATTGATCTATCTAGACTTCTGCAGCAGAAAGTGAGAGGATGAGGAGGAAATCCTTTCCTGCACCATTAGATGGTGAGTTGTTGTAGACAGAGAGATAGAAAACCCCCCAGTCCCATCCCACACACACTTTTTGTCCACTGAGTTGTCTGGTTGACGGGTCGCTTGAGGACCATGTCAGAATCAGAAAAAGTGCCATACAGCATGTAACCGACACGACATCCTTCTTCACATTTTCGGTATCCGTGTGCGGCTTCTGCCTTCGGGGGATCCCAATATTTGAGATTGGAGCTGGAGAGATATTGGGCTTCGGGATGAGAGTAGATGAGGTGCTGCTGCCAACGCCAAAAGTCCTCGAAGCTGCCTTTGGTGAGATGGCCGTCAAATGCCGGAGGAAAAGTTCCTGGGGAGCTGATACCCAAGATGAACGCTGTCGCTGGCGGTGCCAAAGAGCCAGGTCGGCAAGTAAACCCCTCGCTCAACGCCTTCGTTGGATAGAGTGGTGGGGCATTCAGGATTTCCATGATCCATGGAACAATCATCCCAACGGGAATCAACCTCGGGCCAAAACTCGTACCCGTCATCCGACAGGCAGTTAAGCAGATTAGAGATTGTCAACAAGAAACTCCAGGTCCAAGGTTCCAAGGCAATAGTCCCCAGTCCACTGAAGGTCGAAATGGGCGCGATCACCCATCGGCTCTCTAGTCGACCTAGGGGTTCTTGGAGCTTGCCCAGGACCAGGTACCATCGAGTCTGGTCGTCTTTGTCCCAGCCGTGAGTGCGGCACACAGCTTGACGATATCACCAGATCCAAAATCCTCAGGGATCGTTTCCTTCTCATCCCGCTCTTTGACTACCTCCACCATCTTCCCCCTTTTGGACGTGAAGATCTTGACGGGGTAAGGACGAAAAGTTATCCGAGGACATTGTGGGTCCAGGCGGGGACAAAGGTTTGTTAGCTTGCGAAAGCATGTATGGTTATGGCCAAATGTACTTTCTCTGAGATCAGATGGCAATGTACCACCTGAGCCTGATAAGGCAGGGGGCTCGCCTGAGGAGGAGGTAGGGCACAACCTGAGAGGCCGCTGCGTCCTTGAGTGAGAGAATCGTGCTGTAGCGGCTTCAAGGACTCGAACTCGGCGACGCTTCTCTGGAAAGGCCTGGAGGAGGTGGCTTTGTTGGGCAGCCTCAGAGCCTGGGTGGGTGCCAAGGGCCCAATTATAAGGCAAGTAAGGTGCCCTACAGCTAGGGAGATATAGGTAATCGCTTACCCAGCTCGCGAGCCCGGGAACAGCTCAGGGCGGCACGGCACGCGGGCGCTAGCAGCGATCCGGGGTGCTCTCAAAATTTGGCAGATGAAGACGAGGTCAATCGACATCGAGCTCACTTCGACCCTCACCCGACCTACGCCTCTTGTAAACACCACTCGCCTCCCCACTCACCTCGAACTCTCCTAAGCAGCCAGCCAGATTCTCACTGCTGAAATCTTCAGATAATGGCTTTCAGATCAGCTTTGTACCCTGATTCTTGGACTCTGGCGAGATTCGCCTGCTACATCTTGCACGAAACTACGAGCATGGTATAATTTGCAGCATGACGCGGCACAGCCTCACAGACAATATCAAGTTCACTGCCATCTCGTACGCTTGGGGCTTCATCAATGTGATATACCCAATTGAGTGTAATGATCAGGAAGTCCTCATCTCCGAGAGCGTCCACGGGGCAATGCACGCTCTCCTCGATCTCGACCTATGCGGCTCGGCCGGCTTCCCTCTATGGATTGACGCTTTGTGCATTAATCAAAGCGATCTTGGAGAGAAAACACGTCAGGTTAGACAGCTGAAAGAAGTCTACTCGCGCGCTGAATTTGTCGTCGGTTGGCTCGGTCAAGAGACCCCAGGTGATGAGAGGGCGATTGCGTTGATGAAGAAGCTGTACGGTATAATCGGCGGCCCACGGGAAACGGACGACGCGTTGCTGCTCCGCCGCCGCAAGGAGTTTGCAAAAATAACACTCACGGGCCCAAACATCGTCGATGTGCCGACAATGGCTGATAATCTATGGCGGGATGTTGCGTCTTTCATAGAAAAGCCATGGTTCGGCCGCGTTTGGATCATCCAGGAATATATTTCGGCTTCGAAGTTCATCTTCCTGTGTGGCCACACCGGCATTGCTGACACGCCTATTTTTCAGCCGATGAGATATCTGCATGCTTACCATCCAATTATTTACTCGATCTTCCAAGGTCATGGATGTTCAACACCAACGAAGATTAATGCTCTTTCCAATCTAAGAAATTATGTTGGGGGAGCATCTTCGGCACAAGAAAACTCACCAAAACCCTCAGATTTGATGCACTGCATAGCCATGAGTCGGAGGTTTGCGGGGACCGATGCTCGTGACAAGATATTCGCTCTGGCGTTACTGTGCGGTACGACGCACTTGGACTTGATTGACTACACTCAGGATTTAAGGACGGATCTAGCAAATACAGCTCAACACCTCCTGTCCACTAATGGCATCCACTTACTTGCACTCTGTCGGCTTTATGATCGGGTGGAAGGCTTGCCGTCGTGAGTGCCGAGCTGGTCTAGCAACCAATGGCTTCTTCACGCCGAGCTGCCTAGCAAAGATCCCACGGACTTCCACAGCGGAGACGGCGAGTGGAGATTTGAGGTTGATAAATCCGAGGTATGTGACTGTATGTCAGAATGTCTACGACGAACCCGAGACTGATACTATTCCTCAAGGGTCTGATTGTGTCCTCGCACCTCCTAGATCAGATCAAACACGCTATGGAACCTATTTACATCAGGAGTGTAGACCAGGAACCTTTCCCAAAGATTATGATGCTCACGATCGGATATATGCTGAAGTTCGGCAAGATGTCTCTGCAAGGGGAGTTGTCTCGACTTCTTCGCTCAAAAGAGTTTGTTGACTGCCTTCAATCGTATCCTTCCGCTCTTCCAGTCTCGGAAGCTTTTGTGCGAAGTCTCCTAGTTGAGAAGCCTCAGATCTGCCTCGCTGAACTGAAAGCCAACGTGGAAAATTTTGAGAGTTCGCTGAAGCTCCTGGCTTCATCACCAGACACAGAGCAATGGTCGGCCAAATGGGACAGTCTGGCATCTGTCTTATCGGTAAAAAGGCGTACTATGGGGTTCGCCAGACTATCGACAATCGCCATGGCTGGGATATGGGCCACTACAGGACTTCTAAGATCCGGTTCCGGTCGATCTCTTCCCGCCCAGCTACGTATCGCCCAGCGACTTGCAGCTCTGGGCTTTTTCACCGCTGCCTGTTTCAATATCCTGGATATAGCCCTGGGTTGGAAGGTGGCGCTTCTTCAGAAGCGGCTGGAACAGCTCCAGAGCGTTATGGCACGAAGCGGGATATATATCACCCTGGCCAGCATCTGGGACCGCAGGCTATGTCTCACGGAGAGAGGCTATATAACATGGGCACCCAAAAATGCAGCAGTGGGTGACGAGATACGTCTTCTCATGGGCGCCAAGCTACCATTCATTGTCAGCAGACAAGCAGTCCGCGAAGGATCAAGTCTGCCTTCATACAACCTCGTTGGAGATTGCAAACTTTACGGCCTAGACGTGGCTGACATTGACATTCACCTGTCAGCCAAGCCGGCGCAGACTCTCAGAATAGTCTGACTTCCCTACGTAAGCCTTCAGCTCTTCCTTACTTTGTGCTGGCGAAATCGAATTGTCTTGGGGATGAAGAGAATATATTGTATTTTTTGAGGGAAGACTAGTACAGGAATTACCTTGTAAGTGCCGGTACTAAGACGCGAGAGAAAGGTGATCACTCACAAGGCTGAGTATAGGGCGGCATCACCGTCGTCCTAAAGAGGGCTAGTGGCTGAGCCGGCGTCGATTTATCTCGTCTTCGCATTTCGACGCATTCTTCCCCCATACACGAGACACTATTTGCAGGACAGTCCCGCTTAGAAGTCGTGCAAAGAAGCTCTGTAACATGTGATGCTTTATTGTTGTTGCCGTCGAGGCCTGAATACCTTTTTTCGGCCCACGCAGGGGCACATCGCCGGCCTCGATTTCCATCGAAAGAGACTCCTCACCTCAGCCTCGACCTCGAAGCCATGGAAACATGATAGCATCGAGTTGCCTGTCGGAGTGAGTGGGCGCGTGAGGCTCGAGTACGGGAAGCCCCTCGACGAAACAGTCATCTGCTAACGATCATAGTATCTTTTCTCCGTACCGTCGCATCGCAAAGCAGCATGGACCACGAAATCTACTCGTTCACCTCCCTCCTGGTCCTTCCATAGATACAACCGACACCGCGTCGATCGACGTCCTCTCTCAGCTGCAAAACAGCTTCCCACCATCGACATCGCTTGTCTCGATACAATACAGGCTGGGGGATGGCATAGACACAGCGGTCTCGCCGGCGTGCTTTCCGGTGCCCGTCCACGACGTCTCAACCGCATTCGAATATCTCACGTCTCCAACTTCTCCAATCAATGTGGACTACGAGGAGCCACCGAAGATATGTCTCTTGGGAAGCAATATAGGAGGCGCGCTTGCGACCATGCTGGCCCTGACGGAACCGAATGAAATCCATGCTCTTGCCGTGATTGAACCAATGGTCGATTGGTCGGGATTGGACGATGTGGTCGAACAACTGCGCGCTAGTGAGACCTCCACCATCCCACAGAAGAGGCAGAAACAGAGAGTCACAACCCGCTACGGTGTGGAGAACCAGGCAGTCATGGCTGCGGCGGAAGAGCTGATCAAAATGCGCTCGAAGCTGTTCCAGACGCCGTCCGCATACTTCGACCCATTTGCAAGTCCTATGCTGTTTCTTCGCGCCCCGGGTAAAGACACACCCCTGGCAACCCCAGTACCAGACCAGTGTCAGCTCGACAGCTATGGGGGCTATGACTCTCTTGGCCCCGCCACCCATGACTCGCAGCGGTCCAGCTCTTCAACACTGACGAGCTCGTCAGGCTCACCGTACGACACGAGTGAGCCTTCAGGTGTTGAAACTGGTACCGAACCGAGCTCAGCATCCACGATCCAACCGCGCCGCCGAAAAGTTCTCAGGCGCTGGCCTGCTGTCGGGCTCCCTGAATCCGTCACACTGCCTTATGTGAACATCTTCGTGCATCCCCAAACTCCACGAAATGCTCAACAGCCCGGCTCCGAGGCAGAAGATCTTGGTAAAGGCCATGCAGCTCTGATGCGGGCCCAGGGACTCGAGATGGCTGAACTAATGCGGCGTGCTTGTTTTATGGGGCGGGAGAAGAGTTTCGCTGAGGAGCGTGTCCAGGTCTATGGACAGGGACAGGATCAGCAGACGACGGGCGAGGTTGAGCAAGACTCTGAGCGCCGCGTTGGGAAAGATAGAGTACATCTACATGAAGGAACGGCATTGACGAAGGCAAAATTACAACAAGGTGCAGTTGACTGGGTCGCGGGAATGTTTGCGAGAAATTAAGGGCGAGATAATTGACGCCTTCGTTTCTTCTTGTCGTCGAGCCAAGGCCACCGAACAGTTCAGTATGTGCTGTTGATAGAATCTCATGGTCGTTCCGTGAGAGGTCCTGTGATCTACATTCTTCACAAGGATGAAATTACCTGTTCTACCTTCCCCTTCACCAGGACATGACAGAGGATGCACCCGCACAGCTGTTGAGTGGAGCTCTATACTTCTCGTACGAAGATAGGAAATTTGTCATCAATGAAGAATCACCAATTATGACTACTACACAAGGTTGATATCGGCCTTTAAAGTTTATACCGTATACCAGAGGGCCCTGAGCACCCTTGCCACGCCACTTGTATAACGTACTTGATAGTTTTGCCATACCCCAGTCCAGTGTTCACAGTTCTCAAATCCCCTATGGTCTTGCATTTTACCACCACCGTTTCATCAGTATCTCCTAGCGTACTACCTCTCCTTCTGTCCGAGCACGATGGTGACTGTTGCTATTGCTGGCGGGACCGGAAGTAGGGTTTGATGGAATCCCCGAAGAAGAAAGGGCTGATCGTGGCCAGATGTTGCTCGCGAGGTGATCGACGCCATCCAAGCAAAGAAGATGCACCAAGTCATTGTGCTGAGCAGACGAGTTTGTCTAGCCCTTCCCCGAGGGCCCTTTTTCAAACATGATTTCGAAACAAATCCTAAATCAATTAAAGGCAAATGTAGACGACTTGCCCAGCGGTGTTCAGTGTGTTCAAGTAGACTACGAGGATCCAAAGTCCCTTGTCCGAGCATTCCAGAATGTAGACACGATCCTCTCTTTCCTGGCTATACCGGATCCATCCAGAATGGTGCGCTACCAAAAGAATATGATCGACGCAGCACTTGAGACAGGCGCCCGAAGATTTGCGCCGTCCGAATGGGGGAGGTATGGCTCCCACACCCTCAGATTGCCTTGCAGGAGAGCTGAATGGAGCCGCGCAGCCGCGGGGTTGGTGGAATGGCGCTCTATGCATTCAAAGGCGAGGTTGAGACATACCTGGAAAAGGTCAATCAACAAACAAAGGTGAGTCAAAGACCGTTTGAACGACCTAGCCACAGAGCCTAAAGTCGATTGCTAGAAGTTGGAGTATTGCCTCTTCCAGCCTGGGTACTTTACAAATTATTTCGGCTATCCTCATTCAACGACAAAGCACTTTGCAATGAGTCCGGCCTATGTTGACTTTGAAAATCGACGCGCCATCATGGTCGGTGATGGGAACCATGAACTCACGCTTACGACAGTGCAAGACATGGCCAACGTGGTAGCTGAAGCGTTGGCGTATGAAGGAGAATGGCCAGTCAATGGCGGCATTCGCGGCTCCCAAACAACCATCGCACAATTGGTACGCCTGGGAGAAGAACTTAGAGGTTTGTTCCCCTTCCCCGAGGAGGACATCTTGTGCCGAATACAGATATGACCAGAGATGGCATGTTCACTGGCAACCGGGCTGATAAACTATTAGGCCCCTTCAACGTAGACAAGGTCTCTTTGGAAGATCTCATGAACGGAGAACTCAAGAAAACTTGGTGGCCTCCGACCTATCACAGTGCAACACGCGAGCACTTTGAAGAAATGTCGAAGCTGATAGTCAGGGTGTTTTTGGTGGGGGTTACCAGAGGAGGGTGGTGTGTCTCTGACGAATGGAACAAACGACTGGTAAAGTTTCGTTTTACCAGCGCAGAAGAATATTTAAGGAAGATCTGGGGGAACGAGTCCTAGTGTGACATCTCGTGGGAGAGGACTTCTAGGTACTCCGTATATGGCTCGATAGGTTGTTAGGGATCCCTCCCCAAGCACAGCAAACAGGCTAAGCAAAGGGCGCAGAAGACCTGGCAAGTCCCTGCTTTTACTCCCACTCTGCTGCCTATGTAGCCTTAGATATGGCGGTGCGAGAGGAAGCGGGCGATTGGTCTAGGGCTACACGGGGTGGTCGTCCAGGGCGAACTAGAAACATGTCCTTAGGTAAGCACTGCGAATAGCTCCACCACTCCTTTTGGCTATAACCCCCAAGACCCACTTTACAATTTACGCAGGATGGAATCAGGCTCGGCACCAAAATTTCTCCCACATCTTGGAAACGACAGCGTCGGCCATGCATAAGATCGTGGGGTCCCACGCAGATAACGGCTGATCTGTCAGATCCGCTCGAACAAGGATATAGCCGGGTTCCGTCCTCAGATCCCTCGGAGTGTTCGAGGGAGAAGCAAAATTGGCCGAAAAAAGATGCATGCCTCGGTTGGTGCTCACCTGCAATCAATTCACAACGGCATTATATAGGCCCAAGCCCATGACACGGGGGTGTGTGGGAGAATGTCAGGCGACTATTGGCATCCTCTGGACAAATAAATCCCACCAAACCGACGTTTTCAAACGGAATACTCCCCGGACCTCAGGCTACGTCTCATTCGTTGCACCGCCATGTCGACCAAGGGACACGACGACATTGCCGCCGTCCACGGCGAGAACATCCTTCAACGCACTGAGACCGCAGACAGCGTCATGATGCCCGTGCCACGCGACGTCTTTGAGAAACTCTACCTGAATCCGAAGCCCCCTGGATCCGGTCGGCTGTACCGCACCTTTGCGAACCCAACGCCCGTGGCGCTCATGGGGTTCCTGCTCTCCGCGTTCCCAACCGGGTGCATCTTGCTGGGATGGAGAGGCTCCGGGGGAAACGGCGCAGCCATTTTGTGAGGATTTTACAGGTCCACCCCTTGCCACGCAGAGAAGCCTCAGCTGACTCGCGATCGCTCGCTTTTTTCCAAAAGGCCGGTCTACATCTTTTACGGCGGCATTGTCCAAATGGTGGCGGCGGTGGGCGAATGGATCATTGGCAACACATTTTCCTGCACCATCTTCTTCACCTATAGTATGTCCGCCCCGGTCGCTTTTCGCCTGGAGGTGTCCCCATTTATTCGGCTTTGCTGATATGAGAGAGAGCGATCCAGGTACCTTCTGGCTCGTCCACGGTTGTTCCATGATTCCATGGTTCGGTGTTGGAGTCAATTACTCTCCGACAGGGGACAATCTCGATGGTCAAGCGACGCCCGAGTTTTTCGCCACTACAGGTCAGTAATCGGCTCGTGCATATAGTGGCCACATAGATCGGCCTTGGAAGGGAGACTGATCGGGGTGCGGTGATAGGGTTTTTCTTTGTCTTTCTGGGATTGGTGTCCTTGGTCTACCTGGTCGGCGCGCTGCGGACGAATCTTTGCCTTGTCTTTGGACTCGTCACCTTGATTCTCGACGTCGGTTTCTTCACCGGGATATACTTCAACTTCGCTCTCGGAGATCTCAGTGCGGCGGCGCGTTGCCAGAAGGTATGCCTCTTCATCGTCGCTCCAAAAGCGCTCCTTCTGTGTCGAGTAGTCCAACTGATTTCCCCTTGTAGGCTGCTGGCGTCCTCACCTTTATAATCTGCTTCCCTCTGGGATGGTTGTTCATGGCCGAGATTCTCGAAGCCGTCGATTTCCCTCTTGTGGTTCCCGTGGGCGATCTGAGTCGGAGGTTCCGTGGCCGCAATCAGAGGCACCGCAATCATGCTGGTGAACCGTAGCCGTAAGGTTTCTGGCCAGTGACCGAGTTCGATAAAGACAAGCTGAAAACTGTGGGAATTGGCCTGGGGAGGAGCGTGTCCAGACCAAAGGACAAAGATTAGAAGTCCTCAAAAATTGTACATGTGCTTGCAGAAAATATACAGTGAAGACTTCCGTCACCACGCGTACTATGGATGTAAACAAATTGTACATGTACTTGGAGAAAATATCCAGTGAAAACTTCCATCACCACGTGTACTATGGATGTAAAACCTTGTCGCAAATCCTCGAAGTCGCTCGTGTGGACGCCTCGACCATTGACTTGTCACCGCGCTGCAGAAGATCGCAGAAGACCAACGTAACCACAATCGTGAATCCCCGTCCTGAAGTTGAAAGATGGCCAAATCAAGAACTCGCGGGAGAAAACAAAGCCCCGTCGGCATCAAGATTGGGCACACATTGTGATCTAGTCTCTCAGAGCTTTGCGCGCTGGGATTTGTTCTCTGCTTCCACCATGGCTTTGAGCTCGCGCTTCAACACCTTGCCGGTCGCGTTCCGAGGCAAAACATCCAAGAAACGCACACCCCCAGTCAGCTCCTTATATTTGGCCAGCCTCTCCTTGCAGTAGTCGATCACCTCGTTCTCCGTCAGCGTCGCCCCCGCAGGGCTTCTCACGACGTATGCTCGAGGATGTTCGACATCAGCGTCGACGATGCTAGGAACCCCAATCACCGCGGCATCCGAGATGCTCGAATGGCTGAGAAGAACCCCTTCAATCTCCGCAGGGGCGACCTGAAAAGCGCGGACTTTGATGAGCTCCTTTTTGCGGTCGACCACGTACCACTTCCCGCCCGCGGATGAGCAGTACATGACATCTCCAGTCTTGTAGTAACCCTGGCTGTCAAAGGACGCGGCGGTGGCGGTGGGGTTATCGAGATAGCGAGAGATCACCGTCGGGCCTCGTATACACATTTCTCCGACCTTGTCCAAGCCGAGAATTTCCTTGCCATCTTCGTCGATGAGCCTAAAGGGCCGGGTTAGCTGACATCGGGTCAAGTTGGCTTCTCCAGGGGTCTGTCTCGTACTTTGCATCGAGATTGGGCAACATCCGTCCCACGCTCCCCGTGTCGTCGGACTCTGGATATCGGAACGTCGTCGCAATGCAGGTGGCTTCGGTCATCCCCCACACCTGCGTCACCCGGGCTTCGTCGCCCAAGATTCTTTGCAATGCCATTTGATTGTCTCTCCCCAATGGTGCCGCGCCTACGATGACGACTCTGAGAGACTGCAAAGAATACTTCTGAACATGGGGATGTTTGATGATCGTCACCGCCACGGGAGGCACGAGAGTCAGGTCGGTGATCTGGAATTTTCCAATTGTCCCCAGAAACACTTCGACCTCGAAGCGACGGAGGACGTAGCTGGTGATGCATCTCCGCAGAGGGGAGACGTGAGACATTGGCGCCGTGGCCGCGTGGAACATGGGCAGGTAAAGCAAGCGAGAGACCTAATTCACAGACGTGAGCGTGAACGAGCATGTATGGTAACCTCTATCTGTCTGTCTCAGCACGTGCACCCTTACCTCGTACGGGACCTTGTGAGATTCGGTGACCAAGATGTGCTGAGCAATCAAATTTCGGTGTGAGATGACCGCGGCTTTAGGAAGGCCTGTCGTACCGCTGCTGAAAAAGTAGGCTGCTGGAGTAGCCGCACACTGTTCTTCATCGTCAAAGGAAACCCAGTCGCGCTGCCCATGCTCAAGCAAAGTTCTCCAGGACAAGAACCCCCGACGAAGTGGTTGTTCTGGTTGGTCGAAGATCAGCACGGGTGGCATCCCTCTGTCGAGATGCTTTGAGGCTTCGACGACGTCGAACACTTTGTCTGGCTCCGTAATAACGAAACCAACTCGAGCAGTCTTGAAATGGTGACTGAGTTCGGTCGCCGTGTAGGCGGGATTCGTCCCCGTGAAGACGGCCCCGGCCGCCAGGATGCCCAAAACAAGGATCGGGTAATATATCTGCTTTGCTTGAGTACGGTGCGCAGGCTGATTCAAGGTTATCCCGTGGACTTACATCGTTAAATGCATGGATACAGACGCAATCGCCGGGTCTGACGCCTGTGGCATGGAAGCCGGCCGCCAATTTGCGGATGAGAATCAAGGCCTGGTCTCGGTTGATTGATCGTTCAGGCCGGACCGCATCGACATAGATCTAGAACCAAGTCCCGAGTCAGCCATCGATCAAGGCCCGTCACCAGACAGGTTGGAGTCGAGGAATGCTGGCTCCTACCGGCCGGCCTGGTTGAGTTTCTTCGTGCTCAAAGATCCATGATAGGATGTCCTTGTTGGGGATAACCACGTGGCTATCTGCAAGGAAAGGCATACTGTCTCACCCAGAACCAAGTATGATCAAGAACACAGCAGCCTTGTCGTCACTGAACGAACCTGAGATCTTGACACATGGGGGACACAAATAGGAGTACCTACTTTATGCCACATGATTGAGGGAAGCCGAGGTGGATGCTCAACGTGGCGGCGAATTCGCTCCTTACGATCATAGTCACCGGCCGCTCCATTCTAGGAGCTGGGCAGGCTGGGATGCCTGGAGCCTGGAACGCTGGACATCACTGGCCGCAGAAAGATACAGCCTCGTTCAGCTGCAGGAACTCTAGATAATGGACCGAGACTCCCCGAGATCTTGTTTGTCACATCTCATTTCGGCTGTGACCATCGCCTCGTCCCTTGGATGTGAAGTCGAGAACTAGTATCAGCTATGTAAATCAACATCAATATGCCCGACAGTCAACTAGCACGCTTACTCAAGCTGGTCGACGAGGCAGGCCCCGGTGCCGAGGTTGGTCGGCTAATTTGGAGGAAAATTGCGGCTCTTTATTGTCGTCGGTCCTTGGTACTCAGGTACTCAAGCCCTGCTTCTGTGCATAGCGCGGAGGGTGGAGAGATGATGGAGCAAAGTGCGTGCACCGTCCTCCACCCTCTACATCCACTCCCTCGCCACGGTCAGAGTGTGGTCACGTAATAGGCCGTTCAAATGACCTCGTCTTTACAAGGTGCTGGCGTCTTTCCCCAGACTGCCTGTGGGTGCCTGCAGGTGTCTGAGCGCTCCCACTAAATCAATCACCAGGCGTTCCCCCCATTATCCCCAGGTGCCCCAGGCGCCCCCGGCCCCTGTAGCTCCGCCGAACTTCGGGATTCGACTCTGGGCTCAGAGGATCAACGCCAATAGCACTCCGCAACTCGCTTCTCCTTCTCCGTATGGCGGAGAATGACACGAAGACAACTGCACGGTTTGTACCGCGGCACCTTGGCGAAACTTTATAGTCACTACCAGTAATAAAACAGAGACGCTTGGACAAGCGTGTCCTTGCACGCTTTGTTGAAGTTCGGGACCGACTCATCAAACAAACCGAATACGGAGGTTTTCTCGAACACGAATGCCCTCTTGACAAGTAATGCGCTCAGCGGTTCATGCCAGCAATGACTGACACAACGCAACCACCGTCCACCGACAAAAGAGCCGGCGTTGCATGTCTCGCTTGCAGGGGCCGAAAGGTTCGCTGTGATGTTCAACTGCGAGGCATTCCCTGCGCGAACTGCGAACACGATTCGGTCCAGTGTTATATTCGGAGCAACAAGCGTGGACGGTACGTGAATCAGCCCGAGCACCACTTTGTCACTGTGCAATGGCCGACTAACCATGAGTCGCATCAGCAGACCAGCTAGGGCTCGAAATGTCGGCGGGGAGAAAGGATCAAAGCAACAAGCAAAAGACGATTCCCCGGCGAACGCTGAGCGGATCGTGGCTGACGGCCTCCCATCGCAACGCATTGGGCATGCGATTCATACTACTCAATGGTTACCCGAAGTGGTGGCGGAAGTCTCAACGGACGTCCCGGTGCAGGGCGCGCCCTTTTCTACTCCAAGTACGCCGCTGTTCATTTCAAAGTCGCCGAACATGATTGCCGGAGAATCTGACCCGTGAACAATATTACAGTCGCGGTCACCAACGCCTTGCAAGACGAGAATCTCCATCAGGAACTTTCTTATGCCGACCTGATCGGAACCAGCATACGCCAAACGTTGCCGAGCTGCCCACAGACTCTTAGTCCCAGGTTGGCTTCACCTGCACGCGACCGAACCCCTTCTGTTGGGCGCGGCTGGACAGGAACAGATAACGATGCTCTGCCATCATTCATCAAGCCTATTTCCGAGGCGCTCGATCCGGACAATCTGGACTTCCTTCGCAAAAAAGGTGCACTTCAGATTCCAGCCCGGGAGTTGCGAGACGAGATCATCAATTGCTATCTGCAGTATGTGCATCCCCAGCTGCCTGTGCTGGATGAATCGACACTTCGGGAAATTGCACGAGACCCCTCAAGCATGAAAATTGCTCCGGTGAGTATACTTCTCTTTCAAGCCGCCATGTTCTCCGCAGTCCACTTCATTGCCGTCGACTCAATTCGCAGGGCCGGGTTTGATCGGGCGCTGGACATCCGGAGGGCGTTCTACGCAAAGGCGCGCGTGGGTGCTAGATCCCCCTTGAGTCGATACGCTGATGCTCACTGCGCGCACAGCTCCTCTACGACTTTGACGTTGAATCCGACCGTCTGGTGATCGTACAATCGCTGATTTTGTTGGCCTACATGTCCGAGACACCAGGGGACGCGAAAGGGGGGTGGCACTGGATTGGTGTGGCTCACGGTCTGGCGATGACACTGGGACTGCACCGAAAGGTGGACTATGCCACACTGGACCCTCGGGAAAGTCGACTGAGGAGGAGGATCTGGTGGTCGTGCTACATGCGAGATCGCACCCTCGCATTGGCAATGAATCGACCGTGGAGGATACGCGACGAAGATTTCGACACTCCGATGCTCACCTTGGCCGACTTCGACCTCGGTGTGGATCAGGGGCAGCATCAGTCGCCGCCAGATACAGACCGGCAAGAGGCGACGAGTCTGACGCAAGTCACAGTCAGTCTCGCTCAACTGTGCACCCAGATCAGTGACATTCTCGACATACACTTCTCGACGCTTCCGGAAGAGGCTTCTGCGCCGCCGTCACACCCGCCAGACGGAACCGGACTCACGGCGACCCTGTACTTCGCCAAAAGCCAAATCAAGCAGATTGACGGGGTCGTGGCGTGCGATCGAAAACTGCAGTCCTGGTTCAAGAATCGGCCGTTGGACTGCATTTACAGTCCGGACGGGTCGAGTGCCTTGGTCCTCAACCGAGCCTTTGTCAATCTGGTCTACTTCTCTCTGGTGTCTGCGCTGCACCGCCCCCTTCTTCGCGCCAACGTCCTCGGCGACTTTGTCGAGTATCAGATGTTGTCGGAGCGACGGGTCCGGGACGCGGCGCTGGAAACGTGTCGAATGTCGGCCCACCTACACGAGCTCGGGCTGGGCCAATTCTACCCCGGTGCGGGCGCAATGTTGCAGGTGCCGGCGGTCATCTTTTTCCTGAGAGAACTGCGGTCGCCCAACGCCCGGCCCTGCGACGAGATCTTTTCGTCGATCCAGGCGTGCATTGACGTCGTGGAAGATGTCAAGGAACGACACCTTGGCGCCCAGATTGGGCTGATCATCGCCCTCGGTCTCCTGCGAAGGTCGAACGTCGCCGTCCAGACGGACCCGCGGACAGGCAGGGTGGTGAAGCTGACCCACCGGGGTGGCGTGGCCGCGTCTAACCATTCGTTGAACGGCATTGAAGGCCAACAACCCCAAGCGGCGAACGAGCCTGGCAACCTGCAAAAGTCCCAGGCCGACATGGGGCGAGTCACCGGGGCCAGCATGGACGCCTCGGCTTCCGCCGAAGACTCGACAGCGTCCTTTTGGGGCACCGTTCCGGAGACCGGCGTCGATTTCGATCTGGAGACACGGTTCTTCGCCGACCAGGGATTTTCCGAGAGCCTCGTCTCGGACCTTGTCCCGTTTGCTCCGGACTTTACGGATGATCTCTACACGCAGGCTCCCTATCCAGACATGCACAAGTCGCATGAAGACTAAATGACAAGGGGTGCTTAACTGTTTCACCGCGTCAACGGCGCGGGGCAAATCGGTATGTAGGGCAAGCGTGCTTCGACAATGCGTACCACGAGAATCGAGAAAAGACGTGTGCTCAGGACAACCGTCCGCTGGGTTTGACTCGTGGCGGGCCACACTCCCTTTGGTCGAGGTGGTTTCGCTCTCGAGGAGTATGGTTCTATATTAAGAGGATTGGCCAATTGTCCTTTTTGCCCAATTGTCCTTTTTGCCCAATTGTCCTTTTTTGGCCCAAAACTGACTATTTACACTCCCAGTTGACCGCCTGGGTCACACCCCCGCGGCCGGTGTATTTTGCTCGCGAGGGATACATGCATATCGGTCTCTCGTACACGGTGCCGTTGGCGTTGGGCAAGGAGACGCCGGCCAGGCGGTCCGGGGCTTGACCCTGTTCGACCCACGCCACCAAGCTCTTGAGAGCCTGACCCGGGTACGGTCCCGGGCCGCCGAGACAGTGCGCGACCCCGGGCGCCTGGAAGTAGCGGTAATAGTCTCGGACGGTGGGGTCGAGGCGCTCCACCCGCTCGTAGTAGTTCTGCGAGTGGGCCGTCGGGATGTAGTTGTCCGCCATGCCGTGCCAGGTCAGCATCTTGCCGCCCGCGTCGCGAAAGGTCGACAGATCGGCGCGTTTCCCGGGCAGGAGACCGGAGTAGAGTCGGTTCTGCGGCGACGCGAGGTCGGCGTACATCTGGTCGACGCTGTAGTGGGCGCGGCGCCAGTCGTAGCTCGGGTTGAGCCGGATCATGTCCGCCACCCACTGCTCGGACGGGGCGAACGGGAGCGGCGCGGAGACGCCCGCGGCGTCCGTGGTCGTGTTCATCAGGCCGTCGAAGGCGGCCTGTTGGTTGAATCCCTCCCACAACACCGTCCCGTTCCGGCGGTCGACCGACCACACGCCCCGGGCCCCGACGGCGGCGGCGCGCGAGACGTTGACCGTCCCGCCGCCGCCGCAGGGAACGGGCGTGCCGACCAGCGAAAAGGGGTCGAAGTCGCACAGCTCGGGCGCGGACACGATGCCGTCGACCACGCCGTCCTTCGGGTCGCAGGCTCGCACCACCGCCGCCGTGATGGCGGCCAATTCACACTGGTTGGGGACGCCGCCACCCCCGGCGTCCTGCAGGTAGACCGAGGGGTAAAACAGGGCAATGACGAGGTCGCTCCAGCCCAGGGCCGGCGCGGCGGCGAGGATGCCGTCGAAATCCTCGGGGTAGTCCTGCGCGAACATCAGGCCCTGGCCGCCGCCGGTCGAGCAGCCGTTGAAGTAGGCGTAGGCGGCGTCGCGGCCGTAAAAGTCCCGGGTCAGGGCTTTCCCCACGACGACCGCCTCGTGCAGGGCGGTGCCTCCAAAGTCGGCGACGTTGTACAGGTTGGCGTCGCCGGGCCCGTAGAGCCCCCACCGAGCGAGGTCCTCTGACATGCCGTGCCCGCCGTCGGTCGACACGCTGGCGTAGCCGTCGGCCAGGGCCGCCGTCATCGCCGGGACCGATAGCCCGCTGACGAGGCCGCCCCCGCCCGTGTACTGGAGTCGGCCGTTCCACCCTTCCAACGGAAACCAGATCTGGGAGTTGATCGAGTCGCCCCAGCCCGGGTGGGTGGAAATGACGCTGACGTTGCAAAAGTCCAGCCCGGTCACGTTCCAGGCGTCATGCGAGCCGTAGACGCCCTGCGGGACATCCTGCGACCAGTTGCCGATGACGGCGGCCGTGATGGACACTATTTTCAAGCCGGCGATCACGGGATGTTGGAAAGTGCTGGCCACGCAGCTCGTGGCGGCGGCGCTGGCAGAGATCAAAAGCATGGCTGCTCCGAAGGAGGGTGATGATGATGGACGGAAAGGGAGCTCTGGTCATGGTCGAGGTCGAGGTCGAGGTCGACCGTCGTAGATGTAGCTGAAGACATCCCATACTGAGTTCGTTGTTCGGCCCGGAAGAGGCAGCAAACCTCGGTCTCTGGAGACAGGAAATGCATTTAGATGCCTCTACGCCTTGATGGCTGGGCTCGATGCTAAAATTTTGCCAGGGACCGGCATTCTTTTGGCCATCTCACGCAGTCTCCCATACAGACACTGGTCTCCACTGGTTAACTCCGGCCTCAAACCCCGGAATTTGCCCCAGGGGGTGGGGAAGAGGCCCAGGACGAAAGATCCAGGGATCGAGGGGCCCAGGGGGCCGAGATCTTCGGGCAATTTTGACTTGAGGCAGCTCTCATAAAAACTGGTGTTATCAATTCAGAGATTCAACATGTGCGAAAGCAGCGAGGAGCCGTGTCCTCGATATATCCCTAGGACCGGCTCTGAAACCTAAGGTTCAACGGAAGTCCTACCGCTCCGATCCCCCTTTATAGACAAGTGTCTTTATGGTCTCGTCCTTTGAGCAAAGTGGCCTCCAAGCCTCCCCTTTGGATCGTACCTCTTCTTGGTCTCCTTCAACCTGGGGTAATTCTCGCCCAATATCGTTGCACTGGCCAATTCCACCAGCCATCCTTTTCCTCGACGCCTTAAACCCCACGAACAGACAGGGAACACGAAAAGTGTCGCTAAATGTTGAAACAGGTCCCTTCCTTAGTCATGCCGAGACAAGCCTGATATGATATGATGGCTCCGACAGGCCACCAAGGGATAGGTTTCCGCCAAGACTCCGCACCCGTTGCTCACAAAATGCCTATGGGTGTGTGTTTCGCTGGATGACCCAACCACCTCTGCCCTTCTCGCTGGACGAGCATCTCTTTTCACCGCCACACCCGATATGGACAGATTCTCCTTTTGACTGAGTATATCAGGAATTCCTGAGCGGTGACAGAGGCTCCTTATCCACGAGACAAAGACAAATATTGAATACAACGGCAATAATGCGTAGAAATGTCTCTTGTGTTCCGCTCCGCGGCCGACATCGTAGGCACGGACAAGCCAGCACGACATACACAGGCTGTTGACGCCGAGCCAAAACTTCTTGACCCGCTTTTCCTGGGATATAGGGAAACGTGAGTCCTTCACGACTACCAATTCCTGTCACCTAAGCCGAGGGGATCGTGTTCCGGCGGTCTGATCTGACATGACAATGAACCACCGGTAATATTCCAGCAGCTCAGCTGGAGACAGTAGTCTTCGATAGGTGGAGACATCACAGCCATTCCGCACGGATGATCATCGCAAATTTTGTTGGCATGCAAATATCGTTGGCCAGGACCAACTACATTTGTTGTATCAGAACCTCGACGCCACGGAAAAATACAACCTGCGGATTGACACCAAGTTGCGCCAGCCTGAGCTCAATAAGGATGACCGGGCATGAAGGAATCCAGGAAAGGCCAAAAATCGGCCCCATTCCACAATGGATTGTCAAACCCTCCAAAGACAGCATCGGACGAGGGATAGTGAGAACTCTCGAGATCTGCATCGTATTGATCGATGCCGGCAAGTGTTTCTGCTGCGCTATGATTCGGCTCATGACCACTCAAGCTCTGTCACCTCAAGGTGAGTAGAAATCCCGCAGAAAGAGATTTGCAACTTACACTTGCCGCAACGCCATTTGACGGAATTGTCCCGGGAATCGCATTTGCTGTCATTCCTGTCACGTTGTTGGTGCTCTCGGGTTGGGGGGCAGCGTCACTTGGCAAACTGGCGACGAAGGCTCGTGCGATGTGAGCGAATTCGGTGAGGTAGCTGCCAGGGAGAGACCCATTGGAAGCGTGCTCCAAGAGACTGAAGTGACCCGACACGACGTCTAGTAGCACCAGGTTCCTCGGAGTCTCCGGATGGTGCGGATTTTCGACCACAAAGTCGAAAAGAAGAAGCAGAGCCGAGAGTGGAATTATGGCCAGGATGCTGGAAGGAACGACACATCAGTAAAACTGCCTACGGCACTCAAGAACTCGAACACTCACAATATGGGGGTAAAAGCCTCGACATCAATAAAGCTGGTGATTTCAACGACGGATCTCGCTGCATTTATCAAATTTCGCTTGCTCTCTTCCCGCCTTCCTTGCGGAGCGAGGCGTAGATTGAGCCTTTCCAGAGCGATGACCAGATGGTAGTAATAAAAATGTGTTCGGATTGCGGGATTTTTGGTTCTCGGGTCCCTAAATATTGTCTTTTGCACCGGTTCGCGAGGTCGAAAGTTGGCACTGATAGACTGTCTCCAGTCTTCGAGTAACCCCTCAATGCATCCGACAGACGCGAGGAGAACATTCGACGGCTTCCTGGATGCGCTCATGCAAAACACAGTCTCGTAAGTGATGGACAGGATTCGAGAAAACTGAATGGATGCTCGGAACCAGTCGTATTCACCGAAAATTGCCTCTGGGATGTCCGGAATTGGACAGCTGACGTCGTAATCCGCGATCAACTGAAATTTGTTTAAGTCAACAGCCAGGGCTCTTATGCAGAGATAAACTTACAGGACTATTCCGCGCCTGAAAGTGGTAATGTTTGTCAAGATGGTAGAGTACCCAGAACGCCCTCCGAGAGGCTTCGTCAGAATTTGTGGGACTCGAAGCCTTGTGTAATCGGAGTGTCAGGGCCATACAAAGTGCTTCGGTAAGTAAGGGTTGGTTGACTTGAAGACAGCATGGACTAGTGGAGAAGATAGACTAACGAGCAACCACGTCAGCGTGGCCAACTGAGCATTGCGCGAAAGGTGAGTTCTCGTCTTGTTCAGCACTTACGAGTGCAATTAAAGCCTTAATGCCATCTTAGCATGCGTTGCCGGCATCGGAAACAGCTTTAATGCTTCCACTCTTGAGTAGTGTCGACTTACCTGAAGACGGTCCAGCGAATCTCTCTTCGGCACCAGGTTAGACAATTGGCATTGCGCTTCAACAAAAAAATGCCATGGCTTGCCAGTTCCGGCTCGAAAGTTCTCGCCGTTTTCCAAGAGACAACCCAACGCAAGCACGGCATAGTATAAGGCGACAAATGGGCCTTTTGGCGTGCTGGCACTGCCGAAGTCGGCCAGATCATCGAGATCTCGATATTTACTTTCAAATTCTGTTCGATTCAAAAAAGGGAACAACGGGTGGATCTGGTCGAAATATCCTGAACCATAAAATCAGTGGCTGGGAAGTAGAAGAGAAGGGGCGTGGGGATATCTCAGCACGATTGACATATAACTCTCTCTCTTCCCGTGAGACGTGGATATGGTGGCTGTTTTGGCTGCGCACAGGCGAAGGGGACACGGCATCGCTGCCTTCGCTTAGCCGTGCTCTTAGGGAGTTGTCGATGCCATTTATTAGCTCCTTTAAACGAGGGTTCCCAGTCTTTGCGGTCAAACAGTTAAGCCTCTGTTCGGAAAAAAAGGCCAGGCTAGAACTGGTAGCTGCAAAAATCCCCATTCATGAGCTGATAATGCGCCTTGCTCCTGTTCTGGGAGGACCTACAACGTTTGTCATGCACCTGAGCATGGCGTCAGCGAAACATGCCACGGAGTATGCACCTGGCACCACCTTCAAAATCGAGAACTCATCATCAGGATCTGCTTCTTTCGCTCCCCCTTCCAAGAGTCCATCTATCAACAATTTTGAAGGCTTCTCTTGAGACTCGGTGCTCGCAAGAGAAGTGGCCGATTCTAAGATGTCGTGTTAGCCACGTCAAAATACAAGAAGCAGCCCAAGATGGGAGTCGAGAAGTTACCGAAGGCGTCCGGTATCTTCGCTTCGCGAGGCTGAATTCGCACACTTCATTCCTTTTCTGGATAAAGCGTCAACATGCCGAATAGTTTAGAAGGATAGATTGAACAACCGTGCATTGATTACAAGTCATCGTTTGTCCTGGCAACGTTTGCGGGGCTTGTCGTAAGGCAAATTTTGTCAGCGCCCTTCTAGCCTCCAAAGAGCGAATCTCAGTACCCGGGATGTAAACTAAACATACCGATACACCTAACCTTGCGGCTACGACACTGGTTGCACGACTTGTTGACCCTATGAGCAGGCATCGAAACGTCCGGTTAATGTTGAGCTGCAACACAAGAATTGTTGTCTTCGTGTCTCGGCTCGGGCTTTGTTCCACGGGTAGTTGTGAAAGGAAGTTCGCTCCTCGGACATTGAGGCTCGAGTATCGAGGATTAAAAATCTCTCAGAGCTCGGTGCTCGGATCTTGGCGACAACTTAACTTTGGGATCTAGCAGGCTCGCAGGGTAGTTTCCGCGGTTTTGGCAATTTAGCTCCACCTCCACGAGGTATACCCACTCCATCGCTCCCACTCCACAAATCCGTGGGTGCCAATGGCGTCCTAGTCGCATGACAATCATTTCGGATGATGATCATTGCATACCTCTCTCTCGTTGTGCTCTGGGGGCGGCCTTTTTCTCACGGTACTAGTTCTCGCGCCACTAATCGTGTCCTCTGCATTGCATCTGGGCAAAGATCAACAGCCGGAATCTTGTCTCCCCCGAGGATACATGGGCTCCTTGGGTATGGCGGTGCCAGTTCATGTCACATTCGAGCTTCTATGATGAGCGTGAGTTGCGACGGAGATCGTTTGGGTGCCATCGCTGACTCTAGAGTGGTAGAAAAAAGGGGGAAGTATTAGATGTCTCTGTCTCATCTTCACTCCGAGATCCCAAAAGCCGTAAACACCGTATTCAAAATCAAATTGACTCGCAATGTTGGCCGCAGAACTCGCCCCACAAAGACGGGCGATAATTTAGACTTCCAAATTTCTGCAGCCTGTGTCGGATAGCTCCAAAATCTACAAGGCTGAATCAAGGTACGAGCTGATGCCTTTCGGATGACAGAGAACTCCTAGGCGCCCCCCCCCCCCACAAACAAGGCTTGTCGTCGAAAATGTAGACATCAAGTGGCAAATGTACGAACCGAGCTCCGGGGCTGTACCCAGCCTTAACCCATCAGACCAGTGAGCGATGAACGTATATGTACAACCCTCTCTCTCTCGCGCAGAGGAGTTTCGTCCTCGATATTGTGCATATCTTGGATTACCAACACATATTCGATAGCTAGATGCAGTCCATGATGTCGGTGGTGATGTTTGCATACCGCAAGATCAAAGAGTACAGTTCACACCAGGATCTCAACAGTTCCGGCAGCGCTTTGTGGGAAGGACGAGGCCTTTCCATCAACCTAGAGAGATGGCTCTGCCCTTTGGCCCTCCTCCCTGCATACATTGTCTCCAGTTTGGAGTTGACCATCGTTGCGTCAGCGCTGCCCGAGATTTCAACATACTTTGGTGAGTATTGCCAAATCGCCGAGTCACTAAAAGCACGCTGAACGGATTCCAAAGATAGGTTCGATCAACTCAACTGGCTCGTCACCGCTTTTACTCTGACATCTACCTCATTCATTCCGGCATTTGGGCAGTTAGCTGATACATTTGGTCGCCACCCGGCCCTACAATTCGCTGTTCTACTTTCACTGATCGGTAGCGTGCTATGCGCAGTTGCGCCGTCATGGCCTGTGCTCCTGCTGGGACGGTCGCTGCAAGGAATCGGAGTTGCTGGCATAGAAAACATCACTCTGATTATTCTGGCAGAGCAAGGCTCTCTGGAAGAGCAAGCAAGTAATTTGAGCATGTTTCAACTGTTGAATGGGCTGGGCTATAGTAAGTTGGATCTCATATCTGTTCTTCAAGTTCGTCAAACCTTATCAAAGTGCAATAGGTATCGGGCCCATGATAGGGGGTCGACTCGCCAAAGCAAATTGGCGATTCTGCTTCGTCCTTTGAGCCGGCCTGGCCTTCGTGAGTCTTTTTACGATTTTCGGTCTGAGGCACCGGTTGAAGCTGGGACGACTATCAGCCTTCCACCCTCTAGAGAGTCAAACTCGCTGGCGTGTTCTCATGTCAGGCTTTGCCACGCTAGATCACATCGGCATTTTCTTGTTCACTGCAGGTGTAGGCCTCATCATCCTGGCTATCACATGGGGTGGCTCAACCTTCCCGTGGAGTTCTCCGGCAGTCATCGCTTCTCTCGCTATCGGATCATGTTGTATGCTTCTCTTTGGGCTATTGGAATATCTGCTCGAACCGGGCCGTGTGCTTGCCAAAAGATTCGACCGGACTGTCCCCATGATTCCCGCGTCACTCTTTCGCGAGAAAGACATTGGTATCATCTGCTTCATCTCCTGCAGTGCAGGAGCGGCATTTTACTCTATCTTCTACTATATCAGCATATACTTCACCCTTGTTGAGCAAGACTCGGCCGCCAAAGCCGGATTAAAATTGCTCTATTACGTTCCAGGTCTGGCCATTGGCGTTTTCGCTGCCCGGTACTGCTGTAACAGTTGGCCTCGTCAGACATTCTGGGCATTGTTTATCGGAACAATCATCGAGACAGCAGGGATTGCGGTTGTCACAGCTGCGATCAAGAAGCGCGACGAAGTTCTCGTTACAGTTATGATGGCATTTTCAGGCGCGGGCACCGGGGCGCTATTTATGCCCAGCAACGTGCATCTAGCGGGCATGTTCCCAAGCAGCCTCTCCGCTGCATACAGCTTGGTGCGATTCTCACTTCCATTCGGAGGCACGGTTGCCCTAACCATCATGAGCTCCGTCTTCCAAAACCGCCTCGACCAAAAATTCAATCTGAATTCGGACGGTGTCCAAAGTGCGACTCTCCGAACTATCACGGCCGCCGACAGTGCCCCCGACCCGCGATTGAATAGCACTTACGCTCGTCTGCCAGCCACACAGGAAGCTATCAGAAGACAAACCTCAGATGCCATCATGTGGGCTTTTGTCTCTATTATTCCTGTACTTGCTGTGGCTGTGGTATTATCAGCATTCCTAGGAAATGTATGGGTTCCAAAGAACATGCACGACAACGATGTCGATGTGCAGCGCACGCGAAAACAAAACCCCAACGTAACCGACGGAGGACAAGACCTTACGAACATCAGTCCAACTACCCAGCAAGTCCCGGCCATGGAGATGATACAAGTACAAGAGGCGATCACTGGTGATTCTCCTGCAAATGTTCCCCGCATAATTCATTCAGGGTATCTGTTGTACCTACTTCGGGGCCTTACGAAGCCAGAGGGACTGGTATAGAGATGTACATTTTGATCCAGAGTCTCCGGTGGTGGCCACTTAAGGGTAGCATCATGAGGTATGGTGTGTTTGGTCATTTTAAGTACATGATATTGGTTGTAAGGCATATGTTGTAAGACTCAATAGTTGCAAGCTAGCGCGAAGACTTGGTCGGGAAGGATGAAAAACGTCAGCGGCTCAAAAGGGGTGGAGTTGTATTGTTCCCCTAGAAGGCAGATTCGGCCGTCCAGCATTTGTCCAAGAACTTCGAAGCCAGCTATGACTAGAACAAAATGGTCCCCCACACCTGTCTCAGCAAGTCAGGCGACGCCCACCGCCTTTTGTACTGCTGGTCGAAAGGCAATGAAGATCCAGTCTACATTATTGCGCGACGGTTCATACTATTGTTCGCTGTGGCAATATCCGGGATTCCAGCATCTAACCTTCTGGTTGCCATGAAGATCACTGGTACAATCCCAGTCATATTCGACAACTTGATCAATGCTAGGTTCGACCATAATCTGAACTATCAATCTCCCAGCTAGTATCATGCATAGCTTTCAAAAGACTATGCTAGACGTTTGCCTTCCTCTCTTTGAATATTGCTCTACTTCAGACCACGTAATACTCGATCACATGTCTCGTTGATGGCCTCTAGTAGACACGCCATTTCATGACAACCATCGACATGACATAGTAACCGTATTGATCACGGTCGTTATACCATCTGTCTCCTGTCTTCTTTGTACCTATGTAGCATGTGCCTGACTTGGGAATGAGGATCACGGCTTAGGTCTTCTTCTTCTTCTTCTTCTTCTTCTTCTTCTTCTTCTTCTTCTTCTTCCCTGTCTGCCCTGCCGCCATAGCGGTGTAGACCTTATCGCTGTCATGTGGTAAGTTTATGCTTACCTTCACTGCCTCCTCCAAATTCCCACAATAACTTAAGGGTTGACTCTCTTCCAGGCCTCCCTCATCGCAATTGCTGCGCTGATGGTCCCTGCGATGCCAGCCGTGACAGGGTCAAGGAGGAAGTAGCCTGTTACGCAAGCGCCGATAATCAAATCAGATATATCAGCTACAAGGGCGTTGTGTAGAGTTTGCCGTTGCCGAGTGACTGACGCCGTAGTGGTTGGAATGCCCTGCGATTTCTCGTCTTTGCTGCTTCCAGATTTAAGGGCTTGTGGTGGCTTCGAAGATAGCCGAAACAATTCGTAGAGACCGAGGGAAACGGAGACTATGAGGGAGTAGAACCATAGTTTCCACGCCTCGAGTTGTAAAGATCTAGCCCATCCGTGATCAGTGATTGACATGGCGTTAAGCTGTGTTGCCAGAAACGTTAGTCAGCAGCTCTGCCCAAAGAATAAAATGTTCGTTAGTGGAAGCCATACGATAGTGAACATCTCAAGGAACAAAAACATTCCCAACAAACTAAACTTGAGAGCCCCGAGGAGACTCTTGATGTTATCATGATTGCCGCTCGTCTTAAAGCCTGTTGGGGTGAATTGGACTTGAGTCTTTTCGCCATTTGTTGAATATTTGCTTGATGGTTTTTTGGAGCCTTGCAAAAGTCTATACGCCGTCATCCAGCAATTTATCCATTTGAAGAAGTATAGGTAGCGCCTGCCTATTCTCGATTGTATCAGGTGCTAATCTGCCAGGAATTATACTTCGATGGAAATGACCGTGGGATGCCTTACCTAGAGCAAATTGATTCCCTGCTGTAGTCCACCGAAGGACCTGGTGGCTCCCAGGAGGTCCAAAAGTGGCACCTATTTGAGATAGAGATTGGAGGAGTTTGAGCGTTCGCTCAACTGCAGCTTTTGATGTCCAAGAAAAGTCATTTAGTGCGTCTCACAAATTGACCAACTCCGGATTCAATATGCATATGTACTTGATTCAGATTGTTTCAAATGTTATGGGAATTTTGGAAAGTCATGTTCAGAGACTTACAGCAGTCATTCACAAAATTCACTATTGCTTCAACTGTCTTGTCCATGGCATTTGTGAATCAACTACGAGGTATGTTGTTTTGTTAGCATACCAAGATGGCTGTTTTTTTGGGGCAATTTTAGACCCTGTACCAGTTGTTTAGCAGGAATCTTTTGAAGGATTCTGTTCTCTATCACTGACCGTTGATTGATTAATGGGTGAGTGGCTTCTGGCTAATCCGATATAGATGGCAAGCTTATGGTTCTGTTGATAGAGCTCTTCGCGGCGGTGTTGCCACCTGAACGGAGGAACTACCAATTGATATATGCTGAATACAATAGCGTGAAGAATAATTTTTTGCACAGCTCTTCTATCGAGTTTCTTGTGGAAAAATGAGTAAGTAAGCGCAAAGTTTCCTATCGTCTTGGGTTTTGTAGTTATCTCTCGCAAGCAAAAAAAGTCACAGGATCCACCCACCCGTAAAATCCCGTCTCCGAGTAGTATGACCTTCCCCAGTAGAGGGTCCCCACTTGAGTCTCTCGCGTCTACTACAGATAAACATATATTGGTGCAAAGACAGCGTCCTATTCAGGAACAGGATCAATGCGAAGATCGCAAATAAGAACTTCCGAAGGTGAACACCGCATGAAGATATGCAGCCACCTTGCCGGATGAATCCAATCTTGAGAGAATGACGTTTCTCGATATGACGAGCCGCCAGAAGTAGCAAATTAATGATTTGTTGATTGAAAATTACAAGCCACCGTTCGGTGGGATCTAATGACCAAATAAGGGTAAGGGGAGGCCGGAACGTCGAATGTAGGAGTCATTTTTAGTGGAGTGGACAAAAGCCGAAAACGAATCAAGATTGATGCCGTAGATTAACCAACTGCTGTACTTTAGTATATATAACCCTCTAAATGAGGCAAAACTCCTGAGTACTGGCTTAAATTCTGACGCAAACATAACTTTGAAGTAGGAGGACATCGTCGCAACCATGACGGTACCCAAATATTTGACACAGAACAGAGGTGCTATCAGTGCATTCATAGACAAATACGACGTATGTATTTTTCTGTTCTAACCTTACTTCTACGTTACCGCGTGGAATTCGATACTGACTCAATCTTCAGGTCTTCCTCTGTGACTGCGACGGTGTTCTCTGGTCCGGTGATTATGTTTTTCCCGGCACGGTCCATACACTGGAACTACTCCGGAAACAGAATAAACAGGTCTTGTTCGTGACCAACAACTCGACCAAATCCCGACAAGAATACAAGAGGAAGCTGGAACAAATCGGTTTGCCGACGAGTATAGAGGAGATCTTTGGATCGTCCTACTCTGCAAGCGTATTTATTGCGAGAATACTACCCCAGTCATACCCCGAGCTGAAGAAGAGGAACAAAGTCTTCGTGATAGGAGAGGCTGGAATCGAGACAGAGCTAGACGCCGAAGCCATACCATATCTTGGAGGTACCGATTCCACTTACAGACGAGAAATGACGCCCGAAGACTACCAGTTACTCGCCGCAGGTGATCCTTCGGTACTGGACCCGTATGTTGGAGCGGTGCTCGTGGGCTTGGATTTCCATTTTAATCACCTTAAGGTATGCTATGCGTACCATTATATTAGACGCGGAGCTCTCTTCCTGGCAACGAACCTGGATTCGACTATCCCGTCTGCTGGTGGCCTTTTCCCTGGAGCAGGATCCGTTGTTGCGCCACTGGTTAAGATGCTCGGCGGTCAAGAGCCCCTAGTATTTGGAAAACCGAACCAGGCAATGATGGATGCGATTCAAGAAAAGGTCAAGTTTGACCCGAGGAAAGCTTGTATGGTAGGCGACCAAACAAGTACTGACATCAGGTTTGGGATAGAAGGTAAACTCGGAGGAACTTTGGGAGTGCTGACGGGTGTGGCAACTAAGCACGATTTTTTTGATGATGAATTTCGACCGCATTACTATATTGATAAATTGGGGGATCTTTTGGAAGGAGCATAGGTCTTAAAGAGACGAGATCGCGCATGTCCTCAACATGCAGGGGAAGGTACCTCCAGCAGATAGGAGTGATCTCGCCGAACAATCATACATCGGTAGATAAGCCTCGATCTGTGAAGATCTCGGAATTTCGATTGGAAAATAAACAGTGTGTTGGTGACATTTTGAATCATTGGCGAGTAGAATATCACCCTGCCGTCTGAACAGGAACCGATGTCCCTTTCTTTGGGCATTCGTAAAGTATATATACCACTCACGGTTTCGATGTACAGCGGTATGCGAGAAGTCTGTTTACTCAGGAAACCCGCAAAGGCCACAGCGATTAAAAAAAGGCAGAATCTGAGTTGAAAGGGTGTATCACACAATCTCAAAGGAAAGTCTGTCCTATTTATGAGCCAACCAAACACGGGCCAAGTAGATGAATCAAATTGGCTACGAAGAGAGTCTAACTCTCTGGGAGTAATGACATTGTATATATAAGTATAGTGCCCTATGCCCTGTGGATCAAGCAGCAAGCTATTCAATGAGCGTGTTGAGTCGCACCCGCGATATTCGTGACCTGGCTTCTACCTGGTTGCGTGTAGAAAAAGGGGACAGAAAACTCAAGCGCAGAACTCGGCACCTTGTCTCGGCACTCCTCCCTCTCCCATAGTCCTGGTGTCGAAACCATTAGCCTCGAGATAAGCGCGGAACCTGATATCCTCCTCCTCGATCTCATCTTGGCCGATGTTTGGTAGCAAAAAAAATGCAATGATCGCACTTAGGAAGCACAGAGCGCTAGACACATAGAAGGGGTATTGACCTTGCTTGACCAAGTCTGAGCCCGCATCATCTTGTATCAGTGGGAATAGATATCTGCCGACGAACGCGCCAATCTTGCCAAAGGCGGCGGCGATGCCAGAATATTGACCTCGAATAGCCGTTGCGCAGGTCTTAGAAGCAATGAGACCGATGTTGTCACCGGGGCCGATTTCACCGGTAGCAAGGAAAATACTGTAGGAGAACTATCCATTAGCTCACAGGTGCACCAGCGACAGAAATGGCTGGCATCCCAGGGCGCTCTTTCTTTTGCTTACCCGTAAACAACCACAAAACCAGCAACATGTGCGGGGGTATCAAGGTAGCCGTAGATTCCAGACATGATGAACCCAATAATACCCTGGAGAGTAACGCCAATGACCAAGGAGTTTTTAGGCCCGATCCAGTCACTGAGAAAAGCGCCGACAAACGAGCCAGGGACGTAGAAGGCATTGATGAGGGTCGACCAACCTAAGACAACCCAGAGAGGTGCGTTATTGCCGATGATAATCGCAGTCCAGGACGACGAATAAATACTGAATGAATATGTTAACTGTGCACAATAGAATTTGTCAGCTCTAATCTCCAAACATGTTCAAACAGCGGTAACCATGAGAGTTCACTAGAAGGACTTACAAAATCATATATGAACCAGATTGTCGACACCACAGCCAATCTAAAACCGTAGAACTTCAGAATCAGCCAGTATGGGTATTTAGTCATCCTTTGACTATTGTATTGCTCTGGCTCTTTGAGTTTCAATCGAAGATAGAATAGGCTCATGGGAGGCAACACACCCAGACCTAACGCCACACGCCATACAGCTCGTAGATGCTTCTCGGTGAAGATTAGTACAAGGATCATAGGTACCAGTGTACCGACGACAAAGCCTAGATCGATCTGGAAGTCGGTGAAGAAAATAAACCATCGATTTCGATGACCTTTCTTCAGCTCGGCGGTCCCTTCGGCAGCGCTTACGCTGCCAGCTGGATATTCACCTCCGATACCAATACCCACAAGGAATCGGTATGCAGTCAGAGCAGCAAGCATGCCGTTCAAACTACCACCGTCGCCATATGCGCCTGCGGAAAGAGCAGAGAATATGATGAGAATCACAGTGGTAGTGAGTAAGGATTTTTTTCGCGACCAGTAGTCAGATAAGATGCCAAAAGTGAGTTGGCCGACCACGGTCCCCGCGAAAGCAATGGCATTGACGTTCTTGCGCTGGGGGGAGTTGGTAAATCTATCACCATAAATTCGTCCCAGGATAGTGTTGACAGAGCCGATAACCTTGGGAACAAAGGAAAAAAGGATTGTGTTAGCAAAGAGGCTGGCGGATTGGATCGAGGCAAGCTTACCGATTGAACGTAGCCGTCGCTGAAAAGTCCAGCGCCAGAGGCGATCACGGGCCAACTGCGCTCCCATCTCGCTTTATGAATCTGATGGAGCGGAATTAGAGAGCCACGACGGATCTCAACTGGTTGCTGGTTGAGCTCTATGCTATTGTCAACGCCGACGTCGTCTGGACCTTTGGTGTCATTCGCACGGCCGATCTTCATCTTTTTTGTCTGGTTAGTGTGTGGGTGCCTTGCCTCTTTGGAAATGTAGAAATCACTAATTCTGTAGCGCTCCAGAGGGTTTGAGGTAACACGCAAGCAAAATCGTGACAGTGGCCCATAACAAGATCGGTGGCAGGGTTTTATACCTCTTGGAGAGCTGAGTCAGGGGGGACTAGATGTTAATAGAGAAATAGTCCCGGTTCAAGAATCAAGACATACCTCAATGATTGTTTAAGCGGTATATATTTCCCGATTCCACACTAGTTAGGTAGAGAAAAGTATTGATGGGAATAAATCAACTCTTCAAGTTAGTATTCACGAAAAGAGCTATCTACGATGTTGGAGGATTGCCTCCAGGGCGCCTTTCAAGCCCTTTCTTGACAAGGATCGCTATCACAGCACCAGTTTGAGATTAGTGGTAAGATTTAGGAGCAACCGTCTCGTTTCAGGGTAATTTGTACACAGGCAGCTAGGGATGCTGTCGGGTTGAGACCCTTACTTACTCGTAGGTTCGTGTTGCACAGTGCCCAGCAGTGCCCGGAAAGCTTGGACATGAGTAAATAGGCATTTGGTACGGAGAGCTTTGCCATTAACACATTAACAATACAATCTTCCCAACTATCTGCTTCCTCGCCCCGGCATAGGCTGTCAACCACCCAAAGGGCGTAAATAGTCCGTCTGAACCCTGGCTGAACACAATCTTCGGAAACTGCCCGTCCCACTTTGCAGACTTTCCAGCTCTGGGGCGGACTGTATACCCATTTAGATTCCACCTACACGAATGCTAGTCATGCTAGTCCTAGCCCTGATATGAATTGAGCTATCAATTAAGGTGGATCGTTATCGAAGAGTGCTCACCTTTATGAATGCTTACGCGTACAGTGCGCGTGCAGACTGTAATTATCGGTAAATGCACTATACGGAGTACAGCTCCGAGATAAGGAAAAGTGGATCACGGAGTCAGGAGAGCTCCATACACCTGCAGCGACTGGGCTGGTAATATTCTCAACAATAATTCGTTTGTCCAGCTCGGGCCCTAGATTCCGAAGTCTCTTTGTGGCTAGTGAGTCAGTTAACCTAGCCTTTTATAAATCCCGACAGGATGTAAGGAAAGATCGAGTCAACAATGTTACGAGTCACTTCATACCATTGTTCGCTGGGACAATAACTAGGATTTCAACGTTTCCTGCACCTGCCGCTGCCATGAAGATCACTGGTCCGATTTTACTCACATTTGGCGACTTGATCAACGCTAGATGGGACCACAATCTGAACTATCGGTCGCCGAGCCAGTATCATGCATTCTTAGGGATCGGGGTTGAGGAAGTTGTCGACCGAAAGAATTTCTCAACTGCTTTTGATATGGACGAATTGCAGTTCACTCACGGGGTGGCATCGGGTGATCCGTACCCCAGCTCGGTGATACTGGTACACCCCACAGGCTGGAGGGTACCAAGGTCGATTCAGGACTGACTTTAGCAGTGGACAAGAGTAGCTCCGGATTTTGACAGCGCCAGTGACGACTGTGAGCATCCTACCGGTGCGCAAGCAGGGGAATAAATCTTAACGCTGGGTAGCGACGGTGTCAGGAGCGGTACCTCTATTCAACCATGGTCAGTGGGGAGCCAACACTTTGCAAACTTAACCGGAAGGCACTTGTTCAACTATTGTCAAATTCTGAGCGGCTAACTTGAAAATCTAGGGACTGGCCATATATCAGTAGCTCCAATCTGCGTTGACTGGTCAGTTGCCTCGGACAAGAGTATGGACGACGTGGTTACGGGTGGCCGTGCCTGCACCTCTTCCGATGTAGATTACACGGTGAAGGTACGTCTAGAGTCCGTCTGGACCAGGTTACGGACATTGAAATTATTCGTAGGTTGAAGCCACAGGTCTGCAACCGTTCACGACATATTTTTATCAGTTTTGGGTTTGCGACTCTCAAAACCAGAGTCCGATCGGCAGAACAAAAACGTCCCCGGCAGCTCACGACGATGTTACAGAAATCAAGCTAGCTATCTTTTCCTGTTCGAATTATGACTTCGGTTTCTTCAACGCCTACGGCAATGTCGCGCGGAAGGACTCTGTCGACTATATCATTCGTGAGTTGCTGGCATAAACGTATGGCTATGCTGTCACTGAGAGGAGCTAATCTACAGACCTGGGCGACTTCATATACGAATACGCAGAAGGCGACTACGGCTGGGGATGGTCGATTGGACGACGGCCTTCGCCGGAAACAGAATTGAGAACGCTTCGAGACTACCGCACTCGGTTATCACAATATCGATCAGATAAAGATTCTCTCGCTGTATTCCGAAATTTCGCCTGGATTCCAGTCTGGGACGACCACGAACTCGTAAGTAGCACTCAAATCCGGGCTAGTTAGTATGCTTGGCCCAACATCGACCATCTTAATCACATGGAATAGACAGCACTAACTTCTTGTACAACAGGGCGACAATCCCTATCGAGATGGAATGGCCCATTTGAACAACACCGAACAATCATCCTCACACGATGATCTCTTATCTAGTGAGCGTATTATCTCTTTCGACCAGCGTAAGATGAACGCAGTTCGCGCATACTTTGAATGGATGCCAATTAGGCAAGTTGAGATGGATGACAATCTTCGAATTTGGCGTTCTTTTGCCATGGGTAACCTCCTCGACCTCATAATGCTCGATACTCGTCACTACGATCGCAGCATTACGGATTTATACTGGAATACCGGCTACATCCATGCCATCTCGAACGATGTGGGAAGGTCTTTAATGGGCTCACGACAAGAGAATTGGTTCTACAATCAGCTCAGTGCTTCGAAAGACAGGGGTGCCGCCTGGAGACTTATCGGGAACCAGATAGTATTCTCGCACCTCAACCAGTCGTTAAGGCTCGGTGACCAGAACCCTCTCAACTATGACGCCTGGGACGGCTACCAAGCAAACCGAAATCGCACTCTACGACATCTTTACGATCACAACATTACCGACAATATCTTCTTGGCCGGTGACTCTCATATGTCTTGGGTTTCAGATCTAGCATGGCTGGATGAGAAATTCTATGATCCAGTCAACGGAAAGGGAGCGATAGGAGTCGAGTTCGCAGGTTCGGCGGTGTCAAGTCCGTGTCCATGGGGCCAAAACATATCCCGCAAGGCGGCAGATAATGCTTCTACCTGGCTAGTACAAAACAACCCGGCGTTACAGTGGCAGGACGTTTACTACAGAGGCTATTACGAGATGAAGGTGACTCACGATGCCGTCAAAGCCCAATTTCTGGGAATACCATCGCTGGTACAATCTCTCCCTTACGAGATCTCCCTCGCCAACTTTACCGTTCTACGAGGCACGAATGCTTTACAGCGACCGATCGCTGGCGCCTCCGTTCGAAGCGGTGCTCTGAAAGAAGGTCAAGTTATCATGGATGGCGTAACTAATAACACATTGACTGGAGAATACCTAGTCACAAACCTGACAAGCTTCGGGTATTCGGAAACTGAGACCGGGTTTTGACTGTACGGGGAAAGCGTTCCAGTAGAGACTAAATATAGTCAATCAGATCGGTGCTCGTCCCGTATGTGCTGGCTGCAAAGCATATAACCAATGGAACAAACGTACCGCTTCAACGTGGTTGAAAGAGCCCATGAAGTTCGGGATATAATCCGCCTTGGTATGAGTCGGACTGGCCTCGAAGGGCGCCTTCGACAGAGCCTTGAGCGAAAGCGCGTCGGACTCGGGTGAGCCGGGAAACGAGCCCGTTCCGAGCTGCAGGATGTGCCTGTTGTTCGCGTGCGGCCAGGCGGTATCCGCGCAAGCGGAGATGGAGAATTCATGCTTTACGCTCTGACTGTTAGAAATGGGTTTGCCCCTGGGAGTCTTTGTAAATGTCGATATCGCCATCCGATTCTGTGAGCTCTTTAACTTACCAGATCTTAGCATGATTTTGCGAGGAGAATTCCAGGGAAAGCATCAAGATCTAGTATTCACGCATCGGCAGCCCCAGAAGGATAAAGATAAGTTTCACCTTATTAGTTGTGCTAAGGACACTACAGTAGTCAGGCGGATTGACTTGAAAGTCAACTTAGCTCATATTTTTAAAGCGTCACCGGCGCATCCTAGGCATCGTAACGCTACATTGAGGTTCAAGAAGAGGAACCCTTTTTCTATCGAGGTTGTGCAAGGTTCATACGTCGACATCTCACTAGTAACCAATCTTTCTAAGTTACTTAGCTTACCTTGATCGCCAAAGCCCTCGTTCAGCTAATCGGAGAGAATTTGTTGTCGTAACGCGAAGGACCTTCTACTGCGGTGCTAGGATCGCGCTCGACGCTGATGGGGCCTCATCGAGCTAGTCGCCCTTATATTTATCGCGTTCATAATCGCCACAACGCTTGATTCGCCTAGGAACTTCATAAATAGAGAGAATAATCGTTCTCTATCTAGCGAATGTTGAATGGCACAAATTGGACCTGAGCTGGTGGAGAATATTGAGGTGTTAGTTGGTCGGTGAGTTCTTTAAACTTCCTGTGGTGGAGGCTATTGTGCGGGATGCGTTTCAAGTGGTTCCGGAGCCGATTTTTTTATTTTTTTTGGCTGTTTATGTTCTCTAGGTATAGTTACATCGTCAAAGAATCGTTTTGGCTATTTCTGTCTAGTAGATCGCCTCGTGATTGCTATAATTGTATGGTAGAGACATCGATTCGCGAGGTAAACAAAGGTTGGTAAACAATGACGTACTAGTGCCAAGAAAAAAAAGTGCCAAATCCACGGAACAGGAGATACATTCGAATCACTAGCGAAAGGGGTTAAATTACCGGCGCTAGTCTCTGGCCTTCCGCCCAGGATTAGCCAAAACAGTCATTACATCTCTTGGCAGTCCTGCCAGCAGTCCCACGGCTCAGCGTCAGCATTCGCTGCTTTTAGCCATGTTCACGCCGGGTACTCACTCTCCTCGTCCTTCTCATCACCAGTGCCCAGTCCCGTTACTGGGTCCCCCGCTATCTTTGGATACTATCCACCACACTGGCCTCCGTCTTTGTGGGCTGCTTGATACACGTTTCGTCGATCCCTTCGAAGACATCAACTGGTTGGCCGTCGAGGATAGTGGTTTTGTCTTCTCCGATCCGTGTACGCTTGATGTGGGCTTCGAGTGTAAACGGAGAGCTACCGGTTTGTCTCTCAACCGGGAATAAGGTGTGGAAGGTCCAATAGAGCAGCCCGGCCGTGATGAAGCCGAAAAAATAGCTCATCTGGTACAAGCGGTCCCAACCGTTTCCGTCGCTCGTCCCTTTCACTTCTCTTGCGAAGCCGGCTGTAGTCCAAGTTAGTAGCGTTCGTGTAGACAACACTGGTGCCTTTTGGGAACTAAAGGAGCTGTAAGGTAAACTGCCAAAGTGAAAACACCACTCACGTAACATGGGCCAGAGAGCCATTACCCACGCAACGAATCCTCGCCAATTGAACCCCAGGGTGTACCAATACGCCCCGCGCTTGTTGACACCTAGGTACAGGTCCCCAACATGATACTCTCGCTTCCGCACCAGGAAATAGTCGCTGCACAGGATTCCAGTCATCGGGGAGAGGAATACACTCCAGCCAGAGAGAACAGTGATGAAAACAGTCGCTTGGGTGACATACTGCCAGGGACAAATCGCAACCGATATCAGGGTCAAAATATAAGCGCCCCTGCGGATATTGATATACTTGGGCATGAGGGCAGCCATGTCCATGCCGGCCGAGACCGAATTGAGGACAATGCAGAGGGCAAATTGCGAGGCGGTGAAGCCCAGGGCGGCGAAGAAAGTGCCGGCTCTAGCGCCAGGGGAGAGAGAGTGTTGTTGAATCGCCAGAAGAAGCTCGAAGGGATTCCAGTAAACGGTGCCGTAGATCGATGCACTCGCCGAAGTGATAAGCAGTCCGCAGACAGCCGTGACAGAAATGGCAATAGGGGCCGTGACGGCTTGGCCGAAGAGAGCCGCATTGGGGTACCGTGAATAACGAGTCCAGTCTACACGAAGGAGGACAGTCAGATGGGAGCACCAAGAGTGTATCTCGCAACAGGAGACTCGGATATGGATTGAAACCCGCTGTGGGAGTTGTACGCTGGGAGAATGTGCAAACATGGATGGATCATACCTGACTGGCCAAGACAACCGCTGCCATAGCCACCGACAAGGGACTGGAGACCTATATTTGAAACGTCAAAGACGGCTCCCCACGCAATCCAAGGGATCATGGTGCTGTTTTACCGTAAAGCGTGTTCCAACCCAAAACAGAACCACGTTGTGTCGGGCCAGAGCTGATCAACGTTCCAGCTCCATGTGCGGCACACAGAGCCCAAATCAGCATTCCGAACATGGTGCAGGTAATCATGGCGAATGCCAGCTGCGCGATCGGTCAGAGGTTCATCTTTCTTTGCGGCGTAAGGTGAAGAGGGTCCACCACGTACCAGAAATGGTTTCTGCAATCTTTCCGGCGGTACCATCAGAGTGGGCAGGAAAAATATCAAAAATACGAAGAAGCTGATCAAGCTGGCCGTGTCGACATGAGCAGATTCCGGGAGAGTGTTCCTCATATGCACAAATGGATGACCGATGATGGAACCTAGAATAATCTTTACTGCTTGACCTCCCCAGTACAGTTGAATGCCCATCTATGTGAGGAGTCCCAAGATCATCAGCGACGGATGTCTTTGCCCAAGTGGAAGAGAAAAGCATGCTCGACGGCAGTGAAGGATTCCTTACCCAGATGCTAGCCGTCATGATCCTGTTGAGAACCGGCCAAAATCCTCCTCTCATTCCCCATGATCTGGCCGAGTGACGTTAACGATAAGTATCCAACGGCGTAGGACAATGACACGACACACATAGAGGGGGGACTCACGATCTGGAGAGGACAGTAAAGCCCAGGTACTGGTGTGACCCAGGCCAGCCAGTAATGACCGATATCAGGGCCGCGAACAGGGAGGCGCCAACAACGACACCCATGGCTTGGCCCACACTAAGACCCAGCGACAGCAAACTTGATCCGGCGGTCCAAGCGGTAGTATTGATGCCTGGAAGTGGGGGATGAGACACATGTCAGGGAGCTCAGCGAGCGATGATATATGTCTGGGGATTTGAGGCAGCAGGGATACTCACCATTGATGATCCAGTATCCGGCATAGCCTTGCCACGTCCAAGTTCGTCGCTCTTTCGGAATCGGAATCAAATCACGATTACACCACTGTCAACGTGATCAGCCTTGTCATCGACCATCACTTCCAAGGACCACCTGAACGGGCCAGCGATTTGTCAAAGGGAACTGACATATGTATTCTCGTAATCTCGTTCCTCATCGACGGGACATTCAAGTTTCGCGGCCCAGTATTTGACCCTTGCCTTAGTTTTGTCCGACACCATCCTGGCGATCAGAGAACAAGTCTGAAGTAAGTTGAAAGAACTGTGATACGGCCTTTGAGGGGCCAGCGAAGTGGTCACGACTCACGAGGGATCAGTAACTCAATTCAAGACGGAGATTTCACTTGCAAACATACCTCCTTCATATTTATACGCAAGCTGATCATGACATTCTAGTCAATCGGCGTTATCGGTGCCAAAGAAGTCATAGAGTTACCGCTATGCATGTTTGGGTGTAGACCGTTGGCTGGGTATCGTTTGAGGGAGTTGGCCGAGGCTACGGCCAACTCTGTCCTTCGCTATTGGGCCGATAGTGTTCTTGTGGATCTACCCGCTCAATATAGTTGACTAGGCGAGGCGAACTCCATTGACTCTCAGGTTGCTTTGCGGAATCACATCACAACAGGCCAAACCTGTTGGCCGATGAGCTTCCACAAGATGTGCCCCCTGATAGAAAAAGAGCGCTTCCTCTGGACGAGACCACTTCCTCCTACCTGTTAATTGTGGCCTGGTCTCGAAAGCGGACGATAAGAAGAACGATAAGGACAATGGCACAACCTCCTGTCCTGAGCGAGATGTTCGACATACCCGTGGTGGACTTTTCAGCATGGAGGCCGGAGAGCACGCCCGAGGACCGTTTCCGCATCGCCAAAGCATTGGTCCACGCCTGTCGACGCGTTGGGTTTGTCTACATTGTCAACCATGCTCTCCCAGCCGAACTTCTCGAGGAAGCCTTTGACTGGACGCGCAAGCTGTTTGCTCTTGATGCGGACAAGAAGATGCTGGCGCCGCATCCGGACGGGGCCAAAGTGCACCGTGGATATTCCTGGCCCGGGCTGGAGAAAGTGTCCCAGACAATCAGCGAGCACGAGGACCCCGAGCTCGTGAGCCTCCTCAGACAGACCACGGATCTGAAGGTAAGGGCATTGGCACAAATCTCGTTTATTCCAATATTCGACATAGACTGACGACATCCATCCCACCACCAGGAGAGCTATGAGATCGGAAGCGAGGAAAACACAGAACAGCCCAACGTCTGGCTGCCGGAGGACGTCCTGCCGGGCTTCCGCTCCTTCACCACCAAGTTCTACTGGGAGTGTTCCGGGGTGGCACAGTCGATCCTGTCGGCCATGGCGCTGGGACTGGGCCTGGACGAGGACTTCTTGCTGAGATTCCATTCCGGACACAACAACCAACTGCGCCTCCTACACTATCCCCCCGTGGAGGCGGCCTCCCTGGCCAGTGCTGCTGTTGCCAGGATGCCGGCCCACACGGACTGGGGCTCGGTGACGTTACTCTTTCAAGACGACTGCGGCGGTTTGGAGGTGGAAAATCCACACCGGCCGGGCCACTTCATGACCGCCACGCCCGTCAAAAACGCCATTGTGATGAATGTCGGCGATTTGCTGATGCGGTGGAGCAACGGTAAGAAGACCAAAAAATCGGGCGATATCGTCCCCCAAGAGTTTGAACATTCTTTGACAAACGTTGAATAGACTACTTGAAATCGACCCTCCACCGGGTCACCCTACCGCCAGAACAGGATCGATACACGGGTTCGGAGCGACTGACGAGACGTCGATATTCGATCCCCTATTTCGTGAGCCCGGACTCGGACTCCCTGATCGAATGTCTGCCGGCCTGCACCGATGCCACTCACCCCGTCAAATACGCGCCGGTGAACCAAAAGGCGTATCGACTTCTCCGAGCCAAGACACAGTATCAGACGAAGGCGGCGGCCGTGGCTACATAAGGACAGATGAATATTCTAGTTTAGTTCTTTTAGGGTAAAATGCTCTTTTGCTGGCACAAAGAGTGAAATTCCTTGCAGCCTAAAGAAACCCATGTCGAAGGATCCACGGCGCCTGTTGGAAAAACGATTCCGATCGAAGAACAGCGGGTCTGATCAATCCCATGGTCGTGCTGTCCGAAACCTTCACCAAGTAGCACAAGGAATTGTGGTAGCTTTCGAGAAGATCATAGGCGGTCTTGACATGCTCTTCTTCTACCGCGAGTAAGAACAGATACACGAGGAAATTCCCGGCCAGGAGGAGGTTTGATCGAGCATCTGAAGAGTGGCAACGTTAGTAGATGTGCTACATCAAGCCTATCGTATCTGTCGTGTCGATACAATGTGACTTGCCAGACTTACGGCGGCCCCAGAACATTTTGGCATCCTCCGCGCGGATCTTAGCGACGTAGTTGATAAAAGCACGGGATTGAGATAAGGCTTCTGGTAAGTTCAGCCGCAGTTCGGAGCAGGGGTTTGCTTTCGATGCCGCAGTGGCCGGGAACATAAGAGCACGGAACACCAGGGTTTTGACAGCGAAGTATGCGAGGTGGAGTGACCCTGGTTCGCAGACGTTCAGCCAAAGGAGTCGCCGAAAACGGAGCGAACGTCATCCCTACCATGCATATTGGGCACCCCTTGACTTTGCGAATAATCCATCGTCAAGCATTGCGGTAGGATTGCATACCACGCTTCAAGCCGGACCAAAAGGGATCTGAGGGCTTCTCCTCTTGTCTCGAGCAAATAATCACCACTCACACTTTTGATCGAGCTGTAGATGTATCAGACTGAGCCAATGGTCCCATATGTTATGTTGCGACAAACTTACTAAAACCTCTCCAGTATATGACTTAGCTGTTGTGATAGCTTAATCATTTCCAAGAAATGCAAAGCGTTTTGAATGTCGAAGTGCGTCTGTTCGTCCAGGAGGAGACGGCCCGAGGCATGCCCACTAATGTCTTCATCACAAGCCAGGTCTGCCATTTCTAACGCCGGTGTGTCGAACCCATCGTCAGCAATGTGAGATGGGTTTCCGTGTCCGATGGACGAGAACTTGTCCGTCAGATACACCGCCCACCACAATTTCTTGCGAAGGCACTTCTCCCAGCGTGGAATCTGCCATCTGGAAGGGTCACGATAAAGGCCGAGGCTCTGTGCACATGAGACTGCCTGGCAGGATAAGGTCCATATCCTTGGACTCTCTAGCGTGCCAGTGGCCTGGGGAAGTTCATGCATGATCAGAAGAGCTGCCTGCAGCGTGGAGAGCTTCGGGGAGTCCAGCTCCCGGTTGAGTGAGAAATGCGCAAGCTCAAACAGCTTTCCTTGGTCGATCGGATCCAGGTGTCGCAGTGTCTCGTCTTGCTGCCAGAAGACCGTTGCAAGGCCATACACCACTCCCCGGAGTGCAGTCGAAATGCCCAATTTTGCATTCCGGTACGCTTCCAGGAAATGCCGTTTGGAAAGAATGGGATAAGTTGGGTGAACGAAGCGAAAGAACAGGCGAACCAAGGCATCGCCGTGATTGCCCACGTGAGCTTCGATCAAATCAGAGGCGTGTTGTTTGACCCTTTGGTCGGGCTCAGGAAACCGGTTTCTGATGATGCTGAAGTGTATCGGTGGCTGTCCCAAATCGTCATTGCCTGCGAGGACTTGACGGATCTTTGCGTCGACGTAGCTGGTCTCATTGAGGATGTTGGAACGAAATGTAGAGAGAAGATGTGGATCTTGCTCGCTGGCAAAGCCCAGGAAATGGGCCGTAGCGTCCCTATACTCTTCCAAAGGCTCGACTCCGCTCTCCTCTTCACCTCCCCAGCTACAACGCTGCGGTGACGATCTTTGAAAGAGCTCCATGACTCCCGACCCCAGTCCGAACGGCGACCCTGCATTTCGATTGGCGGACAAGCTATCTGCAGGAGTGGACATCATGGCCAGGCAGAACTCCTGCAAGGAGGCCGGGGACTCCGCATGTCGAGATGTATCCAGGTCTGCATTCAAGTGAATCTGGCCACCTTTAGAGGCAGAGTCGGCGGGAGGTGAGGGAGACAGCGTCACCTTCCGGCGACGAGGCCTCGTGAGAAATTCACAAGGCTGATTCCGTCGGAGACAAAACGCGCAAGGCGGACGGAGTGGAATCGTGCAGGCGATCTTTTGCTGCCGACAAGCATCACAGGGACGGTATTTCCGGCTCTTTGGAGGCCTAGCTGCTCCATGGTATGTGTCGATTCTAAGCTTGCGGCGCCCCATCGAGAGGGAGGGGGATATCGCTCCTTTCCTCAATCCCCAAACACGTCTATATCTGATGTGCGTGTTTGAGATGGTTGAGATATTTGACAGTATGTATGGTGTGAAGGATTGACAAAGAGGTAAAGTCCGCCGACGATATCTTGATCATGCCTCGAGCAGACTAGGCCTCTAGGTCCCAGCCAAGGTTCGATCAGTGGCTTGTCAAGAAGCATAGATAAGAAGCCTGGTGAGACCCCACTTTCGGGACATCCTGTTTACCAGAGCTGTACACATAAAATCTGGCCTTTATTGCCCAATCCTCACTAAGACGCCCTTGATGCACTCATTTACCGAACTCTTGATGAAGGGGGGAGCCATATAATATTGGCGAGTTTATCATCCGCGAGGCCGATCTGTATCCCTTGTATTCTGCCATGGGCTCCCACGACGCCTCCCTATGCTCGGCCGAGCCTCCTCAATACTCCGTCACGTGTCCGATTAAAGCGGCCTCGCTCTCTTTCCTGGAGAAAATGGCAAGGCATAAAGCGCAGTTCAGGGGGCATACATAATAGATATATATATCCCCGAGAATCGCCCTGCCTAGGTGAATGCACAGCACGCCTACCGGCCTGCTCTTACCCCCCTGAACGTGTTAAATCCCACACACACGTAGAGATGCAGCAAAAACCCCCAGAACTGAACCATAGCGTCTCAAGCAGCAGTAACAGCAATGCTGCCCTGCCTGACCTGTTCCTCTTCTTCCTCTTCCTTCTCCGCGCTGTGTCCCGCACCCTCTCTCAGCCCGCCGTCGCCACCACTACCACCCTCCTCGTCGGCCTTGGAGGCGCGACTGCGCTGCCTCTCGAGGTCGCTCTTCAGGCTGTCGAGGAAGCGCGCGGCCTCGGCCGAGTACTTGCACCGGCGGCGGATGGTGGCGCCGTACTTGTAGAAGAAGATGGGGAAGGGGAAGCAGGCGAGCGCGATGAAGCCCGGCACAGCCGAGGCCCAGTGCACGCCCAGGTTGTTGTACATGTACGTGGTGAAGAGCGGGAAGACGGCGCCGAAGGTGGAGCGCAGGATCGAGTTGCCAGCCAACACGGAGGCCGAGTAGATGACGTACGAGTCGATGCTGGATTTGGAACAAAGTGTTAGTAGATGTGTTAATGGCCCGAAGCAAGAAACACGGAGGGAATGCAAACGTACAGGTAGTTCGTGCAGCACATGAAGATCAGGATGAAGCCAATCCCAAAGGGCACGCCCGCCAGGATGGGCACGATGAAGTGCACGCTCGGGTCCGCCGTCGCGGCGAACCACGCCAGGCCGACGATCGTGACGACGCCCCCGAGGATGACGGGAGGGAGCCGTGACTCGGGAGGCGCGAAGCCGCCGTGCGCGACGTGGATGCGTGAGTAGCGCTTGTTGTCGAGGACGATGAGACCGACGCCGACGAGATTGCCCAGCATGATGCCGAGAAAGGCGAGTCCTTCCTGGCCCGCATTCCAGCCGTAGCCTTGCTGGAAGATGATGGGGAAGGCCGCGAAGCAGAGATACAGCGTCCCGTAGATGACCGACATGTAGATCTAGATTTGGAGATGTCAGCGCTTTTTCTTTTGACCAAAAAGGGCACGTTTTTCTTTGGGAGGAACATACTGAAAGAAGCAGCACGATGGGCTCTCGGAATAGGAGTGCCCATGGGCGGCTGAGCGACCGCTTGACCACGTCCCTGAAAACCAGCGGCTGCTCGATGTCGATTTTGGTCATGTAGGTCTTGCCCGTCACCTTGGACAGCAGATGTGCTCTCCTCCGCAACAGGACCGGGGCATACGTCTCAGGCACAAAGACTAGGCCCAGGAATGTCAGAATCCCCGCATATAGCGCCAGAAAGCCAAACAGCCAGCGCCATCCCGCAGCCGGGCTCAAGAAGCCGCCGACGGTAGGGCCTATGGTCGGACCGAGGAAGGGGGCCGCTGAAAACACAGCCTGAGCCATGCCTCGCTGCCTAGCCTCCCACATGTCGGAGAGCTGGCCTGCGGGGATGACAAAGGCCGCAGACCCAAACGTGCCGCAGAGCAGGCGAAGCACGATCAGTGTCGTGATGTTCTGGGCGGTGGCGCAGACTGCGGTCCAGACGATGTAGAAAGCCAGCGCGATCAGCAGGATATCTCGTCGCGAGACGGCCTCCGCGAGCGGTGCCCATAGCAGGGGCCCGATGGCGAAGCCCAAGACCATAAAGCTCAAGCCGAGCAGGAAGACCTCTGCGCTGCAGTGGAAATCCGGGATGATGAGCTCTGCGGCCCCGGTATATGCTGACGAGGCCAGCGACACGCACAGAGTCATAAAGGCGAGCAGAAAGGTCATCATGCACTTGAACCAGACGCTGTAGTTCATGGGATTCTCTGGATCATCGTCCAGCCACTGCACGATGTAGGGGTCCTCGGGGACGCCGTTGCCTCGATACCTGGCCTTGACGATTCTTGCAAAGTCGGTCACCCGTCGTCGCCATGGTCTCCTCCGGAGCGTGTACTGGGACCAATCAGTCTGCTCTTGCTCGATCGGGGCGTGAGAGGGCGGGTGGCTCTCTTGGTCAATGTTGTGTTCTCTGACGGCAAGATCTCTCGGCTTTTCATCAACGGGGACAGACACGGCTGGGGCGGGCTCAGGCCGGGGGCTCTCCGTAGCGGAAGCCATGTTGCGGTGTCAGATCTCGAGCTAAGAATGTAGGGTATCTGACAAGCCATGCACCGCGAGGGCGAGGAGGAAGTGTTCGCTTCTTTATTCCAGGCGCAACAGAACGGACGGCGATAAACGAATCTCCACCGAACTTGGAATCGCCTGCCAGATTGCATAATGTGCCGGCACCAGGCCTTCGGGCTCGCAGACAGAAACCCTCGCAGGGCCCGACGCTGCCATGTCTTGTATAGGGTCCCTCTCTTAAGCGTGCAGGAGAGGAAACGACGTTTGAACCAAGTCGGTTAGGATGGCGGCTGGAGACGCGCTGGCCTCCTCCCTTGGGCCGGATGTTCGGCATCGTTCGGCAACGTTATTGAGCCCGACTCCGAAGGGTCCGTCGCAGCTGACGCCGTGGCAGAGTGAGAGGGAGTCGACTGGAGGCAATTAATAAGACAGGTCCACAGGGGCCTTATATGGCTTTCTTGTGCGCCGGCTCCGGTGTCGAAATTGTCGAGCATGATTGCTGCGCCAACCCTACACCAAGACGCAATGGCCGAAGAAAGAAAGCATGCCGCCTGCAAGGAGTGCCGGGAGAAGAAGCTGCGCTGTGTGCCCAGCGATGATGGAGGCGACGCGTGCAACAGGTGAGCCCTTAGATCGAGTGTCTTTTTCAGGCCGAGGAGTGATGATTGTGCGCGACAAGGTGTGCGAGACTGGGAAAGCAATGCCAAGTGCCCGAAGTCAAGCAGAGGAAGCGGAAAGCTCGCCGTAGGGGACCCCAAGAAACCCGGAGGCCCCGTTGCTAATGGGGAGGCAGTGCGTGGCCGAGTCGAGCAGCTGGAGAGTAGCTACTCAGAGATCCTGTCACTGCTTCGAGGCCCCAAGTCCCTCGGCGATGCCAATGGAGCGACCATCTTGTCCAACTCGACGCCCTCCTATACAGACTCGCAGCTGTCCCAGCACACGGGGCTGGTGTCGCCCTCGGGCTTCCATTCGACTCAGTCTGATGCCACCGGCACCTATATGCTCGACCTCTCCTCCGAAGAGTGTGAGACCTTGATCAACGACTACCGGCGCATGTCATCCAACAGCTTTCCCTACGTCCTCGTGCCAGAGGCGTGCCCTGTTGCCTCACTGGTCGAGGAACGGCCGATGCTCACCCAGGCCATCCTCATCAGCACCACGTGGCGGACGCCGGCGCGCCAATCTGCACTGAAGGACAAATTCCTCAAGGACCTTGGGGAGAGGTACTTTATCCGGTCGGAGCGATCGCTGGATCTCCTGCAAGCACTGATTGTATATTTTGGCTGGTAAGCGCCCTCGTCCTCAGAGGCATCACCACTGACGCTCTCCAGGTGCCATTGGCATGCTTACCCTGTCGCCACCCAAGTCTACAGGCTGGCCTCACTGGTTGTGACCTTGGCAGTGGAACTTGGTATCGACCAGAAGCCGATGAACGTCACACAGCACGACATGATTGTCGGCTCGAGTGCAGCGCTGGCCCCGACGAACGAGGCTGTGTCATCAAAATTCTGGGGCTACGAGGCTCGAAGAGCGTATATCGGAGCCTACACCATCTCGACTTTGTAATAGACCAGCCCTGTTGCCGCATCTTAAACCCTGCTAATGCGCACTTAGTGGCCTGTTCATGTTCAGAAAGCCGTGCATGTTGACCTATACCCAATATCTCGAAGACTGTGCCTCGTCTCTGGCCGCAGACCCCCAACATCCTTCAGATACGACGCTCATTCACCAGATTCGAACTCTACGTGTCGCCGAAGAGATCACCTACACGTTCGACCACGGTTCCAAGGAGAAGGTTGGCGAGCTCACCGACGAGAAAATCCAGATTCTGGTCAGGGCGTTGTCGAGACAGATTGACGAGTGGAAAGTCTCGCTTCCGCATGGCGCCTTTAGCATTGGTAAGTGCTGCAAGTCGGTCAAGGAACAAGGTACTCGCTCACCGTGAGTCCGGAAATACAGGTCGAATTCAACGCTCCTATTATAGCGCACGGGCGTACATGCGCGAGGTTGGGCTTTATGGCCTGCTTCAAGGTCAAGTCCCGTCGGTGATCCGCGTGTCAATCATCTATGACTGCTTCAACTGCACCATGAAGTTCCTTTCTTCGGCTCTCGAGTGCCCCCTCGACGAGATGGCCGACTGGACAGCTCTGGACTGGCGTGCCCTGAACTTTGTCATCATGCTGTCCACCAAGTCGTCGATCATTCTTGACTCGGCGTACGTGAGCACCGAGGCTTCTCAGCGAGCTGCCTGGCTGGGTAAATGCCTTGACACACTGTGCCAGCGGGCCCAAGAGCTGCACCGTCTCAAAACCGATGATTGCAGCTATTTTCAAAAGATGTCGAATGAATGGGCCAACATGAAGGTCTACCATCAGAACTGCCTCCAAAGAAGCCTCTCATCCTCGACAGGAACGAACAGTGCCCAACTGCCAACACAATTGTCTTCGCAAGAGCATCAAACATCCAGTGCTCCCTATCTCGACAATGCATTTGGCATGGACCCGTTCAATGAGTTGTTCTGGGCTGGGTTCGCTGATTCGGAGGCGGGCCTTGGTGGCGTTTTTCCAATGTGACCTTTTCCACCAAGCTCCAAAGATTTGGAGGCAAAGACACATTCACCCATCATTTGGTGCTCAAGCTGTCTCAGACCACCCATTACCTGATCCGTTTGTCTTGTCGCGATCTGCTTGGTCTCAAAGGCTACGGTCGACTCTGCTAGGAAAACCACTAGAGATTCTGCCGGGAGCTGCATCACCGTGGCTGTGACATCAAACGCAAGACCTCCATTGAGGGGATATAAACCTGGGGTCGGCTCTCTCTTGCCCAATGCCTCGCAAGCTGTGCCGCCTGTCTTCAGACTCACTCCACTCATGTCATCCGTCTGCTCGAGATCGTCGCTACCTCTGATTCAGTGAGCTCGACATATCCGTCTCGAGCAGTGCAAAACGCCTGCTCGGAAGGAATGTGTACAAGAACAATCATCTATTATGCATGCGGCCATGATCAGTTCATCGACAGACGGTGTGGGGCGAGGAAATGCCCTGGATGGGACGTAAGAGAGCAGCAGTCCAGCGCCGTTCGCCGGACGTGCTGCCCAGAGAGCTTTTAACTGACTCTAGAATGTGGTGGAGATGACCAGATTGTTCTGAGTAAGAGGGATTGCAGCAAGCAAAGGTGCATTGAAGGTCGACCAGCTCTGAGGACTGCTCGCTTCCGGCTCATCATCTGGTGAGATCCAACGTCCTCCACCCTTTGAGGAAGAGCACTCCCAAATAGCTATTGGCCGGGAAGGAAGGTGGTGAGAGAAGGCTACTTGTAGGGCCAGTCTCGCCTCGGATGCTGAGAATAAGCAAACGGTTTGTTGCAGCAGAGAAGGGGAAGACGTCGAGGATCATGTGAAGCCAAGACGCGTCGCGTCCTCAACGCGCCCACGCGAGAGTGATAGTCGCGAAATCACGTGCTATTGGCAACGGGGACAGACAACGTCGTCGCCTCGAGTTCTGGAATAGCAGCGTTGATCTCATGAATCTGACTCTCATCTAGAAGTCCGTTGGTCGCCAACATGGCATCCCTCGTTTCCAGCCCCTTGGAACCAGAATATCGAAAGCGGCAACGCATCAACTCTCCTGACTAATCAGGAGAGGCTAGGTCAGGCCCTAGCCAGGAAAACATCTGTAACGTGGAGTGACTGGCGACGGGCAATGAATCCAGCCATGCCCAGAGTTGACCGCGCTGCTCGTACGATGTTCTCACTTTCTTGCGGCCGTTAGATTGAAATGGCGACGGTCACATTTGGCCCGCCTCTCAGGCGTTGTCAAGCCCTCGCTTGCTGCCGGTGTGATGAGCTACTTGCTTGGCTGTTCACCGTTGGTTATGCTCCTGCAACTGTCATGAGAGATTCGGTCGCTGCTTGTCCACGCCCTCTCAGAAACGTCCGTAAGTGGTGATTTGCTACGCCCGAGCAAGATGCCTTATCGAATGCGGGTGGTATATAACAATGGCGAAGGTGGGTATTAGATCTCCTTTTCTCATCACTCGTCTGAACAGATACACTCAATACCCCATTACAACAATTTCCAACGTTGATCTGCAGCTGCCCACACTGGGCGGATCACAGTATTTGCCATCAAAGCAAATCTTTGTACCTGAATCTCTGGCCCAGCAACTTTTCTGCGCGGCCATTTCTCACCGTATCCGCTTTTGAGTAACCACAAGGGCCATGCCCAAAACATGGGATGTCATCGTCATCGGCTCCGGGATCGGCGGGATGACGGCGGCTACGCTTCTGGCAAAAGTTGGGGGAATGAAGGTGTTGGTGCTCGAGAAACATTCTGAACGCGGAGGTTTGACGCACGTCTTTCGGCGTGACGGTGCCAGTTGGGATGTCGGAGTTCACTATATTGGCGGCATGCAGCCTGGCTCACCGATTCGAAGCCTGTTTGACTACATGTCTGGCAAAGCTCTCGACTGGAACCCCATGCCCGACGATTTCGAACGGTTCCTGTACCCAGGCCTGGACTTTGCCGAGCCGTCGGACAAGCATCGATACGAGGAGCGACTGATCCAACGCTTTCCGGACGAAGCCGCTGCCATTCGCCGTTATTTTGTCGACGTCAATGAGGCGGCCACTTGGCATGTACGTGGAACCATGCAATCCATGCTGCCCTGGCCCCTCAGCTTTCTGTTGGAGCAGTGGCGGCGGTTGAGTTCGCACAAGGCCTTACAGACTACCGGCGACTATCTCAATCAGCATTTCAAGTCGACGGAGCTCAAGGCTTTGCTGGCCACCCAGTGGGGCGACTACGGCGTGCCCCCAAGTGAAAGTGCTTTTGCACTGCACGCGCTGGTCGTCAGGAGCTACTTGCAGGGTGCTTGGTTTCCCCGAGACGGATCTAGCCGTATCGCGCGAACATTTGAGGTGGGAATCGAAGCAAATGGTGGCGCCGTCAAAGTGTGCCGCAACGTCACGGCGATCCTCACCGAAGACACGCACGTCGTGGGCGTCAAGGCCATTGACAGCAGTGGCGCTGAGCCCACTGAAGTTCTCTACCTGGCGCCCATCGTCATTTCTGACGTCGGGGCGGCAGTGACCTATAACCAGCTCCTGCCCACGGACGGCATGATTGGCAAACAGACCGCAACCATCCGCAAGCACTTGGACCAGCTGGAGGGCGGAATTTCTGCAGTAACTCTCTACATTCGACTTGCCCGCCCCGTCACAGATCTCGGCGTCAAGGGCGAGAACTACTGGATCAACACGACGTTCGATCACGACAATCTCGACGCCCATACAGCGGCAACTCTGGCAGGGAAGCCTCAGCATGCGTACATGTCCTTCCCCTCCGCAAAGTCTGGTGACGATCGTTTCCACACCGCCGAAATCATCGCCCTCGTTAAGGCGGACGCTTTTTCTTCCTGGCGTGAGACGAGCCACGGCGCGCGGGGAAAGGAGTACATCGAGCTCAAGAACCGGATCTCACAGGGCCTTTTAGATCTGGCAGAGAGTGCGACTCCGGGGCTCAAGGAAATGGTGAGCTACTCCGAGTTGTCGACCCCCCTTTCGGTGGAGGACTACACCTCCCACTTATCAGGCGCCATCTACGGGTTTAAAGGGACACCGCAGATCTACTCTTCGTCGGTGCTGTCCAAGCCATCACCCATCGCCGGCCTGCACCTCAGTGGGACGGATGCATCGAGTTTGGGTGTGGCCGGGGCGCTGATGGGTGGTGTGATAGCGGCCAGTCAAGTGTTGGGTCGCTTCGGTTTTCTACGCATCATGTTGGCGTCCCGCCACGTCACTCCGGCGGATAAACTCCCGTTGAAGACGGCGCCACGCTCGTCAGAGAAGAAGCGTGCCGTCCTTATCAGCAAAACCGAGCTGACTCCGTTCATCTGGCGTCTCGAATTTGAACTTGACGAGCCCATCTCTTCAGCACCTGGCCAATACGTTCTGCTGCGGGTGGCGCCCTTTGAGTGGCGGAGCTATTCCATCGCGCAGGCCCAGAACAAACGCTTAACATTGCTGGTCAGCACCCGCACCGGTGGTGATGGCTCCATCTTCACCAGTCGTGTCCAGCCCGGCGAGGAAACCGAAGTCGAGTTGCCGTTTGGCGCTTTTCAGCTGCAACGCAACTCCCACCGTCGGATCTTCGTTGCCACTGGCACAGGCATCGCCCCATTCCTCCCAATGTTTGTAGCGTTGGCGGCTTCTGGCGAACTCGAGACGGCCGAGCTGCTCTTCGGCTGCTACCACGGGGAAGATGACATTACGCGCCACTTCAAGCCCCTCCCACGAACTACAGTCTGTGTTGACGGCGATCCATCTGCTGAGGGTGTATTTCATGGCCGGGTGACAGATATACTCGCCGACCTCAAATTCGATCCCTCCACGACCGACTTTTACCTCTGTGGTATCCCGGCGATGATGGACGGATGTCAGACGATCCTCGCTCACGCTGGCGCGACGCAGGTGCTGACGGAGCCGTTTTGAAGGGAAGTTGCTTCCATCGCCTTCGGCGTGCAATGAGAATGTTGACATGGCTGTATCAACATGAAGAGGGGTGTGTGGTTTGGTCCCGTCGTTAGCGAGCTGTTAAGAAGGCGGTGCCCGAGATTATAGGGGGAATTGTGCTTCTAATGCCAAAGTGGAGGTCCATCAGGCGTCGATGTAATCAAATAATATTGTATAGTAGGTCTGAATTCATGGTCCAATCAATAAGCAGAGTGTTTAATAAAGGATTACATGCGTCCTTGTGGGCGGGTATTGGTGCTTACCGGGAGGCCATAACACCAACCCACCCCTTTTCCCCAGAATGGCGAGTCCCGCTGCGGGATGTGATCAGATCTATCTTTGAATCCAGACAATAATGCATCTCGCAGGATCCAGGGCGCAGGATCAAGAAGGTGAGCGTGGGATACATTCTTAGAATCGGGCCTCTGAGCTGATGGCGGGCGACTTGGCACCGGCGCAGTCAGTCGCCGTCGCCGCCGCCATTCGTGAGATTTGGCCCCCATCAACTGCATCAACTGCATCAACTGCATCAACTGCATCAACTGCATCAACTGCATCAACTGCATCAACTGCATCAACCACCACCACTGCTCCAACCATTCCTCACCCGTCGAATCTATGCGCACATATAGCACAGTACAGAACTCCAAACAAGACCCTTCCTCCCATTCTCCCCTAAGAGCGACGCCTGCCTGAAGAGCCTACGCGTAAAACATTGACGCGATCCCCTGCCCTCATCATCACCATCACAACAACACGCTGGTCAAATCAATCGATGATTAACCACCCGATCTACTCTGCCTAGATCTGCGCGGCATTCCATCTCCCCCTCTTCACTCCCTACCCATCAAGTATCTCAGGTTCAATGTCGGCCGCTCCTAAACCCAACGCTGCCCCCGGCGGCGCCATGGCAGGGCCCAACCTAGCCGCCGCAACCAGCATCATGCAAGGCGGCGTCAACAACCTCGCAACGCTGTCCCACAGCTATCTCGACCGCTTCTTCCCGCCTCGGCAGCGCCAGCAGTGGAAAGCAATGCTATTGAAGTTCGCCTCCGACCGACCCTACCTCGCCAGTTTCCTGCTCAGCCAAACCGCCATCAGCGGCCTTCCACTCCTCCTCTTCGTGCTGATGACCGTGACGGTTTTCACGTTTTCCCTGCTGGCTGGTGTCCTTGTGGTCTTGCTGGGGGCGTTGTTGTTTGTGATTGCCGCGGCGGGATTTTCCTTGATCATTCTCGTGCCGACCCTGTTCTTCACTACCGGCGTGGGTCTGTTCGTCTGGCTTTGCGGGATCGGACTCTACTTTGTCTTCAACTGGGCCAATGACAAGGATGCTTCAGGCGCTCGTGTTGGTCCAGCGGTTGCCCCGATTAGACCTGGCGGACCTGGCAGTACTCAAGGCGTCAATGGGACCTCCGCCAATGGACCACCTCGACCGAGCGGTCCAAACAATCCCCAGGGCATCAATGGCAATCCGACCGGTGGACCGCTTCGACCGACCGGGCCCAACAACTCTCAAGGTGCCAACGGCAATCCAGCTGGCTGGCTGCCCAGACCGAGCGGTCCTCCCAATGCTCAAGGCGTGAACGGGAATCCGGCCGGTGGAGCGCCCAGACCAAACGGCCCGACCAATCCTCAGGGAGTCAATGGAAATCCACAGGGCGGTCCCAGACCGAACCCAAACATGCCACACAAACCTCCGAGCAATGGATCACCGCCGCAGCCGCAGGCAAATGGAGCGGCACCCATAAACCATACCAACAATGGTAATGGCATCAACGGCGTCGTCAACAATCCCAACACCACTCCTCCTCCCAATAACGCCAATAACACCCTCACCCCCGGCAACGCCAATGGCATGAGCATGCCCAACTCTCCTCCGCAGAGAAAGCCCGTCGCCAGCAGACCGCAGTCAGTGAGCCCGGGGCCGAGAACACCGGCACCAGCGGAGGGGATGCCGCAAGGAGCTCCTACGGCTAGTCCTTCTCCTCCTCCAGTTCCCCTGCCCATCGCCGTGGCGAACGCAATGGCCGAACCAGGCGGAGAGCAATGAAGAGCCGTCGACGCGAAAGCTGGCATGCAGCCTAGATTTCTCACTTCTAGCACGGCAATACAAGCATTTCGGAAAGATGCAGTATGCATTATCTAAGTATTCGGTCCGATTGATCGATTGTCCCACCTACCGCCATCCCTGCCTGACTCGAAGACACACCCACGTGGAATACATATTCTCCACACGACGAACCGGTTTTCATAATCAGCCGAGACAGCGAAGGAGAGGACGAACCGCTCAAGCCGGGGAAAGGGGACCTCATTCCCCCAAAGGCAAACCTACGTCTCAAAGCGACGAGACCCGTCTCCAAAGAAGCCTCTGGCGATTACCCTCTTCTGTTTCCAGCGGATGCTTCTCGCGCAAGCCACGACGAGAATACGATGAACAAGGGCTGCCGGGAAAGGGGGGCCAGAAGGGGGCTCTCCTCATTCATTTTGCTTCCCATTTCACCCCGAGACGCGATGACATGTTCTCCGAGAACTCTACGAATCAGCAGGTATTGACTTTCCCTCGGCGTCGTCAGGGGTAGATTCTATCCTGGTATGCGCTGGTCTGGGTTCTCCTGGGTTGTGTTGTGTTGCGTTGCCTTGCAAGCGAGGTGTTGGTGGAGTTTGGTATAACGGTACATGGTATATGGACCAGCAATGCAAGCGATTCGCTTTGAGGTCTTTACAGGGGTTTTGCAAGTGAGTCGGGAAGACAAGAGAGAGAAAGAAAGAAAGAAAGAAAGATAGATAGATAGATGGAAAGAGCTCTGTCCTCAACCTCAGCCTTGTCATCACGCACGCCGCTAGAGATGTGTCTCTTATTCATGGCTCATGGACCGAGAAGACCGACCGATGAGAATTACCTTATTGTATTACCTTACGTATTTCACACTGTAGGCTCTACACAGCCAATAACGCTGTCCACGACCCAGAACCCGTGAGTAGTGACTGCGTGGATCCACCGTGCGCAAATCCCAAGCCACGACCAACGCTGATGCAGACGCTCGTATGCTCATATGTATAGGCAGGTAGGTATATCAATGGGGAACGAACGAACGAAATCCTCTCAAGCTCGGAGGCTAGAAAGGGAGGTATAGGAGAAAGGGGAGGAGTGGGGAATAGAGAGATGATGTTGGGCCAATTCAACAATGTCGACTCTCGAAAAGCCGGGTCCAGGAATCTCGCGCGGCCACGGGGCTTGATCAGGACGGGTCCAGCGGGAAGCGGTCCACGAAGCGGAACGTGCGCAGCCCGCCCTCGAAGGCCGTCACGAAGCTGGCCAGGTCCGTCGAGTTGTTTTGGGTGTACACCCCGGGCGTCCCCGCGGGGATGGCGGCGACTCCCAACGCGGTGCTACCAGCGGCGGCGCCGTCGAGGGCGCCAACGGGCTTGCCCCAGCGGTAGGCGTCGAGGAGGATCTGCAGGGGGCGGGCGGCCGGGTAGAGGGCCGAGGTGGAGGCGTTGGTGGTGAAGAGGGCGGTGGTGCCGGTCGTGACGATGACGCCGTCGAACCCGCTCGCGTCGGCGGCCGAGTACGTCTGGTTGACGGGGCCGGTGAGCACCTCACCCACGATGGAGGGGAAGGCGCCCGCTTGCGCGAACGACGCGGCCAGCGCGGTCGCCTGAGCTAGGGACGCGGGCGAGGACACGCTGGCCAGGATGCCGACGTTGAGCGCCGCGATGGTTGGCAGCGACGAGTTGAAGATGGACACGAACGCGGTGCGGTTGTTGTGGTAGTAGGTCGGGTCCGGTGCCGGGGCGGGCACGCCCAGCACGCGCGCGAGCCGCACCGCCAGGTCGTTGTCGACGCGGTTCAGCTGCGTGATGACGTTCTGCTTGACTACCGGCGACGTGACGTGCGAGGCCTCGAAGCGCATCGCGTTGATCAGGAACTGCTGCTCCGCCGGGATCAGCGAGTTGTAGAACAGCCGCGGCTGCGACCACACGTCCGCAAACGTCGGCGACTTCTCCCGCACCAGGTTCCCGCCCACCGTGCGCCCAGGCGTCGTGAAGAACCCGTTCCCCACCGTCTGGTTGGTCTGCATGGGCGAGCCGTTGTTGCCGGTGTTGGGCGTGTACGCGTCCACGTTGAGCGGGATGTAGTTCTGAGCAGCTCCGTCTCGGTTGTTGTTGTGGATCGGCACCCGGGGCCGGTTGATGGGCAGTTGCTCGAAGTTGGGGCCGCCGTGTCGGTTCAACTGCGTGTCAAGATAGGAGTAGATGCGTCCCTAGGCGATGAGGTAAGTAGGCTGGTTCACTGCAATCCACAGGATCCAGACGCACCTGAAGCAGAGGATCCTCTGTAAAGTCGATCCCGCGGACGATGTGGCCCGGTTGGAACTGTAGCCTCTGTCAGCCTTGTCCTCCCAGAACGGTATCGAGCGGTGATAATACCATGATCTGTTCTGTTTCGGCAAAATAGTTCCGAGGGTTCTGGTTCAGAGTCATCTTGCCCAGAATGGTGACTGGCACGATTTCCTCCGGCACGATCTTGGTCGGGTCGAGAAGATCAAACCCGAAGCTGAGCTCGTCGGACTCCTCCATGATCTGTACCCCGAGTTCCCATTCTGGATACTGACCAGCCTCAATGGCGTCCCACAGATCCTGCCTGTGCGAGTCGATGTTCTTTCCGGACAACACCTGGGCTTCCTCCCACACCAAGCTTGCCTTGCCTTGTAGCGTCTTCCAATGCCACTTGATCAACTTCGAATTGCCGTCCTCGGTTACGAATCGGAAAGTATGAACGCCAAAGCCATCCATATGCCGGAAGGATCGTGGAATGCCATAGCCGGCCATAGCCCAGAACAGAGTATGCAACGCAGAGGGCTGTTGACTGAAGAAATCCCACGCTGTGGTGTGGGCGGTGCCTCCCTGTGGAATTTCCCTGTCGGGCTCCGGCTTCACAGCATGTATCAGATCCGGAAACTGGATCGCGTCCTGGATGAAAAATGGCGCAATGTTGTTTCCAACGATGTCTGGCATATCAGAATCCGATTAGAAAGTTACCAGTGCTGAAAATGCAGACAATGCCCCAGTGGACCTACCAAAATTTCCAGCGTCGGTGTAGAAACGGGTTGCAAAGCCATGGACGTCTCGGACTGCCTCTGGGCTGCCTCTGCTTCCTGCAACGGTAGAAAACCGGGCAAACATGGGAGTCTGCTTCCCTGCTGCAGAGAGAAACGAAGCGGCGGTGATATTTGACCAGTCGGCGTAGCTTGTGAAGACGCCATGAGCTCCTGGCGTGGATCAGCAACCTGTAAAGACCGAACCCTCAGCTGAGGCTCAAACATACCTGTACCTCGTGCATGAACTGCTCTCTCCGGAACCTGCACATCAGCATAGGCATTAGCTGACTACTTCCAAACGCACGACCCATGTCCCTATCTGGGGAAGTATAACTCACCCGTTCATGATCAAAGTGCTGGATCTTCTGTCTGAACATAAAGTCTTCCAGAAGCGTCGGTCCCCTGATCCCCGCCTTCAAGCTCTCTTGGTCCTGGATCGGTCCCCCGACATCCGAAGTCATGTACGTGTCGGTGTCATTGAGCGTGAATTGGTCAAGAAAAGTGTCGACAGGAGCCGTGCTGTTGGAAACGGAAGTCTGCCGTTTCGAATAAGCCTTTGCCCCGTGTCCCGACGATTGTTCCTGGAATCCTTGGCCACCTTGCATGTAGGGACAAGCGGCCAAGGTCCCTTGAGCAAAGTAGAGGAGTGCGACCGTGGTCCCGACCACGGCTGGCAAAGCATGGAGGTTGAGGAGTGGAGAACGCATGGCGAGAAGGGGTTGCACGACCTGATCTCATGGGGATCACTGTTTGGACTCAAGTCGAAATTTCAGGAGGGCCGTTGCCGTCTCCGTGGTGGTTTATATATGAAGGTGTCAGAGCATCTCGTTTCCCGCTCATGCCTCTCCTCAAAAAAAAAATAACCATGCCCCTGCGCGACGATGCATAATGCAAGAGGCCACGCAACGACTTCAGGTAACGCAAGCGAAATACCACTTTCCGTCAGCACCACTCGACCGATTCAGTACACGTTCAGCGAGATTGGAACCACAATTTTGAAGGGCCATCTGCGAGGAAGGGTAAATCGGACAAGTGTTCGACAACGAGGCTGAAATGGATGTCCGGCATGATGGGCGAGCTAGTAGCGTATTGTGGTGCAACCGGGAATGGTACGGAAAACATCTCACCTGCCTTCAGGGTTCCTGGAACGCAGCATACGAAGCTTTGTCGACCAATTGCGATTTTGATATTGCTAATCCTCGTGAACCATACTCGACCAAGCAGGGAGGTGCGAGGTCGACGGGGGATCTCGCTCACCTGAGTCCTCAGCGAACTCCAAAAATTGCTTACCTTTCCTGTGCAACCCGGTGGAACATATGCGAAGCCTCTTGACTAATTGAAGCATTCCAATTGCCAATCTTCGCTCGCTATGCTCGATTGAGTAAGCTTGAGCGACGTCGACGTGCCATATTGAGGTCGAGTCGTACGAGAAGACGGCATTGAATGCCGGGGGGTTCAACCCCGTGGTCACACCGGTTGTACCAGCATGATCGAGATGGACAGTCATGTATCTCAGATGCAGATTGGTGGACTAGCTCTGAGCTCCGTGAATTCGACCTCAAGACATGTCGTAGGAAATGCTAATGTCTCTGCACTCTTCAGCGTTCCTAGAGTTCTGATGCCATGGTCCTCTGATTCGATGAACATCCTCAGGAAGGGCGTCTCGCAGTCATGGCCGTTTGGGGAGAGACGATCGCAACCCTCCTTTTGCTCCAATTGCTCGAAACCCTCCCGTAGCCAGCCTTGTGAGCAGAATTCGGACTTCGGAAGCATTGCAGCTGCCGTGTCCCACTTGGGGCCAGTGACATTCTCTGTGGAGATGGTGAGACCGCATCTGTGGGGAGCCGCTCGACCTCTGAGACGTGCAGGCGCTGCAGCGAAGGACCTTGGACAGGGCATGTTGCTGCAAGACCATTGCTGCCTCATCTCCTCTTCGGGCCGGACAGTTCGAAATACGCACAAATATCTCAGGAGATGACACGCATTCAAGGAACGAGTCAGACAATACCGTAGGCTGACGGGCCTGCGCACCGCTCAAACTCCGCAGAGTGACGTAGACCAACGTTGACGCTCGTCCATTCATCCTCTTTGAATAACTCTTTCTGCATCGGAGTCTGGTTTACCATTTCCATCAGAATGGGTCTCTCGCGGATGTGCAGGTGAGGATGCTACCGAGCTGGCCGGCCAGGATGTCGAGAGTCATCCACAGGGCGGTAGAGAGGAGAGGAAATGACGTAGACTCTTGCATGTGTCAAGAGGTGAACCCTGCTCGAGGTCAGATGTGAAGACTCTGCAGACGAAGCGGCGGGTAAACCATGACCATGGGCAGAGACATGGCATGCACCTTCATGCTCACCTGAAGAGGCGAGACTCGTACAACGCGAAAATGGAAGCCAAGAGAAATAAAGACAATGTCGACATAGACGATAGTTGATGTCCTGACACTGACGGAGCTTGTAACACGAGGAATCACAGCACTCCGGCGCGTTCTAGAACAAGATGAAACAGCAGTGCTCAATCGAGTCATCGTCTGAACCCGTAAGAATAAAACGTTCCGGCTCGAAGTTCATATTATCAACCCGAGACATGGCCTCAGCCTTGGTGTGCAACTCCTGGAGCCCATTGTCTCAAACCCGTTGCATTCATACCATACTCATATCCGTCATCATAGGCTTCCCGTCGTGTATCCATCAAACGCCCATGGTAAAGTCATGCTCGATCCCCGGCGTTACGCTCGCCATGAACTTCAAAAAGACGACCAAATACTGGTCCACCCGGATCGCCACCTTCTCACTCTCCTCTTCATTACTGTCTTGCTCATCCAGCACCTCCCACTCGTCTCCCGCACCGCCATTAGCTGCTTTCACGCCCGCTTCATGTCCACGCTTCTGCTCAGCGAGACTTAGATTTGTCGTGTCATCGATCAGGCCTTCCATGCCTGAGACGTTGGCGGCGCCGCCCGTAGCTTTTTGTTTTTCCAGTCGAAGCTTCAAGGCCACGTCCGCCCGGTCAAGGAGGATCTTCATCACGCTGGCGTGTTTGCAGGGGTGAATGCTCGCCATTTTCACGCTGTTGTCGAAGAAGGGGAAGTCTTCCAGCGTGACGGTTTTGTCTTTGTAGTCGCCGACGATGTCTTCCATCATGAGGTGTGGTGGAAGAGGCTCGCTGGGAGAGAGGTACCCGGAGAGGTACATGCGTGGAGTCCGGTAGTAGGGCGTGTAGGTTATGTAGAGGGTGTATGTTCGAAGCGGCCTGCGACTTGTGTCAGCGAATAACAGCCTTACTGACGGGGTTGAGAAGAGTGATACTCACGCGGAAGTCCCTTCGCTCTTATCTCTTATGATGGCCTCATTGTCATCGTCCTCATCCTCCATATCTGGGATTTCTTCCTCATCCTCTTCCTCGGTGGCTTTTTGACCGAGTTGTCCGCTCTCACTCATCGTCCTCACCTCCGCCCTCAGACCTTCTTGCTCTTTCTCCGTGGTTCCCCCCGTCCTTAACCAGCCATCGTCTTCACCGCCGCCCGTGTCCTCGTCGGGACCGCCTAGAAATCCATCTCTGACGAGATCATCCGCAGCGCCGTGTCCCCCTGCAAAGTTCTCATCCAGCCTCCTGTGACAAGGGACTCCTCTTGTGACGAGAAATTGTTTGTTTTCGGGCAGATAGCTAACGCGTCTTGCAGGACTCGAGGCGTCAGACCAGGACCACGACGGGAACTTATAGACCAGGTAGTCGCCCGCGAGGAGGAATTCCTCGGGCGTGATTTGGCCCGTGCTGCGGAAGGTGGAGGTATGCCGGATAGGCGCGTAGCGGTCACGCAGTTGATCGAGGCCGGAGCGGAGATACTGCATCGTTTGACGAGAGAGAGGGCGGTTGCGTTCTGAGTTTGGCGGAGTTGGATGTTGTGGATGTTTTGGTGTACCTCAATGACTTATGCTCCTCTATCCGGTGGAGCGCGCGAATAAGGATTCGATTTGGGTGATACAAAGTAGAGAAGAGTGTCTAGCGAGTAAATAGACGATTGCAAGTAGGCTGCACTCGAAGGTGTTCGTGACCTCGCCGCCTTGACCGTTGAGGGGAGGGTATGACGAGAGTTTGCTTTGTTTGGTGTGTTTGTTGTATTTGCGCACGGTCAAGCTCAGCCTCGTCTTCCTTTCGTGACTATGCAACACGGGGCAACTCGCAAACAGGGGAAATCGAGATCGATTGGAATACCCCAGGTACCAATATTAGCTGGGATAAGAGTAGTTTTGGGAGCAGTTAGTAACTATTCATCTCTTTGCTGTGACGATGCCGAGCACAGATCAAATCGCATTTGCGCCAGTGGCCGTGAATAATCCACCGTAATGTACGTCGCCGCATAAATTACTACGCGAAGTTTGACGGCACTTGTCACCACCACTGAAATTTCCCTCCACTCCGCAGAGACGCTCTTTTCAGACTCCATTCAAAGCCCTGACTCCCTCTCAAGCCTTTCTGTTCTTACAGCCATGGACGAGCGCCCAGCAAAGCGCACGAAGCGCACAACCAGCGCCGCCATGTGGGATGAGGACGAGAAGACGGATTCGCGGCCGAGTTCGAGCGGACGGGACCACAAGCCCAAGGCGCGCGACGGCCGGGACGAGGACCGCCGCGGACCCAGACGAGACGATGACCGCAGAAGGAGATCGAGGTCGCGAGACACCCCCGACAGACGGAGGGAGCGGAGTAGGTCTAAGGAGAGGGCGGCACCACGTGAACGAGATCGGGACCGGGACCGTGACCGCGACAGGAACAGGGACAAGGAGCGGGAGCGGGAGCGTGATCGAGATCGCGATCGAGACAGAGGGGGTGGAGGTGGGCGGGACCGGGACGTCAATGGCCACGGCCGGCGAGAGAGGAGCAGGAGTCGTGACAGGCATCGAGATTCGAAAGGTAATAGTCCACTCCACTCTCTGAATATGCGTTGCTCTCGTGCTCACGCGACCACAGACTACCGAGCTGAACGCTCACACCGACGCTCACGATCACGCTCACCGGCCAGGAACAGTGGTCGGGATGCGGTGCGCACACGCTCTCCTCTTCGACGCAGTGATCACGATCGGACCAGGCCTCGAGACCGGAACAAGCCCGACGATGAAGCATCAAGGGCGCCCGACCCCAGAGAAAAGGAGACGACGGCACAGCCCGATAAGCCTGTGACCAATGGTGACGCTATGGCCGTCGACGAAGATGACGAAGACGCCCTACTGAGGAAGATGATGGGGTTTACCATGTTCAAGTCGACGCAGAATACGAAGGTGCCTGGTAACCAGATCTACGGCGTGAGGAAGGAAAAGAAGACGACTTACCGGCAGTACATGAATCGTGTCGGTGGATTCAACAGACCGTTGAGTCCGTCGAGGTGATGGATTGGCGGATCAGTGCTAGGGCTATCTGCGAGGGCTGGCTACCTGCGTGTATTATCAGATTACGGGGACAGATGAGTTTGGGGGGGAACACAGCCGAGAATTCTAGCAGATTGCAGCAGACTCAAAAGAGTACTTTCAGCTTCATGCATGCTTCACTCTCTGGTATCTATCAGCTGGTGGGCAAATGCCCCACAACCCTAACGCTGTTGTTTTACAGATTGATGAAGAGTCCAGCCACGACCAAAAAGGCATAGAAGCACAATCTTTCCATCGGGGAGTTGAGCCAAGCGTCCATACGACCTGATGCCGCATTCGCGGCGGAATTGGCTGATCCACCCTGCCCACCCTGCCCACTCGACCCTCCCGATCCGCCCTGCTTCGTGGCGGTGGCAGAAGCGGCTGCAGCAGAAGCAGAAGAGGCTGACGAAGCGGAAGCCAGAGCTTGGGCCTGGACCTTTGCAAAGGCCGATGCCGCCGGTGTAAAGCCCGGGCCCGATGGCGCATCTGTCTGAAACGCCAGACACCGCGTGGGGAGTGCGGCCACGGGTACGGTCGCCAGCTCCCAGGAGCTGGAGAAGTCAAGATGGGGAAGCAGGTCGACTTCGGCACTCATGTCGAAGCCCACACCCAACTCGACGCCCATGGCGACGTGCGTCAGGCTGTGAAACAGGTGCTCAAAGTCGGCCTGGTACGCCGGCGCTTCGCTCGAGTTTGCGCAACTAGCATTAACGGCATCCGTGGCCAGCTGGGTAATGGCGACGGTGGCCTTGGGAAGGTCAAGGGATGTGCCGACTTCGGCGGACAGGCCCCCCAGGATTTCCACGCCGAGGGTGATCCGTGGCGTCAAGGAAAGGCTGAGAGAGAGGTCGATGTCGGAGATGTTGGCTTGGAAAGGGACGTCGGTGATGGAGATGCCGTCGCTGCGGACAACGTTAGCCGGACCGTAGACGTATCCTCGTGTGTTTGGCGGCTTACAGGCCTGTCACGTTAGATGAGGTCGGGTTTGCAAAATCAAGGTCGACGGCCAGGTTTGGGATCTGACAAGCACACATGTGAGCGGGCACTCGATAACACTCCGGGTGGAAAATACCTTCAGCTCAAACCCATAGGACATTTCAATACCGCCAGACAACTCCCAACCCAACGACAGCGTTGGCTCGACGAGGATCCCACCCGACCCGAGCTCCGGAATCTTTGCACAACACACGTCAGGAATCACATGGCTCTCTGAAGCGAGCGGCATGGTCGGTGGCTTACCGTGAATCCGAAAACCGGGATCGTAAACAAGGTCAGACTCATGTCTCCTTTCAAGCTGGGCTCAATTTGTATCTCCACGTGCGCAACGAAGCCCTCGATGTCGAGCTGCACATTCCCGGCAGAGATGATGTCCGTCAGGTCCCCAGCGCCATCCCAGTCGAACGGGGACAGGATGCTCCACTCGCCTTGCGCGAGGGTCAGAGTGCCGTCGGTGCTGCATTCCTTACAGCCGATTTTGATGGGGAGCTGAGCATCGGTCCCAGGCACGGTGTCTGGGAACCATGTGTCTTGGACGCCGTGTGTGAGATTGATGGACAGGGATGTGGCGGTTGCGGTCGAGGTGTCCGAGGGGATCAAGGATGTTGCTGTCAGGTCGAGCGGAGCGGAAGTCGGGGTTGGCGTTGTTTCCTCTGAGGATTGTCTTCGATCCAGACGCTGGGGCTGTTTTGCTAGTGGATGTACTTCATTGGTGTGTCCGAACTTCAGGTGGAGGTTGTGGAAGGCATCTCGCAGTGTTGTTTTCTCTGTCTGGAGTATCGCGGCATTGTACTCTCCCTCAAAAGCGATAGAGCGAATTCTTTACCAGTCAGTCCCGTCACTACCACAACGGTCAAGTCATTGCTTGCAAGAAATCTGCTTACTGGAATGTGGTCCGTTCGCCATCTTGGGAGCAGTTCGCATGGCTAGCGACAACGTAGGCGCTTTCCAGATTGCTCCATATCTGTCTTGCCTCATGAAATGCCGTAGGGGTGCGGAAGACAATAGTGATTTCTTGATAGGAGCACTGTATATCCGCAAAGAGGTCTTCCATCTGCTCAAGCACAAGCACTGGCTTGTTCGACTGAAACCGGACAGTCGAGAAAAAAGCCGGACTTTGTTGACCATCGCCTGGGACGTCGGTCAGTATGAAGCGCTGCTACATGCCAACTAGAACTCACCGTCTGCATAGGCCAGTTCAGCGCTGTGAACGGGCCTGAGATCCGCCCTTCTTCTGGAGAGTTGTGGATTCCTTCTAACAGGTCTCAAACTATGAAAGCCGTCTCGGTCTGACAGGACTGTTGCCTCCGCGAACGGAACGGCCTCAAGGACGAGGCCATGAATAATGAGAATGGGGAGAAGAATATTTGCGTGGTGGAGATGCATTTTGGAATCACAAGAACGAGATGGCGATGAACCATCTTCCAGACAGGCCTACCGTGACGTTTATGTAGACAGCATCCCCCGGAGGATTCTTCATGATACACTTCCAGGGCCGTATCTCATCATTCTTCTTGCGGTCGAGAACGCGGCTGGTGTCTTCTCCGCTCTCATCTGTGCCGAAGAGCTATCGAAGAAGTATGCGGCTTGCAGCTTGCATGAACGAGTGTGACAGTGGCGTTCTGCGCGGCAAGGGCAAGCGACATAATGAGTCTGGAATGTCGACATGGATAGAAAGTTTGGCCCCAATATAGCGCAGCATGCCTCTCGATAGAGGTAAGGGGGGATGAAGGCAGTAGTGGTATTCGATCTCTGCTTTCACTGGTGTTCCAGACGCAGGCATTCAATTGAGAAGAGCCAAAAACATGCAGGGAAACCCATGGTCGGCAATGATACGAGGCTCTGAGATAAATAGCTTGCACAGCACAGATACCTGCGCCGAAGCTGCCGATGTGAGCATTTTCCAGCATTTTCGCAGCGCGGTATGCCCGTGCACATCGTTTGAGGACACAATAGACTGTTTTGAAGTAGTGTCAGTGGTCATCATAGCGCCGCGCGGGAGACGGATCATCCTGGAAAGCCTGGTGTGGCCTCAGACATGATGTTCACTAGTCGCGGGTCGCGGCAAAGTTGGCCCCAACTATACAGCTCCTGATGGATACGGTCCCTCTCATGCATGGAGCTTGGAGACGATGTAGAGTGTATCATGCCATGTGGACGTACGCCTTCAGAAAGCGGGCTCTGCAAAGGTTTCTAGTCGTCTGGCCAATAAGTGAGTCGGCGCTGGGTAGCGACAATCCACTGAGCTAAGCAGGAAGATCCAAAAGGAACGGTTGACAGGCGCAGGCGGGCACCTCGGGCCTAGTGGATAGATGAAACTTGACGAGCTTCAGTGTAGTGCCAGCCGTGAGTAGCTACCTGAGCGAGCACCGTCGCAGTCCGGCATCGCGGCAATCTTTCGGAGGCGGTGCTCTCAAAAGAACATTGTGGAGATCGTCACGGGGATTCATTGTGGATGCGAGGAGAGGGAGATGCACTGCGCCTCGCTGCTGTGGCAGAGGAGGTATCTTCGTGCCGGAAGGTGAGACAGGATTGATGGAAGATGAAACTGGGAGAAAGTCGCAGGGGGTTGAGAATGGTAGACGCGGGGCTTGGCACGGACAGGCCAGCCTCATCTTCCTCACCTCAGCCTCGTCGTGCCAATTGCCTGACGGCGTCAGCATCTCACGCCATCTATCCTCTCCGTCGATGAGAATGCTCAGAGAAATCCCGCAAGTACCGGGGTCATTTGCACTGTGAGGCGCGAACACTTTCTATATTGGGCAGCCGTTCCAACTCTCCGGTCAATCAGAGCTGCATGAAGCACCGAAGGGAACTAAAAAATACGAGGGAACCTGAGTCTTCAGTCAGCCACCAACATTGGCGCACAGCTCGCTCAGGAACTCCTGCCAAAAGGATTCAGAAAGATCGAGTGCGCTCTAGCTTGAGGGAAGAATCTTAGTATAGATGAGTCCGATCGGTCCGCATATAAATTTGCCATGGATGACCACTGTAGATTTGGGCCTGGCTGTAGTATACCGCAGATGTGTCTTTCTCAGCCCAACGTGTTGACACTCACTGAACCCAGACTGCTGATCGAAAAATATGAAGATTGCAGCCATTGCGACTCTTCTCGTCATTGGCACAGGGTCGGTGAGTGGTCACCCGCCCTCGACACGCGCCCTCGGAGGGAACGTCGTCGTTCGCAAGTTCGCCACGGGGAGCAACACCTTCGTCGATACCACTGTCGCGATCGATGTGAACGGGGACAAGACTCTCCAATCTCTCAAACGTTCGTCTTCTGCCGTCTCCCACTGCCAAAGTAGGCCAATACTGACCCCTCCAAACTGCTAGCACTGAGTCATCCCCGGGCTGTACAGATGATTTCAACCACATCCGACGCGAGCTATGTCACCTGTGACTATACTTGCGGACATCGAGGCGCTGTGGACGGGAAGACGGCGATCTGTGGCTCAACCACCATGAAGTTCGGCGCGGCATCCAATATTCTCGACGCCTCTTGGGTGGATTCGGTCGACGAGGCCACTTGCTTCGTCAGTGCCACTGATCCAACAGTGTAAGATCGGGGGCTGGACGGCGTATGTCAAGATCTCTGACAGCTGTAGGGTTCATTTTGACGACGGGCAGTAAATGATGGTGGTATCTGAATCCGCGGACGGGGGGGTTTGAAAAGGCTTCAGGGAACTTTCATCTTGTTGGTATACAGTAACTGTCCCAGCTGTTGTCAGTACTGCTCGCAACATTTACCGCCCACTCTTCACTTAGCGACTTGCGCCCTACCAAACCAGCGCAGACAAAAAGCCCATTGGTCATATGTGCAGAGACGAGACGATGTTGTGGACTGTGTCGAGCGGGTGCGAGCAGGTCGGTTGGTGTCACTTAAGATATGTCGCTTCTCGTGAGATAGACGACTCAGTTCTCGCGACCCGGTCGGTGCATGGCTGATTGGCGGCTCGCCGAAATGTCGCCAGCTGGTGCCCGTCCCAGCTACGCGAAGTTTCTTGACCTGCCGTCGCCCGCTCTGTTCGCATCCATGAAGCTCTTCCAATCGGATGCGATATGGTCGGCCTGAAGGTTTCCAAGAGTGTGAATACGCCGTTAGTGGCCTCTTCGAATACGATATACGACTATCCGTGTCCAAGGTACGCTCCTCGCTCCATGGTCAGCCAGCTCAGGCATCCATCATGCATAGCTACAAAGGCCGTCTCTCTCTCTGAGCTCGTGTTCTCCTCCTCCCTACCGTCTCCGACGACCGTCGTGCGACGAAGTCATACTCCACCATGGCGTTGAATTCCACCGTCGTGACGCTCGTCTGCATTCCGCTCCTGGCTATGCTGGCCGCTCGCACGTATGGACTGGTGGTCAATTACCTGCAGGCAAGAAAGCTGGGGATCCCCATGGTCATCCTTCCCTTCTCATGGCATGACGATCTGTGGATCATTATCTACCCCTGGTTCAGGCGTCTCCGAGACTTGCCTGGGATAGGACATATTTTCGTCTTCAGCTATCACTCCTGGGCCCAGGATGAGCGATACCGTCCCCACCAGACGTACGGCGACGTGTTTGTGATCGTCGCCCCCACAAAGAACGAGATCGTGGTCAATGACCCCGTCGTGGCTGTTGAGCTGCAAACCCAGTACAAGTCGTGGATCAAGCCTCAACCGCTCTATGAGATCTTCGAAAGTTTCGGGCCAAATGTCATCAGCATCAACGGCGAAGACTGGCAGCGTCACCGCAGAATCGTCAACCCAGCCTTCCGGGAACAGAACAACAAGCTCGTGTGGGAGGAGTCGCTGAGACAGGCGAGACAGATGATTGAGGCCGTGACCAACCGAGTAGATGCTAGCCGCACGATGCTCGACGTCCGGAACGACTGTGTGCTGATCGCTATGCACGTCCTCTCCGCCGCCGGGTTCGGACACATGCACGATTTTGACGGTGGCTTGGGTGAGATCCCGCAAGGACACAAAACCAGTCTTGCCGAGTCGTTGAAGTTCCTCCTCCAGAACATCCTCTTCTCCGTGCTGTTTAAAAACATGCCCACGCTGCGCTTCATGATGCCTGCCTTGTATCGACAGCTCACCGCCATGACGAACGAGTTCACGCAGTACATGAAGGAAGTCATCGCCTACAATCGAGCCATCACACAGGGCGGTGGCAACAGTAACGGCGCCGACATCGTCAGCGCCCTGGTTGAGGCCGACGAGGCGGCAAAAAGAGAACAGAAGACGTTGGCGCACGGCGCTGGGGGGAAACCGATGTACCTCAGTGACTCCGAATTATTGGGTAACTTGTACATCTTCAACTTAGCTGGCTTCGAAACAACCGCAAACGCACTGACATACACGATACCGTTCTTGGCCACCAATCGTGAGATCCAGGACTGGGTCGGCGACGAAGTGGACACCGTGCTGAAAGGGAGAGACGCTGAAAAGCTCGACTATGAAGGAGTATTTCCACAACTTGTGAGGTGCCTGGCGCTGATGGTACGTTGAATCTATCCGAACCCACATTTGCGAGCTCACAGACCTCAGTATGAAACCCTTCGCCTCTGGGGACCGGTACCTAGTACGGAGCGGTGGTGCGTCGGTCAACCACACGCCATCCGAGTCAACGGCCAAGAGATCATGGTGCCCGTCGAGACATATGTGTCGCTGAATCTCTACGCCGTCCACAGCGACCCCCGCTGGTGGGGCGACGACTCACTCAAATGGAACCCACGACGCTGGATAGTAGCCGACCCGGCGACGGGAAAGGAGTCCATCGCCCATCCTCCGCCGGGCGCGGCGTTTGTGCCGTGGAGTGTTGGACCTAGGGTCTGCCCAGGGAAGAAGTTCAGCCAGGTCGAGTTCGTGGCCGTGATATCGACGCTGTTGAGAGAATATCGCCTGAAGCCGCTGATCATGGAAGGGAAAATGACGACGGAAGAGCAGGCCAGCTCGGCGTTGTTGGAGGTGCTAGAGGACTCGATGAACGTCATCACGCCGAAGATGCGTCGACCTGAAGATGCGGGCGTGGTGTTTGTTCGACGATGAGTCGGTGGAAGGATACTTCCTGCACCACTCGTTGCTTCGATAGTCCGTACGTAGCGATACCTCACTCCCTCCTCCGTCCTATCGAAACATACAAAGCATGCCCGTCCCACAATTTCCCGTCGTGGTCGAGATGGTCTTTCCAAATCCGCACCCATTCCCGCCTAGCCTTGTCAACGGCTTCGGCGCCTCCGTCTACCTCCATCCCGTCAAAAATGGCCTTCCACAGCCCACTCTGACTCGTCTTCTCTTCCAGCGCGTCCATCGCCTGATCCGCGCCGTACCATTTCTCAGGGACGTAGCTCCTCGTGCGAAAAGACTTTTCAATTTCCAGCCCGGCATCTTCAAACAGCTTCTGTAAGGTGGAGATACCTTCTATCCAGTCGAAGTCGTAGACCATGGATTTCCCCAGCGCGCGCCGGAGTGGGTAGTTGAGCAGGTACTGCAAGCTGCGATCCTCCGTGGGGACGTCGACGATCAACTTCCCGGCGCCGGGCTTTAAAAAGGTTGCCCAGTGTTTGATCACCTTTGCGGGATCCTCGAGCAAGACGAACGCGGAACAGCATGAAATGACATCAAAACCTCCCCTTTCCTTCAATACCTTTTGCACTTCCTCCAAGGAGGAAAGGTCAGTGATGTCTCCCAACACCCACTTCACTTCTCCGCTTCCCTCGGGGAGTGGTTTGCGTTTGGCTTCGTTGAGCATGGCCTCAGTGATGTCGACGCCGACGACGACGCCACTGGATCCGACTGCCTCAGCTTGAGGTATTGTGACCAGGCCGGTGCCGCATGCGAGGTCGAGAACGGCGCCGGCCTTGGGAGGAGGCAGCCACTTAACGAAGTCTCGGCTTAGTTCCACGTGCCAACCACCGTTGGAGAGATCATAGTTCGCGGCACGGGGTGTGTATTGGGCCAGCGTCTCGGCGATGAACTCGTTGGCGCGGGCAGACATTGTGCTGGCGTGGGTGAGGGTGGCCTGAAGTTGCTCAGGGCGGAGAGTGTCGGTGTCAATAGACTTGTAGATTTATGCAAACCCCAACACCTGGTCAACTCTGTGTTTTTTGTTTCGACGGCGACTAGACCCTGTGCAGCTAGATAAGTATAGGGATTGTCAGGCGTCATTGATCTATAAGACTCGCTTATACGAGAGAAAAAGATATAACAATGCTGTGGAGACTTGGATGTATGGAAAATAGAGTGGCGCAATTCGCATCCCGTATGGCGTTTTGCTGATCAACTACCAACCTGCTCACTCGCTCGCTGTGGATGTTCTGAACCGTCCTGTGTGATACCCTCCTCCTTTTTCAACTGTCTAATATGGTATGACCAAAAACAAAGCGCCTGGTCCAGGGCTGGGGAGAATAAAATGTCCGTTCGCAGTACAGGAGGGCAATCGTAGAGTTTCATAGAGCGGGAAGAACTTCCACGCTGATGGGCTCATCCAGAGCTTCGAACCCCAAAGAATGAAATATCGCTCAACTCATGAGAGGCCAATCTTCGTGATAGAGTAGATCATATGGTAGACTCTATTGAAGAGCTCAGTGTTACGTCGTTGTGTAAGATATCGTGACATCCAAGTGAGTTTGGAAGGATTTGGCCAGGCGGCGAGACGCGTGCGACAAGCACTTGTCTCGGGCCACTTGCCTCTAACGGAAGGGTCTCGTGACCGTCCGACCTTTTAACTCGTGCCCCTCCCACAACTGCAACCCAAAAAAATAGATACACAATGCTTCACTGATTCAGGGTCCGTAGAGCACAAAAAACGAGTCTGTCCAGAGCGAGAATCGAACTCACGACCTTCGGATACCTCTTGTGTTTAACAAGATCACAGTTGGAACTATGAGACCGACGTCATAACCAACTAGACCATCCAGACCACGATATTTTACTATAATTTCGTCGCTGCTTTATATATTTGTGTCTTATTGAACCGCTGAGAAGGCCGGTAACGCGGGGCTTTTGCGGCTAGCCAACGTGCTCCGTAGGTGCCCCCACACATCGCATCTCGGGGGGCCAACACAGAAACTAAAGTCGATGGACAAAGGCAGGTGCTCTTAGCCTTGCGGCATTTCAAGGGCTACTTCTCATCAGCCGTCTAACTCTTCTATGAACACAATGTGACCTTGTAATGTCTGAGTCTTGACAGGCTCTACAGATATGGAAGCTAAAGTGAGGTGAGTTGAGAGAGTAGCCACCAGCGAGATGTATCGCATGGATTCTGCCGGTCCTTCACTACTATCACAGCAATGCACTTTGACATCTGGCAGACTCGTCGACACCTTCCTTGTTGCATTTCAACCTTGTCTCAACTGCCTCAAGTTATCGTAAGGCTTGCTTTTCGTGTTGCTCACCTTTCGGTCCTTTGCACCCCTCACTGCTTATCTACAACGTATCGCTCGACTTCAAGGCTTCCTGAACCCTCATCCTTCTTCATATCAACTTTTCGGGCTCTCACACGCGACTCTACCTCTAAGGAGATGCATCATCATGGACAATGAAACATTGTTGAAATACGAGCTCGCTGAGATCGAGCTTGACAAACGTCAGCTACAGCTTGAACGTCGGGAGCTGGGGGTTAAACGACGCCTGGAACAGCTCAAGAGAAGAGTCGACTTAACTGATGATAACGCCGACTCAACTGAGGATCACGTCGTCGTCAAGTCTGAAGCTGATCCTGGCGATGCTGACAAAATTCGAGCAGCTACGCAAAATCGGTCTTCTGCCGAACAGCAAACAGACACGATTGCAGCTTCCCCCGCCGCAGAGGATACCCCAGCCAGCCCGGTTGAGAATACTGCTGTCGAGCGGCTGCATCAAAAGGTGGACAAAGGAAAAAGCGAGACCGGGAAGGAAAAGCATCGTGAGCAGAATGTAAAACGCACGCCCCACTGTGGCTAACATTTGTCCAGGCACGACACTCGATTCGCGCAAGTGGGACGAAGCGAGATCAGACCATGAGCTGATGGGGCGCCAGGCCTTCAGTTGTGAACAAGAAGAGCAGTCGACCATTCCGGTGAAGCCTCTGGATAGTCACGAAGAGCTCTTAGCAGCCTTTCGTGGTCGACCCCCGACTCATCCAGCGAACGTACCAGCTACGCGAAGGCAATCTCGGCTCTCCGACAACCTGACTGTTAGTTCAGAATCTGATGCCGATTCCGAAACAAGTTATTCTCCAGGCAGGCAAGACTCCAGGGCGAAGCGCAGGCGAATTTCTCAGAACGCGGGGAAGCAGCTTGCAGACGTCTCGGGCCCCATAACAAAATCTCAACAGTACAGCCTCGTTCGACATTACACCGGGCTTCTGCTGAAGCGCATGGCGGCAGTGGAATCTTCGCTTCCGCCGGACTGTTCTCAGAAACCGACGGTCGCATCAAAGATGCGAAGAACCACCAATGGATCGACGCATCACACACTCACTCTTCTTCACGAAGAGTTCGAAATGACCGTACGGACATATGCGAAACATCACCAACTTCGCCGTGTTTTAATGGAGGACCTGGATAAATTCGACGAAGCTCAACGTTACTGGTGGCCCAAATGTACAGCATTAACCACGCAGCAAGAGAGGACGTCTTTCATTGACAAAGTATTCCATGACATCGCGAGTAGCAGGTTCAGCAAGCAGGAGTTTGAGGTTGGACATGGAGCATTCGAGAATAACAAGGATTGAGGAGACACGTGGACCAAGTTGGAAAGCAAGCAAATGTACTCCGCCCGAGTCGTTCGATCAGGCTGGCGGATTGAGATGGAGTCGTTGGATTTTGGCTGGGATGATTTTTGGAAATGTGACTGAGTTGGAAGAGTCATGGCAAAGGTGTTCATTCTCCTCTACTGCGCGGATGACGGTGTCGTTCACAATATTGCAAGCGTGCTACTGGAGAGATCCAAGTGTGGAATTTGTGCATATCGCATGATACGATGAGGAAGAACGATCTTGAGAGGTCTACCTCCTCTGGTATTGTTTTCATTAGTGCGGCTGTCTTCCCATAGAGATAATTACAAGGAGTTGCTCAAACCAGTGTTTTCAACAGTGACGAGCCATGAGAGTGGCAGGATAGGCTTTCGACAGAGGCAATGCAACATACCGACCTAGGTAGGTATGCAGCAGAACGACATGGTCGAGTTCTCGGCGCTCATATTGGTCGTCTCCCCATATCATGTACTTGGGTATATATTCGACTTTTGGTCCTCACTTTTTCCCTTCTTCCACTCATCTCATGCCAAACACTCAAGGCCTGGCAATTGGCCCTGGGCACAGCTCGCACTCCGTTTCACCTCACCTCACCTTGACCGCACTGCTCTATGAGCGTGCCAATCCTCAGATAGGTGACCTTGAACAATGGACGACAAGGAGCTTTTCGACGCTGAGCTCGAAGAGCTTGAACTCGAGCAGCGTCAACTTGACCTCGATCGTAAGAGGCTGCAACTTCGGCTGCGGCGCGCCAGGCCGGATAGTCAAGTCCAAGAGAAGGCGCACGCAGTTGATGAAGTCACAGGAGCTGGGCGAGTCACGGCAGGCACTGAACAATTCTCTAATCTAGGTCGAGGTGAGGCGACTGAGATCTCGACTGCCGGCAACCGACATGCTGAGCGAGAAGTCGACCTTCCCTTGCCTCTGGTGGAGCAAGCTGACCCCGCCGGTCATTCATCAAAGCAGTACCCTAGCGGAGCGAAGGCCAGCACTTCGCCAGTGGCCAGGCTGAGCTCTTCACCAGGCATGCTGCACCCAAGCACCCAGTTGACAGACTCCAGCCGTTTGTCTCATCCAGAATCAGCAGTCCCATCTTTCGCCACCTCGCCCAAATATCTCTCGAGCTCCCAGACTACCTCACGATCGATGCCGGCTCTTTATTCGCAACAGGATGGTCTCGGCCACGTTCCAGCAATGTCTCAGCACAAGCGAGAACGCAGTCCCGGAAGCGAAGACGGCGATTGTGTGAAGAAGAATTGTATTCCCAGGGACAGAAACGAGAAGTGGACAAACGATACACAATACCAGGGCGAGGGCAACAAACTGCCACCCAAGGTCCAGCATCTGCCCGAGCACCAGGCCTCGGCCATCATTCGCAAATATGGAGAACGGCTCGTCCAGCGACACATGCAATCTTTCCGCAGACACGGACGGCGGGAAGCAAACGAGATAATCAAGGCAGGCTCGGAGATCGTCGACGGGCTGGTTAAGAAGAAGTTCAAGAGCCCCGAGGAACTGCACGAAGAATACGATCGCCAAATCCGATTGTGCTGCACAAGGGACCTCCAGAAACTCCTCATATTTGAGCTGCAAAAGTTCCGCCGAGCAGCCCCGACTTGGTGGATGGAGTGCGTGAAGATGAAGACGCAAAATCAGAGGTTCGAGAACGTGGCAAAGTTGTTTCAGGACGTCGGCGCAGGCGTCTTCGACTAGGTGGACACGTGCAGGCAAGAGGGTGCAGTCCTTGCAGCTTTCGGCACTGCGTCCAACCTTGGGATAGAGGCTATGTGGATAGATCAGTATGGGAGGGCTTGGGGCGAAAGTCATTGGTGCTGAGACCTCAATCCTAAAAACTGGAAACAAGCACATCACGGTAACGTTGTGCCGCTGAGCACCTTTGGATTGTGTCGTTTACCGTGGACCGGGGCATTGAGAGCGCTGGGGGGAGTTCGAAGGCAGGATCGAAATCGTGAGCTCAGTCCAGTGGCAAAGGCCCGTCCTTCCACTTGTCCATTGCAGCTTGGGCAAAATTGGCCATGCTCCCATAAGACAGGACGAGGAAGCCCAGGTCCTCCCGGTCAACATCAAACACTTCCCACCAATTCTGTTCGACCAGCTTGACACCAGTCTCTCGTGCCGCCAAATAGATTGCTCCCACCGCCAGCGCATTGGGTTGATGGGTGAGGTGGAGAAGCTGGGGTGACAGAAGGCCAGCGTTCAAATGTTCCAAGACCCTCTGGGCCAGCTTGGTGGCGGATACACCCAGGGCTTGCATGTATGTAAATGCAAGACTGTAGGGGAGCACGACCCGTGTGTCGAACCCCAGGCCGACCAGTATCATACTTTCGCACACGAACAACCTCTGTCTCTCTCTTTCGTAGGTTCCCTCGGACACGAAATAACTCTGAGGTTTGACATCCGTGGGGGCCCCAGCCGGGTTGATAAATCTCAGCGGCGAGGCTTCGGACGTGAGGTAGGCGTAGACGTTAATGACTGATCGAGGCGAGACCGGTGTCGCGGATAGTTTTGCGGCAAGGTAGATGGCAGCGGCGGAGTAGTTCTTGGGACTGAAGTTTCGACGGTTGTCTGGGGTAGAAGACACCAAGAACCGCTGAAGCAGCACAATGGCATGGGCAGTGACTTCCTGCATCAGGCGGAGGAGGATCCCAGCGGCGGAGGTCAACTGGAAATGGGCGAACCACACGGTCAGACTTTCGTCGTCCTCGACGTTTTTGAGCTTGAGCAGCTGTGATGAAGTGACCAAGGCGTTGGAGACGTGCTCCAGCGCAGGTATCGGCGCCATGTGGCGCAGTTTGAGAAGATCACATTTGTTTGCAACTGAGTGACGATGCGATGTCAAAGGTGGTTGTTGATGTGCAGGAAAATTCCGGCGGAGCATTGGACCCAGGGATGGCACTTCAACCACGCTGGCTTGTTGGCATTGTTCTATCCTGGACATTTAGCAACTACGTATGGATGCTGCAGATGAAGCCACATTGCCATACGTCTATCGGCCAGCTTTATATATTCTGGAGCTGGATGTAAATCAAGGCCGCGAACGCTCGTGGAAGCTACTGAGGTGGCAGCCTGGCCAACTCTGAATGTAGTAATCGCCTGTCTCGACAGATATCGTACATTGTTTAGGTCGTAGGAGATCAAGCTCATGACATTGGGCAATGTAGGACGCTGAAATGCTATTCTCATTCGGGTGGCCTCGTGGGATGTCGCTCATCAGATGTTCCTCGAGTAGCCTGGTCTTATTCCCCGCAGTCGATTGTTTTGCCGTTGAGCTCTTTGCCTCTCCTACCTCGCCATAATGTTACGGACTGTTCAGAGTCCCGACTGAAGGGCTGTATATTACTTCAACAGCGTGGGTTTAAGCTGTGGACAGGTCGAGTGAGAGACAGTTTCGGTGAGCCAACCTCTGTGCAACCGCAGCCCAGTGTTGACATCTCCAGGCAGCTCACCAACCACGCCATCCACGCACCAGAAAGTCAATGAACGGTTGAGCTGCAGGTCGCAATCAGCATCAACGTTACTATCTCACGAGCTCGCGCCTGTCGCTCCAGAATGTGGTCCTCTACGCAGTCCGCTGTTGCCGTCGTGGCTTCAGTGCTGAGGGTGTTCCAAGTCCACGCCCCCGTCCTGACACCAGACGCCGTCGCACAAAGGACACTGCTTCAAGATGATGGAGCCTCCGCTGGACCGCTTGTTCCTCATACGCGAGGATGCGTCGTCACCGAGACACTCATGATTCATTCCTTCGGAAACAGTTATGGCCACCCCTACGTAGGCCCCTACACCCCCCCTCAATGCGATTTCAACCGAGTGACGCTCAACCTCACGGTCACCGCCGCTGGCAAGCAGTTTGATCGGCTGGCTATAGCCTATTTCGGTGACATTGAGATCTGGCGGACAAGCACGGCGGAACCAACTCCTAATGGCATCGTGTAAGCTCTTGAGATCGAACTACGATTGCCTTATCCTAACCATCCGCAGCTGGACCTATGTCAAAGACGTGTCCTATCTCCTGTCGCTATTCACTTGCCCACAAACACTCATCTTCGATCTTGGAAATCTGATCAACGAAAACTACACCTCTCCATTCAATGTAACCTTGCAGGCAACCTTCTTCACCACTGACGACACGGAGAAGCGAGCGGATCTGATCATTCCAGTCGCAGCTGAGAGAAGCACCAGCAACAAATCCAGTATCAGGGACGATCGTCGAGATAGAGTATCGAGCACGCTGATACTGCCGCGGAACATCGAGCGGGCCGTCGTCACCGTCGCTGCGACCGGTCAGATGGCCGAAGGTACGTTGGCTCTTGGAAGAATAGAGACGCTTTGCTGATAAACGCCGTAGAGTTCTGGTATTCCAATGTGCTCTCTTCGAATGTGGATACCTTTGGGACCGATTCACTCTTGGGATACTCTCCTTTTCGGGAGATACAATTGTTGATTGATGGCAATTTAGCTGGCGTTGTGTGGCCTTTCCCGGTTATCTTCACCGGCGGCATCGTCCGCGGCCTTTGGAGGCCGATCGTGGGTATCGATACATTCGACATCCGCGAAGATGAAATTGACATCACACCTTGGCTCCCGCTCCTCTGCGACGGCGAAAGCCATTCCCTAGAACTTCGGGTTGTCGGGATTGATGACGACGGCAATGGTAGTGGGTTATTATCTGACTCTGTTGGCAGTTATTGGGTAAGCACAGCTCTACGACGGCGACGGACTCCGCTCATATTACACCAGGTCCTCGCAGGCAAAATATTTGTCTGGTTAGACTCCGTAGGGTCGATAACGACCGGCAGCTGGCCTCTGTCAGATGCGTCCGTTTGCACCATTTCTATGTCATCCACAGTCGGCACCACTTCGAATGGCACAAATTCCACCCTATCCTACGATGTCAACGTGGATCGCCAACTCTATATCTCGTCAGAAGTGCAGACGTCCCAGGGCACCAAAGTTGCAGTCTGGCAGCAATATCTGACATATTCGAACGAGGGTAATATCTCTGACTTTGGAGATGTCCAGGTCACCAGGCAGAACACATTTGGCAGGGCTATATCATCAGAAGGCTATTCTCGTACCTTCAGCTATCCACTCTTCGTCAACAGCACCCTCGTGCAGGATAAGAGTGCCGACACCCTTTCCATCGCCGCTGACCTGAGAAGGGCCCAGGCGATTGAGATCAACGGTCGTTCATTATTTCCAACCGGTTTGGAGTCCTTTGAATGGCCCTCTACAGAAGATGCTCGTGGACTGGGTGATCGCTCAAGGTTCAATGGTAGCCGCTTGACTACGAGTCAGAATGGCAGCGCCGCATACTTCAGTCACGGTAACACCTCCATCAGCCCGGGCACGACGCAGCAGGATTTCTCGCTCTACGGCATTCAGAGTTCCGCTCTGGGAAGCGGGCCGGCAAGCCTGATAGAATTGTATCACAGGCGCGTTCTCGCCGTCAATGACACGCTGGTTCGGGACGAAGTGTCTTTTCCAACCCAAGATGAGAAGGTTGTTTAGAGCCGGACTTTGGCGCTTAAATCAGCTGGAGTCGACTGATTCTCATCCAGATGCAGGTTGAGCTACTCACAGGAAGGAAGATCATTGAGCGGTTAAAGCAGCGACGTTTGCCTCTTACTGGCTCTTCAAACTTGGCTGACAACCCATCTCGCGCTTCTGGTTCAATGTCACGCAGTCGTGTTGTGTCTATCCATCAAGGAAGAGATGATGAATGAAATCTGACCTTGGCCAGGCCAGTTTGTGCATGGTTCAATATTCCGTCTCGATGGATCACTTCTGCCGTCGAGCTTGAAGTCTGGATTCGACCATGAATTCTGCACCGAGAGGCTGATAACGATGGAGCACCTGCCCTCGGTCTTTGACGACGCCACTGTCCTCCACGAACTTCTTGATGTCGAGAACCTCACACACGCCATTCCCTACGACAACCAGGGCTTCTGGGGCTTTCCGCAACGTCACGGGTTCACTGCGAAATGTATATCACAAGGATTGATTGGTGGGCATGTGGATGTCTTGGTGACCCAAGGTCCCTCGGCAGCTCGACTCCACACTCACACGAGCACGTCTATTCAAACAGATCACGGTTCTCCAACGAGTTTCATTCAACCCGACCAATGCGAGGACTATTCGATTTACTCTTCACTCCTCCAGTCATGGCTATACTTTGGCATGTTGCACGAATGTCTCCTTCATCCAGTGTCGGTCGACCGCTTCTTCACTACTGACAGGAGCGGACGCCAGGTTTTAAGCACCGACTGCCTCCGTGAGGATATTGATGCATGGGCAGCTCGGTTGAAAGAGATGTCAGTCGATCAGGCCGGAGAATGCATAGCGAACGGTGTCAAATGCATACTCTGGGTCAAAAATTCGGTAAGGACGATTTCAGATCGCATTCAAGCATTCCGGACGGAATATCTTCAGACTGTCTCCGTTTCCGTGGACACAAGTCGGATGCCAGAACGTCCGTCTGTTACAGCACGAGTCCGCAAAATGAACTTCTGGCATCACCACGGCAGGAGAATCCTCCCTGATAATCTCGAGCTCACGATCGCGGTGCTGGGTTATAGCCTCCACCATGCGGCACGGACGCTGTTTCTTCGCCTGGGTATCGGTGGCGAGGATAGTGCTGACTATCCACGACCCGCATTCTGGTACATTCCCCCCAGACTGAAAGAGCACCTCGCGGATCGCGGCTTCTGCAAACTTGACATTTACAGATTTCAGACCGACCTGGGGATTTTCGGCTCTTGCATGGCCTTAACCCTCAAGCCGCTGAACGAGAACAAGAGAAAGATCATGCACGACTCTTGCACAGAAATGCGATGTCAGGCCGACACCCTGGACCCGACGGCCTACGAACGAAAGCACGAAACGGAGGGATGCGACTGTTCTGAACTTCTGCCGGAGCGAGCTTGGCGCGATATGCTCAGCATCGTCGAGAGTGGCGGCACCCCAGTAGTCCGCTTAGATCTTGCTTCACCGTCAGTCGACGAGGAGCATGGGGCATTGGAATTCGAGGTGCTGGATGCTGGTCAGACTGGCCACCAGTTTGTTGCCTTCTCCCACGTCTGGGCCGATGGACGTGGAAACCTTGAAGGCAACGGACTCCTGCGCTGTCAGTGGCTTCAACTCCAAAGATACGCGCAAGGGTGCCGTGCTGACAACGCCCCTCCGCCACACGGCCGGCTGGGCGGAATCATGCCTTTTTGGTTTGACATCTTTTGCGTCCCCCGTAGCAAGGAAGATGACGACCGCATTTACAGACTTCGATCCAAGGCAATTCTCCGAATGTCGGAGATCTATCGAACTGCGGCGGTCGTTCTGATTGTAGACTCCGGGCTCGAGTCGATTGACAGGGAATTGAGCATGTGGGAATTCGGGATGCGACTGAATTTATCTAGCTGGTTGCGCCGCCTCTGGACTATGCATGAGGGTGCTGTCGCTGAAAACGTCAAGGTACAGACTACCGCGGGAGTGATTGATCTGCAACACCATTTGAAACGCCTCAATAATCTTATCGCGGTTGGGAAATCACCGGAACGAGAAGCCCAGCTGGACAAAGGGCATGTCTTTGATGCCCTGGGGTTGGTTGAATGTTCATCGGCATGGGCAAATTGTCTCAGCTTACTGCCAAAAATGCGTGGTCCGCGCATGGGACAATTCCTTTTCATGTTTGCCTGGGACGAGGCCGGGCGAAGATCAACGACTTTCAGCGCAGACCGATGCCTGGTGATTGGGTTGGTCAACAACGTCGACTCCGACACGCTCTCGGCCATCCAACGGACGAGCACTGACTCTGCCGCGCCGGAGGGTGAAGTCGCCCGATTCTCGAGACAGAAACTAAAAGTGCTGCTCTCGGCCATTCCACAGCTACCCTCCAGTATGATTTTCTGCGAAGGCGACCGATTTCCCGAGCCGGGAATGCGCTGGGCTCCAGCAGATCTGGACAGCGGTGGGGACTCCATGATAGTGTACGACCAGAGGCGACCTGCGTCGTTGAAGCCGGGGCGCGGACTTTTGGTCTCTTACCGCGGTTGGCGACTCAAGACAGCCCCCGATTTCTCCAGAAGATATGTCATCGACCAGAACGGAACCCGGGAATGCACATCCCTAGAAGAGAAGGGCACCTGCATCTTCTATCTCAAGCTCGACGGCGACGTTTCCGACGACACCATGTATGTGCTCAACGTCGATCCTGTTGACTGGACCTTGTCGCCATTTTCCAACCCAAACGCCCAGCTGTTCTTGGTCGTGCAGGAGAGGTACGGTGGGGACCGGCACGAGCGTGTGATACTGGTGGAAGAGGAAGGTACAGATGATCATTTGGACCAAGCAGTCATAGACGAGCCAGAGGTGTCGGATGTCGTCTATGCAAACTACCACGTATTGCTGTGGTGCTCGAAGTACGACTCTGGTCCGAGCGTTGAGAGGATGAAGCAAAACGTCGAGCGCGGCAGATTTCAACTGGTGGAAGCCAGCTGGGTCAATGGCGGTCGAGAACAACGCTGGTGTATTGGGTAATTTCAGTAGCGTGGAATGGGTCTGGACGTCAATGTCGATATCGGTCTCCGAGTCGTCCTCGACGAGCTAATATTTCAGTAACTTATCATTTCACAAAGTCCTTCGCGGACCTACGCACACACTCTCTCTTGTTGTTCGTCTCGGCCTGGAGTGTCATAAGCTGTTCTGGTTCCGAGAATAACGTCGTCAAAATGCGTATTGCCGATCGAGATACAGAACAGAAACCCTCCTGCAGCTGGGCTGACAAGGCTGAACTGCCCCTGGGTTTGTATGGCTTTTGCGCCAAGCATTAGGTAAGCAAAAACCGGCCGATATGGAAAATTTGGGACCCTCATCCACTCTGTGCCTTTGAGCCTTGCGGTTTGACTCTGCAGCATCGAAAGGGCAAGGAAATTCAGCGGCTCTTGACGATCTGCAGGTTATATCACGTCTGAAAGAAGTGGAAGAAGGAACGAAGAAGCGTGACTAGGCTGGAGCGAGAAGACCGGGCACGGTTTTGAGATCTAGGACCCGTCCTGATCAGGCTGAACCCCTCTCTCCCCCAGACAACGGTATTCACAATCCATTTCTACCCAACTCCTCTTTCCTTTTATCGATCTACCCGTTATCCACTAGCTCCCTCCATTTTCCAAGCCTCAAAAGACAAGAAAGCCTACAACGGCAAAGGCAAGGGGGAGAAAGAAAAGAGAGTGAGGGAGGAAGGGACATAGGAGACCGAGAAGCGCAGCACAATGTCCCACACAGCCCTCCTTCCGCACCGGCGCACGCACAACCTCCTCCTCATCTCCAAGCTGCTGTCGCAGCAGCACGCGCAGACCTCGCCGTTCACGCTGGTGCTCGACACGCTCGAGCAGCCCGCGCGGCCGCTGACGCGCGAGTACCTCCGGCGGGCGCGGCTGTCGAGGCGGGCGGGAATGACCGGGGGCGGTGGGGGCGTTGTGGTGGTGGTCTTGGGGTTTGAGACGTTCGCGAAGCCCGTCGGCGCGGACTACTTCGTGCCTTGTTACCGGTATTGTGAGGACGGAGGGGGGCAGGCGCGGCTACAGGGGCATGGCAGGGGGTTGGGAGTGGGAGAGAAGATCGCGAGGGAGGTGGGCGATGTTCTTCGGCGGAGTGGAGGGAAAAGTACGTCTTCCTTTGTCATTGTTCTATCCTGGACTTCCCCAGGCTTCTTGGAGAACGATGTATGGTGTTCAATACTAATCCTCGAGCGAATGCGCAGGGTTTTTGATCATGATTGACTCCCTGACAACACTGGCATCCCTCTCCATCCAGCCGACGTCGAATCTCAACCTGACCGCATTGCTCTCCTCTCTACTCCAGCCACCGGCGCTTCAGACGAAAGGTGCGGACCAAGGAGAGAGCCCGCAGATCTCATTAGTCGCGGTGTATCACACCGACGTCCCCTTACCATCTCCGCCTCCCTCGCCACTCTCATCGGCGGCGCTGTCAACATCGTACTCGCCGTCACCACTCTCACTCCTGTCATACCTCGCCACCACCGTCATAACGGTGCATTCGCTCCCAATCCTCCTCGCCGAAAAGTCTGCGCAGTCAAAATCCCTCGCTGCGCCATCGTTTGGCCTCCCAGAAGAAACTGAGGGCGTGGTTATAGGTCTCAAGCCGAAGCCTCTGACGAAATTGAATCAGGACGAGCGCGGTCTTGTGTTGGAATTGGAGCATCGCAGGAGAAGTGGCCGGGGAGTCAGGGAGTGGTTCTTCTTGCCTACGTCTGGAAACGCGGCGAAGAAGGGCGAAGGCCAGCCGTTTCGGGAGATTGTCACTCTACTGGATGACCACCCCTTGTTCCGCAAATCGGATGAAGAAGCCGTGGAGGAGCTCTCGGGCATGACCTTCGAACTGGGACTGACAGAACGACAGCGTCTCGAGCGGGAAGGGGTGGTGCTGCCGTATTTCGAAGCTCAGAAAGCGGGCGGCGGTGCCGGCGACGGTGGGCGGATCTTGTACGATATGGGTGTTGAGGATGATTTTGACGAGGAAGAAGATGAAATCTAAGTCGGCGTGCTAGCTGCCGTGGAACAGGCCACCCCAAGATCGCGCCGACAATAGTCTTCTGGGAGCTGGTCCCAGTGGGATGTCGTATGCTCGTGTTCATGCAAACCACCCTAAGTTGGTCAGGACGCCCTGATCACCAAAACCTCCAGATGATGAAAAGAAGGATGATCAGGCCAAGACCAGCAAAAGGCCCGTACTGGGTGTGGAAGTCAGCACCGACAATTCTTCAACTGGAGCCCGTCCAACAAACCTGTTTCAACATCAACTCCCAATTGATCCGCACCGCTGCTTTCCTGTACTTCTTGCTGTCTTCTCTCAGTCGCCCGGACATCTCACCCATCCTCTCCAGACTGTCGCCCCGATATAGCAGATCCTCAATGTTCTTCGTCATGACCTTGGTCACGTCCTTTAGCTCGTCGTTCAGCTTGTCCAGGTTCGCGCTGGCCCGGCTGTCTTGATACGTCTTTTTGGTTCTCTGGATAAAAGTGTCGAACTCGACGAATGCGTAGGGCCGCAGCGTCGCGGAGAGGTATTGCTGGGAAGGGTAGATGGTGGTGAACTCTTGCGCCAGGTCGGAGAGGTAGGTGAAGGCGAGCTTCCGCGGGTAGGACCGGTCGCAGATGCAGAGGAAGCAGACGGAGTCTTTGATGATGTAGCTGGTCGTGGAGTGAGCATGCTTCTCGAATCGACACCAGAGCGCGAGATTGGCAGGCTTACTGTAACGTATATTGACCCGATTCTATGCTTGCTTGTTGTTCCGAGTTGCGATTCAGCCGTCGGAATATCATCTTTGCCTGTGACTTGACCTCGGCGAGCTCTGTCTCGACCTGTACTCCATGGTAAGTAAGTGTCTCCGTTGTCTGGTTCAGGAAGTAGAGGAACACGCTTACCTGCTCGTCGTCGACCGAGGCCGCGAGCATGAGGCCTGTGCAGAAGCGGACAGTCAGTCAATTGTCTCCCACACCTGAAATAAAGGCCCAAAGAAGCACGAACCATCTAGCCTTGCTATTTGCGTCGATTTGACCATTTCCAATCCCTTTTCCTCTCAAGCATACCCTCTGGGAAGGTTTGAGAAACGGGAAGGACAGCGGGGTGTTTGTTTGTCCATGCTAGTTCAGGACACTTGTTGTGATTTCTAGAGCACCGCAGCAAAAGTCGGCAAACACGGCAAACATCCCAAGGACAGGCTCGCAACTGCCACTGACAGGTATGTGAATGTAGTTACCCTACGCTTCTCTTTCAATATATCCATCTATATCGTCCATTATCAGGAGTCTGAGTTTCTGTTCTTTCTAGTGCATTGGTAGGACCAAGGGGTGTTCAGAAAACAGAAAGAACCAGCGGCGGTGTTGGTCCCGAATCTTACTTCTATGGCCGCTCTGGTGGTATGGAGTACTAACAATATTCAAGGTGGAGTACAAAGATGAACGGGGCAAGATCAACGGCATCGACATATTTTAATTCAGCAGTCAAGGCACCCAGCCCTTCGGCATAGAGCATGACAGCTTTGGCTCAGCAGTCTGCTCTTCAGTTTAATCTCAAATAAGAACATTTATGATTTGGCCTGGGGAACCTCATCATCGCCCACAATATACCTGCAAAGCTCATCGATCTTGTCTTCAACGTATCTGGCGTTCTCCTGCAAGGGAGCATTTGCATTCATGTGTCCTGCGATCAGACAGTCGATCCTGAATCTCGTCAAGTGCACCGTCCCGTCTGGATTTTCGACCAGAAACAACTCGGCCGGCACGGAAAGACCACTGTCCAGATCATGCTTGAGGACGATGGGTGCCAGGAGAGGGTTTCCAATGATGAACCGGATAGCACGCAGATGACGAGGCTTGCCTGTCCCTGGATCGGTGACATTGGCCGTGGGGATGTCGAACCAGCGTAGCCACAGGCCGTGGTTGATCTCGGTAAAGTACATGAACCCATGAGGCCCGATGCCGGGGCGGATGAAGCGTTCAAACTCTTCGGCATTGGTGGCCGTTTCACTGGGGTTGTCCTGGAACTTGAACCATCTGGGGTCTCTCTGGAGCGACGCTCGGACGCGCGCCTCAGCGGTCGCGAAATCGGTCTGCGAGTGGTAGGTGACCCGTGCCATTGCGACAGGGTCGACGGTGGTGGTAACACCCATGATGGTCGACGAGCACCCTCAATGCTGGGTTTAGAACTACTATTCTTTAGCTCTGCCCTAGACCCCAGCTACGGCGAGCTGAGATAGGAGATTGGGGAAGAGAGTAGTCCAGGGTTAAGTAACAGAGCCACTCACTCAAAGAAATATCCTGCACTTCATCTAAAGAATGATTTGTCTTGAGGACGGCACAATCACTAATATATCCGTGACAGAGTATTCCCAGACATAGAGACGGCCTCGGCATGAATTTGTGGTCGCCATCGTTCAGTAAACAAGTAGTATCAGGCGGAGAAACTCCATTCTAGGTAAGCTGGTCTTTCTGGCGGGTTAGAACAGAAGGATACCGTAATCGGGTTGTATCGTTGACACTAAAAGGCAGCATTCATAGTGCTCTCACAGAAGCGGGTCTCGTCATTGGCCATATTACTGTTCTCTCGAGCTGCATAGCATGGAAAATCAAACGAAATTGATAGCGGAAGCCTGGAACTCGTACTTGCAGCATCCATGAGAACGGGTAGCCCTGGCATTCATCACCAAATGGCCCGTTAGTCCCACCACGTATGTCTCACACGAAATATGCACTCCAGGAGGGATCGCTACACCTTGACAGAGACTTGATTATGTAGATGCTGGCAAGTTCTGCCGTTCCCCTACTCTGTAGGAGAGTGACTTCTTTTAAGCCCTCGCACACGGTTGTGGAATTTTCTGGTATTTTCAAGCTGAAAGAATATGTAGAAGCTATATTTTGCTTATTCTCATACCAGCAGCCAGGGTTTGATATTCGTGTTCCAGGGAACGCTCCGTATATCTCTCAGGGATTGCAGATCCATTCGCTTAATTGGCGTTGGCAACAGCTTGGGCATACCATCCAGCGAGGTTGACGATTTGTTCCTCATAACCCTTAAACTTGAGTCCAAGAGTTTTTTCAGTCTTACTTGCATCGAAGGGGACGTGAACAGAAGGAAGCGTGCCACCGAGCGGGAACACGCCCGCTTCGACCTCTTGAGGGAAGTGTCGCTTAACGATGTCGATGGCGTCGTCCCAGTTGATGGGGTTGCTTGACGTATAGTTCACACCAAAGTTCTGGTTCTCGGTAATCTTAGGGTCTAGGGCGGCGACGTGGACGAATGCGACATCGTCGATGTGGCACACGAACGATGGCGTTGGAGTGTCACTCTTGTTCCCGACAAGCGGGCCCAATGCGAGCGCGTTCGAACCAGAGACGATGGCCTTAGGGGTAGTGGCGAGTTCATTTCGGCCAATGACGAAGGATGGCATGATGTTGATGATGCTGAATTTTGGCTTGTTGTCACGGATAAAGTCGTAGGTTCGATAAAGAGTCAGCTTCTTGCTGGCACTGTATGCGGAAAAGGTGTCGGGATATGGTCCCTTGGGATCTGCCTCGACGTGCTCGACGACAAACGGCTTACCCGGCTCGGAAGGGAAGACTGCAGCGACGGACGAGGTAAGAACGACCTTCTTAATCGAAGGCTCTTTGAGTGCTGAATGGAGGATGCTCAAAGTTCCATTGATAGCAGGTCGAATGATGTTCTTCTCGTCATCGTCCGAAGGAACGGGTAGAGGGGACGCAGTGTGGATAACGTAGTCGACCCCTTTGACGGCCTCGTCAAAGGCACCTTCTTTCTGAATATCTGGGACAGTGGTGAATGTGAGCTGGCCCAGATACGGCTGCGTCGGTTTGGCGTTCTTGACCGTGGCAGCTTTTGACTCCGATCGCACAGCAGCGCGCACTTTGTAGCCTTTCTTCAATGCCTCGATAAGGTTTGCATACCCCACGTGGCCGGTAGACCCAGTGAGTAGAACCAATGCTGCAGACATTCTAAAGAGGCTCAGAAATTGATGAATGAGATGGCCTGAGGGTGTAGAGCACTTAGCAATAGTTTGTTATATGCGTGATGGACCGTGTCTCCAAGATTATATGGCAACAGCCCAAGACAAGAATTGTTCTGTCTTTATCTACTCTCCATCGCCGCGTAACTCGACACCAGCGGGCTCATGCTGATTCACAATGCACTCATTTCCTGACAAATCTGGCACGACAGGCTCGCTGAGTGTGTTGTTGTGTACTTTCCCGGCCTGGTTTCACCGCCCTGGGATAATTAATCATTGACGGCCATGGGACAGACTGTTTGAGACATATGCCGATACTATGACCCGGAAGCTGCTCGCCAGCCTCTGTAAGTCCGACAGGGGTTTCAAGTCTTAGGACGGGACGACCATCTCTAACCCCCGTTCGAGAGTTTCTCTTCATTTACCGCTGAGGTCGGCGATTCCCAAAAATGCTGCGAGTGGCCATTTTCATAAACTCCAGGAACGTTATGTTTACAACTCATTGCCCTCCAGAGCTCATACATAAAAAGGTCTTATATTCTCTTTATGACTCGTATCGTGTCGAGTCTCAAGTTTTGACAGCCAGTAATGTTCAATTTCGACCTTTCCACAATAAGCACTCCCCCAGAAAATAGCTCGAAGCGTACAGCCGACCACCGGCAGTCCACTATGAAGAACCCACAATGTCCCCAGGCAAAAACAAGGGTGTCTTGTTACAGAAGTTTGAAGCGTCCTCGAACACCGCCTTAGCCTCCTCACTAGCTAGAGCTTGACGAAGCCCGTCGAGAGAGTCCCACGTTAGAAGTGCCGCAACAATGTAGGGGCGACTCCCATCGGGGCTGTCGGCTAGCTCAACCACCTTCCAGTCCCGGAGGCCGTATTTGCCCCACTGTTTCGAAACCAGTGGCATGTGAGTGTTGGCGTAGTAAGGTAAGTTGAAAGAGACGTCCGAAGTGGCAGGGAAGAGAACCAAGGCGCTGGCTGGCATGTTGGAGTGAAAATTGAAAGAACTTTTCGGTGAAAAGTTCTGTGATGTAACTCGAGAAGATGCGATACGCAATGGGAGCTGAAGATTAGACGGATAGGTCCTTCAATTGCGAGTTACAGGAATACATAAAAAGGAGATTACAAGACCGTTTTTATATACCAACGAAGGACGTAAGATATCTCCTCGACGAGACGCGAACGCGTGCTGATCATCTCATCTCTATCACTAATAAAGAGTTGAGTTTCGTGTTTTCTTTGTATTCCTGGTGGCAGACTTGTCGCCCCAAGGTATTCAAATCGTACGGCCCTCATGCATAAGCTTGATATTATAGTGAGGAGAGAGGAGCTCAGATCTGACGATTAGTCTGTCGGTATTTCTCTCGTAGGTGGATCAGGCTCACTAGGCTGACTGCTTGAGAGCAGGAAACTCAAGACCCCTGAAAAGTTCGCAATGCGCAAATGTACATCTAAAACGTGTGCAGGTAGACGGGAGTGATTTGAGATGACACGACGTTGGGACGTATGTTTCTATCGCTTACGGCAGGTGCCCAAAGGGGCGCTTCAATGCTCAGACACCATAGGTGGACCAACCCTTGCTTTAACCCAACTGGTCCGCCTCCATCGCCTAAACAAGAATAGATGGCGCGTTTATTGCCAAAATAGGGAGCGCGCGATAGCCCGCCTCGGCGAATGACCGGGTTACGCATCTCATTAATCTGCTGTCGTTTAGCCTGAGGGATTGTTCTCGCTTTAGTTGATGGACCCAGTATGAAGAATTCTCATGTGGTCCTCAATATCGGCGTCTTCAAGGTCTGTTTAGTAACCGTGTAAACGACGACGAAGCTGCAACTAATGCGGTGGCCACATGGCGGAACCCAAACGGGGTGACTTCGAAAACGAGACCTGACAAGTACCGCCATGGATATTTCAAGGTCAAGAAAACCGACAGGCAAAATCACAGCCAGCAGAAGCCGGTTGCCAAACTGTCGTAATTGTGTCTATTTGAGCTGTGTGATGACTTTGTATTTGAGCAAGAGCAGACAAGGGAGGAGAAATAAAACGTAGCGAGAGCAGGCTGGACCTCGACGTTCTATGCTGCGGATGTTTCCCGATCCACGCAATCCCTAAATTGAACGTTATTTCAATGAATCAGAGCATCTACCTTGCCAACAAAGTTCATTTCCTACGGAGCCTGACCCAGAATGTCCCTCCTCGAGAACAATCAGATAGTCACAATCAATCATAAGTGTCCACTTTACTAACTGAGCCATTCTCTTGGAAACCCATCCTACAAATACCAAGACAGAACCATCAGTTGGCTCAATGAGTGGGGAGGAAGCAGGATTGACAATCCGCGGGCGGATTCGTGTCCGTTGTCTGCCTGGCGGCCTTTGACATGGCAGACCTCAGTTCAATCAATTCCCGAAACTGTTTGCCTTCCACTGGCAGGAACTGACGTAAATGTTGCCTGTCCGGTCTACCAAGCTTTCCCCATCAGAAGAAGCTGATAGTACCGCTGCAGGTTAGTCGAAGTCGCGATTTTTCAACGTGTACCGACGTCCCGGAAGGGCTGAAATGATCTCCTCGGCTCGTTTGAGACACCAGCTCCTGGGATGCTTGAAAGTACGTCAGGAATGCGGCTCGTTATGACCTCTCCGTCTCCCGGCTTCCCCTTTCGCTCGGGCTTGGGAGAGCGCTTGTCCTATTCCGTTGCCTCGAAAACGCGAAAACCTCATTAACCACTCACGCAGTGTCACTGTTACTTGTGTTCCAACGCCTTTCCATTCCATGCAAAGTTTCCCCGGCAAGTACACACACCGCTTTTCGACGGATTCCTCCAACGACTTTCGCTGAGACTCCACGAGTACTAAGCCTGTGAGACAGCCAGCGGTAACCTGGAAATTGAAGCTTGGAAATTGTGTTTCAGTGAAGAGTCAAGGATGAAAGATCAACTTGTCGGTTGGTAAGCATAAATCTAGACACTTTCACTTAATCGTGATCTCCTCGCCAAGTTGACCGGCACCTCTTCAGGCGATAATAGGAGCACTCGTCCGCAAGCGTGATCAGTCATTCTCCTTTGGTCAACGCTGGCTCGATCCTGGCACCTATACTGACGAACCAGTCGCGCTGAACGATGTTAGGAGTTTCGAAACAGCAACGCTTTTCCGCGACGACGTCGTTGAGAAGGCCTTCGCTGGACTAGCATGTAGCCGAATGGTCTCCTGCACGCTGCTAACAGGCGGCAGGGCAGTCCTCTCTTGAGAGCCTTAGGTTCCCAAAAGGCTGCACGAGAGGCCCTCCGGCCAGCTTTCCGCGCCGGGAAACAAAATCAAGCTGGATCTAAACTGCCCTTCCCCCCGACAACTGAATTTGAAGGCGTTGGAGGAAGAAAGTGAACGACTTTGCGAGGATCGACATCGTCCTGAACCATAGCAGTGCCAGGCTAGGAAGATGACATCAAATTCGATGACGCTGCCCACTCTCGAGGGCCAAGTTTCAATCGAGAAGGCGCTGGAGTTGTCCAAGGATCGAGCCGAAGCGGTACCTATACACACGCCAGATTAAGGACGATGGGAATGTACTTCTTAAACCAGGATTATACTCCTCTTCAACGCCATTTGAACGTCTTGGCTATAGAGATGGAATCACGCGCGCTGACGAAGAGGTTCAAACCTCACCTCTGCATCCCCGTAACGTGACCACGAGAAGGACTGCGGTCCTCCGAACAATCTCACCAATAGAAGCTGCGAATCATGGTGCGTCCATTATCTGCAACGATGACCCCGGAAACGTCACCCCTAACACATAAAAGCTTTTCCGAATGGTCGTCGGAAAAAAATTGCCTATTCTGGGCACCTGAAGCCATGTCGGAATTCGAATGCCTGAAAAGGATCTCGATCACTCGGTCGGGGGAGGCCTCGGGAAAGACAATCCGAGGATGACGCTGGCGTTTTCGCCATGAAATGTCCCCCCAGGCTTTGTCCACCCTCACCGCGAACGCGTCACGCAAGCCGTCTCGACCGCTCCATGCACCTCTCCGTGGGCAGGCAGCTGCAGTGCAACATTGAGCCGGGGCAGATCGGGACACAGCGTCTGAAGCACATCGAAATTCGGCATGCGCTGTCGTGAAACCTCACAGGAAGTGCTGCGAAAGGCCACAAGAAGTGCTGGCGAATGTGTGCGTTGAAGTGGTGCAACGTCGCGTGAAGCCAGTGCACGGCCGATGCATGGGCCTACATATGCTGTGTAACCAAGACTTACCCGCTTGGTGGTGCAGCGTCGACGCCAGCTACCAGCCGTGGCGTGCCAAAACGTTGAATCAGGTTTATGAATTAGCGGAAGAAATTCCCGTGCCTTCAATTCTCCAGATCATCGCCTGATAGACGTGGGGATGAGGTCACGTCTTTATATAATCTGCAACGGTGTTCGTATAAGACAAGGTTCGAGGGCTTGTCATTAGGTGTCACCGATGCAGGGTCCTCCAACTGCATGCATGGTCCTTTCCGTTAGTGCAGACTCAGCTCTCGAAGTTCAATCTTTAGCAATGATTCCTTCATGCCGATCGGACCCGCCTCCGTCTCCCAGAGAGTCGGTGAAATGTGGCTAATGCGCCTTCTTGCGGTCACGGTCGTTTAGAACTGCTGCAGGCAAGTCAGAAGGGTTGGCTGAGGCTCGAAATCGGAGAATGAAGAATTCGCGACTTAGATACAATCTAGAATGGACTCGTTTGTGAGACCAGGAATTCGTGACCCAAAACTCCGTTTGAGAGGCTGGAGTTCAGTTCTAGCAGTGTGAACCTCTCTATGTCCAAAATGCATTGGCTGGGTCTATCCCCACCGATGCCGAAGTAATTTGTTTCCGTCTGTATGAAATATGGCAGCAGTCGAAACCTCCAGGCAACGCTCAAGTGACTGTGTCTATCGCGGTATTCCGCGTAAGACAAAACTGATGAAAATCCACAAGGCTCGGGGATGTCTCGCTGTGTGTCGCACTCCAGACGGCAGGGGGAAATGGTTCTCGCTCGTAATCAAGTCAAAAGAAATGGAATAAATGTCGAAAAGTCTACCACTTAATGACCTTCTTTGGGAAAAACTCATCGATGAGTTCCAAGTAATAAGGCTAAAACGAAACGTCAGAATTCAAGGTAGCAAGATATATGGGTTCGACATACCTTCAACTTCTCAACACTGGGCCGTTCATCACTCTTGCTGTAGAGATCGTAAGGATTGAATTTCTTGACAGCCTTGAGCATCTCGTGGTCCTTCTCGTTCATGAATTCTCTGTAAGCGCCTTGTTGATGCCATGGGTAGAAGCTGTGATAGCGGATCATTGCCAACGCCTCGTCGGGAAGCGTTGATTGATCCTTGACGACATGGTAGAGATACTCGTCGTGGCCCCAAGAAAGCATGACATTGTCAAGACCGCAGCCGGGTGAGTAGATGCCTTCTTTGGTGCTGTAGGTCGGATTCTCGAAATCTGGGTTGCCGCTGAATGACTTGGTACCGTAAATGATGCGGTCATCAAAAGCACAGCCGACAGGGAAGGTATCGCCAACAACGTCCCATTGACCTTCAGCATCGAAGAAGAACAAGAGCTTGCCCAGGTCGTGAATCAAACCAGTGAGTTGCATCCAGCGAGGCCGCCCATCACGGCGCATGGCTTCGGCAGATTGAAGGAGATGTTCGATCTGTCCAAGTTCGGTGTCGGGATCAGACTCGTCGATGAGGGTGTTGAGACGCTCCATGGCTTCCCAGATGGACATCTCGGCGCGGGTCTTGGAGTGGAAATTGTGTCGAGCCTTGAGGTTGTACGCCACTGTCTGCTTGGTGTGTTGTTCGAGGTAAAAGTTCTTGACCCGGTCACAGGCAGTTTCATATTGGCGGAACTGGGTCTTGTCCTTTTCGGCGTCAAATTTAGAGCCTTCGTCCTCCTCTGCGTGATGCTGTTGGTTTTTGAGAGCTTGGTCCGCTACGATGTCGGCGTGTTCAATCTCGTCACAAAGGGCCTCAAAAGCGAGACCGTCTCGGTCATTGCGGAAGGAGGGAGGGTGAGAAGCCTGGTCGAGAAGAACGGCAGACATTTTGAATTATAGCACGAGTCGCCGTGTATGGAAGTAGGGTCAGAGCTCGGTCTTTGTTGGAAGAGATCGTATATGGGCAAGATGAGAAGTTGTAAACCACAGAGGTGCTGGCTTGCCGGCTTATATAGTCGGAAGGTGGCGTCTTGGGTGACAATTTGTGTTGTTACTCAAACAACAGACGAAAACTGGGTGATCGTAGAGTGAAAACCAGCATTCTGAAGCAAGATTAGAGGTTAATATACACTGTCATATTCAATCAGGACTCCATTTAGTGATGGGCAGCGTGGAGTGAATTTTCACGGAGACACCTGGGTTGTCCTCCAATAATCCCGCAAACAATTCACACATTGAGACAAAAATTGAGCGAACCCTGACCCCACACGAAAGGCATGACACAGATGTCTGGTCGCGATAAGTCCAGAGCGAGGCGACGTGGTGGCCCTGCTGAGAGCTGAAAGTTACCGCATCTGGACGCTGGAGTTGAAGTGGCCGGACGCTGATGGGGCTTGGAGGAGGCGCTAGCCTGCTCATCGACAGCGGGCCGAAGCACTTGATTCCTTTGATCATGAGAGTGATGGAGATGCCTGCGTGATGAGCTTCCCGGGTGGATGGTATCCTTGCCAGGTTGGTTTATGATTTACGAACCAGTGCCATCGTCTTTTCGCCATAGTGACTCGGCCTTTGAACGCTCACGCCTCGTGCCTGGTTGCCTCCCTCCAGTCGGGGCAGGCAAAGGGGAACTTGGTAAAGTCGGTGAGAGAAAATAGGAAGTCAAGAAAAATGATATATCACAAAGTCAAAATATGTCGACAAGCAGTGTTACACAGCATGAGAGGGATTGCAGGTGGCCAGGGGTGTCGACAACCCCGGGGATGGAGAGTCGACAGTAGTGGCTCATGCTGTGTTACAGACCACGACCCCTCGAGTGCATAGGCGGAAACTGGGGTCATTTCGAAAACACAGGTGACCTGACTGATCACCCACACCTGCTCACATGGAGTCCCAGTGAAACATGCGATTCTTTTTCTCGAAACACAGGCCTCAGGGAAAAACGAAGATGAGGAGAAGTTCGAGAAGGAATCTCGAACCCTTTGAATCAGGCAGGTGGGTCCGGGCGGAGTTTCCTTGTTGAATCTCAGGAGGAAAGGCCGCGAGGCTGAAGGAAGGCGGCGGTGGGGAAAGGAGGGACGAAGATGGTATCCACCCCGGGCCATCGGCTATTAACTATCTACCAGTATCCGTCGCTCGTCATATCAAATGCTACCTAGAAGTGTCCTGTCCAGCACTCCGCGCGCATGACTCGCATAAGGTTGAATGGCATGTTGGCCACCCAGGACCGGCTTACCACGAACGTCAGATAGGCAATCTAATGCGACCCATATCGTTGTTTCCTACCAGTTTCACGTGCGCCGGAAAATGGACGCTCCATTTGGACGTCCCTAAGCAGCTCGGGGTTCGGCCGGGCATTAGCCCGAGACTGCGGGGTAGCAGATCGTCCCAGATCGGAAATATTTCGCCGGCCACATAATTTTCCCCTCCGCCTGCCCCCCAATACACGACATTGCGACCCAAAACACATTGCTGTCGATGCAATAAATTCGCCTATGCGAGTTGTTCAAAGACAACGATAGCATATCCCACAGCATCTCACCTGATACGATGGTTGACGTACCACTCAAGCTCAACACTGGAGCCACCATTCCCGCCTTGGGTCTGGGTATGTTTTGTCCACCTTGCCCTCCAATATCCCGCGTAAGGCACTGGCTAACACACGTGTAGGCACATGGCAGAGCCCAGAAGGTCAGGTCCGCGCGGCTGTCGCATATGCGATCAAGTCAGGCTACCGCCACATCGATTGCGCCTACGTCTACGGAAACGAGAAAGAAGTGGGCGAGGGGATCAAGGAGGGTCTCGCGGCCACGGGCATTCCCAGAAGTGACCTGTTCATCACGACCAAGCTGTGGTGCACATATCATACGAGGGTGGAGCAGAACCTGGACATTAGCCTGAAGCTGCTGGGTCTCGACTACGTCGACCTCTACCTCATACACTGGCCCATCGCCATGAACCCCAACGGCAACGACGAGAAATTCCCCAAACTGCCCGATGGGTCAAGGGACCTGATCCGAGACCGTTCCCACGTCGACACGTACAAGGATATGGAGAAGTTGCTCAAGACCGGAAAGACAAAGGCGATTGGCGTTGCCAACTACTCAAAGCGATTTCTCGAGGAGCTGCTTCCCCACGTTGAGGTGGTTCCGGCCACGAACCAAATCGAGAACCACCCACTACTGCCCCAGCAAGAGATTGTGGATTACTGCAAAGAGAAAGGCATCCTCATCACCGCCTACAGCCCTCTCGGTAGCACGGGGAGTCCCTTGATGAAAGACCCACACGTGGTCAAGCTGGCCGAGGAGAAAGGAGTCACACCAGGCTGCATCCTCCTGAGTTACCACATCGCCAGAGGCAGTTCTGTGCTTGCCAAGTCGGTCACACCTTCTCGCATCGACGAGAACAAGAAAATCGTCTCACTGTCCGAGAGCGAGCTTGCCTCTTTGGCCGAGATCTCCAAGAACGGCGTCACCCGTTTTGTCTATCCCGCGTTCGGCGTCGACTTTGGCTTCCCCGACAAATCTTAAGAGCTCTGGTGAGCGAGACGGGTTCTGCCGTTCATATAGACTTCCAAATCTTCTCATGGTTGGTCACATAGCGAGCGAGCGAGCATTTCGGATTCGAGACTGGAAAAGGTACACGGGTGCTATGGCTAGAGCGTCTTCTGGGGCTTGTAGACGAAGGCATGGACTCGGCGACGGGATTGGTGATCTTCCAGGCCGACTTCGATAAACCCATTTTCCATAGTCCAAAACAAAATAACTAGACACACGCACTGTCTCCCATGAATTCAATACAAAGACGTCGCCATGTTCAACGTTCTGCGGTGTATGTCGATTCCCACCACCGAAAACCCACGCTTCTCCGAGCGGAGAACATTTCCCCTTTCCACTCCCCCAGGGCCCCAAACACTGTCCATCATTCTTCGGAAATCTCACACCGAGTATGGAAAGGTGTATAGTGAAGCTGCGTTTCAGCAAGAGGGCAAGTTCGATCGACCCGGTTTGCCCAGGCTGGGCGGCTACGCTGTATAAAACGGAAGCCCAACCGACTCGTATGCTGCCGACATTCTAGCTTTTGCCTGCCCTGTCTGTCTGTCTGTCTGAAACCCTGCGTCACAGCGAAACACCTGCCAGACAGATACGGCCGGCCAGTAGGAGAAAGATCAACAATGTCTGACACCTCCTCATCCTTTCATGCAGAGACTCCCCCATCCCCACCGGGCGCGGGTCTCGTCAATAATAAACCTGAGTAACCACACCGTATCCGCTGTGCTCATCAACAAGCTGCAGGTGTCACTGGTCCCGCGGGCGTTATTTGTGCCTGCTTCTCAGGAGATATTTAAAGCCCTCCAATTCCCCAGGAAGATCCTCATCCCATCGAGCTCAAGGTCGGACAAAGTGGGCAAATTCTGTGCTATTCAACAAGTTACCATCACTCCACCCCATAACAAGCACCGGAGAACGGAAACGCGCAGTTTGCAGGTCCTCGTTCAGGATACTCTGGGAGTAGAAATCTCGACACAGAACCAATTGGCGAGAATACAAGCCTGTACCGGCAGCTATGGGGTCGTACGTGGAAAACACTGGCAAGATGCTCAACATCGCAGTGGCAGGCTTGGGACGGATGGTGAGTTTCTGAGTTCCTTGTCCAACCTTCGCCTGGCGGAAGAGCCATATTTTTACAATATACGCATTTGTCTATGTTTATCCACACTCTCTCGGTCGCTTCCGCCAATTTCGAGACATTATAACCCCCAGTCGACATGCTAACCATGTTCCGCTCCAACAGGGCAAACGCCACGTCGCAACCCTCCTCGGTCGCATCCCTCGTGCCCGAGTGGTCGCAGTCTGCAGTGCCGCTCCCCACGAGACTGAATGGGCACGCGGGAACCAGGACTACGTCGATTTCGGCATCAAAGTCTACGACAGCTACGAGGACATGTTGAACCACCAAGGCTTGCAAGCGGTGTGGATCTCGACCAGCACCGACGTGCACGCCAGCCAGACGATCAAGGCCGTGGAGAAGGGTCTGCACGTCCTATGCGAGAAGCCATTGAGCACGGATCTAAACGAAGTACGTCTCCGCTCGGCCCATTGACCCCAGTCTCCCCTCGAGCCCTACTGACTCCTCCTTTGACCCAGTACAGGTCTCGGCCGCGATCGCCGCCGCCAAATCGCGCCCCGACCTGAAAGTGATGGCCGGGTTCTCGCGGCGCTTCGACGCGTCGTACCGCGACGCCTACCAAAAGGTCAAATCTAACGCCATCGGCGAGGCGTACCTGGTCCGCAGCAACACGTGCGACCTGCTGGACGAGACGGGCTTCTTCGTCGCCTACGCGAAGCGCAACGGCGGCATCTTCGTCGACTGCACGATCCACGACATCGACCTGGCGCTCTGGTTCATGGACAACCCGGCGCCGAAGTCCTGCTTCGCCGTGGGCACGCTGAAGCACCACCCGGAGCTGGCCGAGAGCCAGGACGTGGACAACGGGGTCGGCGTGGTCGAGTTCCACGGCGGCAAGATCGCCTACTTCCACGCCTCGCGCACCCAGTCCCACGGCCACGACGTCTGCACCGAGGTCAGCGGCACCCAGGGCAAGGTCATGGTCAACGTCATCCCCAGGGCCAACAACGTGGTCGTCGCGGACAAGACGGGCATGAGGCACGAGGTCCAGCCCGAGTACTGGCAGCGGTTTGAGGAGGCGTTTGCCACCGAGGCCCAGGAGTTTGTCGCCTCCGTGCTCGAGGGCAAGGAGGTGCCCGTGCCATTGGAGACCGGGTTCATGGTCATGAAGATCGGGCGCGCGTTGCAGGAGAGCCTGCTGACGGGCAAGGTCGTGAGGTTCGATGAGCAGGGCAAGAGGATCGAGGAGTAAATGGGCCTCAGAGAGGCATTGACGAGTGAGAGGGCGTGGGATGTAGAGTCGAGACGCCAGCGGTCCGCCTCGGCGTAACCATGTGGAAGTTTCGCGCCTTCCTACAAGACAAGGATGGGTTGGCGGGCGGTACAAGAGAAGGGAAACGCTGGAGGTGGTCACGGTGTATAGATCAGCGTTCTCTGTGTTCTCACCGTGATTACAGGCGGCGCAATGGGGAGGGGAAAGGGGTGGGAGAGGGAAGTTGATTTGCATGAATCATGCTTAATGCTCATTGGCTATCTCTTGTGTGGTTCCTGACTAATTATGGCTTGGCGCCAAGCTCCTATCGACCTTCGACTGTGAATCTTGACACAGCACACACAGTTCACTTCACCCTCACTTCACAGAGGGGACTCTCACACGCTCGGCACACACGACAAACGACGTATCCAAGATATCCTCACACTAGTTCTTGGCAGTCTTCTTGCTGGCCTTCTTGTTGCCGACAGGGTTCGCAGCTGCGTTCGCAGCCGAACGCGCAGCAGGGGTCCGGACATACACCTCCTCCACGTAGTTGGGGTCGTTGCTGCGCATCCCCGCCTTCATGCGGCGACGGGCGTTGATCTGCTTGCGGTCCGTCCCCTGGTACTCAGTGTCCTGCCCCCTAGCAATCCACCAAGACTCCGGATGCGGCTCGAAGGTGGCTTTGATGTGTTTGAACTCGGGCTTGTTCATCATGCTCCGTGAGAATCCGTGGACATTTTCGACGTGAAGGAAGTAGCCCGTGGTGTTCTGGAAGGCGTGGAAGCAGTTCAGGTTGCGGCCGGGACACATGTAGGGATCGGTGCAGTCGAGCAGAGAGGGCATACGGCGAGTCCATTTCGGAGCGTTGGGGTCTTGGTTGGTTTGCTGCAAGACACCTCGGTCGCGGGTGCGTTCGCCGTTATGTCTGATGAATGGGCCCATTGCGCTGACCATGGCAGGCTGGCTCACGTCGATGCGCGGACCATAGCCCTTGCCATTCTTGTTTTTCTTCTGTGGATTTTCAGGCTCCTTGTTGGCGTTGCCAGACCCAGTGTCAGTGTCGTTGTTCGCATCATCCGCCTTGCGTTTTCTAGTATTTGGTTTCTCGGCTTTGTCCTCGTCATCCTTCACGGCAACACCAGCAGGAATAGCATGGACGGCGAGCTCGCTAGTCGCAGGAGGATCGACACCACCGACATTGACAGCGCAGGGCATGTTGGTAGGAGTGTGGAGGCCAGAGGAAAGATGACCGTGAGTGTCCTTGCTCATCTTGCTATTGACTTGAGCAGCTGCAGCGTCGCAGGGCATTACGTCGATGAACTTGTACTCTGGCGTTTTTCGACGACGAGTGACGGACTTAGTTTGTGCGGAGAGAGAGCTGTTTTGAACAGGTTCAGTAACTGTATCGCTGGCGCCAAGGTTGGGAAGGTCGACTGCTGCACCCCTGACGAATTCGCGCGTCAAGGCATCGAGGTCTGGCAGTTCCCCTTCGAGCCCTTCCACCGCGTATGGGTTAAAGCGAATCGGAATGCTGGACGCTTCTCCATTTGACGCTGGCTCGAACTCTTCAACCACGTATGGGTTAAAGCGAATTGGATTATAGGGCGGCACCTTGTAGGGCGGCCCATTCGACGCCGACTTAAGCCCTTCCACCGCGTATGGGTTAAAGCGAATTGGAGTGCTGGACGCCACATTTGAAGCCGACTCGAAACCAGGCGGGAAAACAGATGGATCTGGAGCAGCAGATGGTCAGTTTGTCGTCGCACATCGGCAAGGTATGTACTTGCCGTTCTGCCAGACTTTCGCATTGACTGTTCCTGGGTGCATGTCCTTGGGGGCATCGAATTGAGAACCAACACCGTTCAAGGCCATGTCATCGGTGACGCCTGTCCCCACAGGATGGCTGGCTGCCTCCAAGTCGAAGAAAGAGTCAAGTCCAGGAGGTGGGTAATTGGTGCCAGTGGCAGCAAGACCTTGAGTCGTGGTGTCAGTGGCAGCAAACCCGCCGGTGTTGTTGTCAAGAGGAGCCATGTCGTTCATGAAATTGCCAGTGGAAGCAAAACCATGGGTGTTGTTGTCAAGAGGAGCAAGATTGTTTATGAAATTGCCAGTGGGAAAAAACTCATGGCTGATGTTGTCAGTGGCAGCAAAACCAGGAGTGTTGTTGCCAAGAGGAGCAAGGCCATTCATGAAATTGTCAGTGACAGCAAAACCGGGAGTGTTATTGACTGCGTCGCCTTCGAGCAATCCGGTGAAGGAGAAGTCTGGTAGGGCAGTGCCATTCTGAAGACGCGTCAACGACAATGTTCAGGGAACTGATGGGCTTTCATCGCTTACCAGTTCAGCTTCGAGAAGCACACGCAAAAAGGCAAACTCCTCATCGACAGCGTCACCTTGAGCGAAGGCGGTGCTGGTCGGGGCTTCACTGCTCACTGGCGCTGCCCCAGCGATGCTGACGCCACGCGGGTCCATGGACTGATTCTCATTCGCCGGCGCCGGCAGAAGAGGTCTCGGCGCGCCCATATTCGGAAGGTAGGAGATCCAGCCTTGTGCGAGCGTGGACAGGCGCTTGACGGATGGTGTTGATGATTACAACAAGCGGCGCGACAAAGGAAAGATGATGTTACAAGAAAATCTCGACAATGTGGGAGAGGTGTTGATGAAAGGTAAGGTGAGGGAGTGTGAAAAGTTTCAGTCGAGACTTTTGATCGAGCGAACTGCCCTGCCCTGCCCTGTGAGTGAAATACGGCGCTAGCGAGGAACGCGGTCTGGTATAAAGATCCGGCGGTGCAAATGGACCAGGAGCACCCTCCAGTGGCCCATATTGCAGCTTGCACAGTGCTCTACAATTGTCAGGACATTCCATTTCGTCGTCGTGGTGTACTTTGAGCTTGTACACTGTCGCCTCTCGGACCACTCTCCATGACTTCTCGCTCGCAGCGGAGAAGAACAAAAGCCTCTCGTTGGGAAGCTCAATCATGGCCTGAACTGATCTGGGGACGCTCGTGGTGAACGGGAGGGAGAAAGAGAAAGGTAAGGACAAAGGCTACGAGCCTCTACTTGTATACCATGAAATGCCCAGACTTTGCCCAGCCATGAGCATTGACGTCACTTCACAGCCTTTCACGTTTCCCACGACCACAGAGAGCCAGGCCAGCGATATGAGATCGTGATCAGAAGTTCCTACAAGCCACTACTATCGCGTAGCTGGATCTCCAACGCAAGAGGACGGACTACGAACAAGAGAGACCTTTCTTTATGGTTTCCATTTGACCGGGACTACTTGGAAGAGAGGGATTCACGCAGATTCTACAAGAGGCATGACAACGGGCGAGAGAAATCCAGTATGGCAATGGAATGGCTTGGGAAAATATCTTCAGGAACAACTCGGGGATTAGAGGAAACCAGACAAGCCCAAAAAAGATAAAAGAAATCACAGGAAACAACAAGTTCCGCAAGAAGTGCCGCGTCGATTGTTGCGCTTGGGTATTTGAATTGATATGTCATTCGGTCATTTTAGCAAAGATCCTCCCTCAGAAAGGCACTTTCCAAACAGTGCTCGTTGATTTGGAGGCAGTAGCGTTCAAAAGTTGCCATTTACAAAAACGCGCAGTCCTGCACGGTTTGGACTTGACCTATGTCATCCCGGTTTGCTGCGTCCCTGAATCAACATGCTCGTCCGTTTCAGGAAGATCCTTGAAGTCTTGGTCTGACATCTGGCTCAAGAAAGCGTCAAATTCTGCTCCCGCCATCTCTGCCGTGTAGTCCTCGACGAGTTCGTCAACAATCTGATCCGATGCCAGTGTCGGTCCGTCGACATCATCTGCAGTTGCCGTCGTGCTGGGCTTGTCCGCCGTCAACGCCGCGACCATTTCGGTGACGTCCTTGTACCCCGTTGACTGGAGAACCTGGGGGATAAGACGTTTGATCTCTGCGACCGCAACGGGATCTGGGATGGGGGACAGCGAGGCCGGATCAAGCGTTACCAACGAGCCGTAAGAGTGAGGAAGCGGTGCATCGAGAGTGCGAGCCAGCGGTGTGGGCGTCCGATGGAATTGAACGGGGAACGACAACATAAGTTGACCCGCTAATGGAGACTGGGTTCTCAACAGCCCGGCCGTGGGGTGATGTAGAGGCATGGGCATCTTTATGCTGAAAGGTGATTCATGATCCTGTAGTAGAGGACTGGATTGTGTCGCAGTAGGTGATGGATCTTCGGGTGTCGTCTGCTCGCTGAAAGTTGAGAAGCATCTCTTTCGTCCCCGTGGAGATCCGTCCATTTTTAAACAGTTCCCTAGGGTTTCCTGCTATCCCTTATTCCGGGAGAGTGAATTCCACGTTTTGCTGTGCTGGTAGAGACGAGGTGGAGAAGTTTGTCGTTGGGCGATCCGGTTGGGTGGTATGCAAGGGGGTTGAGTAAGTCTGATTTGAGACAACGTAAGGGAGGGCTGGAACCTCACCCGCCCAATGTGTCAATGTGATCAAAGGGATGGCCTCCTGATTCATTCGAGGGGTGAGAAGGACGCTTCGTTTTCACAGTGTAGAATAAGTCCAGTGGTGAAGGTGACATGGAGGATTTTCCAACCTGGAAGGTGCGCTGGTTTTCTAACACGCAGGCTGCGCAGGCAGATCAATCGCGAACATGTACATGCAGAGCACGTTCTTTCTAGTTGTGAAACTCCACTTGAGACAAATAGAGATTGACAAAGCCACATAACCACTGTGGTCGGTGGACTTGTTTGCTTGGGCTAATGTTTGCATACATCAATCAAAGGAGTGTGTTGAAGTTATCAAGCTCCTACAATGTTTGTGCCTTGTAGCCGCCTGTGGGGGCAGTCCTGGTCCGTGTCCACCGTTAAAGCGAGTGTGTATAACACAGTATTCCATCTCAGTTGTACGTCATATTACTCGTATGCTGATAGACCACCGCAGTGCAGTCGTGTCTCTCGACACATCAGCAAATCTGCCGTCAAATCTTCCGGTGGCTGGAAGGTAGGGTCACTTTTTACTGTCAATGTCGGCCAACAGCTTCTCGTACTCACTCCAATCCCACATGATGCGCTTGCACCCGGTGTCGAGAAGGTGGTTGGCCATTTCGTGCTTCTGGCCTCTTGTGTGTGTGGAACCAACATATCCCAAGCATGGTATTTTTCCATTCACAGCTGCCAGAGCCCCGGACCCGCTATCTTCGGTAGTCAAGCATTCTTTTGCACCGGCCCCAAGCTGCTGAAGGGCGTGAAGGTAGACGGCAGGGTTTGGCTTGCTGGTTGGAAATGGCAATGAGTCGGTAGCCGAAAAGATGTTGTCCGGGTGGAAGAATCTGTCGTGGCCTGCTTTCACAAGGCAAGCTTTAATGCGTCGAATGGACGAGGAGGAGACGACAGCCAGCTTGTATTTGCCTTGTTGACGAAGCTTCTGGAGCGCCTCGATCGATCCAGGGCAGGGCTCAGCTTTCGCCTCGATCTGTTCAACCACACGATCCTCCTCGAGCTTGACGTAGGCCCGTAGTTCATCGTGGTCCAGAGTGAAGCCGAGTTGTTGCTGCAGGATAGCCATGATGTTGCGGAAGTTGAGGCCAACGAACTGAGAGATCAGGTCTTCGGATGAATAGCGAACGTCAATGCCTTTCTTCTCCAGGATCTCGTTGACTATCCCACTACAAACGTCAAAAGCAATGTCTTCAGAGAGCACCAGGGTGTTGTCACAATCGAAAAGAAGGTATTTGATCTGTACGCGTCGTGTCAATCTAAGTCACACCAGATTGTGACAAAGATCCGGTGAGAAACCAACGGATCTGGACTCACAGCCATGATTTTCTCTCAGAAAGCAACTGATGATATGCTTCCTGTCGAGCTGCTCGGGCGCCTGCTTGAGAGGAAAGGTGGGAATGAAGGACGGGAGAGAGCGACGGGTGGGGAACGCGCTTGCATAAAGAGTGACCGAAAGAACAAGATGCAGGTAGTTGATTGCATAGGCAGGTTGGCAATGCAAATAGGACCGCAGGCAGTGAATGGGACCCAGGTGCCCACAAAGTCACGGGACTAAGGCAGTCGGCCGATCTGCCCTTTGTGAAGGAAATACTTCAATTAGTGCGCTAGCGTGCGGATCGGAATATTGTATTGCCGGTGACGGGGTCGGCGGTGATGTCTCTGGAAGCAACTGCATGCCAGAATAATATCAAAGGGGGGAGCCATACCACCAAAAACTGACAAGGCTGGACAAGGCTGAGCAAGGCTGAGGAATCAACTCGGAATTGTAACTCCTGGCACACACTTGGCCAAGCGAGAACGGCTGGCAAATCACCCTGTATGCAAAGACGCAAGTGGTTGTCATGAATGGACCATAGATTTGTTTCGATGTTCCAAGACTTTCGCCCAGGAGCGTTGGCCAAATTCAGGTGGGAGAAGGAAAACTTCCCAACCTAACTCATGAGACCCACTGTTGATACCAAACCGTTGAATCAAGGATAAGGCAAAACATCCTGGGATTTGCCAACATCCTGAGGCAGTGGAGTCTTCTCGGTAAACGGGGCCTCGGTATCGACCAGCTCGTCCACCGTCACAAGCCCTATACCCTCCGGCTGCATTTCTTGTCGGTGTGTTCTCCACTCACGAAATATGTTCCACCACCATTGATGTGTTTCTCCGTCTCTACCAAGGTGGCCTGCAACACCATCGAGGCTGACTTGCCGCTCCCAGGGCTTGTCGACAATATAATGAAGCACCACGAGATTGTCATCGGACCATATCCGAGGGTGCCAATACCTCATGGTCTTTAAAGCATTGTATTTCCAGGACAGAGGATGCCACTTGCCACAGAAAAATTCGGCGAGGAAGTCCTGATCCGGGAACTGATAGTTCTTTAGCTGGTCGCTGGCATCAAAGAAACGAAGCATTCTGCTCCACAGCTGCTCGGAGGGATCGAAGAGAAACATCCCGCTGTTTAAGAGGTGGTAGGTGGGCCGACATTTTGAGGTAATCTCTGGGGCCACTTCGTCAGGTTGGTTCAACGGTGTATACGCACAATTGCCCTTGTTCCATTCGGATGGAGCCCATGGATCACGATCCAGATTACACACACAGGCGTGATTGGCACCGATCCAGTCACGAGCTGGCAGTTTGAATTCGAAGATGTCGTCGGAATTCTGGAAGACAGCCATATCGGCATCCAGAAAGACGGCTCTCGTGAAACCTAGCTTGTAGATCTCGAAGGCCCGGAGTTTGGTAAATGTGTCTTTGAAGCGTTCAGCAACACTGCCAGTATTCTCCTGATCCTTCCTAGGCAGCAAAAGGGGAACTCGTTCAAGTTGTATCCTGCCATAGTTCTCGGCTTCTTCTTGGAGGGCAGCGAGAGCCTTGTCTCCCAACGAGTCAGTGTATTGCACCAGCAGAGGATAATTCGATTTGTGTTTGTCAAGAGTATGAGCTAGGACAATGACACCGGGAAGATATGTTGGTTTTGTCACCAAGGTCACCCAGCATCGTTTTTCAGGAGCCGACGTTAAGGATCCCATATTGCCAGGAACTCCCAAACAAATGGTGTTCTGGGAGATTGAAGCACAATGTAGGACCTTGGACAGGCTAGATGCCTAGTTAATCCCTCAAACTTTTTGAATGCCATCTCAGCCTCGTGCTCACTGGCTGATGCCACAGGCCCTTTCAAAGTCATGTCGTCATTGACCATTGAAAGCCTCTTCGCAAGACCAGGTAACAATAGCTGCACCTATAAGCACCAGAGCACGGGTTTCTGGATACTCGTACATTGGACAGGCAGGAAGCACACGAACTGGTGTTGGATGTAATGCTTTATAAGGAGGTCCACGCATTACAATGCAATCTCGCCTGGCAAAGGGAGAGAAGCTCGTGAGATTGGCAGACATGGCGCCTGAGCTCGAATCAGAATACCCGAAGCAAGGGAAGGAATGTGATTGGCGGAAACTTGACTCTGGGCTGGTTTCTCCGCCGACCGATTCGGCATCGCCTTTGTTGACATTGGAATCCACCAACGGGAAGGTTAGCCGAAGACAGACCCCTCGCCTAACCCGGAAAGCAGCCTTTCAGCTGCAATCCTCAGCTGTCACGGAGTGAAGAAGAATCCCTCCTGTTCGTTCTCTGTCTCATGATTATGTTAGGCTGACAATTGAACTTCAGCTCATCTTCCCTTCTCTTCAACCGACCATTCTATCGACTCTTGGGAATATCTTGGATACCAACTCTTTCTCGTCCATCACAGCCTGGCCGTTGCGGAAGCCTCGTGCCCTTCTCCACTTCCTCCCGAAGCAAAATCAGAAGGAAAAGCTACGTATCTGAGCCGACTTGCGTCTGACATGCAGCCATGGTATTGCTGGAGAAGCAATGGGTGAATGTGCAAGAGAAGACCTTTACAAAATGGTACGCATGAGGACCCCAACCGTTCCGTGAATGCGGACTGATGCCATTAGGCTCAATAACAAGATCGTCTCGCGCGAAGTCGCCGTCAAAAGCCTTGTGACCGATCTATCCGACGGTATCATTCTTATCCACCTGCTAGAAGTCCTGAGTAATGAGTCCCTCGGTCGATATGCCTCAAACCCGAGACTGCGGGTACAGAGGTTTGAAAATGTCAACAAATCACTGGAATTCATCAAGAGCCGCGGTATCCAGATGACTAACATCGGCGCCGAAGACGTCGTTGATGGCAACAGAAAAATTATCCTGGGTCTAATATGGACGCTCATTCTGCGGTTTACCATCTCTGACATCAACGAAGAGGGCTTGACGGCCAAAGAAGGCCTCCTCCTCTGGTGCCAGCGAAAGACTGCATGTTATGAAGGGGTCGAAGTGCGGGACTTCTCTTCTTCGTGGAATGATGGGCTTGCTTTCTGTGCCTTACTCGACATCCATCGCCCCGACCTCATCGATTTCGACACATTGGATAAGTCGGATCACAAGGGGAACATGAAACTAGCATTTGATATCGCTTCAAAAGAGATCGGTATTCCCGACCTGCTCGACGTGGAGGATGTTGCGGACGTCCCTAAGCCCGACGAGCGATCACTCATGACATACATTGCCTACTGGTTCCACGCATTTAGTGCAATGGAACGGGTGGAGAACGCGGGCAGGAGGGTCGAGAAGTTTGTGAGCAATATGCAGGGCGCTTGGGAGATGGAGTCGGCGTATGAGAAGAGAATGCGTGCTCTTCTGCAACAGATTAGGCACCAACGACAGATCTGGCGTGATTCCAGGTTCGAGGGAACATATTCGGATGCCAAAGCCCAAGCCAATGAACTTGCCAGCTACAAACGGAACCAGAAAAGAAGATGGGTCGCAGAAAAGTCCGATCTCTCAGCCCTGCTCGGCAACATCAAGACGAAATTGTCCACGTACCGCCTGCGTCCATACCAACCTCCCGCAGACCTACGACTGGAAGTGCTTGACCATGAATGGGCGGCGTTGAGCACCGACGAGCATGCGAGGAGCAAACTGATCAATGAAACCATCCGAGACATCAAGAACGCTCTGAGAAGGAGCTTTGCGGACAAGGCCAACGACTTTGCATTGACTCTGAACACGCTTTCTTTGGCTATCTCGGGGTTGGAGGGTGATGTCGAAGATCAACTGGACCACGCCCAACGTTTGTCGGCGAACCTAGGACCGCTCGAACAGTATCTGGAAGGAATAGCTATCCTTGATGAGAAGTGCCAGGAGGCCAACATTGATGAAAACGACTATACAACTTACACCTACGATGAGTTGTTGTACGAGCTGAGCCTAGTAAGGACGAGTGTGCAGAAAAAGCTGACCTTCCTCGAAAACCAAATGGTCGCGCGCAACATGACGAACCTAACGCCAATTCAGCTCGAGGAGTTCGAGTCCGTATTTCGACATTTTGACCGAGACGGCACAAACACCCTGACCGAGTTGGAGTTCAGCGCCGCATTGGCCAGCCTTGGACTGGTGTATGACGAACAAGAGATGCACGAGAAGTTCCTGGAGGTGTGTCACACCGGGATCGACCCGTCCATGTCGCCGATCTCTCGGCGGCAGAGGGAGTCTCGTGGCGTGGGCTTCGAGCAATTCATCCGCTTCATGGTCGCCGTGACCGAAGACCAGAACAGCGCCGAACAGGTGTTCCAATCCTTCCGCGAAGTGGCAGACGGGAAACCTTATGTCACGGAAATGGATCTCAGGCATTCGTTGATTCCAGATGACCTCATCGAAGATCTGTTGCAAAGTATGCCCGAACATACAGGGCCCGACATGGAAGCAGATCGAGACGTGCCCAAATACGATTATATAACTTTCATGCAGGGCATGATCGGGGATGGACATCACGATGCCGGACAGAGTGATGATGGTCGAGACAACCGATCAAACGGTGTTACGACTCCCACAACCCCCAGGCGGTAGACATCACTCCTTTGCTCTGCTTTCTGACTTTCAGATATCGTTCTTTTCTGGATTGTCTCAATGGTGTTGGAGGTGTTTGGATAGAATTCAGCCTGAGCGATCCATGACCATTCAACTATTATGAGCCGGAAAAGGGGGGTTGCGGTAGCCCAGGGAAAGCAGCTGGGACTGAAGATAACCGTTGTCGAACACACACATAATTTAATCCCCTACAATTTTCCATGATCATCGCATGCTGTACTCCGTAATAATATGTGCCCCAGGAATTGAGGGGGCCGAGGCTGCAGAAGTCTGGGGTGCGCGCCAATGGCAGAGCGGCGAAGTTTATCCGCATGCGGCCTCGGCATCATCGACGTGACTTCGGTTGCATGTCTCCCACTTCTCCTCCCAGCCCGGGAACTGTGCCTGTTGTCGAGTCAGTGCACGGCGGGCTTCTAGCAGAGCTGCCTTGTCCGCCAAGATGCGTACGTTACAACAGTCTGCAAATATATCTGGGGAGAGCTCCAGGAATAGCCAGATCTCGCGCATGCACCCGCCCTGAAAGTCGGACAGTCTGGGACCAGCCATTTCCTCACAATGCCGCCTCGCAAGACGATCTATCTGCCCTCCAGGGACTATGAGCTCCCCGAAATCGATATTTTGACCCTGATATACGGTGAGTCCTTGTTGTCTTGGTTTCGCGTACGCCCTCAACACTCTTCTAAGTCGCGGATACTGTCTAGAATCTCCCGAATCGTGGACCACCGAGTCGACCATTCTCCATGCCGAAGCCGCTCTGCCCTCAAACTGCGTCACCAAGGCACAAGCAAGGACCTACACCAAGCGCCTCGCCCATGTCTTCCGCCACCAGTTTGGCATCGGCGCAAGTGGTCCAGGCAAGGACGTTGTGGTGTGCATCTCCTCCGGCCAGATTCTGCTCTCAAATGTCTTTTATGGAGTAATTGCGGCCGGAGGGGTATTTAGCGCAGCAAGCTCATCATTTACAGCCCTGGAGTTGGCGCGACAGGTCAAGCAGGGGAAGAGTGATTTGATTGTTTGCAGCCCCGACTGTGTGGAGGTCGCCATACGGGCGGCGAAGGAGTGCAATGTCCCGCTAGACAGGGTTTTGGTGCTGGAGTCGATGAGTGGAAAGAGAGTATTACAGGACGTGGAGCGGAAGGGCAGAAATCTGATCCAGGACGGCTGGAAGAAAGAGGAGGAGCTCGAATGGGAAAGAATTACGGACAAGAAAGTCTTGGAGGAGAGGGTGGTCTGTCTACTGTACAGCAGTGGGACGACGGGCGTACCGAAAGGTAAGGTGTCGTCTGCATCTCTGGGCCTGACGTGGTCACATAGAGGGCTTTTGCTGACCTCTGCTACCTTTGCAACTCTCAGGAGTCAACATCTCGCACACCAACCTTGTCTCCGAAGGTCTCATCCCCCAATACATGATCCGAGAATACTTCGCTCGCCAACGCCGGCTCAACCCTTCCTTCAGCTTTGAATATCGAACCTTGGCTCACCTGCCCGCCGCGCACATCGCCGGCTGCCAGGGCTACTACGTCAACCCATCAATCGCTGGCGGCCCCGTCTACTGGATGCCGAAATTCGACTTCCCCAAATTTCTCGAGTACAACAAGAAGTTCCGGATCACCCATTTCTTCACCGTGCCGCCGATATATCTGCTCATCGCGAAGAGTCCGCTGGTGACGGATCAGTTCAAGACTCTGGTGCACGCGGTCGGCGGCGCCGCGCCAATGGGCGCGGAGCTGCAGGCCATGGCAGAGAAGAAGCTGGGCTGCCAGATCAGCCAGACGTGGGGGCTGAGCGAAACGACCGGCTCCGTGACGGGCATGCCGTGGGACCAAGACGACAAGACAGGCTCGGTCAGTCCGCTGCTGCCGAACGTGAGGATGCGGATCGTGGACGATGAGGAAAATGACATGGAGGAAGGGCTGGAGGGAGAGTTCATCATGCAAGGGCCCATGGTCACCAAGGGGTATTGGGACAACGAGACCGCGACGAGAGACAGCTTCACGAGCGACGGCATGTGGTTCAAGACGGGGGACATTGGCCTGTGCAGGAACGGGATGTTTTACGTGGTGGATCGGAAGAAGGTATGTTCAATCCCCTCTGCTCTTCCTGGATCTGCGTTCCCACAAGTCCACGAAGTCGAATGTACTGACCGCCATAACAGGAACTCATCAAATACAAGGGCCTGCAGATCGCGCCTGCGGAACTCGAGGCCCTCCTGCTCTCGCACCCACTGATCCAGGACGCCGCGGTCATCGGCATCCCCGAGCCCGCGGGTTTCGGGAACGAGATCCCGCGCGCCTACGTGGTCGCGGACAAGGCCCGGGTATCGGAGCAGGAGATCAAGGATTTCGTGAGGCGGAACCTGGCGCAGCACAAGCAGCTCCGCGGCGGCGTGGTCTATCTGGACGCGATCCCGAAGAGTCCCAGCGGGAAGATCCTCCGCAAAGATTTGAGGGAGATGGCTAAGCGGGAGAGGGCCGGTGAGCAGGCGAAGATTTGATAGGGGTGGGGGAGTGATTTCGTAGATGATCTGCAGTGGAATGGGATGGGATGGGCATAGAACTGGTTCCAGGGAGCCAGGGATAGAGCAAAGGGGCAATATAGAGTAGAAGGAGAGTAGATCTCTGCTAGAACTTGGAAAGGTGGTGGTTCAAATGGCAAAGGCACATGCTAATGAGGTTCACAGAGAAGTGGATCTCGAAAGAACTCTTACGTTCGGAGTCTCATACCCTTGGGAGGAGATAAGGAAGTCTGATTGAGAATTATGAAGCTCCTCTAACAATTACGACACTGTCCAAGAGTGGCAATGCCTTACAGCAGCGGATTGACCGCTCAATGTATCTTGCTGCCAAGGAAGCCTGTCAAAGATCTGCTGGCCCTGTTGCAACGGCGACCGCGGATGATGGGATGGGCTGTGCCTTGAGTTGAATGGCCAATATTAGCACTGGATGCCAACATGAAAAGAACCATCGCCGGGTTCTGTGTTGACATCGACTAGTGATCCAAGTCATTCTGGACACTGAACCCCAGGCTGGGAGGAATCAGCATCACATTCTGTGTACTGGTCAATGCGTCAACCTCAGCGACACGTCCGACGGAGCTCGTAACGGTAAGCGCTGGTGCTTTTGGATGGCAGTGGGTCGAAGATCATGGTTTGAGTCTCCCTCATATTTTCCACACCTTGACATTGTGGGGGTTTTTGGAAATGGCATGCGCGACAAGCTTACTGACGGCGCCTTGTTCTTCCCTCCCATTTCTCCATTCCTTGGGACCGGCAAGATAGGCAATGAAGCCAGGTGGCCCAGAGATGAGAATCTGCCTCTTTTCCTGAGACGTTGCGTACCCTGTCGAGAAGTCCTTGTCATCAAATCGGGACAGTGCCCGCAAAACCGCGTCTTCATCGATCCATGTATCCTCAGCATTGACAAAGTATTCCACCGTGATCTGGCCTGGGTACCTTTGTTTCAAAGCCTCTAGTTCTTGCACGATGACACCTTTCTTCTCAGAAACTGGCGGTAGTGGTTTCTGTTTCGGCTTCGAGAAGAAGCCTGACCAGGTCGGCTTAGGAGGCGACCTCTCCGCAGGGGGTTCATCGCTGACGCCACCCACGCAGTCTTCTCGCATTCTGTTTGCCCATAAGATATGCAACTTTCGGTCTTTGTTTGCTTCGTGACTTGCTGCAGGGCTGCTGCCTTCAAATAGGGCGTGTGCCACCTGCAAAGCGGGTGCAATGCCCGTGCCTCCCGCAAAGAAAACCACTTGCCGCACCTCTGGAGTCAATTCGTACTCTAAGCTAGGTCCTCGCATTTCGATGTCGGCGCCAATGGGCAGCCTGTGAAGGTAACTTGAGACCTCGCCATATGGATCCTTTCGTATCAAGAACCTGATTTCGCCCTTCTCTTCTGCAGTCTTCTCATCAGTGGGCGGTAATGGTGTGTATGCTCTGACTATCTGGAGCTGCGGCTGCTTGAACTGGACGTTCCAGATACCTCTCCTCCAAGCATCTTTGTAAATCTCGTAATTCTGGTTTTGTCGCTTCGGTACCAGGTGAAATATGCTTGCGGTCGAGGAGACAGGTTCCTTTGCAGTGAGCGTGTAAGCGACGAACGAGTCGCGTTTCAGCGAGTATAGGTATGCCTGCCAAAGTCCGTATAGACCACCTCCCAGTGCGACTCCAACGGCGAGACGTCGATAGGCTCGATTCGGAGAGTGCTTGTTTGCATTAGGGGGCTTGGGTTGATTTTCGAGAGTCGACGAGCTGAACCGCCTCCATGGCCCCAGCCATAGCGGCCTGAAAGCTCTCTTGAAGTTGTTCGGCGCCTCTCTCGAGCATCTTGCCAGCATTGAAAATGTTGCTCGCGAGGGACAGTTGCAGGCGGGAATGTGATCGGAGACGCAGACGGAGACACAAGTCAATTCCCCGCTGCTTTTTAGGGGCAAAGTGGAGTAAACTAGATATGGACATTGCACCATGCCGCCCTTGAACGATCAACCAACCGCTGCCATCTACGCGGACGACAAGTTCAGATTGATATTACCACCAACATCAATTTTCATGGTCCGAGATGAGCTTCCACCGCAGTGCTGCTTGGCAAAGCCAGGTTTTGACTAGAACAACTCCAAAGCCCTAGCCCTCTCTCACTGGTCGCCTCCAGTGGCCTCAATCATCTCCAGTCTCGGGATCCCCTTGGACAATTATCCTCGTCACCCTGCGCCGGTCCAAAGGGCTTCCTACACTTCCAAGCCCAGTATTTGGACTGAGGGTAACAGCGGTACGTGTCGACATTCTGTATGGCGACGTACGCACCTAGATTTCTGAGTTGCTTCGCATGGAATGGTCATATCCGTCAGGTGGGTTGGGCCCCCCTGCAATTGATCGGTCAGTGGAACGGCAAAAATGATGTTACGTGCCTGCTCGCCTTGAAGTACATGAAAGTGGATTTGAACATGCTTACTCATAGAAGTCAATGATTTGAGGGAAATCGTCGTCGTTCTTGTCAACTATATCCGAGAACCCGTGGATTTCTTCCGAGAGAAAGATCCAATGTAGGAGCTCGTGCAGGAGAACGCCGTCTGGAGAAGTCATCCAGTCACTATCATCAAGTGCAACGTCTCCCAGGACGCGGGGATCTATGAAAGCAAACTCGGCGGTGGTCCCACCTTCACCTTTGGTGACGGCCTTGCCTCAGTCTGCTTGTTTTCCGGAAGGGTGGGATGATTTCCATATGCAATTTCCAGTTGACCAAATTTTGTTTGCAGGACTTGAGCCACTGACACGCTCGAAAAATACTTCAATCACATTGTTACTGTCGAGTTCCTGGTTGAGCGGGATATTTGCCATTGTCTGGAAGACGTGTTTCACGAATGCTGCTTCTAGAGGCCGAAAGTAGCGGAGGAAGACTTCTTCACACGGACCAAATGTTGCTGCCGCCACTCTTGCCAGTAACACTGCATCTTCGAAAGCCTGCTCTACCTGTCGAATCTGCTGATCATGGGAGGTCCCTTCAACGGCGCTGGATTTTGGGACGTTGGCAGCACAGATCCTGCTGTTCAGCGCAAAAAGCAAAGCAAATGATGATAACAAGAGCCAGATTCGCCATGATGAGCTTAAATGAGCCAAATCAAGCAGAATGCCGAGCAAGAGATCGAGAGGGTCATGGCTGCACATCACGCCGCGCCATCTTTGATGACATGTCTTTCTACCACTTCAGCTTCAGATACATCGAGGGTAGAGGGGTGAGACGGCGTAAAAGTTAATCTTGCTCTAGCTAGGAGTGGACATCTTGTCAGACATGGTACTCTTCTTTGAGGTATTGGGCATCCGATACGGCATCAAGTGGTAAGTGATCGAGCGCACTTAACTTGTACATTGGCTTTGTGCAACGGCAGCCTCGCTCTGTTCGCTAAATCCAACCACGAGGATGTCGCATAAATTGCAGAAGTCTATCAAAACGTCAAGACTTCACAAATTATTTCCCCGTCTTTAGAGGCGATGAACCGGGTGGAGGATACCGCGTTGTCGGTCTTTCTCTCCAGTCGCAAATCAAAGCATCTTTGAGAATGGAATTGCCGACATAATACAAGTCGGATTGGAGGAAAGATACTTCCTTTGGGAGAGAGACGTATCTCTTTCTCTCACCGCCACCCTACGAGCTTCACTTCCGCATCTGATACCACTTTTCCAGCAACATCCCATATATTTCACTCCTGGTTGGAAAGCTGGCAACAGCATGCTTCATCCGATCAAGAGGAACCTGGCCAACGATCGCAACGGTGCTGCCGTGAAGGAGATCGCCCACTTCCCTTCCCACGAACGTCGCTCCAACAAGCACATTCCTCTCGGAGTCTACCACCCATTGAGCCCAGCCGTCATAGTCGAATTCAGCATATACCCAGGCACCCGGGAAATTGAATGGCAAAGCCACTTCCACGGCCTTTATGCCCCTTTTCAACGCTTCGGCCAAAGTCAGTCCAACCGTAGCGACATTTGGGTCCGTCACTACGACCTGTGACACGGCGACCTGATCTGATGTGGCGGCGAAGTCGCTCCAGGGCTCAGAGCTTTGTACGTCAACTCCAGAAGCTCGAGCAATAATGGCCGCCGCTGCAATTCGACCCTGATATTCACCCATATGCGTTAAAGGGGCCCGGCCGTTGGCGTCCCCAATTGCGTATATCCAGTTACCGCCCGCACACATGCTCTGATCGACAGTCAGGACACTATTCAGACCGATGTTTTCTAAGCCGATGTTCTCCGTGCGAGGTTTTCTGCCGGTCGCTATGAGGAGGGTAGAGCCAGTGACCACTTGCCCGGAGCCCAGCTTCACTGAGATTTTGCCGTCGCCTTCTTTCCAGGCCTCAGCAACTCTCGAAGACAAATGAAAGTCAACATTACGAGCTGTCAATGCTTCTCGAACACGCTTCCCAGCTTCCGGTTCGTAACGACCCAAGACTTCAGACGTGGCACTGATCATGGTGACCTTGCTGCCGAAAGTCGAAAACGCTGTGGCCATCTCGCAGCCCACGACGCCTGATCCCACGATAATCAAATGCTCAGGCACTGAGTCTGCTGCAGTGGCGTCTCTTGGAGTCCAATAGTCGATCTGATCAATCCCCTTGATCTCGCTTGGAATAACCGGGTCCGAACCGGTGGCAATAACAACCGCGTGGTTGGCGACCAGGGTCTTTTCCTGGCCGTTGATGTTCTTCACCATCACCTTCTTCTCGCCGATTATCGACCCTTTCCCACGCACGACAGAACAGTTCTGCTTCAACGACAGGCTCACAAAGAACTCGTCATCCCATTTGTGCGTGACCTTGTCACGTCGCTCGAAGACACCTTGGACATCGACAAGCCGGTCGTTTGCAATCAGCTGCCTAGCCCCTCCGACTTGGCGAGCGGCGGCGAGGGCTTCTCCAGGGCGCAGGATTGCCTTTGAAGGCATGCACGCCCAGAAGGGACATTCGCCGCCCCAGAGTTCTTCCTCGATTATGACGGAAGAGAGGCCGGCTTCGACGGTCTTGGACGCCACCTGACGGCCCACGGGCCCAGAGCCAATAACTATCACATCAAATGCGGCAGATTCAAGGGAGCCAGGGAGGTGGTTGTCTGGGTGGAGGTTGACGTTGCGAGGTGTCATTTTTGCTGCTCAACGACGCACGGCAGAGTGAATGTAAAGATGCAGGTACAGAGAAGTTTCCCAGGCGAGGCTTGCGGTTTCGTTCCAGCAGAGGGGACTCCCCAGCGCTTTTTCAACCTTTTCTTCGCGAAGAGTCAGCATCGCGGATGATCCCAGGGGTTCATGTCACTGTCTGATCGAGCTCAGCTAGCGTGCCCATGCAGCTGGATTATATTTACTTTTGTCCCACTTGATTTCTCTTGACGTTCGAATTCGCTTCCGACCGCCCGAAATCTACTGGCTTTCCCTGATGCTGCCTCTCCCGCCGTGCCAACCTGACCAGGGTCTCCTTTGAACGACGATGGTCTCCTCTCTCCTCATTGGCTCCGACACGGAGAAGACGTCTGGTGTACAGTAGTGCGAAGCGTATTTGACTGGTCATAGTTTACAAGCACGACCACCTTTGTCAGCATGCATTACGATATTGCCACGCCTTTGGGGGGTTTTTCGCATCCCTGAAGAAGCCACATTGGACACCGTGGGTACCATACCTGACTGACTGAGTGATCACGACTGGCTTCTGGAACAGTCATGGTTTGCCCACTCCCCAACAGCTCCTCCTCATGTAGCAACCTCCACGCGAGCTCACTCACGAATGGATAACGCCAAGTCGCATCTAGCCAGCGGACGCGGGGACTCGGGTAGGATATTAATCACGCTCGAGCACTTCCCCAAATCTGCAGGTCTCGAATTGCCCGAACGGGATGCCAACAACCAACGGCCACGGCCACGAACCACAGGCCTTTTTTTTTGACAGTCGTTCGTTCTTGCAATTGGGATGTCTCCGAAAACACATGGACTGTTCGAATACCAAGAACCCAACGCCATAGGGGAGGCGCCGTCTGTCTTTCAAGACTGGGCCCGACTCGGGCTTCAGTACGGTGGAAAACGTGCGGATCGACTACACGAACCGCCAGAAGGAACCATCCTCTTGGAAAAACTTAAGCGTCTGACATAAATTGCTCGGGACTCGGGAGGGCGATGCCAGAGAAACGGTCCAGAATCCATGCAGGCGAGAGGGGGGGGAGATGACAAGGCTTCAGAGATCAGGGGTTATATTGCGTAGAATCTATCTGAATATCACTCCATAAAAACATTGCTCTCGAGCCGTCCTCCTCACTCTGCGCGCCACCAAACCGATCCCAAACGCCGTTGGAACTGTAATGATAAACTCCGGGGATCTGCGCTTTGTGCTGATTGACATTGTCGAAGCCTCTATGGCTGTTGATCCAGTGGTTCCAGCGCTATCACTCTCGCCGGTGAGACCACCGACAGGGGATGATGTTCTTCCAACACGCGCCATCGCCTGCGCCACTCAACAACTGGAGTTAGAGCAAGATAGACACGTCCACCAATCATACCGCCTTCAGAATGGCCACACATTCGCTCGCGCGAGTAGGCGTCTCCAAAAGCTGGGAACGTGAAGTTAAGGTCAACGTTGAGATTCTTGCACACTTCCGTCCGCCAATTGAGCGCAGATTCGAAAATCGAGATCAGCTTGTCTCGGAATTCGGCCCGCTCGGCAGGCTCTTGAAGAGGATCTGGTACGGGTGCGCCTTCTTTATTGGGAGGTAATTGATCAATCGGGCCATGCCATTTCACACCAGTAAGACACTTGCTGGAGAAGAAGCCAGTTGACCGAGGGAGAAGGAGTTCGAGATACTGCAGCGCCTGGGCAGCCATTTGTTCGGCTTTTGCACGAGTGTGTGGGAGGACTTGTTTATCGATGTGTCTCGTCCAAAGCTTCTCTTTCAGTTGCGCCACCACAACAGGGTCGAAGTCTACAGCAGTCAGCAGCGCTCAATCAAGCCAATTGCAAGAATCTTCTAAACACTCACATTGTTCGTGGACTTCCTCAAATATGTCTTTCAACGAGGAGTGGAAGAAAAGGTACTGGTCTGGAATCTTGGCCAAGCACCACTCAGTGACTGCTTGAGCAACTAGAGCATGGGCTAAGTCCTTCCAGGAGATCGCACTGGTGTGACTTCTTTGCAGTGCCTCGAATTCACGACGACGGTCTTTTGGGATGACTTCTGACAGCAGGTATTCGAGTTCGTCTGGGTAGATAAACATAGGATCCAGGAAGACTGGTTGGGTTGGCGGAACTCCGGCGTTATCGACAAAGCTCGAGACAGCCAACTCAATGTCTAAATCGAGCCTGTCCATCACTCCGCGAAGCAGTATGTCATTTTGAGGTGTGGCAGCGTCGTCCAGGAGAAATCTCATTTTTTCGTAGTGGCCCTCATAAAACTTCTTCATCTTGGACATCATAGAAGTCTGCCTCCAATCTTCTGGCAGATCTGCACCTGCTAAGGGAGGAACAGCAGTCTCAGTCTCCACAAATGCCTCGGATGCTATGGAAGGTGTAATCTCTCCCGCAGGGGTAACCTCTTCAACGACGTTAGAGTGGCCCTCGGGGGACATCCCAGTATTGGTATTGATCAGGATCTCGGTTTCCGGCTCATCGACATCATTCGTCGCTATTTGCAGGGAATCATCACTGGAAGATTCTGGCGTCGTGCTGCGGGCTGGCTCAGTTGATTTCACACGTTTTGGTGACGAGCAGTCGCCTGCATCGAGGTTTGAATCCGGTGCCTCCTCAGCCTTGCGTTTTGCTCCCTGTTGGCTTGGAGAAGGCGAGCTGTTATCTGCGCTTGCGAGGTGGTCTTGAGGCTGCTCTGGTGGGAAAAGATTTGCAAAGTTGGAACCAAGCTTTTCTTCATCTAGAGCCGCAATGCCCTCATCGAAGAACGTGGTGGCCGTGAACGGCGTGGTCTGATACTTGGCCGACCTGTACTTGTTCCATACTCGTCTCAATTTGTCTCTGATCCTGCTCTTCAGCGCAATAGCACTGAGATGAGGGGCAGAGGGGAATTGATCGTGGAGATAGGTTGCCAGTTCATCCAAGGCCAGTTCGAAATTCTGTCGCAGTGTGCCGTCCGGGCCTTTATTCTGCTCCACCCACTCCAGCAGGAGTCTTTCGGCAGTCGGGGTCCATTGCAGGGGACGGCTGTTCTTTGTCATTTTGGACGAGGCAGTGTGAGATGTAAACTGGACAATGCTGATAGATTTATACTAGAATAGTGTCTGAAGGAGGCGCAGTGACTCAAGGACGAGAAGAGAGGAAGGACTGGACGAGGGCCGTGGGGAGAAGGCAATCAAGAAGATTGCTGCGGCTTGCTTTCAGGACCGTATCTCTGTGTTCGCACTGGAGGGGATTCTGCATCCGGCTTCATCTTTTCTTTATCTCTGTTGTCTGGAATCATCGTCAGCACAAAGAAAGTGGCTGGGGGCATTTCGTGACTCAGGTTTGGACAGATTCCTTTGTCTGAATAGGAGGCCGGCTTTGAATGATTGACTGATTGAACCAATGAATGGACAGATGATTGATTCTCTGATTCACTGGTTGATTGATGACTTGATTGAATGCAAATGGCCGCCAGTGACGGTCACAATCACAACAACATGTTTGCTGCCTGCGCTTCACTTACGGCGACTTCACATGAGGAGAGTGAGGACGAGACATTTCACCACTCACCACTGCCTCACTCACTTCTAGCACGCCATCACTGCCTCTCTCACTTCCAACACACCATCGCTGCCTCTCCTGCAAGGCACTGAGTTCTCCTGCCTTCATCCTCAGTACAAATTCTCGCTCTCCCTTCTGCAAATCGCACCAGATACCGTCACAACCCTCCTTCCACCTCCTGTCTTGCCAGGATTCTCAATCTGGACCATGGAGTCCTCTAATCTCCTCCCTCACCTTCAGCAACTCACAATTCGAAACAAAGATGGCCCCTCCAAGCCGGGTCCGCAGAGCCACTCTACCCCAACACAACGCCTTCACGTCGGCATTGATTTTGGGACGACCACCTCGTCGATCTGCTATGACGAGGTCGCCGGTATCACGTCATTGTCAGAGCGTGCCCTGGCCCAGAACGTGATCTGTGAGCCAAGTGACGTCTCAAGTCATCGAATTCCATCCGTCGCTTTCGTCTATGGGGACATCACCAGTAATGGAAACACGTACCTGGTGCTCAAGCTAGGAGAATTTCCCGGTGATAGCCTTTCCAGTCGTCTCCTTACCAAGATTGAGCTGATGAAGATGGCACTACTACCTACATATCACGAGACCCCCAGGGACCCGCTCTCAGCTAGCATGCTCCAGTCACTCAAGGCCCAACACGAAGATGCCATACGGAAGATCCAGTTCGAGACGATGTCCAATCAGATGTACACTCAAGATCCGTTGACAGGCCAGTTCGAACCTTGCACTGTGAATTCGATGCACGACTTGATCACGTTGTTCTTCAACTTCCTTTGGCGTCTCACGATGAAACACTGCGCCACAACCCATAACATGACCGTCGAAAATGTGGTGAATCTATTTCAAGCCAATGTCCATGTCGCAGTTTCTGCCCCAGCACTTGTACAAGAGGACTATGAGCGGGCAGACCGACTCCACGACTCTATGCTGAACACTTACTGTCTGCTTTTGGCTCGTGCTGGGTACCCACGGAGCACCTCGCTCCTTTTCGAGGCGAAGTCTGCCGCGTTGTTTCACATCATTACCAACATACAACGAACTCACACCAGCATGACACAGACGCAGCAACTCCACGCCACGACCGTGGTTGACATCGGTGGTGGCACAACTGATATCTGCTGCCTGCGCCCTGACAACATTGATGACGCTACTGTCATGTTTGGAGACAACTTCGGCGCTAGCACTATGGACGGGTCACTGAAGATCAACGAAGTGTTCAAGGAACTTCTACGGACGCAACTTCCAGGGAGCGTGCTTCAGCTTGCGCCTGAATTCAACGGAAGTGAGTCTGACTTCTTGGAAGCTTTAGCAACACAGTTCGAACGCGAGAAGAGAACGGCCGACAGTCATGCGCGACGTTGTGAACTTCGGGTCCCATGCAGACGCAAACCACTCTTGTACGCGGACTTCTTCGTCAATGGTCACTTCTTTTTAAACCCAGGGACGATGCAGAAAATATTCGACAACTGGCTTCAGAACATCTTCCACCAGGTGGAAAAGGAAATGCGGGACCATGGCCTTTTTCAGCCTTCTGCTTCGATTGGTCTCACCGGTTGGGGAAGTCGTCCGCCTTACATCCTGGCAGCTTTCGAGCGTCGCTATCACGAAAAGGGAATCAATGTGTATATGGTGGGAGACTTCATCAACCATCCGGCCGTTGCCCAAGGCAATTTCCTAGCCCTTACGGCTCAGAGGGGCGCCTTGAGGAGAGTTGCTCGCACTACATTTGTTACTCACGATGATCTCACAAGTTGCTTTGGCCGCACACATGTTAGAAATACCACAAACCTGATCGATAAGGACGACAATTTGAACGACCCGGCCAAGGTGTTTCCCAAAACGGGTGCCTTTGTCATGGAGAACCCAGTTTTCCCGCTCTCCCTCAACATTGCAATCAAGGATGACACAGGCTTTGGCTCTATTGAGGCCGAGGGTGAGATGAAGGTGAAACTCGAGAGTTTGGAGCGATGTGGATTCCGGCTTGAGACAGGTCCAAACGGTGCAACTGTCCTCAAGTTTCAATATTCTGTCCAAATCTGCTGGCAAGGGCCGATGACGTTGGTTGTCTTGACCGTGCCACACACGGGGCAAATGGACAACCCCAACAGAAACCGAGACCTGGACTTGGTGGTTTCGCTGCCGGTGAATATCCAAAAGCACGCGGCTCGAATGGGCTGAGGAGATCGAGACTAGCATAGTCGCCGATCTATCTTGTCCAACGGTCCCCCCAAAAAATGTGCGAGTGAATCTTTACCGACGAACCAGCTGGTGCTGTTTGAGGTCATTGCCTGAACAAGGTCAGGTGAAGGCTACACAGAAATCAAGCGGCGGGCGTCACTGTGGTTGCATGGCAGGAACGAGTCTTGGTGCTGGTGGAAATAGCTAGGCTGCAAGAATGATGTGGAGCTGACGCGAAGAGCTGTTACAGGAGACAAACTGATGAACAGGCGATGGAGCTACTGTGCACATGATGGAGCTGGTATCAGTGGTGGTCGGACCAGGAGGACGTCGACGAGCTCTGTTGGGACAATCTCGCAGATGGTCCTTGTCCAGTCTGCAGCTGTCTGGAATGTGAGATGGAGGCAAGGGGACAGCCCGTCAAAGGGTCGAGTCCAACCAATTGGGAAACTCAGGATAGGAAATCTTGTATCGAGGCAAAGAGGCAGATCAAGTCCATAGTCCTTCAATGTTGGTTAAAAGCCTCCCAAAGCTCAAACAATGGTTCCCAGTGTGGGGTTGCTCCCTGGAGGAAGAGGATCACTCACTCAGCCAGCTTACCAACCAGCCAGCCAGCCATCCTGGCCTGTGAAGACTCCGTGCATCCCATCGATCACGCACTCGTGTGTACTCGGCCAGAGTAGGGAGGTACGTATGTACCGCGAAGGCATGCGGGCATGCAAGCTTGGTCAGCCTGTAGCCCTGGTGCTTGAATTATCTAATCCGTACGAACACTCACTCCACCGAGCGCATCGGCCCTCGCATGGGGCAATACTAACGTGTATCATGTCATGTTATGTCCCTGGGTGTGTACTTGTATGGATGTGTATATGCTAGCCCTTTTCGACTAATCGCTTGCGTACTAATTGGTCGTAGGGGATGTGTGGTGTAGTATGTACGAGACACTACCCGTACTCGAGAACGAAAAACCTAATTGCCATTTACGGTTTGATCCTAGAGGGTGAGCGAAGGCCGCTTTAACCTGAGTTTTAACTGAGTGCTCTCTGGTCGCTCCCTGAGCACTCCCTGAGCAAATATATTATGGGGCCAATGGCGAGCAATAAGTCTACCTTGATCTGGGCAAAGTCTGGGTTCGCCTCAAACGCTTTATCAAAATTCTCGATTGTGGTAGGTGTTTCGCCGGTAGGTGTGCGCCGAATGTAGTCAGGCGGGAGGAAGCTAGGAATGCTAAAGGGTTCCTTCATTATTTGAACTGGCTTTTCTCTGTGGCATAAAATGTTTCGGTGGGAAAGGTGGTGATGTAGACACCAAGTTGAGCGTGTGGGCTCCCTATGGACTTCAAATTTGAAGAGACCAGGTTCAGTGGTCATCCGTTGGGCCCACTGGCTTTTCCGTGGAGCCTGGGGCTGAGGCTTTTGAGGACGCCGACCATATGGACCTAAATCATTGTTAGCTGAAGATGTAATAGAGGAGTTGCCGGGATTTGACTTACTGTAATGTTCTGTCCTGTGTCCACCATATTCACGTCCTTTCTGTCGGGCCAAGTTGCGGGAAGATTACTGGTCTTGAGACCTTATGACAATGTTCGCGTCTGAGGCGATTGCCGATTGCACAGCCTGCGGTGCGCTTGGCTCTTGAGGCAGCTCATTGCCTACACCAGCATTTTGCCGGGGGGGGGGGGGGGGGGGGGATGAGGATCAGTGGATTTCTGAACATGGTAAGAGCCGTACGCGGGCTGGGGATTGGGGGGAAAGTCAGCGTGTTGCTGAGCATATGGACCTTGTCTAGTCGAAGAACGTATGTCTTCTGTGTTTGGGGGAAAAGTCTGCGTGTTGCTGAGTATATGGACCTTGTCTGGTCGAAGAACGTATGTCTTGTGTATTGGGGAAGATTGGGGCGGGGAGTGGTTGGTCGAGAGCATTGTGTATGGGTTTTGGAGGAAAAGGGAAGGAAAGTAGGGGCTGGACTCGTTGCCGTGGATCTCTTTGTGCATCGTCTTGGACGCTTAAAGAGATGCGTGCACGACTTGGGCTTGCCTGCGACAGGCCTTGTGCAGCTTGACTGCTGGTTGTCAGCGTTTCATTCTGGGAAATGCTCGGGTTTGAACCTTGAACTTGGTATGTATCTGTAGTCTGAAGAGGATTCTGAGGGCCGTTTTGGGCGGAGTTTTGCGTGGTGTTCTGTATTCCACTTTGAAGAAGAGTTTGGACTCCTGTGTCGAGTCCTGGCACTTGCTGCCGAAGACGAAAAGGGGGCTCGCTGGAAGTAAAGTAAGCAGGTCTGGAAAGGTGGTGGACAGGTCGCGATGGCCGGCCGCCTCTACGACTGTCAGACATTGTGATTTCTGGAGGAATTGATGTGGAAAGACGATATGATACAAGATGGTCTTGGGATAAACAAGATGCAAATTTTCTTTTGAAGTTTGTTTTGACTCTTTGAAATCTCGCAGGGCTTTTAGTGGAAGAGTGGGAGATCCTGCCTCACCCTTGGCGGGGAGCTTAGCATTTCTGCGCTGCGGCGACCACACTCTCCGTACTTCAGCAGCTGATTCGTCACGCCGGTGGTCTTCAGCCGCATATGTCCAGACCTCGAACCCAGACACAGGTATCTCTCACTTTTCCCTCCTCCACCTCCGACGATTCAATCACGATCCAACAACTCTCACTGCAATGGCAGACGAAGTAAGCACTCGTGCCATCTCTGCCTTTTCCTCGCTGCTGAAAACTTCCTCCACCTCTCTCATCAGTCAGCCAACGACTGAGCTCGTCACTATTCTTCTCCGCGCATCGGCGAAAGTCGAGGAGGTCGTCGAGGATTGAAGTAGAGTGTTCTTTCTGACGACGAGAGACGTTAGCGCCACTAGCTCCGAGTTAGTTCTGCCAAGCAAAATGTGGAGTTACCCCGCTATTCGCTATTCGAGGCTGGTGCTGCTCTACTTCCAGGTACCACCGAGCCACTTCGTTCTGTGTCGTTTGGCCCGAGGCACGATCTTCTTCAGGCCTTGGGTCAACAGTATTAGAGATCTCAGGCTCATACACTCCACAAGAAAATTCTGGGCTTCATCCTTCTCAGAATCATCGAAGGTTCCTATCATGCCGAACTTGAGGCCTCGGCCTAAATGCTGTACAGAGCCGTCACCATCCCATCACGATTGCCTCGCACGGTTGTAGAACATGTAGGTACTCGGTGCATAGTATGGAAGCTACTCCTGCTCGCCTCCTACATATGGTTCGAGATCCCAGACTCCAGATCCATCTCTCTCAAGGAAATAACTCTCGACGAAGTTGTCCATTTTAGTACCTGACCTCGCCGTACACCGAGCCTTGATTGCCAACATTGTCACAATGATGGCAGAGACCGAGACCAGAACCATTTCTCCAACCCCTGAGCTCCAGCATTCTACCGCACGACAGTTCCGCTGGTACAATGTGCTTATGGTCCTATTGATGTCTCTGGGCTCCATCGAGTATGGCTATAATGCATCTATCATTTCTACAACACTGGCACAGCCGTCCTTCATCTCCTACTTTCAGCTCGACACACGGAGCAACGCCACCCAGTTGATTGCAACCACCAACGGACTCTACTACGCGGGCGGATTCTTGGCTGTCTGGACAGTCTCCTGGATGTCCGACCGCTGGGGCCGCAAATTCTCCATCGCCGTGTCCGCGGTGGTCAATCTGGTCTCGGCGGCTGGACTTACCGGCAGCACACACATTGCCACGTTCATCGTCTTCCGCTTTATCGCAGGTGCAGGCGCCTTCATGATAGTCACCGCCATCCCCATCTGGATGAACGAGGTTGTCCCGCCAAAGGTCCGGGGCATCTTCGTGGACTGTCATAATGTCGGTTTCCTTGTCGGCTACAACCTGGCGACTATTTTCGGCTACGCATTCTATCACCTGCCTGCGGACAACAACTGGGGTTGGAGAGGACCCATGATATTCCAAGCACTATGGGTTATCATCTTGTTGGCCTGTATCCGGTGGATGCCAGAGTCGCCCAGATGGCTGATGACTCAAAACCGCACCGAGCAAGCCGAACGCGTGTTGGCCAGACTCCATACCCCAGAAGAGGCCCGCGTGGAGGCCATTCAAATCCGGCAATCAATCGCAGCTGAGCGTTTCTTGGTCAGTTCCTGGTGGTCGATGGTTGCCAAACAAAGCTACCGCAAGCGTACTATTCTGGCCTCGGGCATGGCTCTCTCGATCCATACCTCTGGCATCCTTGTTGTCAACAACTACGGCCCCAGCATATATGCATCCCTGGGTTTCAACACCAACAAGCAATTGCTCTTCCAGCTGGGGTGGTGTTTCGTCGCATTGGGGACGGGATTCATGTCCTTCTTCCTCATTGACCGATTCCCACGGCCTAAGCTACTGGCGTTCGGTGTAGGTGGCTGCGCGTGCTGCCTCACGATCGTGTGTGGCCTCATCGGAAAATATGCATCAAAGGAGGCCTTGAAAGACCCCAACCAAGCAGCTCTGCATGCCGTCATCGCCATGATCTACCTCCTCAATTGCTTCTACCAATTGGGCCTGGACGGTGTGCAATTTGCATACTTGGGCGAGATCTTCCCCACGCACCTGCGGGCCAAAGGCATGGTCGTGGGCGTGGCTACGATTTGTGCGATCAATATTCTCTGGCTGCAAGTGGCGCCTACAGCCTTTGAGTCGATCGGGTACAAGTTCTACATGGTTTTCTTCATCCCGGGTTTCATCGTGAGTAGTCCCACTTTTATCGATTCAGCCACCGTTTCTGACCATCTGCAGTGCACGGCAATCCTCTGGTTTCTCTATCCCGACACTCTGGGTATACCATTGGAGGAGATTGCCAGGATTTTCGGCGACCACGAAGAGCAATTTGGCGATCATAGCCAGCATGAGATCGAAGGCAAGGCAAAGATCGAGATGGTGGAAAATCAAAAGGTTTGCTCTGACAAGCCAGAAACTAAGGTGTGAAAATGCTTGTCAGAGAGCTAGAAGTACATAGTATATCAGCTTGCCCCAGCATACTCGGTGAGCTTCGGGCACTCTTAAATATACAGCCCTCAATAGGAGCCAATACAAAACATGAGTCAAGTTTACTCCCTATACCAACTATACACTTGTGCTGGAAGGAACGATGACTGCAGAGCTGTCAGTGTGGCTAAGAAACAGGCAATTGGAAGCTATCTGACACCCACGTCTTCACAAGCCTAGAAGCGAAGGGGCCATCGCTGGGCTACTACGATCAGTGAAGCTTGAACGAAGGGAGAGCTTAGCTGGAAGACTTGTCATAGTGTCTAGGAGGGCGACGAGGTGGACAGCCTTGTAGCACAGTCGGTAACGTGGCCTTTGATCACCATTTCTAGTTATACAGTCTATCTAAGCAAACCTCGTCACTAAGCATTGTCAACTGTCTCCCGTTACACAATCACCCAATCTTTTGTCTTCCAAAGACCTTGGTGTCAGACACTTCCGGGTCACCAAAAAACCTTCGAATGTCGTCAATGAGCAGGTCAGGTGCATCAAGAGTAGCAAAGTGTCCTCCTCGCTCGTGGACGGTCCGGTACTTTACATTCCCTAACCTTCGGGCCCATTCCAAGGGAGTTCTGTACCAGAGGTCGTATGGAAACTCGGAGATGGCAACGGGTTGTTTTACATAAGGAAGTTCGTTGATCCCTTGTGGGGATATGGCACCGTCCTATAGTTTGCGGCTCAATGGTTAGTGAATACTCATATAGAGAGGTTATCACTGACTGACGGCAGAGCAAGGTGGTGTTGGGGAGAAAATTATCGCGTTTCCAAGGGCCGGGTAACTCACCTGGGCACCATTCTTATACAGCGAAAAGGCTCCGTAAGGCCCGTTGATCCAATGCATCATGGTCCAAGTGATTACTCGCTCGGGCGTCCAAAGAGCAGCGTCTGTAACACCAGACCGAAGACCATGGTAAATCCACATGGCGAGTCCGACAGGACTGTCAGTCAAGCCGATTGCCAGACGCAGAGGCTTCGTCTGTTGAAGCTGGGCGTAGCCCCACGAGGTCGCGATGAATTTCTGGTAGAGATTGATCAGGTACTTTTCATCCTCGGACGCTCGACCCTGCTCGTAACGGGCGAGGTCGCTTGGTCGTGGCGGACAGACCCAGAAGTTCGAGAGTCCCGAGACGACGTTGTTGGGGAAGTCAACGGCGGCATAGCGGTTGATGAGATCGCCGGCATCACCGCCCTGGAAAACGTACTTGTCGTATCCAAGCTTCAACATGAGCGCGCGAAAGGTAGCGCCGGCCTGACGGTATCCAAAACCCGGCCTGCGCGGAGAAGGACTGAAGCCATAACCCGGGATCGAGGGTGCGACGACATGGAAAGCTGGAAGAGCTGGATCAGGAGGGTCGGTTAGCGGAGCGATGAGGCTCTTGACTTCCAAGAAGGACCCTGGCCACCCATGGACAAATAGCAATGGAATTGCGTCCGGGCGTGGGGACTTGTGGTGGACGAAGTGTAAAGGGACTGGATCTGGGTATGTATGATTCGACGTCTGTGATGTTTGAACCACTGTTGTGAAATGATTGAAGCCATTGTTCAGGTCAGCCTCTACCGCCCTCCAGTCATAGGCATTCTGCCAAAATGCAGCAACTTCCCTGGCGGCGTGTTGGGGAGGCCCATCAGCGTATTCCTCCAAATCCTTTTGATCGTCCGTGAAGCGAGTGAGAGAGACCTTCAGCTTCGTGAGGTCGATAAATTCTTGCTTTACGCAGATCTTAAATGGCACGACTTCGCCGCTGAATGTTGCGTCGAAAGTTAAATTCAAGTCTTTGTCCGTGAATGTGAGTGGCCGATTTAGCTGCGACGACATGCCGATCGAAGGGTGGCTGTGTATAGATATAGACAGCAGCAATGACGATAGCAACTGCTTGAGCATCAGAAGTCTGAAGGAGAATAGCTGTATCGACTCCCCTGTGGCATGTATAATGCTGTTGAGGACTGATGCTGGGACACGGGCGATTAAATGGGAGCAGCCAGCAGTGCGGGGAACAAGCAATCAGGCAACGACCTCCTTTCGAGTGCAGGTAGTCTAACAGTAAGTGTAATAAGTAGCCTTGCTGGTGGGGCAATGCAGGGATTGATGGTTTGTCCAAAGCCGGCGTTTGTTTGGTGTGTCGAGGAGGGTTAGAACCTCGGATAGATAGATATTGCCGAGGGTCATTCAGCGTCGTCTCGATGCTCAAGACCTTCGAGGCAGTGCGAGAAAGGGCAACTATTCAGAGTCTGCTCGAGGTTTCATGATTTCTTGATTCACAAAACTCTGGAGACGGCGCATGTCCCACAACGGGAACTAGACTATCTAATTATTTTGTAGGTGGTACTCAGGTAATGAACAGCTTGTCAAAAAATACGCATTGAATAGGATATCCTTCATTACAGTATGGATTTCAGAGAAGACCCGCAAAAGGCTCCCAACTAGAGGCAAAATCAGCTGTTTCACAGTCGAATCCAGGATCAGGCGGTTCCGAGTACCACAAAAGCGCCTGGAGCCCTGCCTGCGTGTCATTTGTCTGCTCAAAGGAAGATACGGCGGTTGAGTCTGTCGTTGCAGTCCAATCGTTGTGTCCGACGTGCGTACCAAGAAAAGGTAATGGAGGAGCTAGAACAGAAACCGGTCGCTGAGATGATGCTGGGGTTGTAGGCCGGGGTTCCCTCTGACTTCCTCCATACTCGAGAGATTGAGACTGTCGATCTAGTCTTGTTGCAGCAGCTGTGAGAAAATTGGTTGCATAGGCAGCGTAGGAATGCATGTCTCTTATGCTAGTCAATATTTCGAGACACGTCTGGAGGCGACGACAACTTTGAGTTCGCATTTGCTCGTTGTCTGATGTTGTATCGCAGAGAGCCGTCACCGTCCCTTGAAGCATGAATGTTATTCCTTGCGTGGGCAAGAAGCAGACAGTATCAAGGCTCTGAAACTCCTCCAATATTGAGAATATCGCATTTGCAGCGTGTCGGGCTCTACGTTGGGAGATCTTCTCTGATGGGGCCAACTCCCGCTGGGCTGGTAGAGGGTATGGCCGGTGTAATGCACACACCAGCGCATAATAAAAGAGATTCAAAATGCCGCAGTGAAGCACCAGGACGTCCTCTCCGGGGTCGAAGTGTAGCGATAGGGGCGTTCGAAACCTCAACTTCTCCGGCAGTTTTTTGATCCATTTGTCAAGGACTTCCGAGCACGTCTCCACGGAATGTAGAGTCGTGATCAAAGGTTTAGGCACCAAAACAAGGGCAATCATATGAGTGCTCCCCAATTTTGGCGTCACTACCGTATATCTCGCCTTGAAAACCTCCTGTGTATGATGACTGAGTTCCAACTGTGCCCGGAATACTTCAGCCAGCCGAACCTGTTGATCTAGGTCTCGCAGAAGTGCACAGTTCTGGAGCAGCTCGCAGATTTTGTCTGAAGCAGGGTGAATGTCAAAGTCTTCAACAACTGGTTGCGATATTTCACAGACTTCGGCTGCAATTATTGGCCATTGTCGAAGTCCCAAAGAGAGAGTTCGATCGCGCATGTACAGAGACCACCATATTCGTTTCCGAAGGGACCGGTGCTTGGGAGGAAGATTCAACGAATCTGGGACCTCTTTGTTGAGGCCTAGCAGGCAAGCGATGTTGTAGGCAATAGATATCCAGTGGCGTAAATGTTTTACCTCGTCGCCCCGTTCTTGCCAACTTGTCATGAGGATCAATGCTTGGACGATCACCAATCGGTCTGCCTCGCAGTCGAAGTCGTAAAGGAGCCTCGCACGCTCTGCTAGCTCTCTTCGCAGTGCCATGCGGTTAGGATAACCAGCCTCCATCACGTACTGTGCATCGACGTATGGCGACGCCGCCAATAACATGGCCTGAAACAGCATCAGACTCACTGTACCCTCTTTCCCGCCGGTCGCCACTGCTTGGAGAACAGGATGGAGATCAACAAGGGGGAGATGAGGGTGAACGAATTCGACATAGCGAATTAACAGCGCCTGTAGCAGTCTCGGTGGAGGGATCTCGAAAGCTTTCTGCTTCTGTAGGAATTCCGCGTACCTGTACGTCCGTTGCGAGCGCGTCGGAGAGGCAAATGCAGGTAGCAAGCTCTGAAGGTCTTTGAAAGCGTCGTCGTCTTGGTTGGAATGCTTTCTCCTCTCTCTACATTCACACAGTGGTACTTCAAGACCCTTGTTGAGTAAATCGCCAGTGAAATCGGGAAAGAGGTCTTCGTTTGAATCAGGGACAGGATGGCCATCTTCAGGGCTAGTCGTCGACAAGGATGGGGCTTCGTTGGCAGTCGCAGGTCCAAGGACATCCTCGCTCATTTGAATATTTGTCGCTAGCACACTCGGCACGTCGTGGACTGGGCTCCAGCTGGCCGAATCGTTCACAGAAGGATTGGTTGGATTGGTCGTAACCGATTTTGTCCTGGAGCCACGACCAGTGCCTCGCCGCCGCCTTGGACCCGACTCAACACAGTCTAGATCATCCAGGGTACAATTCGTGCATCTGCCCTTTCGCAGAACAATGTCACAGCGGACTTTTCGAGTGCGACAGCGCTCACACGCCTTCGATGCTCTGTGTTTCAGGACCTTCGCAGGGGCCACTGTTGTCATGCTGGGCGATCTTAGATAGGACAGCGTAAAAGTTATGAACAGGCACAAGTCATCGGGAGCATCGTTATAACGCTAGGAACTGGCTGGCTTTTGAAAGCATCCGAAGCGCGGGGTAGCAATCTGGGCACTATCCCCACTATTAGTATAGCCTCACCATTATCAGGGAGCTGACTAAGTCGATAGCGATCTATTGGTGTTTCACCATAGTCTTACCTCGGCTAGGCCATTACGGCCGTGCGGAAGGAATTCTATATGAGGTTAGTATGGTAGATCTATTCTATATCCCATGCGTCGTCCTCGTCGTTACGAATGTATCCCACTGCCAAATCCTCCACCCCAGACTTGGTTTCACTTATGGTCAATCCATTCCCCAGAAATGCAAACATATTCCCTGGGTCCTCATAGATAATGTCGTAATGCTCGAATCGAGGGGTTTTCATATACTTGAGGTGATGCAACAGACTGCCGGGCCAGATGTATATTCGGCCATCAGGCTTGTTATCCTGGTGAACAATTAGAGACCCGTATTTGGAATGTGAATATCGCCAACAACTGACCTTATACCAGCTCCTGCAGTTCTCTGCCCAGACCGAGTTCTTCTTGTGCCATGCGTCCATGAAGAGGTTCATCTGATCGGTGACGTCGATCTTGGGCATTATCGCCTTGATCCGATCCTCTTGCATTTTGCGGCATATCTGCATGATGTATTCGACCTGAACGTCGTGACTGGGTAGGGCGCATCCTTGACCCCAGTTCCCGCGAGGTCCATTGACGACAAAGTAGTTCGGGAACCCTGGTGAGGCTATCGAGGCGTACACATTCGGCTCGCCATCCTGTATCACTTTCCCATTGACACCCCTGATTGTAAAGTGAGGTAAGAATTGGATGTTAAAGCCCGTTGCACAAGCGATAATGTCCGCTCCATGCTCGACGCCGTCCTTTGTCACTATTCCGTTTCGTGTAACCTTGATAATTTCTTCAAATACCGGCTTGACATTTCCCTGCGTGAGAGCCTCGAGGTACCCTTCGCCCGGAGTTAAGCGACGGCAGCCGGGGCTCCATTCTGGAATCAAATGTTTCTTGAGTTCCTCATGTCCAGGCCCTATCTTTTCAGCCATTGATTTCTGCATGACTGTTTTGGCTTGAAGATTTGCTTCGCTGCCTCGGTAAAAGGCGTGGAAGCCGCCCACAACCGCCCTCTCGATCGCACGTCGGTATTCCAAATGGTAGGCGGGATCATTTCTGAACTTGTCCTTTTCCTTCTGCGTATAGAGGTGTTTCCCAGCTGCTCGAGGGTCCATGGCGTTATCGTCTGCCTCTTTATTGGATATACCCGATCCAATCTGTGGACCTATGTAGGTCTGGTTCCTCATAAACACCGCCACACTTTTGGCAGTTTCAGCAAATTTGGGGACCATCTGGATAGCGCTGGAACCGGTGCCGATGACAGCGACTCTTTTACTTTGCCAGCTGAGATCTTGCGGCCAGTTTGCTGAATGTGCCAAAACACCAGTGAAGTCTTCTAGACCTTCAATGTTTGGCCACTTCCATCTGTTGAGAATGCCGGTGCCGTTCACAAGTATATCACATGAATCAGTGAACATCGAACCGTCTTTCCGGCACAATTGAACCATCCATTTGTCGCCGTCCCACGTACACGCTGTCACTTCTGTGTTGAGGACGGCGTACTTTTCGACCCCATAAGTCCGAGCAAACCGGAGAAAGTACTCTTGTATCTCATCGCTGTAGCTATAGTAGCCGCTCCAGTCTGGATTTGGGAACCACGGGAACGTATACGTATGTGCAGGAATGTCGCAAGCACAGCCAGGGTACCGGTTCTCGTACCATGTGCCTCCAATCTGGTCGTTCTTTTCATAACACACGAGCGTATAAGCTTTCAGGAACTTCTCGGCTTTGTGGGCAAACAGCATTCCCGAAGCTCCCATACCGACGTGGATGATCTTTATTGGTCGAGGGGTGCATTGTGGAAAATCAGGCACCTCGTCAGGAAGAATGCCGTTTTCTGGCTCTGTGATGTGTGGCATTGTGGACTTGCAAAAGTGTGTACGCTTTCTGTCAGTTCGCGTATGAAAGATCAATTATTATATAGGCCATCACTCGTGATTTAAATGAGGCTTTGGCCTGTATAAAATGGGCCCGCGTTACAACTACCCCGAAGTCATATCCGAGGAATCATCGCACAGGACATGAGATGGATACGTCAGCCTTGGGAGCCATTGAAAGATTCGAGATCATACCGGCTCTTCGGAAGATCGAAATAGACCCGAGGAATATATTCACCAATGGTAACTTGCGCCAGAGATTCCAGGACCTCGATTAGCCACCAAACTTCTTGCCGTTACTACCAGCACTGCATTAGGTGACAGCAATTTACAAAGGTTATACGAACGCCCCAGATACACAAGGGACTTTCTCACGTGTGGGACAACATATCATCGTAGAAAAGCAGAAGTCACTTTGTTTTAAGGCGTTTTGGATTTTTTTGAGCTGGCTATACAACTATCATCAATTCCCACTGGGTTATGTGAAGTATCTGCAGACGTCATACACATGAAACTACACATGTATGACTACTGTCCAGCTTTCAGTTTAGGTGAGATGAGAATTTTGATGTGATCATCCTTATGATTGATCAGCTCTTCGAGGCCGGAAGAGACGAGGTCTTCCAAGGCAATCCGCTTTGTGACCATCTGCTTATATGCTGGGAACTTGTCTTGTGTGTATCAGCGTAAGCTGCACCTGCAATAACATCTCAAGACGTACCATTTCTGACCAGTTCCATGACTTCGCTGAAGTCCTTGTCATTGTAACAGCAACAACTGGCAATTTTGATCTCCTTCAGAAAAAAGGGTCTAAAGTTGACACTGAACTGTTGACTAACGTTATTTGTGGACGAAAATTGATATCGGTCTTGCTTACCGGCTTTTCCCACTGAGCGATATTGACATAGGTTCCTTTGAAACTGAGCGCATCGAGCCCTGCATCCATTGCCACTTGCACACCGGCGCAGTCAAAAACAACATCGACACCTTTGTTATCAGTTCTCTGGCGACAAACATCCCCTACGTTCTCCGATCTGGGGTCGATGATTCTCTCCACCAGGTCCTTTGCAGTCAAGGATCGTTTCGCCGTGGGCTCACTGAGTAGAATTTGTTTGACACCACACGCTCGCAGGTTGGATATCAATGCGATTCCGATAGGTCCGGCACCGAGAATGAGGATGCTTTTGCCTTCCAAGCCAACACCAGCTTGCTGTGTTGCGTGATAACCAACCACTAGCGGCTCGATTAGGGCCGCAAAATCGAGACTCACATTCTCGGGGAGAGGGTGGACGTGGTCAGAATTGACGGTCACAAACTCTGCCAGCCCTCCGCCGCAACTGCCTCCGTTGTTACCGATGAATGCAAGCTTGTCGCACAAGTGGTCGTAGCCAGAGGTGCACGAAAGGCACTTCCGGCACTGGACATGAGGATCCACCATGACTGGCTGGCCCTCCTTCAAGTTCGAGCCAGGAGGTGCAGTCTTGACACGGCCACAAAACTCATGTCCTATCGTGACGGGCATAGTCCCTCCCGTCAAGGGGTCGGGGCGGTCTTTGGTGGGAATACCAAATGGGCCTGCGAGTGACACTTAGTATGCGTGCGCCGGTTGCACTCTTCATTCTCGTATTATTTGATATCAGACTCGCGTACCGGCAAGGTATTCGTGTAAGTCAGTCCCGCAGATGCCACACCATTCCACTTCAATCAGACATTCACCAGGACCGGGCTCCGGCACGGGAATGCTCTCGATGCGAACGTCTCGTCGGCCATGGTATCGAGCGGCTCTCATGTTGTATCAGCCTATTCTCTCATCTAACATCTGGAGTGGACGCGGACAAAGACACACACTTATGCTGAGGCCAAGGCTCGTTCCTATTCATTGTCTTTCGACAGCCTCGGATACAGTTGTCGGTAATAGGAGAAATCTTTCGCCGCCTCCGTGCGAGGATCCACAGTTGCAAGCATTTCCTGACTACCAGAACTTTGCCAGTGCCATCTTAGGATCAACACTTGTAGTATACCTAGGTAGAACAGGTATCTAGTGTAAGGTTCTGATAAGTCCTCGGCACTGGTATAGACAAGTCGCCTTAAGTACGCTAAATGCTTTATGCTTACAAATGTTGGTGCAAGCATATTCAAGGCAACAAGAAAACAAACAAACTCTCCTTTCTTAAGGGCGGTTACATATCTACATCTCAGACAAAGCTTTATATGGATGAAATATGATCATCGCATGTCCTCGCCTGCATTACGTTTGACTGACGATACTCCACCACCGCGTGAACATCGGCGGTTACCACAATGGGATCCTATACTGTTCCCCGGTTACATTTCACAGATGATTTCCGTCACTCGATCAATGGACAACTCCGGACTAGCAGGGAGAAGCGACGTGGAATCAACCCTGCAACTGAAGAACCCAATCCCGAGGTGCCGGTTGCGACACACGACGATGTCGATGACGCGGTGGCTGCAGCCAGAAATGCGTTTGCCAGCTGGTCAAAACAGTCTTACGCGACGCGGCGGACTGCCATTCATCGGTTCGCAGATGCGATCGAGTCGTATCAAGAAGACTTTGCAACGCTGTTGACGAGGGAGCAGGGGAAGCCAGTAAGACTCGTCACCCAACGCCAGTCATGACTGGCTGGAATATACACTGAAACCCCCAGGTCCGGTTCGCCGCGGCCGAGATTCAGGACGGGATACGATGGCTCCGCGAGTTGAGCAATCTAGAACTCCCAGAGCAAGTTGTTGTCCAAGATGAAGAGAAAGGAAAGAAGACCATCGTCCGGTATACCCCACTTGGTGTTGCCGTTGGCATTATCCCATGGAACTTCCCCGTGCTGTTGGCATGTGGGAAACTCGCGCCGGCATTGATAACGGGCAACACTATCATCATCAAGCCTTCTCCGTTCACTCCCTACAGCGACTTGAAAC